CAGAAGAATTACCAAATTTAGGAAATCTCCCCAGGTGGTCAAGGGTCTATCAGAAAAATTTCCAAATTTAGGAAATCTCCCCAGGTGGTCAAGGGTCTATCAGAAAAATTTCCAAATTTAGGAAATCTCCCCAGGTGGTCAAGGGTCTATCAGAAAAATTTCCAAATTTAGGAATCTCCCCAGGTGGTCAAGGGTCTATCAGAAAAATTTCCAAATTTAGGAATCTCCCCAGGTGGTCAAGGGTCTATCAGAAAAATTTCCAAATTTAGGAATCTCCCCAGGTGGTCTAGGGTCTATCAGAAAAATTTCCAAATTTAGGACTTTCCCCAGGTGGTCTAGGGTCTATCAGAAAAATTTCCCTAATTTAGGACTCTTCCCAGGTGGTCTAGAAAACCGGATAAAAACCATACATAAATACATTATACATTTTTGTATTAAGGGGAAATCAAACAATGTTTAGGGCCGGGAAGCTCTAGCAGAACACACATTAAATACAATGATGAAGGCAGTGAAGGCACAGAGTGAAACACTCAGCATAAATTAGTTGCAAATTGTGTTCATTGATCTATTATCCCACTGCGAATTTGAAATTTTCCCTCAATTCGATCGCTGAACAACGACCGTGGGCGGAAGACAGGTCACGCTATGTTTTTTATCATTTTGCTCAAGTGTCACCTCCGAAAGCGATGTTTCCGACGATCTCAGGTTCCTTCTGATTTAGGGTTTCAGGATGCACATTGGATTCAACCTGAGGCTCCATCGTCAGATCGTATTTTCCGCTCTGTCACGACCGTCGTCACAATACACTTTCCAGGCAGGAGTAAAAATGTGGGCGTGCCCAGTGTCACTCAGATTCCAGAATGGAGTGTGCGATGAGGATGCTGATATATCTAATAATATTATTGATGAGAACACAATAAATTGACTGTCAAATTAATGAAATTTGGAAAAGTGAAAAAATTGCATACAATTTAAAAAATTTTAAAATCATAAGTTTTTTTTCTGTCATCTCTGTTTAAGTGTTTAGTTTACTTTCGTGTCTCCTCAGCCTACATACCACTAGCGCAAATAAACACGTAATCAACCTATGAGAAAGCCCGGGTGCTTGGGTGAGCGCAAGAGGCGAGAGAGTCTCATTGGGCGAGAACGGGCGAGAAGGTAAAAATGTATGTGACACAATGAGCCTTTACTTGCTCAGCCTGCTGACCAACTTTTAATGAATTTAATTAATATATTAATATATTTTTCTTCGATTACTTTCTTGCAAAAGTACAAAATAAAGATGTTTGTGTAATTATAAATTAGTATATATAATTGGAATATTAATAATATGATTTAAATTAAATTAATTATTATACATATATGCCAGTTCTATGATCATATTTTTTTTATTTTATAGATTTTAAGATTTACGCACTCATAATGAATAACTTCAACTCTACTGCAGTAGAGTTGCATTTTGTATGGCATCTATTTAAAAGAGGATTCTGAATTTTGGTGAAATAATTAGCAATTAACAAAAAATTTAAGGACTTCTTACTAGCACTAATCAAATCTTATCTTTGCAGCAATATAAGGACCATTTTTGGCAATTGTAAGGATTCTGGCCCCAATTGCCCCAATATTATTAAGCTTGCGGAAGGCAAAGCCCAAGCCCTCAATCTTTTAATGAATTTTTTTTCAATCATGGTCTTCACAGTTGTTATTAATAGATTTTTTTTTTTTTTTTTTTAATGTAGATACGGTAGATTAAGTAAGAATGCTGCAAAAATTCATATTTCATCCGTTTTCGTACTTAAAACTTGCCTCAAAATTATAAATAAAAACACTTGATTAACTACCGCTAAATATAGTTTAAATCATTTTATAAATATAATGAAAAACACTATGGTATATTTTATTAAATTCATTATAAGGACTAATATTGTTGATCAGGTTTATTAATTAATAATATTTTTCATCTTCTAAACATATTTACAGTGGTAATGAAAAGCGACTAAGTTTAATTTTAATATATGAATATTTTTGGCAAAACTGTGAGTTAAAAAATTCATTAATAATTAATGAAAAATAATTTTTTCAAATCATATTTTTAATGCGTGCGCTTTTGACTTTCTCTTAATTATAATGATATACTTGGCATTGCGTGAGTTTAAATTCGTGCACAAGTTAAGACCCTGGCAGAAAATTGTGTTCGTGCGTGTGCTGTGCTTTGCGCATTAATCAATTAGCAAACATTATGAATTCCGAATCCCTCGTTTTCGGCGGATGTGCAGTAAAAAAATGAGTATAAAAGAAATTTTTGCAGAAGTGCAATGCAGTCGTCAGGCACTTCTCTGCGAAGCAAGATGAGCGGTTCAAAAGATATTCGCCGAGTGCTTGTAGTTGCCGTTGAAATTATTTTGGTTTACCTAGCGCCGCTCGCAACTGCAGAATCACAAAGGCTCCGTAAGTAATTTGCATTTAATTTAATTTTGTTAATGATTTGATTTTTTTAAAGCTGCTGAATTTTTACTATGCAAAGCAAGCGACGCTGACTATAATGGTTGTTTGAAGCAAGCTGCACAAAAAGCCTTTGTTCTTCTCCAAAATGGTAAAAAAATTCGAAGAATTTTATTTCTTATATTATTATATATTTGTTTGAAGAAAAGTTGAAACTCGAGGAGATGATCATGGAAAAGCCCGATCTCATTTCCATTATTATATAATTATATATTTTTATTTTTCAATTTTAATAAAAAATTCTTTTCAAACGCGAAAGGAGTGGAAAGTTTGGGCATTGAGTCAATTAACCCGCTCTTCATTAATCACGTGGACGTTGAGCAGGGTTCTGGTCTCGTCAGGGTAGCTCTCAGCTTAAGCAACGCAACCTTGACTGGTTTGGACAACATCGAAGTTCTTAGCCAAAGGTTGGTTCAGTTTTTGTTTAAAAATTTGTTTAATGGTTTTTTCTTCTCAAATTTTAGCACTGATATTGCAAGTGGCGGGTGCGAAATGAAGAGCGAGGCTCAGGTGCCGCGGTTCTCGGTCGCGTCCGACTATGAAGTCAGTGGAAAAGTGATGCTCCTGCCCATCACAGGACGCGGCAAGAGTAACGTCACCATGAGTATGAAATTTTATTTTATATAAGCAAAATCCGAAGTTAACTTTATTTGGAATACTTGCAGATGATATCAACGTAAAAGTTTCTTTAAAGTGTGAGAGGTTTATGCGCGACGGTGAAGAGTTCCTGAATGTCACCAATTTTCATATAAAATTTCAACCAAAATCAGCAACGATGTATTTAGCAAATTTGTTTGGAGGGGACGCTCTTCTTGGTTTGTAATTAACAATTTATTGCAAATAATTGGGTTAACCTTTTAAAAATTTGTTGGCAGAGCGAGCTATGAATATTCTACTCAATGAAAACGCTCTGGAAATATTACGTGAGATGAACCCCGCTATTGAAGTCAAATTCGGTGCGATTTTCCGCGACATCAGCAACAAACTTTTCCACAAAGTCCCGTACAAGACCATCTTCCTCAAATAATATGGTTCCTCAGGGCTGCGGCCAGAGCTCGTGTTTCCGCATTTTAGAATGAATAAAAAAGTAGAAGTAGATAACCTGTTTCATTTCCGACGTCTTATATTGCCTAAAAGTGGCCGCATCACATGTGGCAATGAAAATCAGAATTAATTGCACGTTTTAGGAGACTATTTTGCTCCTTTAAACAAGTTGTGCCGGCAGCGAAACGAATAAATGGCCGTTTTTTGAGAAGGGTTCACGCGCTAAGGTATAAATAGAGGTGCGCAAGGTCATCGCCGGGTCAGTTTCTTCCGACTCGACCTGGTACGAGCAGACACAATGGCAACGTTTTTGGCACCAGTACTTCTAGTCGCGATACTCGGCGCCGTCAGCAATGCTGCTAGGCAACCCTTAACACTTCGTAAGTTTAATTTAAAACGCCGATAACACTATTTTTTTAACATAACTTCAATTAATAAATTAAATAAAAGTTTTTAATAAATTTTAGGTTTAAATGTAAAAATATGTGGGAAATTGTTTATATTTTTCATGATAATTTTCCATATTTCAAAAATAAAATTTTTTTGATTTGAAAACATTAAAAAAAGACACTTTAAAAAAAAAATAAAATTATTTAAAAATATTAGTAAGATTTCAAAAATTCAAATATGTATCACATCTTTAAAAATATTTATATAACTTTGAAATTATAATCAAATATTAGAACAAAAAAATTTAATGTAGTTTATTACATGAAAATATTATTAATTTTAATGCATGCCTTAATTTTTTACCTAACTTGTAAAAAAAATTCCATTACTTAGAGATTTCAGTATAATTACTGGTAATTAATTATTAAAACACTGATTACATCTTTATTTATGCGCTTCAGCTTCGAGTTTCCCACGATGCGTCTTGAAGCAAGCCGACTATGAAACCTGCCTTAATAACGCTGTCCAAGTTTCAATGCGCGCTCTGGCCGATGGTAAATTAAATATAATTTAATTAATCCTCTTTAATGAAGACTTATTTTAATAAAATTAGGTTTGCCATCATTGGGCATGCTGCCTATTGACCCGATGCTGGTCACCGAGATGAATTTGATGCACGGCACCGGTCCGGTCAACGTTGATCTCATATTCAAAAACACTACTCTTTTCGGGCTGAAAGACGCCAAATCGCTGAAAGTCTCGTAAATAAATTGGCTTGTTTTTTTACGATGCAGGAAGTGGCAATCTGACTTTGACCTTTTCGCAGAAACGATATTTTGGCTGGCGGTGCTAACATGCGTGGCGAACTGCTGATTCCGCGCCTCAACCTGATGGCCGACTACTCGATCAAAGGCAAAATCCTGTTGCTGCCGATCCACGGCGACGGAATGGCCAACATCACCTTGGGTACGAAATTTCCGTCTGCTATACTCGCCACTCGTTCATCCGTATTTTAATATATTTTATTGACAAAAGAATTATTTCATTGCAGCTCACTTGAAGGCAACGTATGAGATGGAGAACGAATTCTACAAGAAAAAGAACGGCCAGCAGCACATCAGGGTCAAAGAGTTCAAACTGAAACTGCGACCCGGAAAGACGCACACAAACTTCGCAAATCTCTTCAACGGTGACAAACGATTAAGTATATTTTGTACCAATTTTTTTTTAAGTCCTAAAAACTTATTATCTTAATTAAAGGTGACCAGATGAACATGATTTTGAATGATCATGCAGATGACATTTGGGGCGAACTTAGTCCCACCATTGAGGCAACTTTTGGCGAAATCTGCAAACAACTCGCGAACCGACTCTTTTCACTGGTGCCTTACAAGAATATCTTCCCTCTGGAAGAAACCACTTCATCTGAGGTTGTTGACAGTGATGTTGAATAGGATATAGTCGTGCGTTGTAAATTATTGGAAGAATATGATGTTATATCAATTTATATTTTATTTAATTGACTGATTATTGTGTAGCTATCATCCTATATTAATAAAATTGAAGAGATATATACATAGAATTAAATTTATTTTGTCTGATTCCATGTGATTCCATTAGGCAAAGCTGTCTAAAACAATAGTATTAAGTTGCGTATATAAACGCAAATTTAAATTAGAATTCTAACACGCAGACATACAATTTATTTAAAAAACTAAAACAATAATTGTGTCATAAAATAATGAGTAACCACTAAGTTATGCAAAATTAATGATTTGTTAACAACGTGTTAATTATTAATTCTGGTATATATTTTTCTTTCTGTTAATTTAATATTAAAAATATTTTTTAACGTGCAGATCCGTAATAAAAAAACTTGGTTTAAATATTTAAAAGAAATCTCAGAAGATATAAATTTATTTCTCATAATTGTTAGTGTGCGTGAATCCATTGAAATTAATGTATTGTCCATTCATACAAAAAATTTAAAATCGCTATTAATAAATCAGCATGAAACAATATAATATGGAAGCGTGTGTGTATAGAAGAAAATTGTTTTATTCCCCTTGAGCAAAAAATACCTAGGATGACACAACATAATTGCGTCGGAAGATGATGATTTCTAGTGCAGCAAAAATAATAATTTGCGTGCGTCTCTCTAACCGACATTGACTTTGAGACTCGAGTCATCCTTGGGACACGCAAAGTGAAAAAAGTCACGTACTCGGGGGAAAAGGCGCGGTTAGATCTTATAAAATATATATTTATATACATATATCAACAATGAGTTGACAAAAAGAAAACCAGTCTGACGACATTTGCGCGGAAATTCCGACCCACTCGCATTTGCCAATCGAGTGGAGCGACAGATCGAATATTGCGTTTACCAAAAGTGATTTTTTTTATTTACAAATTCAAATTCAACTTCCGAAAAAATACAAGTTTTTATTTTTAAGCAAGACAAAAGATCTAAAGAGCTTTCATTAAAAATATATTATCATTAGATTAGAAAATAAATTAAATTAAATTTTGAGAAAAACATGAGTTTGATTATGAAAATGCCAATTATATGTCAATTTTACTCTCGTCTGCATTATCCTGTAGAGATGATAAGTGTGTGCTTGCGATTGTTTAACTTTTTAAAAATCAAGTTAACGATTTCATTGTTTGCTGTTTCTAGCTGGGCAGAAAGAGAGGGATTTGGCGTCACACGATCCGATCGGAACCCGCGCGCGATCCCAAGCCAAGCTGAAACACACGTGCGTCGCGCACGTAAGTATGTAAAAAAGATGAATCGCCAGCGCGCCTGATGAGTTTTCTTTTGAACACACCAACCACTTGCAAACCAACCATGGTCCGAGACGCAATGCACCTCATCGTCCTTCTATGCTTCGTCTCTTTGGCGACTGCGGCCCGAACACCAAATCTTCGTAAGAAAAAAAATATAACTTTTCCTAATATTTTTATTTTTTAATTAATTAGTTTATGGAAAATTTTGAATTTTTCTGTGAATTTTTCCAGCCTCGTCTTTTCCTCGCTGCAAAGTAGGCATCCCTAAGGAGGAATACAGCGAGTGCCTGAACGCGGCGGTGCAGAAGGCCTTCCACATCATCTCAACCAAAGGTAAAATGACGCGGGTGTTCCGCTTGTGGCCGCCGAAAGGAAGCTTGGCAGGAAACGTTAATATTTATGGGAGTAAAAATTTGCACCGCGCCAAGCAGACTACATAAAAATTTAGGGCCCAAGGTTGCATCGATTTGGCACTAATTTTTGAGGAAGCGTTTTTTGTTAGGTCATGCTTATACATAACGATCTAGCCACGGCAACACAATAATTAAAGGAAGATCAGTGGGATTGTTTTTTCCAACGCCGTAGAATTAGTTATAAAAAAAAATTAATGGTAAAAAATATGTTGTTCAGAGCAAAAAAAAAAACATTTCAAGGTTGAAAAGGTTTTTAATAACTTGTAACGAAATAATTTCAGAACTTTCAGAAAAAATTTAGCTTGTATTCAAAATAATGTTGATTTATTTAACTTAAATAGTAAATAAATTGAAAAAATGAGCTATAAGAATTAATAATTTGTATTATCAAGGAATTTGCTCATAGAAAAGCATCTGTTTCTCAAACATGACAAACATCAATGAAATAGTTTTTGAGGAAGTCCTTTTTTTCATTGACACACACGTGCCTCTTTTCTCAATGAAAATTAAGAGGTCGTTAATTCAATCGGCTATGCATATGTGTTTTTGAATGGCAGGCATCCCCAGTCTAGGCGTGTTCCCAGCAGACCCGCTGCAGGTGTCAGAGATCGGGATCGCCGAAGGTGGACGCGCCGTGCGGTTGCAACTGACCCTCAGCAAGGCCAGACTGCAAGGTTTCAATAGCACGAGGCTGCTTAGCAGCAGGTGAGGGCACACGCAAGCTTTGTGCGGCATTGAAAATTAAGAGTTTTGTTCCTTTTAATTTTGATATTAACCGCAAATCGGTTTGGCAGCAACGACATCGCCGACGGAGGTTCAACTTTGAGGGCTGAGATTCTAGTTCCGCGCCTCGAGATCATCTCCTTGTACGAAATCAAGGGACAAATACTACTGCTGCCCATCAGTGGCAAAGGCGACAGCAGCATCACTCTCGGTACAAAAAAAAAATAAATAAATAAATCAACACTAAGAAATGAAATTTTCGAAAATAGAGAAAACGCAAAAAAAAATCAATAATTGTAACATTTTTTTAATAATATAAAATTTTAATATTTCAGGAAATTTAAACGTAGTAATAAAAATTGAAAACGACATTGAAGAACGAAATGGAGAAGAGTATTTCAATGTTCGGAAGTTCAAAATCATCCTAAAGCCAGAAACGATTAGCATGAACTTTGAGAATTTGTTCAACGGAGATCCTGTTTTGGGTAAAATTCTAAAAATTCTTTTAATATTAATTATAGTAAAACAATCTTCACAGGAACTCATATGAATAGATTCATGAACGATAACTCGGTGGAAATTTTCGGCGAGCTGAGAAACTCCATCCAGGATGCATTTTCCGAGATCTTCTTGCAACTCACCAAACGTATTTTCGATCAAGTACCTTACAAGAAAGTTTTCCTCCACTAATATCCGCATTTATATTGATTAAAAGTAGAATAAAAATTATTGCATTTTATTTTTAAGATCACACAGCCATTTATTGAAATTAACATTGAACTTTAAAACACCAACGAGTATTTTAGCAATTTTATATCATAGGGTATGGAGTTATTTATTAAGTGTTTTACTTTTTACAATGTGAAGTTTTGCCGCAGGCGCAAAAGGGAAGCGGCAAAAGCTACGCGGCGAGATTTTTACTAGCACAAAAAAGTGATCTGCTGAGCCACAGTTAAGCTAAAATTAATAGAAAGGGAATCACAAGTTTTGCTCAGTTACCTCGCATAGAGTTTCTAATAATATAGTTTTCCAATGTATGGCGCCAAAAAAAATGAATAATGATTGCTGGGTCTACGCGTTAAAAGTATTTTTTTCCACTCTATCAAAATCAAAACGTTGAATAATTTAATTGCAGTTTGCCGAAAAATAATCAAGCGAGAATCTGCATCTGCAATACCATCATTGTAGAACCAAATTCACAGAATTCAAATTCACATTTTTCACAATACGATTCGGCAGTCAATGCTATTTGGCTAATTAGAGCAATACGTCTAAATTTATTCCATTTGTGGTTGATTAATTTCTAGTCGTAGAGAGAGAAAGAAGAGGTACAGTTTAGTTCGGTTGCACGTCTACATGATTTGACAACACTACTTTTTGCATTTCTACCTGTTAAATTGTGACTGGTTTTAGTATTATGTCCTATTCTACCGCCTAGATTTTAATTTTAGGATAGTTAATTTTGATTTAAAGCAGGTGCACTACTAATTCTGAATCGTTTCCTACACAGTTTTATGATAATCATGTTGGACACTCAAATGAACGCGCCACTGAGAAAAAAAAATACTTTCGTCAAATCACACACCAGTTCTTGCAAATGCGGTCTCACCTTGACCAAATTTTACGACATTTACGTGAACAGTCAAGCTGAAAAATAAATTTTATTTGTTCTGGTTAGAGGCATTTCCCCCCACACATTACTAAAATATGTCTGACAGGAAGGAAATTGAAAATAGAATGCTATAAGAATGCGACTGAAACTTTTCTTATTTAACCGAGCAAGGAAAAATCGCTATTAATCTTGACTTCACCCCAGCCTCGTGAATGTCATATTAATTTTTTTAAATTAAGACAGGGTGAGACGTAAAAACTTTCAAATCGACACATTTAAAATTACACGTTATCAAAGGAGGTTTCCATGCCAACGATAATAAGTTTAAAGCTGCGTAGAAAGAGCCTCACTGATTGCTTTAGAAGTCGTTGTGGCGGCAAATAAGTTTTTAGTAAGATAAATAGGCCTAGCTAAGTTGCATTCGTTGTTGCTCACATTAAGTTACTAAGTTAATTAAGTGTCCTACTTCTTGGCTGAGCTCTGTCCGCGCGGTTTGATGGTCTCCGAGATCTGCCACATAGCCTCTTCGCACAAGAAGTCGTCAAAGTTGTTGAACAACGCCAGGATTCGCTCCTGTTTCTTAAAATGGTACTGGCTGGAGAGAAAAATTTAATTATAGGAAGGAAATACTTTTTCCAATCAAGCTCACCATTTCTTAAACTTCTTCATGTTCTCAACAATGTTGAATTGCTGCCATCGCTTTGAGAAGTTAATACTACCATCTGGTAAGCTATTGCTGTTGCCAATGTTGACAAAAGTTAAGTCTTGCAGGACAAGGCCGCTGCAAAAGTAAATTTAGCAAATATAAAAAAAAATGCCCTATGAAATAATATTTTACATATATGGGATGCATGGAGGATGCGTATCAGCCAGCGCTTGCCGGTAGGCTCTGAATGATGAGGACGAGTCGATGAGGGCACAGTATTCTTTGAGGCCTTCAGTAATTTGACGGTGCCATTCTAAACGCCTGATAGGTGCCGAGTCTAACGCCGAAAGAAGCGCCAAATAAGAGTTAAAATTGTTGACCTTGCGTAGGTGTCGCATGACCTTGATGAATTTGACTACGTAGCGCTCTCGGTCCTTAGCATCCTTCTGCTCCAAAATGCGAGACCTTGCCCTATTTTCAACACAATTATTGTAAATGATTTAATTTTAATTTAAATATTTACCAATATGACATTTTGTTGAAATGCTCAGTGAATTCAGTAAGATTAGGACTGCGTTCCTCACTTTGCTCCTGTGCCCACAACAGAACTTCTGGGATCTCAATTTTCATGAAAAGTTCAGCATCAAGGAGAGTCATCTGTTCCGCAAGCTGATCCGATTTAAAGTCCAGCAACGTACATTGTCTAGGAGAATTATCATAATTAGACCAAATTTCTGTAAGCATAAAACTACAAATATTATATGCACCTTGATTGCATGCTAATTGTAGAGTGATATGGATTTGGGGTGGTATTGCAGAACCGCTTTGCATCACACTTTTCCAGAACCTTGCCCCTGAGGGCCCTGGCAATATTTAAGTCTCCACTCTCCACCAAAGTGAATATCAAGTCATTCAGAATCTTCAGCAGATCAGTCTCTAAATCTTTAATCCTAAAACATTATTTAAAGACTACCATTATATTCAAGTTTAAAAATTTATGAAATGAACTTACGTGAGATCACTAACAACCCTGACAAGTAACGAAAACGAATTTCTAGCTGCTCGTTGCCTAGCGCTGTCATTGACTGGTTGAGCAAACCTGCGGTACCGCCGCTGTAGTTTCATGATGAGCTCCAGTGGTGACATAAACGTGCGATATGTTGTGAGAAATGCCTCTTGATACAAAAAGTCTGCAAAGACAATTAATCCTTCAATAGCATAATCATACATTTACCGTTGACATAAAATGCATAGAATTAAATTTTATAAATGATTACACCAATCATACCTGTTTTGTCCTCATCTTTAGCAGCAAATTGAGAAATTTTATTAAAAAAAAAACCTGCAATTATTATTCAATTAATTCAACTCACCATTTTTGTTAGCCTTTGTGGCGTGGACAATGAGAGCATCAAGGTGGCCACCACGAATGTCAGGTCCCTCCTCCTCAGGCTTTTTAAACACCAGCCACTGCGAAACGTCCACTTCATCCAGCGGCCCTTCCTCCTCATCCACCTCAGTGGTGACAGCGTCACTAATCATGCTATTCACTCGGCCAGAATCAGCCAAAGGAGTCAAGTCGGGGGAGGCAGTTTGCACTGCTGTCGTCGGTGCTGGCAAAGGAGCAATGGAGGTTGGCCTTGGCGGTGGAGGCGGAAGCTCCCTAATAGGACAAAAATTTATAACTACAATAACAGAAACAATTTAAAAATTCACCGTCCAAAATCATAAATTGGTGGTTCTTTGGTATTTGAGTTCTGCACAACGGGAGGTGGGGGAGGAGACATGATGGGCGTCGGAGTGACTGGGGTGACGGGAGAAGGTGGCGCAGGAACAGTCAGAGACGAAAGGGTGAATGAGTTGTTTTGTGGTGGAGGTGAAATCGAATGACGGTTGTTGCGAAGTTTTGGTGGTAGCGCAGGCGGCGAGCCGCCTGGTGAAGTATCTGCTAAGTTTGGTTGGTTGTCGGAACGCTCAAGGGGCGCCCAGTGGGTAACTGAGTATGAGCTTGAGCTGGAGAAGAGGCATGAGTGTGTCGAGGACATGGACATCTCGGCCTGGTTGCGGGCCCACTCTGCCTGCAGAGCCGAGTACGTGTGCATTGAATGTCGCAGACTGATGCTCTCGGACCACGCCGTGCTTGGTGACGAGTACTTGCCAAACATCTCCATATAGGCCTTAACTGTAATAAAAGAAACAATAAGTAAAAATAACTAATAATGATCCAAGTCAAAAGAGGGATTAAGCACTTAATTGTTTTAAGAAAAATCCAGGAACTATTTACATCAGGTATAAATATAAAACTCAAAAGCGTGTGTGATTAATCAAGATCAGGTTCAGGGCGATTAATTTAAGGGGAAAACAGCAATTCTTGGCGTCACACGGCTCACTCTTTCAATCAACTCAAACCTACAAAAATTTTCTTCTGAACTTTCTGGGTCACTCTCGTCAAAATTGGGGAGCAGGACCGACATGTACGAGTGTACATTTCGGTGGACTGAAATTTAATTCCATGTTCATTTGATTTTTTGTTTATAATTATAGGTGCGATGAATCAATACTCACTATGCCTCATTTTAGGTGGCAATGGTGGCGGCATCCCGTCCGACGGACTGACGTTTGAGTTGCTCATAAGCATTTGGTTCAGGTTGGTCATGGTGCTACCAACGTTGTCATACTGTGAAGGTAGGCGAGGTGCGCGCATTCTGGTTTTCTGAGGTAAGGCTGGTGGCGAACCAGCACCAAAACTCACATAGTCGGACGTTGAGCTGGAACTCAGCTCCGAGGTCACCACAGTGCGTTTTGATGTTGACACAGAATGACTGGCAAAACTGGTCGTGTCACTGCTGTATGAAATACTGGTTGAGCTACAGCTCTGCTGGGACACGTAACTTGAACTGAAAAAATAAATTCAAAGTTTAAGACATGATCAAGAAAGCCATTCGGGAGAGTCAAATTAAAAATTTTAAATAATTTAGTCTTCAAATTTTTTAAACTTTTGCTCACCTTGATGATGTAACACTGTTCTTAAAGTCAGGGACATCATCATTGTAATTTAGTAAAACGCGACTGACATGCCCATTGGTGGTTGCAGTCAAAGAGATAGGTGGAGGTTCACGCAAGTCGTTTGAATTGAAGAAACTTGGACTATCAACACTCTGAAGAATAATATTTTTTACCACTTTGATTATATTTTTGACAAAGAAAACTCACTGCACGTCTAGAGGACGAATTTCCCCAAAAATTAGGTGATATATTTCCATTTGAACGGATGTAAAGAGAATCGTCATCGTAATCGTCCAAAATTTGCAAATGGTTGTTGACTGAGTCCATGCTGCCAGCGTTTGAAGCACTCAGCAGTGATGAGGAGTCCTCGCCGTTTCCTCCTGAGGAACGTCCTTGATCTTGGTGAGCGTTGCAAATAAAAAAATTTAAATGAGCTTACCAGCAGAATGGGCAGGGGAGATGCTCAGTCTCTCGGCACTAGAGACCAGCTCCAGTGACCCTGATGGTGGGGCAGGGGTGCAAGGGGGACTTAGGGAGTGGGTTGACGCTGCCGAATGAGCTGCGTTGGCTGATCTGTTTCGTCTCTTTGGGGGTAGCGGAGGTGCTGTCGAACGAGAACGACCACTGGTCAGATGTGTTGGAGACTCACCATTATTTCTGAAAATATATTTTTTTTAATAGCAACAAATTCAGGGTGCTTAAATATATCTTATTTTAATTCCAAAAAATTACCTATGTGGCAGAGGAGGTTTTGGGGGTGGCGCTTCATGGCCTTCTAGAATGGACTCTGAGGACATGGAGTGTCCAAGGATTTTTGACGATGAATTTGGTTGACGGTGTGGGGTCTGGGCCAAGATCTGCCTTTCCCTTGGGGTAAGAGGGATGTCGGGCAGTGACGCTCGGCCATTTGCCTCCATATGAAGTTTTCCATTTTTGTAGGCCGCATTATTGTTGCTCTTGATGGCCACCTTTGAGTGCGCCAAGTCAATGAGTGATTGCACCGCTTCTTGCACACTTTGCACCAACTGGTTGATGTTTTCACGGCCCAGGGCCTGGCTGCCATATAGCACAACATCATCGCAAAGCCGAATTAGACGAGCTAGACACTGGTGTAGGTGCGACGTTGCTGACATGAGAGCAGAACTGGAAAAATAATAGAATAAAAATCAACAAACTGGTTTAAAAATACTATGTCTGGTGCAAGTAGTGAAATATATTAGCTCTTTGTAGAATAAGAGCTATTGAAGGATGGGTAAAGATAATCTTCAATAATTTTTTTATAATTTAAATAATATCATCTTGTGGTTGGTGAAAAAAAAACACAAATTGACTATACAAAAAAAGCTCAGGAGCAATTCAATTGACAATTTGTTTGTTTCCCACACAACCACCAACCAAATTACCTCTGCTCGCCAATAAAGTAATTTCTCAGGTTAGAAACAATATTGGTGACTATCTCAAGGACAATGGTGCCATTGCCCGGCAGCATTTCCAGTTTGTTCTTGCTGACAACGTCTCTTAGGTGCTTGAGGGCCAAGTGCACCTGCCAAAGAATAAATTCGGCGTGATTAGCATTCGTATAAATGGTTGCTGCTTTTTGTCAGTGCAACCTGCTTGACGAGTTGGTCGAGTTCGCGCAGCGGATTGGCCGGCTGCTCGTTCTCGAGGTCTGTGGTGCCGTTGGTCTGCTTGGACATTTTGGGCGAGTGCGGAGACTGCGAGCGCGGGTTCGACCGGATGTTGGACAGCTTGTCCAAGAAGTCCTCCTTGAAGGAACGTGCTCTGCGGGCGAGTTTGCCTCCGCTGCGGTTCCCTTTGCCCGCGGGAGTCTTGCTCGGCGGAGGCGCCGCAGGACCACCCGCCGGATCAACGTCTGCAGACATAAGAATTCGCTAATTAGAAAAAAATTGAAAATGAATGGAAGTAGGGTGAGACATTTGGGGAGGAACGTGGGGAGGAAGACCATCTTTAACATCGTGCTTTTCACTGCCGTCAGGCGTGTTCAAGTGGCGAAGAGTGATGCGCCCGAGTACGGTATGGTAATGAAATCATCTCGCCGACGCCTCGCGCGCGTTCTGTTTCCAAGCAGATGTAATTCTGTCCGAGCAACTGAATCGCCGGCACTGTGTTTTGAAATTGAATCGTGACCTCACGTCAAGGCAAATAATATTAATCGCCGTTGAAGGCTTGAACGGAAATGTGCAAAATTTTCGTACAAGCAATAATTTGTTTTTCTCGTTTTCTTTTATCTTTTAAGTGTTAATTTCGGTGATAAAATGACGACGGAGGACTTTTATCTCCGTGCTCGACACAAAAACTGATAAAAGATAAATCTACTTATCGCGGAAAAAGTGTAAATAACGTTTTACTCACTGGGAAATACGCGACCTGAAGATCATTCTTGCAAAAGACAGGGACACACATACACACAGGGCGTGCGATTCAAGGAAGCGGCGTGACTGCGACTGACACGGAGCAACAGACCCACAAGATTTACTCACTTAGTTAGTCACCAGATCACGTGGGCCGCCGCAGAACAACTGGTGGGCGATTGACTGAATAAAATTATTTACTCGACGCACTCGCAAAAATTGCCAATAAAAAAACTTGAGGCGGAAACTCGAACAGAAAATACACCTCTGCCTTTACTTATCGCCAATAAAAATTGGGAAAATATCATATTCTTGTTTCGTTTCTGCGAATCAATCGCGTTTTAACGAGAGGCTGGCAAATATGCATATTTAGCCTCAAGAGTGACGTCAGAGGCAACGTCGAGTGTCCTGCCTTGATAATAAACAACAACACAAAACCCACCTCTAAACTTTTGCAATACGAGCGATTTAGGACTGCAACAAAAAGGATCGCGCCGAGCCGAAACGTGAATTGGACACGTGCTACTCTAATTGAATATTCTCTCAAATTATTAGCGCGCACAAAAAAAAACTAGCTACACTTTGCACGCCAAACTAGAAACAAGGAACTTTTACATTTTTTACTCAAGATCTGTGTGGCTGCCTCTATTTGTTGGTAACACCCATTAATATTACAGGCTTATTATATTAATACATACTTAGATGAACAACCTTTAAGAAAACGTGTTTTTTATTCGAAGTTGATGTAACCACTAATGACGTCACTGATTCAAATAAATATTTGAACAATCTCATTATTAAATGAACTTCAATCAATAATAATGATAATAAAAAAAAATTTTCAAGATCAACGTAATAATAAACTTCGTATTTAAAATTTAAATATTACCTGCGATTTAAAAATTTCTTCAAAAGTAGATTTTAACCCAGGGAATTTATGTCCATACAAGAATTTTGAAAATATGTCTAACAGATGAAGAAATTAACTAGATACTGTTTTACTGTTATCAAACAAGAACTTCAAAATTTTTCATCAGATGTATCAATTTCAACCAGAGACTATTGCCCGAAACAGAATTTTGAATATATATGAGCAGACCGACAAGTTAACCCAGAGACGGTCCGCACCTGAATTTTGAAAATATTTATGCAGACCTACAAGTTCACCCAAAGACTTTTGTCCGCACCTGAATTTTGAACATTTTTATGAAGACCTACAAGTTCACCCAGAGACTTTTGTCCGCACCTGAATTTTGAAAATTTTTATGCAGACCTACAATTTCACCCAGAGAGCTTTGTCCGATACCTGAATTGTGAAAATTTGTATGCAGACCTACAATTTCACTCAGAGACTTTTGTCCGATACCTGAATTGTGAAAATTTTATGCAGACCTACAATTTCACCCAGAGAGCTTTGTCCGATACCTGAATTGTGAAAATTTTTATGCAGACCTACAATTTCACCCAGAGACTTTTGTCCGATACCTGAATTGTGAAAATTTGTATGCAGACCTACAATTTCACCCAGAGAGCTTTGTCCGATACCTGAATTGTGAAAATTTGTATGCAGACCTACAATTTCACCCAGAGACTTGTCCGATACCTGAATTGTGAAAATTTTTATGCAGACCTACAATTTCACCCAGAGAGCTTTGTCCGATACCTGAATTGTGAACATTTTTATGCAGACCTACAATTTCACCCAGAGACTTTTGTCCGATACCTGAATTGTGAAAATTTTTATGCAGACCTACAATTTCACCCAGAGAGCTTTGTCCGATACCTGAATTGTGAAAATTTGTATGCAGACCTACAATTTCACCCAGAGACTTTTGTCCGATACCTGAATTGTGAAAATTTTTATGCAGACCTACAATTTCACCCAGAGAGCTTTGTCCGATACCTGAATTGTGAAAATTTGTATGCAGACCTACAATTTCACCCAGAGACTTTTGTCCGATACCTGAATTGTGAAAATTTTTATGCAGACCTACAATTTCACCCAGAGAGCTTTGTCCGATACCTGAATTGTGAAAATTTGTATGCAGACCTACAATTTCACCCAGAGACTTTTGTCCGATACCTGAATTGTGAAAATTTTTATGCAGACCTACAATTTCACCCAGATAGCTTTGTCCGATACCTGAATTGTGAAAATTTGTATGCAGACCTACAATTTCACCCAGAGACTTTTGTCCGATACCTGAATTGTGAAAATTTTTATTCAGACCTACAATTTCACCCAGAGACTTTTGTCCGATACCTGAATTGTGAAAATTTGTATGCAGACCTACAATTTCACTCAGAGACTTTTGTCCGATACCTGAATTGTGAAAATTTGTATGCAGACCTACAATTTCACCCAGAGAGCTTTGTCCGATACCTGAATTGTGAAAATTTTTATGCAGACCTACAATTTCACCCAGAGACTTTTGTCCGATACCTGAATTGTGAAAATTTTTATGCAGACCTACAATTTCACCCAGAAAGCTTTGTCCGATACCTGAATTGTGAAAATTTTTATGCAGACCTACAATTTCACCCAGAAAGCTTTGTCCGATACCTGAATTGTGAAAATTTGTATGCAGACCTACAATTTCACCCAGATAGCTTTGTCCGATACCTGAATTGTGAAAATTTGTATGCAGACCTACAATTTCACCCAGAGACTTTTGTCCGATACCTGAATTGTGAAAATTTTTATGCAGACCTACAATTTCACCCAGAAAGCTTTGTCCGATACCTGAATTGTGAAAATTTTTATTCAGACCTACAATTTCACCCAGAGAGCTTTGTCCGATACCTGAATTGTGAAAATTTTTATGCAGACCTACAATTTCACCCAGAGAGCTTTGTCCGATACCTGAATTGTGAAAATTTTTATGCAGACCTACAATTTCACCCAGAGAGCTTTGTCCGATACCTGAATTGTGAAAATTTTTATGCAGACCTACAATTTCACCCAGAGAGCTTTGTCCGATACCTGAATTGTGAAAATTTTTATGCAGACCTACAATTTCACCCAGAGAGCTTTGTCCGATACCTGAATTGTGAAAATTTATATGCAGACCTACAATTTCACCCAGAGACTTTTGTCCGATACCTGAATTGTGAAAATTTGTATGCAGACCTACAATTTCACCCAAAGACTTTTGTCCGATACCTGAATTGTGAAAATTTGCATGCAGACCTACAATTTCACCCAGAGACTTTTGTCCGATACCTTAAGTGTGAAAATTTTTATGCAGACCTACAATTTCACCCAGAGAGCTTTGTCCGATACCTGAATTGTGAAAATTTTTATGCAGACCTACAATTTCACCCAGAGACTTTTGTCCGATACCTGAATTGTGAAAATTTGTATGCAGACCTACAATTTCACCCAGAGACTTTTGTCCGATACCTGAATTGTGAAAATTTATATGCAGACCTACAATTTCACCCAGAGACTTTTGTCCGATACCTGAATTTTGAAAATTTTTATGCAGATATACAAGTTCACCGAGAGACGTTTGTCCTAACCTGAATTTTGACATTTTTAGCGCAGACGTAGAAATGCATATTTTGGGAAACGCAAGATAAAACAAACACCACTTTGTCAAACTCTTACGCTCTTAGTATAATTCTACAAGAGAAACCTCGATTCCAAAAATATCGCTTGAGTTCCATTTGAGCATAAGGGTTGAGGAAAGTGTTATTTTAGTTTTTCACCAGCATGCTGATATGTGCCTAAGTGCCTATTTGCAAAAGATTAGGTGATGTTTTTGGAACAATTGTTATTGAAAAGCTAAAACAGATCAGCGTTTATTGAGAAACTATTTTTCGCAACCGCAAAAGAGAAGTGCATTCCTCTCTCCGTCGCACACAATCAACAAAATGAGAGACGTGCCGGCTACAGACAATAATCTCCAATGACCGAAATTCCCTGCTTCTGCATCCTTTTAAATTAAACTTAATTGCTGATGTCACTTGATTGAATCTGTTTTCTGCGTATTTGTTTATAAATAGTAAAAGTTACGTCAGTCGCTTGTTCGGCGGAAAGATAAGCGTAAAAGGACAGAAATATCAGAAGAAGCGTGACCTCACATGTATATCAGTCCGTCATAATTATGTATGTACGCCTAAAATTATGCAACCACGGTCTTTATTTAGAACAGCTAATGGCCCATTGTTTCATCAGCAGTTTATGTTTATTTCTTCTCCTCTGACAGAGATCCACGAGGGCGCCGACAACGAGAGATTATTCGATTCAATAACAAAGTTTAAAGATAAATCACTTTGCTTGCTGCGGTTAATGAACGTCTCGCGATGGACATCGTCATCAACAAAAGTGACGCCTCTTTATAAATAAAAATATGACATGAGAGGGTTGCCTTGTCGTCCTAATGAATATTAATTGCGCCCCAAGTCATATGGCAGCTGGCGTTTGGATTAATTAATCGGCAGCGGAAAAACCCCCAATCATTAAGTAAGATAACTTTTGGCCCGGGAAAATGGCATTTGTTGCTGTTTCATCAAATGCAAAATGGGTTTGACTGATTCCATGAAAGGGCAGTTGACTAGATTAGGATTAGATTATTTTGTTGATTTATGAAAGGTAAATGTTGTTGTAATTATATAATATTTAAAGAATTTAAATAAACAAATTGTTTAAACATCAAACGCATTATTTAAGACACGAAAACATTCATATTACATTTTAATGATCTAATTATGATATAATTTTACAAAAATAATTGTGCAAAATAAAATAAATAAAATAAGTGTTAATAAGAATATAACATATATATATATATATATATATATATATATATATATATATATATATATATATATATATATATATATATATGTTATATTCTTATTAACACTTATTTTATTATATATATATATATATATATATATATATATATATATATATATATATATATATATATATATATATATATATATATATATATATATATATATATATATATATATATATATATATATATATATATATATATATATATATATATATATATATATATATATATATATATATATATATATATATATATATATATATATATATATATATATATATATATATATATATATATATATATATATATATATATATATATATATATATATATATATATATATATATATATATATATAAAATCAATAAAAAGTGTTTTAATTCAATTTAAAAAAAAATACCAAAATAATAGGACTTTTTTGAACAAAAATTAAATTTAACAGGAATGTTATAATTATACAATCAATGGAACTATGAATTAAAAAAAAAACTAAAACTTGATTAAAATGCAAATTTATTTTTACCGAAGGTTTCTTTCTTGTTAGAAACAACTTAAAAAGAACATGGGGCAAAAAAATTTGTGTTATAAAATGATGAATGAAAAATAATACCAGTTTAATCTGTGAGGCTGACTCTAATGCTTCGCCCACGTTGTAAAAGAGGTAAGGACACTCGGATTGAAAAATCTAGCTCACTATAGTGGAGGCGACTGCTCCTCTCCGACTTCTCCACCAAACTGACTGTTATCCTGGTATGTTAAATAAAGTGGCTGCTGCTCAGAGCCCAACTTCATTCCATTCCTTATACGCTCCTCGCGCTAATTGTGCGCGCGCTGTTGACAAACATCTTGTCCCTTTCGTTACTTTTGTCGCAAAGCAGCGGCAACAAAAAAAAGCTTTGTGTGAGCGTGAAATTGGCCGGCAAAGAGTCTAGCGCGGAAATTTGGTTTCAAGTTCTATTTGAAATTGAACACCGTAGTATTATTTTATGCAACACCCCACACACGCAAAAGTCAGTCGTGCAGGTTCCACTGCTTTGCATTTTAGAGCTTTTAGCAGCTCACCGCCTGACGAGAGAGGAATTATGAAGTGTTTGTTTGCGCAGCGCCATATAGGCCTATCTACAAAAATAAAAAAAACGCAAGAGATAAGATAAGGTGTAATTAAATCAGCTCCGTGAAAAATTTTTGACGAGACCAAACTGAGCTTAACCAAGCTTAATATTATTTGGTATAATTTGTTTAAACATTGTCAAAATAATTTAATCATTTCAAAATATTTCCACATTAAAAGCATTTTGAATGTCCCTGTTTGATAAACACAATATGTGTTTAATTGATAATGCAAACTGCTTCGCACTATATTGAGTGATTGTAGGTCGTAAAATAATTTAAATTTTTATTTATCAAAAAGCTCATGTATGGGAAAGCTCACCATAATCCTTTGAGAGAAGTGAGTACCACGTTATCAAGATTGCGCCGGGTACTGAAGGCAGTACCTTCTTCACCTTTTGAGGGCAGAACGAGCGCAGGTGGATTTCGGAGGCGGCAAGTGATGATTCATCAAACTGGGGCATTTTAAGAGGAAGCACAAAATTTATAGTGTTTTGATTTTGCCAAAATAAGGAAAACCAAAGAAGATGTCAGTGAAAAAAAATCAAAACTGTTTGCCAGTGGTTTTTGGAAAGACGCATGAAACACCAAGACCACATCCTAAGCGGACCAAGCCACAGACTCGAATGAATGGTCAGTGTGAGGGTTGCGGTGGTGCAGCCGAGAACGCTTGGCCAGTGTCCGACGGGGCTATTTTAAGACACGGCTCTTTTTATCCTCACGTTTGGTTGACAATCGGACAGACAGACGAGGAAAACGCGACGCTAAGGAGGGATTCCCCTCGCAAACCGGGAATCAGAGACGCCAAACGGTCCATTTGTCAAGAGAGATAAAAACGAGAGAAAAGTGTCAATAAAGTCTGACATCAGTTTCCGCTGATTTTTCTATGACGCCTAAAAAAAGTATGAGATTCTTATTCTTGGCGGTAAAATCTACATAACGAATGAAGAAAAAATAAATAAAACTTATATGACTATACGCGGTTAGAATTAATTAATAAATTCTTTAAGGCAGGCCTATAGATAACGGACTCTTAAATCAACATAAATAGAAAAAAATATTGTTAATTTTATCATTTTTAATTCGCGTTTTTCTGGATATAGTATTGTTATTGTGATAGTAGCTCCTTAATTTATTTTTATTCAAATAAAGAAACGACGCAGTTATGATTGATTTGCAAAAACATAGCAAATTAAATTAAATAAACCAAAAGTTAAATTTTCTTAAATATTTCCAATTTGTGTATATTTAAAAGCCTACCTTGAGCAGTTGGGAGTTACAACGAAAATATTGAATGAGAACGATTGCAAATTATTTTGGGCGAAATCACTCAAGGAGAGATTTTTTAATAATTGTTGTGCTAACTTTCTCATCTCCGCTGGCGACCGCGAGTGAGCAATTTGATGAAAGTGTTTCACATTCAGTTTAAGTGAAAAAAAATTCTTGCAGCCTGAACGCTTCAATTTTCAACTGCATGAAGCGACCTTACTGAGCTTACGTGGAGCGCCAAGAATCTTAAATTTCCTAATCAGGATAAAGGAAAAACGCACACAACAGTACAGAGTGAGTGAGCTTATTCATATAGCACAAGGTTTTATGCTTGATCGATCATTAGAATTTCCAAAAGGTCAATGGTCATGGAGGTCATCTGGGAAGGAGGAAAGGTCGCGACTGTCGGGCCGAAGCTTTATTGCGTCGGCCGGTGTGGTGTGTTGTGGGCCGATTGGGGTGGACACTAGGGGCAGCACAACTCACCTGGAGGGCAGATTTCCATTGCACTGGTTTTTCAGCGACTCGACAGCTGCATGTTTATCGGCCGCCGACTCGTCTCAGTCGACACCCAGGCTGCTCGGCCGACGACTCCTTCTTCGGCGGCCGAAACGCGGCTGCATTATTTTGCGATCCGCTCGCCCTGCTCCACTCCAACCAGCGAGACGAGATCCACCCAAAACAGACCCCCTGACATCTAGGCAATACCGCGCGAAACTCGCGGCCCACTTCGCCCCAGGGTGTGCGACGAGAGAAAGAGCTGCTGGAGCAGCGAGAGATGCTGCGCGCGATCAGCATCTCCATCTCTCGCTCGCCACCGCCAATGCATATTCCCAATATGTATAATTCAATTGGTTATATTTTTATAGATAGGTTGTATTTTAATTTAGGGGTTACTTTTGTTTAAAACAAAAGAATGCAGGTGTCGGAATCTATAATTAATCATTATTGTTGTCGCATTTTGCATGTAATTTGAACTTAATTAAGTGAAATTTCAATAAAATTCTTTCTTGCAAATTTCCAATATTTTTTGATCGTTGATTTCATCAAATCTTTTATTAATTTCAGAGGATCAAGAGCGATAAAATAAATTCGTCAAAAAGTGCCAAAGTTTAGCGCCCTAACCAAAATTTCGACATTCAAATCTAAAGAATCGCATAAATATTTATCAACAATTTATTTTCATTTCTCAACTTTAAAGAGGCAAAAAACGAATAAATTTATTTTAAATTTAAATATATGGATTAAAAAATGTTAAGTAAAAATTATCCTTAAAAATAAAATATTATGTGAATTTCGTTTTACTTAAAATTAGCCAATTTTTTTTGCATACAAAATCTTTCTTATATTTAAAAGGAGGAAATTTAATGTTGTGATGCAGTGTTAAGATAAAAGCCCACGCGACAGTATTTTTTTCTTGATTAAACTTCACGCGATAAAAAGCAGCCCCGTTATTCGAGACATCTATCGAACGGTCCGAACACTGCAAGAGCGAGCGCTCAGCTGACTGTTTTTTACGCTGTTCACGCGACTGCACTGTGAAGTTGTGGGTGCAGCTTCGATTATTGCATCTTGGCAAGACGCAGCGCACGTAAGTGTATAGGTGCACTTTTAGTACATCACGTCTCGCGTGCAAAACGGAGCATAGTGCATGTTTCATAAGGTGCAGCTGCACATCGCGATCAATAAATGGAAAGAGTCGCTGGCACTTTAAGACAATAAATAATAGAATAATAGCACCTCTCTTGATTAAACAAAAAAAAATTACATCACAAATATATCTAGCAACTCATTGTTGGAAGTAATTCTTTTATAAATATTAAGGACTCCTTATTGACAAAGTCAAATCAAGTCTTTTCAACAATATAAGCTATTTTGGGCAATTATTGGAAATTTATCAAACCATTGTTGTAAAGACTTGATTTGACTATGTCAATAAGGAGTACTTAATCAAATCAAAGTTTTAATTTTTAAATTTCAAATAAATTATTAAATACGGATTTAAAAAATATTTTATATGACCATTTGACTGAGAGGAATACAAAATAATAGTTTAAAATACACTATTTATGATGGTATTTTTTTTCACCATGCTATCACAACAAGCATTTTAACTCTGCTATATTGTTATCCACACTAATTTTACGCAAATACTAGTATTAGTATTAGCTAATACTTAAGTTTACTACAGACTGCAAGAATACATTAAATAATATAATGTTGTTATATTCTTCACAAATCAAGTAAAAAAAATAATTATGAATAATGAGAAAGTCAAATAATTTTTTTAATCAACTTTGACAGAAACTAACACCAGCATTTTATTTAATTTATTATTATTCGTTAAAAATATTTTTACTTTAGTTTTTCATAAATGATTTTAAATTTAATATAATAATGATAATTTTAAAGTATTATTATTTATAATGATTGCATTTAGTCAAATGATGAAATAAAGAAGCTAGAAATTTTTCAATATAATTATTTTTCAATAAGCTTATTAATTAATATTAACTGAAGCTCATTACTTGAGCAATTATATTATACTTGATAAATTGCATAACACAATGCATAATGCAAAACGCGCGTCATTAGTTTGTGCGAGCGGTTGAAAAGAGGTCACCGCGCGCACTTAAATTTTAATTCAGACGGCGCCACATGTAGTAGGTGACTTGTATAATTCTGTTCAATATCCAAATTGAATACACCAATGCAATCGTCCCTTCCCTATTGTCAAGAAACACGTGAAGAGATAAAAAAAAAATGTGTGCGTGTGAATTATGTACAGAAAACAAAAATTGAAATGTGCCCTTGTGGAGAGTTTACTTTGATTTGAATCGTGTGATTCGCGATAAGGGACGTGCAGCTTCTTTTCAACGCGAGACGTTATCGTCCGCTGCACAAAGGAGACGTTTTGTTCGCGGTCGTGTAATAATCCCATACTCGACGGGCGATAACGATTTAATGAGCGTTCTCTGATTTTTATGCCCATCTCGCAGCAGACGACGAAGATGCTCGACCCTGACAGGTGCAGCTGGTGAGAGAGGTGGTTATTTATGCAACTGGTTAAGCAGACACGCTGCTGTAAAACACTGCAATGTCCACCACCACAGAAGATGAGAGTAACAAAAAGGTGTGTCAAAAATTACATAATTACTCTAATTTTATAAATAATTTTCTTTATTTTTCCCCCGCTTATCGTCAATATTTTATTATAAGCAAAATCTTTAAGAATAATTTAAACCGGGCAAACATCGTTGCTAAGCAAAAATGAAAAATATAAATGACAAGACCCTTAAAGATGGCCTGCAGTCTGCTGGAACTTTAAAAACCTAGGGGTTTTGTGTGCAAACTAAAACTAAGTGGGAGGAAAATCATACAAATTTAAAAATAAAATAGGGCGAATTTAATTTGATAAACAAAAACTGCAGAAATTAATTGAGCAACTGAGTCAGTCAATAGCTTTATACTCTGTGACTTTTTTTTCATTGCCCTGGAAATTTCTACAAAAGTCACAGTATGAAGCTATTGACTGACTCAGTTGCTCAATTAATTTCTCCAATTTTCGTTCATTTAATTAAATTCTCCCTAATTTGCTCCTTTTTGTAATTTATTTATATATGTATATATATATATATATATATATATATATATATATATATATATATATATATATATATATATATATATATATATATATTTATATATATAATTTTCCTCCCACTAGTTTGAACACGACAAAACTTGGATTTTAAAGTATCAGAAGGGCAGGTCACCTTCCTTTTGAGGTCAATTGTCCTTTAAGTTTTTTAATTTTTTCTTTACAAGGTTTGGCCGCGGTTTCAATTTTTCATGAAATTCAATTCAAAATTTTTTGTTTGAAATTATTTGTATTTATTTATTCATTTTTGCTTCCAATTTACTCATAATAATTCAATTTGCTTTTGCGCTTATTCGCTTAATAATGAAAAATTTTGTCTAGGGAAAATGGTTGAGTTACCTAGACCAAGTGACGACGGAGCCCGTCATGTTCCTTTACATGTTCGCCTATATGCTAACCTCTGTGGTGGAGCAGCGTTTCTATGTGGACCGCGCGTGCAGGGTTGACCTGAACTTTTCTGATGAAATTTGCTCCAACATTGAGAGTAATTCTACGGAAAAAGTGGTTGTGCAGAAATACGTCGCTGCCTTTGTCCAGGTATACAAATATTTAATTCTAAATTTTGAGTAAATTTTACAATTAAAAAGTGGGTGCATATTAATGAACATAGAAGTTTTGCTCAATATTTCTTTTTTACACCTCATTAAATAATAAAACTAGAAAAAATTAGGTATGCATATAATTCTGCAAAAAAAAAATTAGATTGTCTTTTAAAAGTTAAATTATTAATAGGATTTCAAATTCTTAAGTGTATTAATTATATTTTCAAAGTTTACTTAAATTAATAAAAATTAAAATTATATTGAAATATTTAAATTTAAAGAAATTTAATGAAACTTTACTTCATGATATTTATTTTTATTATATTTTTTCATTGATTCTGGTAAAGTAGAAAAAAAAATAATAACAAAATAAATATTATGAAATGTATTTATATATAATTTTTTTTCAAATAATTTATAATCCAGTCTAAATAATTCCCTGGATATTTATAAATGAGAAAATTCAAATTTAACATGTAAAATTTATTCCGGCAGTACAACAACATCGCGTTTCATGGGGTGCCTCTGGTGCTCGCACTCTTCTTGGGCGCGTGGAGCGACAAGCAAGGTGGCGCTCGAAAAGGTCCAATGTTAGTGGGGCTGCTCGGCAAACTCTTCTTCTCTATAATGTTCGCTGTGAACGCGTGGCAAAGCACGTGGCCTCTTTACACGCTCCTCTGGAGTGCCACCCTTCCGCAGGCAGCCACCGGCGCCGACTTGGCCATCTTCATGGCCGCCTTCAGTTATGTGGCCGACGTGAGTTCGCCCGAACAGAGGACCCTGCGCATCACCATGTTGCAGGCCTCCTACCTGATCACCATCCCGACGGGGGTGGCCGTCGGCAAGGTGTTGTTCAACGCCACCGGCCGCTCAGTGGTCGCCTGCTTTTTGGTCAACGCGGCCCTGGTGGCCCTCGCCCTGATCTACGCGGCCGTCAGACTCAAATGGCGCTCGGCCACCAGGGCGCCGGACGCGGCCAAGGTGGTCGAAAAGCGAAGACCATTCCTGCTCGAGTTTTTCGACAGACACCACTTGGCCGACACAATCCGAACTGTGATGAGGAAGAGGCCTGGGGCGAGACGCGCCTACCTTTGGGGGTTGCTCATAGCCATGGGACTGTACACATTCCATAGAGGTGCGATTTTTTATTGTTATTTTAGCTCAATATACGAAAATTAATTTTTAGATGAAAGTTCCTTGATGTATCTCTACACGCAGCTCAAGTTCAATTTTGACCTGAACCTCTACAGCAACTTCAGGACGTACCAGTCTGGAGTTTACGTTTTAGGTGAGTTAATTCCCGGTGATACATAAGTAAACATTATTTGAAACTAATAAATCAAAATTACTTATTTCCAAAAAATTTACCGTTTCTTTTAAAATTTTGTGCCACAGGCATTCTAGTCGTGTTGCCGCTGATGAGCAAACTATGTGGGGTGCCCGACGCGGTGGCTGTGCTGGTTGGAGCCGCAGCTCACGCAGCGGCCAGAGTCGTTTTTATTCTGGCTGAACAGCCCTATTTGCTCTACGTAGGCGCTACCCTCTCTGCCCTGGGCCCAATCGTGGCACCTGTGATAAAGTCAATGGTGTCTAAAGTCGTGCCACTGAGAGATAGAGGTAAGATTAATGTAACTTTATTTGATCCCTAAATATTTTTGTCTTGAATATTTCAAATCGAATAATATTTTTTTTTTACAAAATTGAATTCTTTACTGGCAGAATAAAAAATAAAAATATAAAATTAAATTTTAGTAATTATTAAATTTCTTAAGCAACCTGTTAATTGGAAGTCACATATTAATTATTTACAAATTTTGACCCTTAAATTTGTGATCGATTGAGGATCATAATTATACATATATATATATATATATATATATATATATATATATATATATATATATATATATATATATATATATATATATATATATATATATATATATATATATATATATATATATATATATATATATATATATATATATATATATATATATATATATATATATATATATATATATATATATATATATATATATATATATATATATATATATATATATATATATATATATATATATATATATATATATATATATATATATATATATATATATATATATATAATATATATATATATATATATTCATTTAATTTATTTACTTCTTTTTTTTAAATAAATTCTCTTTTTAATTCAGAATCCACAATTATTTCTTTTTGTATTGTGTAGAAAACTTAACGTCTTTATTTTTAAGTATCACGACAATTATCAAACATTTAATACCCAAATTTAAGGAAAAGTGATGGCCCTCCTGGCTTCAGCAGACAACGCAGTTCCGCTCTTTTCTGGCGTGGTGTACACGCAGGTCTATAACGCGACCATCACCACCTTTCCGCAGGCATTCTTCCTAGTCACCATCGCGGCTCAATTAATTGTGATGGCAATTCTAGGGTAAATTCGTTTAAATTTCAACTCTGAAGCCGAAATCAATTTGTGCCAACTCGCAGGGCTATTCAGTGCTCGTTGAAGGGCACCAAACTGGATGATGGTGAAACTCCGCCAGCAAATGCGGACCAGCCCTTGCAAAAGAGCCCTTCCAACTCTTCCATTGCCCAAACGTCAAATTGATTGGCGTTTCGGAGGACGAATTCCTCGCTGATATCGCGGTTTTGTCACCCCGAATGCCTAAAACAGGCAGTCAATCAATCAGCCAATTTGACAGCAGCATTTGCCGCAGAATGATATGATGGAGATTTTTACGCATTTTATTGACCCGACGAAAATGACAATAAATATATTTTAGACATTTACCTATCCAGATTTCTTTTATTTATGTGGAAAGAATATGATTAAGCAAGATAAAGAGGATTACTTGATTTCGTTGTCAAATATTTTAATAAAATCTTAAATATATTATTAAGTAAGAGGCAAGCAGAAATCAAGAAAAAAGAAGAAATAAAAATTACTGATGAGTGAGTAAACGAATTGGAATGGCAAAAAGTGAAGTTACAATTATGGTAAAAAAATTATAAATTAAATTGTAATTAACGCGAAGTAATTTAAATATTATTAATTATTTAAGTATAATAATTGAAAAAAAAAACTATATTACATCTCATTCATTAAATTTTGTGAACAAAAGGTAATAAATTTATTGTAGCATGTTAATCCACGAGAAATGCCGAGTCAGTCCGTGCGCCGTGAGGTGCAGTACGTAGAGTTTTATTAATTAGTCGGTTTGAAATAGGTGCGCGACGCTCTCACATTTTGATAAAGTACCTTTCAGCGTGCGCTCACAGTTAATGTAACGCGCGCAGTGCGCAGCGGTTAGCTGGTTCCGTCAATTCTACATTAGGTGAAGGGTAAAGGGGCCGATTGGAATAGCATAGCAAGCAGCAGTTGGTGCCGAGATGTGGCCGAGAACGGCCGCGTTGCTGCTGATTTTGAAGCTTGTGTCACGCTGCCATTGCACCAGGTAACTACGCAAATAGCTTACAAATTTATGCTCAATTTTCCAACTTATTCTTAAAAAAATCATAATTTGCATTTGGCTTCTGAGTATCAAATTATTGAGTGTTTTTTTTTAAAAGCAATGCTCGTCCACAAGTTTTGACGCCACTCGGCCCAATTGAAGGTGTGTGGATGACCTCGGAATTAGGCACCAGTTATGCTGCATTCCTGGGAGTCCCCTTCGCGCAACCACCACTCGGAAAGCTTAGGTTTCAAGTGAGAAGTTCAAAATTTTATTTAAAATTAATTAAAATAAGGAAATGAGTAAATTTTGTGCATTACAAAAAATTTACAATTCAATTTTATCTTCAGTTGGCTCAACCGGTGCAGCCGTGGAAAGGAATATGGGATGCAAGTACAATCGCGCCTCAGTGTCTCACTTGGGATCACCGAATGCACCCAATGGACAACCAGGCCATAAAGGGCTACGAAGACTGTCTCTACCTCAACATATACAGTCCAGTGGTATAGCTTTAATTTTGCGAATTTAATTTTAATTAATTGAGTGACCCAGGTCAAAAAGGAGGACAAAAAAGCGCCGGTGGTTGTTTTCATCCATGCGGGCGCCTTTATGTTTGGAACAAGCAACCAATATGGCGCAAAATTTTTGGCCGATAGAGGAGTTGTTTTAGTCACGATTAACTACCGCGTTGGGCCTTTAGGTAATTTTTGTACCTTTCTTAAGTTCCATAAGTTTTTCTTAGAAAAATTTCATTTCTATACTTTACGCATCAACAGGTTTCTTGAGTTTTGGCGACGACGTTTTGCCTGGCAATAATGGCTTAAAGGATCAGGTCGAAGCCCTGAGATGGGTTAAGAGGCACATAGAGCTATTTGGAGGTGATCCGGACAATGTGACTCTCGTGGGTCTCTCTGCTGGCGGCTCCAGCGTCCACTTCCACTACCTTTCGCCGCTCAGCAGAGGTATGTATGAGAAAAAAATAATGTTACTAGCGCATCACCATTCACACAGTCAACTTAGCGGCTGCTGAAAATAAGAAAGGCCTTTTTTGTTGCAACTTTCACTTGCTTAAAATTATAGAATAATCCATTTTTTTTTTCAAATGTAGCTCGGTGGATACAATTATTCCATCTTAAAAAAATTGTCAATTTTGTATTAAAATATAAATTGATTAGAATATTTGGAATAGTTAATTTTTGGATATTATTTAAAAAGTTGTATCAACCTTTTTTGGAGCATACAAATAAATTTTAATGTTCAGAATTTTAAATAATAGCATGCCATGTTATTTGATATTACATTTGTCGATATTTGTGTTACGTAATTATTATGCCAGTATGTTTACCTCTCACTGCAATTGCGCTCATTGGCACCTCCGGCAATATTTATATATGAGGTTATAAATTCTAACAATTAATGACCTTTTACTTTCAACATTTACATATATTTACTTATAAACTTAGATTTAAATATACACGCCCAAGTGGACAAACCAGTTTCGCTTTGCTTGATGACCACCTTATCCATTATAGTTTGATATTTTGCCCCGTTAATTCATTTTCTAGACAGAATAATATATATTATTTAAAATCCATTCAGGCCTATTCAGTCAAGGAGTTTCGATGAGCGGCACTGCCATGTGCAGATGGGCTTTGGCGGAGAACATGAGGGAAAAGTCGTTGCAAATTGCAACCTCTCTAGGCTGCGGGCAAAATGACTCGCGGCAAATTTTGGACTGTTTGCGTGAAAGGCCGGCTCAGAACATCGTTGCGCAAGTGGAGCACCTCCAAGTGATTTAATTTCAATTGAAAGTAAAAATATAAAATAATCTCTCTGTTAAAAAAAAAGGTTTGGCAATACACCCCCTTTTCGCCGCTAGGGCCAGTGGTTGAAGGAAATTCCAATGCCGCTTTTCTTCCTGAAGCGCCCATTAAAATGCTGGAGTCGGGTAAAGAAAAAACTTATTTTTCGCATATTGTCAAATAAGATTTTTTTTCAAATTTAGGAAACTTTGCGCATCTGCCATGGGTGACGGGAGTCACTGGCGCCGAAGGGTTGTACCCGTCTGCCACTTTTGTGGCCAAAGAGCACGAAATTGCAAAGTTTGACGCTGAATTTGATAGGCTGGCACCATTCCTTCTCGACTTCAATTACACTGTGGCCTCTGGAGAGCAAATGGCTTCAGTCGTAAACGCAATCAGGACCGAGTACTTTGGGCAGGACAAGATTGACTCGTCTAAAGTACGGCAAATAGTTCAGGTACGTGCGCTATAAATTATATATGCATGAAGCATGCAGAATAATTTTTAAAATATTTTTGCTTAAGATGATTTCAGATCGTCTGTTTCTGGTGGACGCACAAAAAGCGGCAGAGGTGCAGGCAGCCTCTTCAAAAGCACCAGTTTGGTTTTATTATTTCACCTTTCGAGGCGAACACAGCCTGAGCGATCTCATGACCGGCACCAAAAACGATTATGGTGCGAAATAACGTTTAGATTTTTGATTCCAAATTTAAAGTATTATGCAAAAGGTGCCAGTCACGCTGATGATGTTTCTTATTTTTTGAACGTGACTTTTATTCCGCAAGAGAAGCCGCGGACAGGCGCCGACGCTCAAGTTCAAACACAAATGCTGGACATTTGGACCTCTTTTGTCAAATCAGGGTAATGAATTTTTTCCACTTGATTGCATTAAAAGTTACTCATCCTGATTATTAAAAAGCAATCCGGCGGAAGGCATTGTTTGGGAAAAAGTGGAGCCGCAGGGGCCACTGAAGTACTTACTTGTTGATGCAGCTCCTTCAAAAATGGCCCAGACAGATGACCTGGGCAATGGAAAATTCTGGCAGTCGCTCCCATTCCAAGAGGAAGATCAAAGGACAGCTTCCTCATTTTCACAATCCATTAAGGATGAACTGTAAAAAAAAAATACAAAATATATTTGTTATAAATGATACCAAGTAATTTTTTGTTAACATGCAAAACTAAGAAAAAATCCATTTATATAAAAATTTCAAGATTAATTCTTGCGTACGTGCTACATAATATATGAGAGTTATTTCCTAGTTTAATAGTGCATCGCAAATTTTTCAATATTTTTATGCAGCATTTTACTACATGGCCAAAGCCTAAAAAATTAAGTACCAAATTGCTTAAATGATTAGTACAAAATTAAATAAAAGCCTTAATCAATAGCACACGCACACTCTAGTAAATATGATGATGAGGCTGGACATGACATACCTACAGATTACAGAAAAAGCAGCCGATTCCTAGCTTATTCCCTGTAGTTGATTCATATTCGATTTGCATGAGATTGCTGGCGAATTTAAACAGTCAAGTCGCAGATTCACTTGCTAACGGACTGCAGTGGATGATGGGAGTGGCAAATTTGTACAATCCCTTGACAAAAGACAACGAGTATCGAGACTATCGAGTACTTTTTTCAGTTCTTTCCCGCTCTATTATGGTTCCAGCAAGGTCGAGCTGTTTAAATTAAAGTCGTCGAGTCTGCGTAGTTCTGCGTTCTGCGACTAGAGCGCTGGCGGCTGGCTGGCGGGTTTGAGGTTGGTTTGAGGCGAGCGGGAGGCGAGTTTGTTTTTGTATTTCGATGGGTAGTACACAAAAGTTTTAAGCCATTTACGTCCAACATCTCTAGTAAATCAATAGAGCAGTTATATCATCCACTGAGATTTATTTTAAATATTATTTTTTGAAAAATTGTTAATTTCAACATTTTACACATATGTTGCAGAGAAGTTTCTTAGGAAAGCGACCCAAACCTTTGAGCTCCTTCATTTACTACCCTCTCATGTTATGGCTGATCGTGGATGCCGACAGTGTCTTTGTCGAGTTTCACTGGATTTTAAATCCCGAATTCCTCCATCCTCGAGGCTCGTCAAATTAGACTTGTAATGCGGTAATGTCCTTTGCCATCCCTAATTTGAATTAATTCTGATTTGTGTCTTAGACTGATCTTATTTCGGTACAAAACCCGGGCACAATAGTCGGGCATGGTCTCTATTTCGCCCGTTTATGCTTGTAAACAAACTCCATAGAGTGTATCAACAAGGAGTGTATGGGATGAGATTTCTCAGTGCTGACAGTGCTGTACATTGTACATTATTAGGCGCGACCTTCAGGAGATGTGTACAGAAATTTTTTTTAAAAATCTTCCCTTTGTTGAAGTTAAAAATTTTGAATGACCTTCCCCTTATTGCATTGTGCAACATGACGAAATTTTTCAGCATTGTTTTGGCACAGATTAAAGCTTGGAATCAGTAAATTACAATCTCCTGCTGGTCCTGGTCATCTTCCACACTCGTTAATTTAAAATTATTTTATCTTTCTCATTAAGTTTTTGTACTTAATGTGACAATTTTATTCAAATAAAATTTAAAATTAAAAATCTATGATAATAATTAATCAAGAATTTTGAGTGATTATCTATTAATCATTAAGTCTATTGTCTATTTAATCCATTTATTCTCTCGCAACAAAAGTCAAAGGATTAAATGGAAAATCCACAATTGCCAGGCAGCTTTCGTAAACAACTTACTAAAACTCATAAGCCCAATTTGGAAGCAAAATTGTTACCAAATTAACCTACTCGCCAAGCGGGTTTCTAATTTTTTAAACAAGCAAAATTCTTTGTTTCAGACATTATGATGGGCATGTAATAAATCTTGAAGAAAGACAAGTCAATTCTTCGTAATGGGTATGTATATTGGTATTTTTGGTGTGTTTTTATGTAGTATACTAAATTTATCTTTTTAGAGAGTGCACCTGTTGCTGATTATAGTTCCATCAATGAAATTCTCAACTGCGGAAATTTTGAATATATACTTCAAAATCCAGTAGACCCAACTTTGTCTTCCTGCATCTCGGGTAGGAAATTTCCTCTTGGCATTTAACGAATGTAAATAATTCCATTATTCTTCATTGCAGAAAATTTTGGTGTTTCAAAAGAATGCAATACCAACAAGAGCCACGTTAAAGTTGCAGATGTAGAGATAAACTTCATGGTAAAACGTTGAACTGATTATTTTTATAAGTTTTGAGCTTATTTTCCTCTGTCATTTTATTAAAGGATGCTGCGAGATGTCCGTTCATTATTGAGGCCACTGATGAGAAAGCTGGAAACAAGGAGGAGGTAATTAATGAAGAATCAAGTTGTTAAAGTCTTTGAAAATAATATATATAAATTTGCATTAATTTTGAAGTTAGAAGTAATGTAATTAGAATTTTTATATATACCATTAAAATTTTACAAAAATCTAGGTTTCTATGTCATATAAATGAATTATTATTAAATTTCAATCTTGTTTGAGCTCTTTAATAAGATATTGTCACTGTATCGGAAAATTGTCCAATCCCCACCACGTTCACATAAGAAACAATGCGTTAGACGGGTGGGGCGCCACCTGAGATTGGACAATTTTCTGCAACAGTAACGATATAAACAAAAGATCTACCCAATTGGAATTTTTCGGCAACAGTCCAAATTTGATTTAATTTTTGTGATACACTAAGCATGAAAAAATCTAACCAATTAATGTGTCAGATCTCGGTCAACCTGTCGGATTTTTGTCCTTGGAATTCCAATAACTTGGTTACTGAAAATGTTGAGATATCTAGCTGGGCAACAGTTTCGCCCTCAAAAAGCACACCTTCCAAGGTGACAAGCATACCTCAAGAGGTAAGATAATTTTTAAATTACCTTGTAATTTTATTTATCAAATGCATTTCAGGACACAATAGATAAAGTTGATGACGAAATCAGAAAGCAGCTGCGTAAATCTCCCCACCTGATCAAACTGGCACCATGCAAAGTCACACTAGATAAAATTAATGTAACATCTTGAGTAGTTAAGATTTACAATTTAAATGCTGAATTTTTCTTATTCCAGGTCCCTGTGGACATGCAGAGTTTGTCAATGATGACAACTAAAGACAAACATTTCTGTGAAGTCTGTTCGGAAACATTTGCCAGTCAGGAGCTGCTAGCATGTCATCGCAGAACAACACATGACAAGGATGAGATCTTTCATTGCAAGCAGTGCGCCCTGTTCTTTGAGGACAAACATTCCGTCTACCTTCACATTAAAGCCAGACACAATGGTGAGCCTGAGTCCAGTGACGAACTTGAGTCCAGTGGAGAACCTGAGTCCAGTGGCGAACCGGTATCCAAGGTCAGGTTGGAAGCTCCAAACTTACCAAATGAAAAACTGCCAGCTGATATAAATAGAAATTCCTTGGCCAAGGATAAGAAATTATTTGTCTGCACCTTTTGCAAAGAAGAAAGGATCTTCAAATACCAGGGTTTTCTAAACAAGCACATCAAACAAAATCACTCAGAAGCAGGAAAGAACCCTGCAAAGAAGAGGCTAAACCTAAGCAAAATTATTCAATGTCCAGGTTGCAATGAGCAGTTCAATGATAATTTTGTCCTTAAAGCTCACATGCAGAAGTTCAAATGTGGTCTAGTTGAGCAGAAAAAGCAGCTGATGAAGGCTCGGATGGATAGCATTATAGCATCTATTTCTGATGAACAAAAACCTGAAAAAGTGGAAGAACTTAAGCTGGCAATGAAGAATGAGACAAAGGAAGAAGATTCAAACAAGAGTCAACCAACACCTGAAATCAAGGTCAAAAAGGAGGAGGAAAAGGATGAGCTATCTATTGTCTTTGAAAAGAAAAATGAGCCAAAGATCATTTCTATCCCTGCAGTGCACGTAACATTGGGAACCATGCTGCTTCCTGGATCTAACATTCCAGCAAATGTCATATTTCCTTACAGAAGTGCAATGCCGGGATTGATCGAGCCTAGTCGGCAAAGAATAGCAATTAATTCTGCCTCGCAGTTGCCATTTGCAATCCGGTCAGTGCTGAAAAAGTCGCAATGCACTTCCGTAGCACCAAGAAGTTTATCTCAGGATAGAACAAAGGAGATAAAGGATAATGAGGTGCAAGTTTTGGGTGGACGCTTAACACCCCGATTTGTAATGCAGAAAGGCCAAATCATTGTAAAAAAAATTGTTGCGAAGTCACTGCCTTCAATTCCCCCAAAGGTGAAAATTTTGGATCAAAGCTTTGAGATGCCTACACAGAAGAAATCATTTTGCTTTATTTGCCCAATTTGCAATGGAAATTTCTCATCACCAACAACCCTGAGAAAGCACAAAATAGATGTCCACGGAGTGGATTGCAGTATATGCAAAAAACGTTTTGCTCGAGATGGAATAGCTCATCATTCCTGTCGCAAACGAGACATCTTCAAGTGCATAGTTTGCCAGTGCATCTTACATTGCAGCGTGTATGATCTTTCTAAACACATGGAAATTGAGCACAAAGTTAGGATAATCAATTGCGTACCAGGAAATCCACCCACGTGGGATTTGAAAAGGATTGAAGAGAATCCAATTGGATCTCCTGATGTAATGAAAAATGAAGTGGCTGCACCAGACTCTGTTTCTGAGGTGCCTGAGGAATCCAATGTTGACGTCGCTGCAGGTGCTGAAGAGGCTAATGAGAATGGCGTATATGCTGAGTCTGAGGAAGACTTTGTGAACATTGTTACTGTGGAGGTTGGGGATAACATTGTGGAAGCTGTTTCTGTGGAGGACGAGGAATACAAAGGCATTAGCTCTGCAAAGACCGATGACAGCCATATTGATGGAGAAGTATTGGAAGTGGTTCGCAGACTTGAGGAAGGAGTTGAAAAATGTTTCGATTGTCCTGGCAACAGTTCAGATTCCAAAAATTTGCATGAAAAGAAAGCTGTCGTTGAAGAAAAATTAGAAACAAGTTCCATTTTTGAAGATGACAAAGAGAAAATAGAGGACGTGGATAAGAATAATCTGCCTGATGACATACCCCTTGAGACAAAATTAATTGTACCAACAGAGAAGGAATCACAAAATATAATTACTGAAGAATCTAAGTCAACTGAAACAATTGAATCCTTGCCAACCTTGAATGTGGTCCAAGCTGAAGAGGTGCAAATCGAGGAACAGAAAAAGGGCGAAATTTCAGTTGCAGATGTGGACCAGGCTATACCTACCAAAGACACAGCAGGTCCAGCCACTGCTGCTAATAAGACTCGCAGAAAAAATAAAAGGAAACTATTTTATAAACAAAAGATAGCTCCAAGCCATGTGTACTACACATGCAAGATCTGTTCCTTCAAATCACACGCGAATTTGAATTTGAAGATGCATATCATGAAAAAGCACCGTGGACTTCAAACGTCAAAAGAAGAGCCGCACATTGAACTTCAAAAGCCACAAGAAGAGCCGCACATAGAACTTCAAAAGCCAATAGAGGTGCTGGAGAAAACACTTAACGAGGAGCCTGTGAAAACAACAAAGCCAAAGGAAGTTCAGATACTAGCAACTGCATTAAAAAGAAAAAGGTTCATGAGCAAGAAGATAATTGCAAACAGAAAATTGGGCGGAGAGAAGCTTGTCTCAAATATTCTGCTTGGCTGCGATAAAATTTACGAGTTCCAGTGCACTCAATGCCTGGTCTTCTTTAGCTCGCAGGGAGAGCTGCAGAAGCATCAAATTAGCCATGAGCCTGCAACGAAAATGGTACTAGCAAGGAGGAAGAGTGACTCAATGGTTGAAGACGCAGTACCAAGGAAGAAGAGCAAATCTGCAGAGACTGGAAAAAGGTCTGACAAGAAATTGGAAATGGAGTTCAGTCTTGTTGATGAAATTCTCAGTGGTAAGTAAATTAAATCAAACAATAATTTAAGATGCAACATGAAATTGTTTCAATTACAACTCTAACTTGATAAATTTCCCTTTTTGATATGGTTAGATTTAAAGCTATTTCATGTAATTAAATAAAACTGAGGTCATTGACTTGCCATGATTATCATACAGATAAGAAAGATTTGTATTAAAATATTAATAATTTTAATTTTCTTTTACAGAGGCCATTCCTTCTTCCGAGACTCAAACAGACGTTGACAAAACTGGAGCTTTAGAGTTGGCTTGCCACGAGTGTTCATTTACATGCAGCCTTCCTCAAGAACTAGAGCTGCACAAGAATGATGTTCACGGCATTGTGAAGAGCTGCATTGAGGTACTAGACACTAAGCTGCTGGTTGAGATTGAGGGAAGCAGAACCCGAACCAAAGAATACCACTGTGAAACCTGTGGGGAGTTATACCCTCACGTCAAAAATTTCACTCAACACATCTCTACACATTTGAACAACCCTCTGTTTTATCGACAGGCTTTTGACTTTGAAAGAGTTGTTTGCACACTTTGCAAAACTGAAGTGGCGTCTTTCTTGCTACTTTCTCACCTCATCCGTAATCATAGCAAGGTCACTAAAAAGAGAGAAGAGCCGCGTTTACGTTGCGAAAAGTGCAATATTCGGCTTTGGAGCGTGGCATCCTATTTCATGCACCTACGCCGGAGACATAATGAACGCCTAGTTCACTGTGACATCTGCTACCTGGTTTTCAAAGACCTGCCTTTCCTGCAACAGCATGCCAGAGATCAGCATGCAGTGGACATGGATGAGTATCAAGAGGAGTACCCTCGCCTTCCTGCTCTCCACTGTGACCTTTGCCCCAAAGTTTTCTGCTCTAAAACCAGACTTGACGCTCATCAAGCCAATACTCATGACTGCCTTATTTTCCTCCCAACCACCAACCCTAATGCCAAGGTTCAGGGATCTGAAATCAAGTTGCGGAACAATTTCTTTGTCTGCAACCACTGCAACGAGACCTTCTTCGACCGTGCCAAATTCGAAAGCCACATCTTGGCTCAAGAGTCACTTGAACAGAAGTTCAGCACACCTCGCTTCCTATACACATGTCCTTTCTGCAGCGAAGCATTCCCGACTGAGCGGGCGGCCGTAGATCACTTGGCATGGCAGCACACCCAACCTTTGGAAAACCAGCCGGAAATGCCAGAACTTGAGGTGCCATGCCGAAAGTGCAAGGCCGAACTTCCGTCCAGCAAAGATTTGTTCAACCACCTCCAGCAGGAGCACCAGGAGACTGTAATGGACTGTGTATTCTGCCTCGCTGCCTTTGGATCTCTTCCTGGTCTGAAGGAACACTACTACAACAATCATGCTCTGAAGGAGGTGCACAAAATAAAAAGAGTCAATTTGGAAGAGATTATTCCTGAAAAGAAGGCAAAAGTTGAGAGTGATCCGGATCAGAAGCTGGCCATGACAACAACTGTGAGGTTGGCCAGAATTCCACAGATGGACAAACAGGTTTCCTGGAAGCTGCCAAACAATGCTAATGAAACCAACCTGGCTGGAATTTTGTCAAAACAGCTGCGGGCACAAGAGAAGCCATTGAACACTGTGCAGGTTAAGAAGAGCAGTCGACCTAGGCTGAAGAAGAGACCAAAACTGGAGGATAGACCAAAACTGTTCTTCTGTACCAAACTAGGAGATTTTCAATGCAATACCTGCAAGTTCCGTGTGGCTAATAGACACACCATGATGTACCACGCATTAAACAATCACGAGAAGAAACCAAAGGTTGAAAAGTCACGGCCGTTAACACCATCACCAAAACTGCCACCTGTGATACACACCTGTGAGCTTTGTTTAAAAGAGTTTGACTCAAGATGGAGCCTGAAGAAGCATTCATACCATGAGCATATAAAATTAACGGTCAATACGGGAAAAAAATTTGTTTGTCCCTTCTGCGAGAAGGCGTTCAATGTCAAGAGAGGCTTAGATATGCACCTGCGTCTCAGCCGAAATTGTCCCCTCATCACTGAAACTACCAAGAAAGCCTCTGATGTCCATGAGGAAAATACCACGGATGACTCACTGAACATAAAGGACACCAGCGAGCCTGATGTTTACATGAAAAAGGTAATGGTTATTTTGAAATTTATTAGATATGCTATTATGTTTAAACTGTTTCTATTAATTGGCAAAATATGTCTTGTCATTAACAAAGACTTAATCATTAAAAATGCAATTAACACTATTATTGTGTATATTTTCAGGAGGAAGTGGAAATTCCTGAAATAAAATCTGAGTTTGACCTACCTGTTGAGAGCGGAGCTCTCCCAGCTGGGCAGACTTTGTTTGAAGTGTCTCTGTTCAACATTGGAGAATCGGACGAAGAAGAGGAAACCAGCCATTTGGTGCCTGAGCCGCACAGAGCCAAGGACCGCATCATCTTTTGCATCAATTGTCAGTGTGACATGCATGTGGCTGCTTACTCATCTCACATGAATGACTGCTACAAAATTAAGAATGTGGACGGGTGTCCTCTTTGTGACGCACCCATCAACAATGGCAAGCTGGTCAGCCACATTGCACGCCACATGGATCGGACGTCGTCAACTGAATCGGTCCGATGTGACATCTGCAGTCTATTGCTCTACAACGACTGCAACTACCTGCACCACAGCTTGCTGGTGCACATGTAGATACACTGACATAGTAGGTGCAGAAAAGAGGTTAATTCATTGTTAATTATTTGATGGGTAAAGAGATATGACTTCGATGGCAAGTCAACTAAAAATTCAATTTTTGTTTTATTCATGTGGCCATGTGCTATGTTGCTATCTGCTTGTGAGGACAAAGCCATTTAATGTTAGTTCATTATGAAACACAATTTAAAATTTCCCTCTTGCCTTCAAAGGAAAGCAAAACTTTCATATTTTTTTAACACTTGATTAAGTGTAAAGATATCGCTTCTAGATTATTTTGGAGAAATTTTTTAGTAATTGCAAATAATATGAGCAAATTGATTTAATAATGAATGAAGTTCCATCCTGTAATCAAAGTTGTTTTAAAGGATTGTAAATAAATTTCAGAATCTGTATTACCATAAGAATACAATTTATCAAATAAAAATATAAATCTTTAATAATATAATATGTCTCGTTTAATGCATTATGCATCCATATTACAACTGGGAAAATTGTATAAATAATTTTTTTTAATTTTCATTATAATAATATAATGAAGCTATTAAAAAAGTATTTTAGACAAAAAATAATTCGTTCCATTACTGTTCTGGTCCTTCAACTTCAAAAGACGAAAAAGTTAATAGGACCATAACTGATATTGCACTACAACTGTGAGTGAAGCTAACTAAGGATGAACCATGACCACGCCCATGTATGCTCTCTTGTTTCTTTTCATCCCCACTCCTCGGTCGCCGCATTTCCACCACACAGACGTCCATTATTTGTGTTATTCGTCTGCGTGATCTAAACATTGCAGTTTTCTTATTTTAAATTTTGCTGTCTGGACGAATATTTTGCTTCAATTTTTCTTGCCGGACGAACTTTAGACTTTTGAAGCCAACATGGCAGATCCCCTGAGTCTCTTGAGGCAGTTCAACGTCAACAAAAAGGAAATTGTGGAACGCGACGGCCACATCATTTTCGGTGAATTTTCTTGGCCTAAAAATGTCAAAACAAATTACCTCATGTGGGGGTAAGTGAGCTTTTTAAGTTTTTTGCAAAAAAATATTATCAAGTTGTTTAATTCACTCCAATCAATTTGCAGCTCCGGAAAAGATGGAGCCCCGAAGGAGTATTATTCTCTCGAGTGCTTGCTTTTCTTGCTCAAAAACGTCACACTCACCCATCCTGTCTACGTGCGACAAGCTGCTGTAAGTACTATATAAAAAAAAATGTTCAACTTGTCTAGAATTTACAAGAGAAATTTTCCAGGCTGAAAACATTCCTGTTGTACGTCGTCCTGATCGTAAAGATCTGCTGGCCTATCTCAATGGCGAAACTTCAACGTCAACCAGTATTGACAAATCTGCTCCCCTCGAAATTCCGACTCAGGTTTGCTTAATTCACTGGTTTCCCTCTTACAAAATTTAATACTAATTGGTCTGCAAATTCTGAAATCAGGTCAAAAGGACCATGGAGGAACCTCAAGAACCTGCAGCCAAGAAGCCGAGGTTTGAACAGATGCAGGTGCAGAAAGTCAAAGAGCAACTTGCTGCCAGACTGGATGCACCTAAAGAAGCATCTGTGACTGTCGACAACATTAAGTAAGACTTTTAACCATGATTAATGTTAAACATTCACTATGTATCTTTTTCCTAGATCTTTGTCAGAGGCAATGTCTGTGGAAAAAATTGCTGCCATTAAGGCTAAGCGCTTGGCCAAAAAGAGAACCACTATCAAGGGCACAGACGACAAAGGACTTGAATCCGATTTGAGGGTCATCATAGATTTTGATGTTGATGTAACCAAGGACATTGTTTCGAGGGAACGGCAGTGGAGGACCAGGACCACCATTCTTCAGAGCACTGGAAAGGTTGCAAAGGAAAAATAAATTAAATAAATAAACTCAATAAAACCTTTTTCAGCTCTTTGCTAAAAATATTTTTGCAATTTTGCAAAGTATCAAAGCCAGAGAGGAGGGACGTCACCGCCCTCCGGCACCCACCCCTGTGGTCACTCCCAGAGCCACCCCTGTTCGATCGATTCCTCAGCCTGCCGTCTACAATCGTTATGATCAGGAACGTTTCATCAGGGCTAGAGAAGGTCAGATTAATTAATGATGGTTTTGTTGGATTTCTCTATATTTGTAAAATAACAGAAACCGAGGGATTCAAAATTGATACTATGGGCACTTACCATGGTATGACCCTTAAGTCCGTGACTGAAGGCAACCAGCCCAAGAAGCAGCTGCAGGCCGCCATCCCTCCTGTGGTTCCAAACAACCACATTTCTGCCTCTCAGCCTCCAGCCACAACTCCCCAGCAGGTGGCTGCAAACAGACCTCCTGTCTCTAAAAGAGTCTCCCGAACCCCAATCATCATTATTCCGGCCGCCAACACGTCTCTCATTACCATGTACAATGTCAAGGACATTCTGCAGGAGTTGAGGTACAGGAAATTAAATTGCATTATGAAAGAAAATTAATGAGAAATACATTTCTTTTAGATTTGTCAGCGTGGAAGAAAAGAAAGCCCAAGGTGCCAAGAGAGATAATGAGGTTTTGCTGCAGAGACGCAAAGAAGGCAACCTGACTGTGCCTTATCGTATTATTGACAACCCCCAAAAATTAAGCCCAGCTGACTGGGACAGAGTTGTAGCTGTTTTCGTCATGGGCCCTGCTTGGCAGTTTAAGGGATGGCCCTGGGATGGAAACCCTGTGGAGATTTTTTCAAGAGGTACTTTCTTACTATTTTTTATTATTATCATTATTTTGATCAAATTATAATATTTTCCAGTTTGTGCTTTTCACATGAAATGGGACGAGATTAAGTTGGACGCCAATGTAGGTCGCTGGGCCGTGAATGTGATTGACTTGTCGAGAACCAAACGTCACCTGGACAGGGCTTCACTTATGTCATTCTGGGAGAAATTGGATCGGTACCATCTAGATTATAGACTTTTCAGTAGTTTTCCTAATTGTATTTTTATTTTCAGGCATATTATGAAGTGCAAGCCTCATCTGCGCTTCTGAATGGAATAATCCCGACTAGGAGTAACTTAATACCTGCAACAACTATATCTGCTCTGTATCATATTTTTCTTTTAAATATAACAAAATGTCTACATATAGGAAAATAAAAAGTATCTTCATTATTCAATCAGATTTTTATCTTATTCCTAAAAGTAAATTATGACTTAACTGCACGTTTATCTCAATTTATTAAACAAAATATATATTAGCTTGTCCTGTATCAAATAATGATCCATGGTTGATAATAATTAATTGTTTTATTGTATTCTATTTATTATTAATAATTAGATAAAGTAAAGTCCAATCTGCTTTGTTAAAAGAGAGGCTCCGGTATTAATTCCTTCATGGATCTATAACCATATTTCAGAATGGCCACATTTTTTGCTCTATTTAGTTTCTTCTACTTTTTCCACACAAATGATATGTTATATCCTTACAATGTAATTTGAATTACATAGCAAAGTTGATGTTTCGTAATGAGAATTTTGTAGCCTACATTTTAATTCTTTTTCTAATGTATCCGTTACTCAATTATTAGTTTGAAACCTATACACAAGTTGACTAAAAAAATTATAGGCAGTTTTGCTTACTTTTCTCACATATAGTATCCTGAAGACAGCAGTTGAACGGGATATTAATCCTTCTTTCCACTGGCGATGCTTCCATACCCATTATTTAAAAATAATAAAACTTCCTTTTTTTAATTTAAGGGATTATCACTTTATTGTACATATTAATTGAGCCCTACAGAAATATATAGGCTATCATGTTTAGAGAATTTTACACAACTCTTTGAAGTATTAGCTGAAATCTTGTATTCTCTAATCTAAATTGTTAAAGGAATTAAGTGTGAGTAATTAAGTACGTTTTGCACTGCGAATCTGGATCACAATTCTTGGAAGAGTTCCTTTTGATTAGAGTCAGAGTGCTTCCTCTTCAGAGACATCCTTTCAGGAATGGTGGATGATTGATTTCCTAACATGTCGCTTCTGTCCAATAACTGATCCAACTCCTTGTCTGTGTAGACTGCAAACGTTTTTTGACATTAATAAATGAAAACTCTTGTTCTCCCAGTTTCAGATTTTACTTACTGTATCCATTAGACTGTACTTCTCTAGTGTAGTCCTTTGAGTTGAGCAGTTTGAGTAGTTCCTCAGGTGAGAGTTCGCCGGATGTTCCTAGTTTTTTAAGACTTTTCTGCTCTCCAACAAAGTGGCCTTGCTTGATGATGAGTTTTTCTAGGCGCCGTTTTCCAGTTGCCCTCTCAACCATCCGGCGATCAATGGTACCATCAGTTGTCAGCCGGTAAACAACAACAGGCTTTGTCTGTCCAATGCGGTGGCACCTGTCCTGTGCTTGCAGGTCGCACTGTGGGTTCTGCCGAAAAACAAAATTGATTATGAGGTATCATATCATATTAAGTCAGAATTAATATTATTAATTAATTGAGGTAAATGTTTTCGTGATTATTAACAATATGAATAATGGTGAAATGCCAGATTATTTGTCAAATGAAATCCAGTATGTAAAAAATATAATTCATGACCATAATGCCAGAAAAAAATTTAATCTATACATCCCTGCCATTACTAAAAATCAAATCAATCATGCGACGCAACATTCAACTGCATAAAGAATTACCTGATGAGCTAAAAAATATTCATGGAACTTGTTCTCTTGACAAAGAATGCAAAATACTAATTTTGCTATTAATGATAAACAAGAGAGAGAAAAAATGTGCAATTGTAGTGTTGAATAATTTTGTATGTCTTATTCCTATGCGTGACTCGAATTTTCTATAAAATATATATATACACATGTACTTGTATTAGTTTTTCAACTAAATAAACTTTCATTAAACCTACATTGTCTTAATATATTTTGATAAGCATTAAACTTTAAGTTAAATTAATTTTACCCAGTCACTATCATAGATGATCACTGTGTCAGCTGCTGTCAAGTTAATTCCAAGTCCCCCTGCTCTAGTAGACAGCAGGAATGCAAAGATTTTGGGGTCTTTGTTGAATTGAGAAATGCTCTCAACTCGGTCTGCGATTTTGGTCGAGCCGTCTAGACGACAGTAGTTGTACATTCGCAGCATCATGAACTCCTCAATCAAGTCCAGGACAGACTTCCATTGAGAAAAGATGAGGACCTGGGTTCAGGGTTAATTTATTAGTTTTCTGCAATAAAATGTATAATTCATACCTTGTGGCCTGTCTTTTTAAGTTTTGCAAGCATTGCATCCAGAACGAGCATCTTACCGGAACGCTTGACCAAGTTTTCGTTGATTAGGGGCTCCATGGTGCCAGGGATAAGGGGCATTTGAATGAGATAGGGGTGGTTGACGACCTTTCTGAGATCAATGACAATACTGCAGGGGTTCAAACTTGTGACTACACCTTGCTCAACACAACTTTTCATGTAGGATGATTGAGTGTCAGTTTTGATGTAAGAGTGGTACTCCAAATTGGCATTGTAACGACTCTCACTGAAATTTAAAGGTTAAGATAAAAATCATCAAAGCTGCAGATTGCGCATTTGCAACATGCTTCATTTGCAACTTTAGTTTAATAAGGTAATTCAAAGTATGGAATTCATACACGATTTAAAAAAAAATAAATATTGCAGACATAGGGCTTAAATGCTACTTATTTAAAACTGTCAGATTTATCACGTGTTTTTTCCCGTAAAAATTCCGTTGTTCTGACCACTAAAATTAATTAATCAGACACTTACAACTCCTTATCTGAGATCTTGTCAATGTTGTAGTCAACAGAATTGCAGCTCTTTCTGAGCCTTTTTGCAATGGGTCCACCTTTCAATATCTCCTTCTCAATCATTTCCTTCTGTTCTTTTTTCTCCTATAAAATGTGTGAGAGTTTATTTGTATTATATACGAACTTGAAATTTTAATTTTAATACCTTTTCCTTAGCTAGTTTCTCATGAATAGTTCTCTGCAAAATGTGTTTGTACAACTCTTCTTGTTCAGGGGTCATAGGTGTGAAGACTAGCAGTTCTTTCTTGGGGGGCAATTTGAGGTCAACGTCCGACTTCATTCGACGCAACATGAACGGCTGCAGAATTTTGTGCAACTTGGAAATTATTTGGTTTTTCTTTTCTTGCTCAACGATACGTCTGTTAGCCTGTTCAAAATTGCCCGTCTCGTTGCTAAGGTCTTTCACCTCAAACCAGCTTTCAAAAGCAGAGAGGTCTGCAAAAACATCTGGAATGAGGTAGTTCAGCAGAGACCACAACTCTCGAAGGTCATTCTGCAGAGGTGTGCCAGTCAGCAAAAGACGAAACTTGCTATTGTACTTGCGGAGCTCCCTGTACAAAAGCAAGGACGCACAATTATTTTGATGTCAGTGCATTGAAATAATTACTTTGTACCTGCCAAGTCTGCACTGATGGTTTTTGATTCTATGTCCTTCGTCAACGGCAACAACGTCCCAATCCCTCCTCATTAGCGCGTCTCTGTCTCTCATAGCCACCTCATAAGAGGTCACAACAACAGGCAAAGTTTTGACATCATATTTGCCGCATGAAACTGTGTGGACTTCTGAAATTTTCTTGCTCAGGATCTGTCTGTTACTTTGAGATCCATGGTACAAAATGACTGGTACCTAAATGTAATTAAATAAAATAATAAAGCGATAGGTTATATTTTGCTGGAGAGACAAACTCACTCTGGGGCAAAAAGCATTGAACTCGTTGACCCAATTGGCCAAGGTGGACAAGGGAGCCACGATCAGGTAGGGACCACTCATTTTGTTTTCAATCATAAAGGCCAACAAGGCAATGGTTTGGATAGTTTTTCCCAGTCCCATTTCATCAGCAAGAATGCCATTGACCCCATTGATGAAGAGCAACTATAAAAATATAATTCATTTAGCAAGGATAAAGTTAGCATTATGAACTACAGTTTCTTACAATTATTTCTACAATTATAAAATAGCAACTTGCCTTCATCCACTCAAAACCATAAATCTGGTAGTCTCTCATGCAGGCACCCTCCAGCAGCATCGGCTGCCTGCTGTCCACCTCAATACCCATGGAAGTCACTTTGGTGATGCTAAGCACTTCTTCTTTCTTTGGATCTTTGTTAGAAAGACTGTCACTATGTCTTGAGTCAAGCAGGGCCTATGAAGTAAGAATAGAAAGCTGTAAGAAGGCAAATTTATATTGAAAATTAATACCTTATCCTTCAAAAGTTGATCGTCCAGATCTTTAGTCTTTTTTCGTCCCGATTTTGCACTAGTCAATATTAATTTTAAAATTTAGTTATGGCGTAAACTATTTTAAAAACTTTTATACCTTTTGGCTTTCAGCTCTTCATTTTTCTCCTCAATTCGTCTAGCAATGAAGTTTGAAAAGAACTCACTTTGGTTCAAAAGGACTGCCAGTCTCTTGAGGCGCTTCTCAGTTTCTTCTTCATTCTGTTTCTCCTAATTGCAATAAAAAATACTCTATATATATAGGGTTTAAGAAGGTTTTAAAAATCAACCTCCAAATTTTGAAGAGCATCTTTCTCCTCTTCATCCTGTCTCTCCTTTTCAAGCTCTTCCTCCTCAGCAATCATGTCAGCCGTCAACTTGATTTCATTCTGAGCATCAAATATTATGAACGTGTTTTTATTAAATTTTACTTAAGTCCCACCGTTTCTCCCTCATTGGAGTCCTCATCATCCACGTTAGGCTGGTCACAGTTCTCGCCACTGTTTTCCTTCAACGAGCCACTTTCGGAGCTTAGAGACTCTTCTTCCACATCTTTTACCACAGCGATGTCCATGTTTAATTTGAGTCTAAAAATATTGTAATAATGGAACGTTAATCACGAGACAGAAAGCCGCATTTTGTGCGTGATTGTGATTATTGCAATAGATTGAAATACTTTTCAAAAAAATTCTGCTTTTTTCATAATAAACCCGCGTGTAAGACGACTGCAAATACTGCAATCAGTGCAATTATCACCGAAAATGGAGTCAAACTGAATTAATTAGCGTGTGGGACTGTGTAGGACGGATCAATCAAGGGTTGCAAATTGTTAGAAATTGAGTTATTATCACCTTTCGGCTTTCAGTTTCGGCAATGTGGTCTGCCTTGCTGCAGAATAATCAAGAGAATAATAATAAGCAGAGCGCCGAAGAGCGGGAAGTGCGGGAACAGCGGGAAATGGCCAGCTGGCCGGCTCTTTATTAGCCACGCCCCCCAGTTTCACGTGTGTGACTTCTTGTGTTTGTTTACAATCTTCATCTTCGTCGGATAATAATGCCTATTGTTTCCTCCAGCTACGTAATTTCATTTAAATTTTGACTGAGCTTAGCCAAAATATCATAGTAATTAAATTATAAAAAATATGAACACCATGTACATAACAATGGAACCTCAATTATTAAAGTTCTCTGAACAAGAATATTTTTTCAGGGTTTCTATGCGACGCATGATAACATGATGATACTTTAAAGCTCCGATTTAATTGACCTTTGGATACATAATTATCACATATTCCTGACTTAAATAATGCTACAATGAAGCCGGTGAATGCCTTAGCGCACATCAGGACACATTTCATAGCCCTCGTCGGCATCGCCTTATTCTTAGCTGGTTTTATGAGTGTCGAACAAAGCTTTGATCGTGTTCCTTATAATGTCTCCTCTTCAATTCTGAGGTTCAATTTACCATGTCTCTTTTGTCCAACTTATGAACGTAATCTGTATCTTGCTTTAGGTCACCAGTGGCACTGAAGCAGCGACGGATAGTTTTGATGGTTGTTGACGCTCTCAGGGACGATTTCCTTGATTTGAAGGAAGACTGGAAATTTGTTAGTAATGAGCTGGTTGAACAGCGTGCTTGCCGTTTGGCCGTCAAAGTTGATTCTCCAACAGTCACACTTCCACGGTTAAAAGTAATTATCTTAAAAGCTCGTATTAAATACGGGTTACAAATTAAATTGTATATATTATTTTATTATTTAGGCACTAGTCACTGGCCGAGCGTCCAGCTTTATTGACGTCATTCTCAATCTTGGCAGTCCTGAGCTGCAAGAGGATAATTTAGTTTCCTCTTTGGTTAATGCAGGAAGACATGTAGTATTTTATGGTGACGACACTTGGCTCCGAATTCTACCACATTCCTTCCACAGGAGCAGAGGCACCCATTCTTTCTTTGTAAATGATTTTAAAGAGGTGAGATTTTTTAAATTAAATATTTGAATTAACTAATTATTGAGCTATTTGGTAGGTTGATGATAATGTGACCAGAGAATTGCCTTCTGAACTGGCTGTCAAAGACTGGTCCTTAATGATTCTGCATTATCTTGGCTTAGATCACATCGGACACGTTGAAGGCCCTCGCAGTCCTTTGGTAGGACCCAAGTTGCGAGAAATGGATGATGTTGTTCGTCAAATCAGAGAAAGTGCCCCAGACGCCCTGCTTGTTCTCACAGGTGACCATGGGATGGCCGATGCTGGAGGTCACGGTGGATCTTCCGGTCCAGAGCGTAGTGTTGCCCTGGTGCTACTTGGAACGCCCTGTCTCTCTATTTCCACCAAACAAACAGTTTGGGCGCAGGTGGATTTAGCACCTACACTTGCAACTCTTCTTGGAGTGCAGAGTCCTTCTCAGTCCATAGGATCTCTTGTGCCTCCTCTGCTGTCTGCGCTTGAACAAGAAGAAATCTTGGCCGCCCTTAAAAACAACACTCGGCATCTTGTAGAGTTAAATCCAGGACACGAACAAGGTTAGTTGAATATTCAGTGCAAATAAACATTATATTTTTACGCATTATAAACTTTATTATTTATTAATAATTGACCTATTTATTATAAAATATTTAATAAATTGAAGAGGAAAATTTTATTTGCAATAGTTTTTTTTTTAATAAATCAAAATGTAATCATGGTTGATTTTATGTTTGTTTGCAGAAATCATGTATCTTGATGCTGTCAGTGCTCATAATAAGTGGATCATTGGTCAAGGGTCTTTCCGAAAAGTGGCTGAAGGTTACAATGATGTAGCGTTGCTCATGAGAAACGCCCTTGGTTCTAACCATGCTCCTTTTGACCTGTACGCAATGGCCATTGGAGCAGTTACAACTCTTATGGTACAAAAATTTATTTTAAAAAGTACAAATCAAGTAAAAATTGTTAAACGATTTCAATATGATTGTAGAGTACTTCTTGGATCATATTGGCTTCGATAGTCAACAAATATGAGTCTTCTAGTTTTTGGCTGATTATGGTTGGTGCTTCTGGAATCCTCGGCATTCACAGTGTGGCATGCGGCTTCACATTTGGCCATAGCCTTGTATGCAGTTCCTCGCTGATCTCTCATCCTCTTCATATTCTTCTAGGACTCGAATTAGCTACCATCACCCTCGAAGTTGTCGGGATGGCCAAAAAACTTCGTTCCCGAGATTTTCCGCTCAGGGTTTTCTCCATAGAGTGGTTGCTTCTTGCGATTGCAGTTGGACACACCTTCAGCCTCGGCTCAAGCTTCTGCATCGAAGAAGAGCACCTCACCTGGTTCGTCCTATGGCCTGTTGTCCTTTTAGTAGCCACAGTCGTTCGACGGCATCGTTGGCCCTTTATGTTGCTACTCATGGCCGCCCACGTTGCTCTGTGTCATTTCAACAGCACAGGCGACAAATGGGCGTCCACCCCAGACCTGGAAGACTGGCTGGTCGGCAAACCGATGGTCACCAGTGTGCTTCTGGCTTTGAGTCTGGCCGGCTTGCCGTTTTTGATGAGCGGTGGACGCGCTGTTGCCTACCTGCTGGTCACGCTTATCTACCTACAAAAGGCGGCCAGTTCAGATTCGGTTCTGGCACCTATTAATCGACAATTCTCATCTGATCGGTAAAATCCTCAGAAATTCTATCTTGGAAATTTCAAAAGAAAATTTAATTTCCGTAAATTCTAGTGACTCTTTATAAATTAAAAAAAAAAATATTGTTAAGGGCTATCTCAAATTTTATTTTCTAAATTTGTTCCAGGGGTGTTATGGAGGCTCGACTTTTTTACTTAATTTCCACTGCCTGGCTGTTTTTTCGTTTGAGAGGACGCTCCAAACGAGCCGCCTTCAGAGACTGGTGGTTGCTTGCCGCGGCTTTGCTGCAGCGGCCACATGATGTGGCCACTTTGACCTACGCAACCGTGGCTGCCCGACTAGTGATACCTTGTTTCTCCAACCACGTGATCGCTGCTTTGGCCGCAACAACCCTCGGCTGGACAACGTTCTACCACCAAGGTAATTCGAACCAACTGACAACTGTAGCCGTGGCTGCTGGTTACACTGGCCTCACTGATTACTGGCCACTGGCCGTCGGAGTGCAACTTATAATCCGAACTTATGCCGGACCTGTGTTGGCCGCCCTAGAACTGGCCGTTCGCGTTGACGGCCATCGCAAGGCTCTTCTAGCTTGGAGCGGCCAGCGCCTTTTGGCCGCCTGTTTCTACCTTTTGGTGGCCGCTTGGTTGCGAGAACATCTTTTTGTGTGGTCTGTTTTTGCACCAAAGCTACTTTACGAAGCGGTTCACTCTACTCTGTACATAATCTTACTGCCAGTGCTTTGGGGAACTAGAAAATGAATTATCTTGTCAAAAGAAAGAAATACTAGATTTGTATTTCTCGAACTTAAAAATGAAATAATTGACACATTTTTAAAAACCTGAAATTCTCTTGATTCCATTTTACAGTCTACGCGGTTCTCAATCTATGATTTTTATAAAAAAATTCTTATGATACAGATAAATAGTCAAAACTAGCCCAAATTAAAAATAGGAAAAAAATAAAAAAATTGGATGGTCAGATTTGCATTTGCTTCTGCATTGATAATTGTATACTGCTGTAACCATTGGGATTGGCGTTCTCGCAATTGGCATTTTAATAGGCCATCCCAAGTCTTGAACTTTCTAGCAATTCACATTATCCTAATGTTTTGTTTTAATGGCACATGCTGCACATTATTATACCTGCGCGACACGTTTAGATAAAGATACAATCAAACTAATAGGCCAGGGAAAAGCTTGTTAGAACCGAGTGCTGCATTTTATTCATTCTAGTCCGGCCAAGTGGATTTATTTCTAAAGACAATTTTGAGAACTGAGGAACGCCACTTAAATTCAACATAAAATACATTTACAAACATGTGACTGACGTGACCTGTGACCTCGTCAGTCACTGAAATATGGCGTATTGTGCCATATCACTAGTTACATTGCTTTGCCAGTAAAAAATGTGGAAGAATTTTTTGAAGTCTTCATGTGATTAACTTGTGTGATATTAATTTATACAATTTAATAATTAATACCCAATTGCACCTTACTTCCATTTAAAATTAGTTCTTCATTAAACGCACAGTAAATCGTGTTGTCTCCGTCACATACTGCACAACTTATATTTAAACAATATAAAGAACTAAAATATTGCTATAAATAAGTTGGACTTTGCTGATCGAGGCCGGTGCAAAATAAATAAAAAAAAATGACACCTCACTTTTGAATGACGTATTGAAATGTTTATTTTATCACCCAACTGTGAATAATTTATATGTGTTGAGACTCCCACCACGTTTAAAAGATTCTTGCGTGGTTTAATTCTCGTATTCTTTTATGAGCGCTGCTCATCAATATTTAGTTGAAGATCCCAAGGGACAAGAATTTTTTTTTTTAGATGAACTTCCGATTGTATGAAATGTTTCTTTCCTTTGACTGACTTACATATGATATGTTATTAACAAAATTCCCAGGTGGAAAATAAGACGTGTCATAACTTCTTCCAATTTTAGCTTTGTGTGAAGTGAAGTCATGTGTCTCCTCTTGGCACCCGCGGAATCACGCGCCGTGAAAAAAAAATAAGGGCTCGCTCCAGCCTGCCAGTGATCACTGGCAGGCAAAGAGTTACCAACGATGGACGTGGCCCCCGGTGCCTTCCTCAGGGTGATACCCTGGCAGCTGCTGCTGCTCGCCCTCTATGTCGTCTTTGTGCGATACAACCCGAACGAAAGCATTCCCCAATACTGGCCCAGTGAGTTGTATAATTATTGTTTTATTCTTTGTTTTTCCTTCATCGACAAGCTTCAGGGAAATCGTTTTAGTAAATAATTAACCAGCTGCGATCGAGCGCGCCTTTGATCTGCAATTCCGAGGCCGCGCAAGGCTCGTTCAAAATGCAATGATCGCAGAAAGTGTCTCCTCAACAGTGAATATAGGCCAATTCGATTCTTACTTATTGAAAGGAAATCTTAAAATTTCAATATTCTGGGGATGAATGTTATTGAATTGAAAATTCTCCCATTTTCAATAATACAATCATTTTTATTTATATTTAAAAAAAATTGTAACAAGAAATAAATTCACAGAATCACGCAATTAATCGATCCCGTTAAGATCAAAGAAAGCCCATCATTTTGTTATTGCCGTTTTCATCCAACAAGGCCGCGTGCTTTTGGGGCGGGCGGGACAAAGTGAGGCTCAGTCGGCCAGACAATGTCGCTCGGAAAGCAAGGGTTGGTCATCATCAGCGTCCAACTTGCAGTGTTCACCCTTTTCTTTGGTCATGTATACTACGATCCGCGCCCGCAGCCAGTTGCTGCCCTTTTTCCGCGTGAGTAATTTATTATCATACGCTGCATAGAAAGTATGCCAGGTCTTTTTTGGTATTACGAGTAAAATCACAACCGGAACGGCAACAGGCTCAACTCTGTGAGCAAATGAGTGTGCAAATTGTAATCACTTGACCGCACCGCGCGATTATGTGCGCGACCTTGGTTGGCCAGTAGCGTTTTTGCAAAGTCTGCCTTCTTTAAAGAATTTGAGCACCATGTAAAAAGCAATGACCGTTTATAAATGGAATGGAATAATAGGCGATGTGCACAAAAATATTTAAAAAGGCTCTGAAATATGCAACGTCAGCTCAAATTTTACTTCAAGTATATTTAAACAGCAAAAAATTCCTCTCCGTGAAAAGCATCTGTATTTTTATTTCAGTGCTGTCATGTAAAATAAATTAAGCTCAATTTTAATTCATAAATTTTTTTAATTGATTGAAAATAAAAATTTATATTGTATAAAACATTAATTTTTAATTAAGATTATCTAAAAAAATCTGATTTTGCTAATTTTGCAATATTGAAAAACTAAAAATAACAGCAATTTTGCCCTGGCAAAATTTCTCTTAATTTAATTATGCAAATTTCTTTAAAAAAAACAATGGCAGCGCTATATTATAAGGCTGCTGGTGGCGACTAAAACCCAGAGAGCAAAAATGTTCCACTTCTACTTGTCACATAGGGTGCAAAATTTATTAAATTTTCGTTCCTTGCCACATTTAAAACCGTATTTTAAATAATTCAATGAAATAATTTATAATATTATTGTTTATTTGTCCACAAATATATAATTTTTCTGGGATATTAAACTTTATTACATTTCCATAAATCATAAAGATGCAAAAGCAAGGACCATGTAATATTGAGGACTTTCTTCATAAATTTGGCACCGATGGATCTAATTGCTTAATTTTTTCAAACAAATTTAATTAATTTTGAATTGCATTGAAATTTGCTTGAATGTTTTGAAACATTTGGATTCTCGAATTAATGAGGAAAAAAATGACTGAACCCAAATTGCCATCTATATAAATCACAAAGTTATAGAGCAAATTTCGCCCCGGGTCTGTTCCGCTCTCCATCAAAAATCGTAGTAAAAAAGTGGAAATTGGTGCCGGCGGTGCGGCCGCAGCAGGAGGTGGGGAGGCCGGAGGCGGCTGGCTGGCGAACGCCGAAGAGTCGTGGTGCCCGCCGCAGTTGTACGTCGCAGTTGGTGCGAGATGCCAGAGCGTTGCGGGTGCTGCACTTCGTCGCCGGTGGGGCCGGGGGCGGCAGTCGCTCGGAGGCGGAAGGTGTCGCGACTCGGAGACGCCCGGGGGCGGCAGCTGCAGCGGATGCGCGACGGCCTCGTGGTCGCGCTGCTGCAGGCGGCGTTGCTGACGCTGACCATGCTGGCGACGCAGTACGAGCCGCACGCCGACGCCAGCGACTCGCGCAACAGCTACTTGCCCGTCATGGGTGGCTTCGATCAGCGCAACCTTCGCATCAGCAAGCACTACATCAGTACGCAAATATGACACCCTTTCTATTTTTACAACCCTTGGCAATGAAGGAAATAAAGGACACAAGAAAATACATATTTTTCTTCCGAAAATTAAGAATAATAAAACGATGGGAAGAAAAATGGCTTGCCAAATTAAAGATAATTTAACCAGTGTAATTTGTAACTGTCTCGACCTTTTTCGCAACACCGAAGGATGGAGTAAATCTTTAAAGAATCGAGAAAAATATAAATGCTTTAAGGTTTTTCTTGCTAAATTATTTATTGAATAGCGCGGTGAGGAGTAATACAGACAAACCATATAATTATGGAGGAAATATATACTTTTGAAGGAAACAAATTATTTTATGAGAAAAAAAACATGGCTTTTCTAAGAACTTATCATATATTATAATATTATCTTGCTTTCGTTTCAAAAACCTTTCAACTTCACACCTTTCAAGGCATTGGGTTTTTAAAGTTTTCGCACCTTATTGTTTGATGAGTTTCAAATAACGAAACTGTTTTATTTATCTTTTACAAACAATTAGAAATTCTCCACACAAATAAGAACGCAATCCTCTTTTTTTGCAATTGGCCATCCTTGAAAAAAAATCATATCTTGACGTGTTAATAATTTATGCTTACTATTTTTCGAGTGCGAGCGATCCAAGCATGTCTATAATTTAGGTATTGTTGCCTTGCCATTAATAAGTCCATAAAAATTTTACACAAAGATGCGTTAAAAAAGTATCATAAAAATAGACAGAAAAATAACAAATTTTTATTCCGGCCAGGTTAGGATTTTGGATCGCCATCAAAATTCATTGATATCTGCGTTTTTATTTACTTAATCGTTTTACAATTTAACACACACAAAAATGGGAGTTAAATATCACGGATATAAATCTTAATTCCAAATTAGTTTTACTGGTGGTATTTTGATTTTGGCAAAGTTTGTTATATTTATTAATTTTTACCCATTTTTATCATTCCGGTTGTTAACATAATCAGCTAATATTTACATCGCAGACGATTGGAAAGACGACGGCTGGGAAGAGTCAAAGATATTCGAAATTAAGGTCAAAATCAAACGCGATAAGCGCTTGGAAATTTATCTCGCAAAGGCGGTATTATTTTTGTCGCTCAAAACAAGCCAATAAAAATAGCTCTTCTTTCATAACTCTTTTTCTTCACAATTTGATCAAAATGATAAAGTGTTTGCTTGCAAATAGTTATTAACAGCAACTCTGCTGTAAAATTTTGTGCCCCGTCGTCAGTTTACTCAATGATAATGGCACTGCATTGAATTTAAAAATAAAACCACATCTGGACTTTGCACGGATATGCCATTTTTATACTTGTACTCAAAATGACCAGATTCATCGCGCTCAGCCAATTTATTTTCTTATCAGATGGAATTAATGTCCTGACTCCTGACAATCAATTGGCTGTCGCCTCGGGTGCCGAGTGCCGATAATTTTGCTCCACGTGATGATTGCGCAGACATTGAATATAATATACATGTATAAATAGCATCAGACAGGTTGGTGTGGGATTTTAACGAGCGAGAATGCGAGTGTTTCCCTCGTTTTATAAATAAACTGACCGCAACACCTGCAATAAAAATTCAGCGCCTCCTGTTGCGAGATTGGAGCAAATAATTACCTGACTTCAGGTTGAAACGATCCGGCTTGACTGGTTTATTTTCAGGCTTCGAATGGGCAGGTCAAAGAACAACTCTCGCCACACAAAAAATACACCCGTCACGTGCGCTCCTAAATTTTTTCGCACTCTTCATTTAAAGAGCTGTTTGCTGTAGTCGCAATACTTAATAAATTTTCCAACCTGGCGCTTTTCCACCTCGGCAGGTTTTCTCTTTGGCGCTGCAGCACCAGCAGATCGCTTTGGAGTGCCTGACGACCTTGCCGCAGAATCTATTTTTAGCCTGCACGGCGCCCGCTCAGGGCCGCCCAGATTAAAAAATTTAATGTTTCTCGCCGCTTAAATCCTCGCTTTAAATTCAGCATCTTTCCATTTTTGCACTTCGTGACGCGGATATTTTTGCGCTTCGACGAAATTTAGTCCGGCTTAAAATAAAATTTCCAATTCAAATGCCGATCGTGACTTTCATACAGGTGGGCGCATTCGCAGGAAAGACTTATTGAAATGCGTGCCGCGTGGTTTCTCTGAACGGCATCACTTTTTGAGAGCATTTATTTTTAGACTGTGTGTATATTTATTGGCTGCGTTGAGCATTATCTGAAAACAAAGTTGTGGCATGCCATTCAATTACACTGAACCTTTCGCAAAGGTTGTTTCAGCCGCTAACTTTCTCCCTGTTTGCAGCTTTCAAATCACCGTTGGAATGAAAAAATTCGGTCGACTGAAAGAAGATCATATTATAGAAGCCAAAATTAACTCTGTGCTATTTATAATAATTATGTATCAAATTAATTATTGAGAGATAAAATATTTTAATTTTATTCTCGCCGTTTCTTTCCAAAGAGTATGTTTATAAGAGAATTAAATTGTGCTTTTGTCGCTCTTGTTCTTTCTAAACACCGGCGTTTCCTAAACAACTTTTTATGTTTCGGTAACGCTTCGCTTGTGAACCTATACGAGACGCTCTTCCATGAGCGTCAATGTCCTCTGAAGACACTAAGTCATCTTGTTCTTTAATGGGCAACGATTCCTTTGTTTATAAAATTTTCTCTAAACATACAAAACGAATGGCAATATTATAATTAAATTATTATACTAAGTCAACCACGTGTTTCAAACACACTTTATTTTCTATGAAGAGCTGCTCATAAAAACTCAGCATAACAGCGATAAGCGGCGCGGACAGGAAGTCGGCGTCAAAATTCTTCCACTCTCGGCGACTTTTTCCAGAGAGTGCACGCAAAAGATAAAACGCACGCGAACAAACACAAAATAAAAACGACTGCATTTCCGACGCCAGCAGAGCGACAAAAATAAAATATAGTTGTCTTTATTTTTATTCCTAAAATCTTAAAATAGCAGTAATTTTGAACAAAACTTATGATTCAAAATTACTATATAAAAGCAAATTTTTTATCTTCAAGAATTGGAACAATAGAACTATTGAACATTTTTGTCAACTTTTTTAAAAAAAAAAAATACTGTTGAAGGGACCGCAAAAGAAATTATTGAGAATATTTTGCAGTTTTTAGATTCTTTAAGATACCAGATACCAAGATAATTATGGGTATTTCATCATGAAATGTCATGTAATTAAAAATCCTAAAATTGGCCTCAAGAATAATTCAATAAACTTTAAGTGAAGCTCACAGATGATTTTATATTTTTAATTAAAAAGTAATAGAAAATCCACCTTTCCATCCTTAATTTTAATATCATAACCACGTTTGCTGAAAATAATCAAATTTTATAATTTATAAATATAATCAATTCTAAAGCAGAGGTTTTAACTCTGCATAAAATTAAGTTTACTTAGTTCCGATTATAATTTTTATTTTTGCGAAAAAAATTGTTTACTTATTAATGAATTTAAAGTTCCATGAATTTTTCAAAGCAATTTTATTATTTTATATTTTGCCAGTATTCATGTCCTGCTGACGTATTCTCACAGTTCCGCTCTACTTTCAATTTGATTTTCAGTAGAACAATATATAATATTATACTGCGTTTCAGCAAGTTCAGATCGTCCCCTAATCAAAAATAAATGGAGTGGCCCGCATGGCGACTGAGACATGAGTTGGACGCGGTGGAGGCGGCTGTCCGCGAGCAGCGGCTCCGTCTTGACCGCCTCGAAGCAAAATCGCTCAACTCTCCCTTTACAGTGTTTCAGGACGTGCATGTCATGGTGTTCGTTGGCGTTGGCTTCCTGATGACCTTTTTGCGCAAGTATGGCTACAGCGCTGTTGGCTTCAACTTTCTTGTGTCCGCTCTTAGTCTGCAATGGGCCATCCTGGCGCGCGGATTCTTCGAAATGGACAACGGACGCATCAATGTCGGCATCACCAGGTAAAAAGTCAACGATTTTTTCCATAAATTAGACAAATGTTCCAGAACAGAAATTGACAAGAAGACAAAGAATGCAAATTTCTTTACTAACATCAATTAAAAACTAAATGGATTAATTCAAACAAATTTAAATCCCTATTTATTAGACTTATTAATTTTAAAATTCACATTTTTGAATGTATATATGAAAGGGATCATGCTTACCATAAGTCCCGAACGACTATTTATAAAATTCAAATTCATGAAGGGGGATGCGTTGCGGAACCTCAAGTTTAAAAATCCAAATTCTTAAAGGGGGGATGCTTTTATTGCCGAAATGTAAATTTAAAAATTCAAATTTCTGAAGGGGCCGGGGATGCTTTGCCGAACCTTAAATTTAAAAATTCAAATTTCCCTTACGTTTAAAAATTGATATTTCTTATATTTTTTTCAGTATGTTGGGCGCTGACTTTGCGACTGTGGCGGTCATCATTTCACTTGGAGCCGTCATCGGCAAAACTACGCCGCTGCAGCTTATTGTGATGGCGCTTATAGAAATCGCACTTTTTGCGACCAATGAATGGTTCGGCATTAATGTGCTAAAGGCGAGAACTTAAAATTTGTATATGGATATTTATTAATAAATTTCAACCAACAGGCGGTGGATGCTGGAGGGTCCATGTATGTGCACGTGTTTGGAGCTTATTTTGGACTGGCAGTCAGTTTGGCGCTTCGAAGGAAAGACAATCCCGATTTCAGCAACGAGTCTGCCGAATACCACTCAGACCTCTTTGCCATGATCGGTACGTCAATCTCGTCAGTTTTTTTATTTAAAATAAAAGCATTCAAAGTATATGCAATGCACTCTTTTTTTATTTTATAAAACTTCAGAATTTTTTTCTTAATCTTAAATTCAACAAATGACCAATTAAAAGAAAAAATAAATAAAGAAACTGAAAATGCAATTTTTTTTCTAAAATAATATTTTTTCAATTAAATATTTTTTGGCATCCTTTTAAAATGTTTACAAAAAAAATAAATGATTTAAATCCAGGTACGCTTTTCCTGTGGGTCTTCTGGCCATCTTTCAACGCGGCGCTGGTCACTGGTGACAACCAGTACCGGGCAGTTATCAACACTTACTTTTCTCTAGCAGCGTGTTGCGTTACAGCGTTTGCCGTTTCGTCTCTCGTTGCCAAAGATAACAAATTTAATATGGCACGTACTTTGCGGTTTTTTGTGTGTAAAAGTTGTGAATTTATCTCGTTTACCTACAGGTGCACATACAAAACTCAACACTGGCCGGCGGTGTTGCTGTAGGCACGGCGGCCGACATGATGCTTTACCCATATGGAGCATTGGCCGTTGGAATCGCCGCAGGCACTCTATCTGTGCTAGGATATACCTATATTCAGGTAGTTTAGTAGAAATTAATTAGAAAGAAGAGCTTTTCATAATCTCTTATATTTAGCCTGCGCTTTTGAGAACAATCAAACTGCATGACACATGTGGAGTGCACAATTTGCACGGAATGCCAGGGGTTCTTGCGGGGCTCATAGGCGCCCTCATGGCAGCGCTCGCCTCCGAAAAAGAGTATGGTGAAAGGTAAAAATATTTTTTTTCCTGTTTTCCAAATTCTGTATGTTTACTTTACATAGATGAAAATTCCATAAATGAATAATAAAATTAAATATAAGGAATTATTTTTTAAAGGCAATAAAAAAACTAAAACTCAATTTCAGCCTGTACCTGCAGTTCCCAGCGCGGGCGCCAATGAACAACACCAGTGCGCTAAATGACGTGAACGAAGTGCTCATGTTCCTTGAGCCAGGAGATAACCGAAGTGCCATCCGACAAGCTGGCTTTCAATTGATTGCTCTACTTGTCACTTTTATAGTCGCCATCGTCGGCGGTCTCATCACAGGTGCGTTTAACTCCCATTAAATTTCATGTTTTTTTTTAGACTTTTGTTTTGTTGGGGGTTTCATTAACAGGTAGGGCGATGGTGCTGGTCGGCCACCCACCCAACTTCTTTGACGACGAACCTTTTTGGGAATTGCCCATTAACGAAACCAATTCTGCTGTTATTCCTTTCACACCTTTCAGTGACACACCTCGTCCTTCCGGCGCTCCTTTCTTGCCCGTTTTCACTTTGGCTAAACCAGCCAAAGTTGAACCTGAAGAATTACCTAATTGATTTTTTACCTTTATCACCAGAAAAATCATTATTTTTATTTTTCAATCAAATGATTCCTAACACCTTTATGTTTAATTTATGTTTTGTTTTATTTATCTTTAATTTTTTCCCATTTTTCCCTTCCTGTGGTGCAGGTTTCCTCCTGAGCTGCGAATGGATGGGGCAGGTGCCGCGCGACCGATTCTTCGACGACGCTCACTTCTGGGAAGTGCCAACTGACGAAGAGCATTCTGCTGGCACTCCCCCAATCACGCCAGAGGCACACGCTAATCCTGTATTTTCGCGCAAGGAGTCTCAAGACTCAAAGTGCTGATCTCTCGCCCTCCCGTTTATCAACTCCCATTGTAAATTTCATCCCCAAAATTCTTGTTTGTTGAGAGTATTGAGAGGTATAATTATGCAAAAGAAGTGTGAGTTTGTTGCGCGCTTTTCTGTGAAATAATAAATCATAAACCAAAGTCATGGTTAAGAATCTCTACAAGAAGTAAAAATACATAAGTAATTTTATTTCTCGCATTCCATATAAAATATAGAATAAGCCACGTTATCTGAAAAAAATTGCACTTATGCAACTGGTTGTGCACAGATGTGTTGCAGGCTTGCCTAGCTCACAAACTCGCAGGCGTTCATTCGCCCCGACAGCCCTTAATTATTGATTATTTTCTGAATTGAAACAAGTTTTATAATGGCAACTAAAGCGTGAATATAGACAAAATCTTTAAAGTTTCAAAATGCGGAGTTATTAACAATGCATAAATAAAATCAGATGACGTTTAAAAAATATAACTACTGAAACTATTGCAATTCTTGAGAATTACTTTTAAAGTAAGTTAATGCGTTTATAAATATAAACATAACAAGCAGTCGCGTTGATGAATCAAATGTGTGCCATCGCGTGATGGGATTCTTAGATAAATGTTACGCAAGCCACAAAAAATAATAACCGAGATTTGTGATCCAAATAAAACGACAGTTATTCTGTTACCTTGTAGGGCGCCGAGTAAAATGGTTTGATATTATTTTTAATTCTCAACTAGCATCGGCGAAGTGCGGACCCAAAATGACATGGGGGCTTTTGTCCTCAGGAACTACAACTCCAACACCCTACGGCAGAATTTCGAATAGAGGTCAAGGCTTTTCTTATTCTTCTCCAGGGTGAGTTTTGTTTATTTAGTGATTTTTTATTTAATAGCTTCTGATAAATTAATTTTATATAAAAATTTTTAGTGGAAATAATTAATAAGAAATACCGATGTTTTCTTCCACTAAATAAAGCTATAAAATTTCTTGTTCTTTAATTGCAAATCAAGTAAAAGTTCCAATAAAATTTAATTTTAGATGGGCATCAGGGCCTCCAAGTGGTTGGAAAGGGAAAAAAGGGGCCAGCAATGCCGCGGTCAGCGCCCTGGCCCTTTTAGCTTTTCTGTTTTTCCTAAACATGCTACAGGTCTGCAATTCATTTTACATTACATTTAATTATTAATTAATTTATTTTAAATTTTTTAGCAAAACCTTGCGACTGGTCAGCAGCAGACGGTACTTTTCAGCGTCAACAACTCGAGCGGCCGTTAGTCACTGTTGCTCAATTCAAAGCCAAGCAAGACATCGAGGGACGCGCAAAAGTAACAGTGACGTCGACGAAAAATGCGAAATTAAACATTCGAAAAACTCGCAACCTCAACGCATATGGTGAGGATTCCGTAGAGAGACGGCTCGATCCTGCTATTGCTAATAAGCTGCTAAACTTGATGAGGTATAATTAATATCATCACAACCTTTAATTAATAATAAACACTCGGCGAATGTTCCTTTTTGTTAGTTTGCCACTCGAATACTTTAAAGGCAATGAACCTCAACAAAATGAACTAAGAAAAAACCTGTTAGAAACAATGATCAACTGCCGAGGAGAGATTGCTTGCGCCTTGACCGGAGACTCAAAAGGCGATGATCAAGCGAATCGAATTCATAGTCACGTCCTATTGTAAATCAAAAAAAAAAATCTTAATCTTAACGCGTAATTAACTTTAAATTACTGTCTCAGGAAATATCTGAAACAAAGCATCAAACTATGGAATCAACGTTTTAGAGGATATGGAATGCGACGAAGTGGTCAAGTCTGTTGAGGACGAGTGCATCACTTTGGCTGACACCTTGTCGACACTAAACCTGCCAAGTGAAGAAAACGATCTATTTTCTGAAGTCGGAGAGCTTAAAATGGAAATTAATTTGACTTTTCTAGAAGCCGCGGGAATATAATATATTAATTTTTAAGTACTTTTGAGATGCTGACCTTAGAAATGACTGCAAAGGTTTGAGAATTTACAAATAAATGGGAGAATAAGTGCCCCTGCGTGTCATTCATTCACACCCGATGATTTACGTAATTGCTTTAAGTTCTCTCATGTAGAGGTTAGAGTTCATAGCTGTCCAGGCTGAATAAAATTACAAAAGATGTTATGGGAATAGTTTAGCACAGTTCTTGAAAAACATCTATGCAAAAATAAAAAACAATTTTACTCATATGTGCAAAAAAAAATAAGCAAGAAAATAATTGGGTTTAAACCTGATAAGTACGTTCGCAAACCGAGCGAGGTCGAGCATCAGCGTGACAAAAACTAACGCGCTCGACTGTTAGGGAGCACCGTTTGCTCCGTTTTAATTGAGCGAATTTGGCATCGGAAGCAAAAGTAAGGAAGCATTTAGTTCCAAGGAAGCTGATAAAGCAGACGTGCCGATGGAAACGTTGCTATCCCCGTCAGTAGAGGCGTTCGAACCCCTGGCTCATCTAGCTCTGGGGCTGCAAGAAGCACAAGAGCGAGCGGGGACATACACAATCAGCTCTCCAGGGTATTTATCCAAATATTTGCATCAAATCATAGCAAGCTTTTTTGTTTTCAAATGATTTGGAATTAAGAAACTTGCTTTTAGATAATAATGAAGATAAATAAAAAAAATGTAATTCAAATTTTCCAACGTTTGTGCGTAGGTGGGCTGCCTACCAAGGAATCGTGACAAAAGCGACTAGCCACGCTGCAATTAGCGCTCTTACACTGCTGGCATTTTTGTTTTTTCTTAACCTTCTTCAGGTAAGAAAAGGGGTAACCTTAAATTTTTAAAGACATAAAAGTTTCAAATTATTTAATTTTTAATCCCTGATTATGATTGTTTGGTTAATTTTAGCAACAATTGAGTTCTGGTCAGCAACAAACGTTGCTTTTCATGGTTAACAACACAGCACCCGTAAATCGAGAGGGACGAAAGCTACGGGCGAGAAGATTACTAAATTTTGGAGGAACATTGCAACGAGAAATGCAAAAGCGCGATTTGCGTGTTTATCGAAAACACGCAAGAAATCAACATCAAAATGAACTTGGGGTAACGTACATTAATTTAATATATCTCGTGCATTTCAGTGCGAGGAAAATAAATAAATAATTAATTGATGACAAAATATAATTTTATAATCTAAATTGGAAGGCAATTAATTTTAATATCAAGGGCAACAATGCGCGAGCGCGGCCCACATGAGAAAATTACAACAAATCTTTAGAATTTGACTAAGTTACTCCGTTTATATCTTATGGTTAGTTTAGCATGAATATTTTAAAATCAAATTTTCTAAATATAATGAAATAATTTTTTAATTTGACAAAAAATTTTCTAGAAGGTAAATTTTTCATATTATTATTTTTAGGGCACAAATGACCTGCCAGCAAAATACACATTGCTTGACCCGCCGCACCCTTTGGCAGCACCCCCGACGGTGGAGAGCACCAATCCACCAGTAATGATGGAGGGTTTGCAATCGGGAAGCACTCTGCAGTTAATGGCATGGCTCAAAGGAAAAATGTCGGCAAACGAGCTCAGGGTTGACCTGGTAGACACCTTAACTAACTGTCGCGCCGTGGTTGCTTGCACACTGTACCAGTCAGCAAGAGACAAAGACAGCGAAAAAAGAGTCAGGTGTGGCGCTTAATAATAACTCACGTCCTAATAATTACCGAAACATAAAATATTAACAGGAAACTCTTGATAGAGGCTGGGGAATACGCGGAGCCGGGGCACCTGGACGAAGCATGCAACACACTGTTACTCTCCGCTGGAGACGACTGCGACACACTTGCGCAAGCCTTCTCCACGCTTTTGAATTGAGTAATGACCTTTTAGAGTAAATGTTTGCCTAGCCAATGAATTAAAGTAGACTGCTTTGAATTTCCTATGTTAACAAGCTGTTTTTTTACTCAAGTAATCAGCAATAAACAAATTAATTGAGCTGCTAAACTCACAGTAATTTTATTCCACTAAACTGGAGTATTTACAAAAAATGTGTCCTTGTATAATAAAGATTTAAAAGTACTTAGTTCTTGTTAATGCACCACCTCCAAACGTGGGGTCCATCATGCGACTCCAGTCGGTCTGGCCAACAACGAACCCGATGGCGCGCATCTTTTCTTGCTCCTTCCTCTCAACGATGTCTGCCCAGCGCACCTATTAAGTTTAAAACAGGAAGATGGTAAGAAAGACAAAACGATAACTGCCAACATACTCTTTTCTTTCCTGGCTCCAAAGGAGCGTCACTCAACTCCTCCAAGCCCAACCAGTCATCCATTGAAAGAGACTCTTTGGCCACTCTTTTCTTGATGCCGTCCAATTTGTCTGGAAATGATCATAAATTATTGACTGCCACCAAAATTACTTGAAATAGAGCAGGAAAATTTTAAATTTTGCCCAAGTTGAGAAAAATGCATTTAAATTAATTTTATAATAAACAACTATAATGCAAAAAAATAGCATATTCCAATGTGATTTTAAAATAACAGACAAATAAACTATGATGTTGTATGAACATAATAAAAGTTAAATGGTCACTCACCTAATTTGCTCTCGGGGTCCATGGTATCCCATTTACTAGAAGCGAGGGCTACAAGTTCCTACAAAAGATTGGCCGTGAAATTACGAGTGTCATGTCATGAGACATTTTGTGTTTTTGACGGAACACTGTCTGCGATAGTAAAATTTGTCTTGCATAATTTAGAAAAAAAGCTTGTATTCTCCAATGCAGCTTTTTAAACCACATTCCATTGATGGTTAGAACAGCTGCCGTGGCTTTAATTTATCTAAGTCTTTTCATCAAATAAAGAATTCACCATATAGAATAGTTGTCGCAAACTAAACCACAATCTAAAAGGTTCACTGTGAGACCTTTTTTAAGATACTTTTAAACACAAGTTATACCAAATGCACTTAAAGTGCAGGAAATTTTGTGGACTATACTTGGATCTGATCTTTTCTAACAAGTGCAACACAGGAACAGAAGATCTTTGATCAAAATTTGATATCTTAAAAAAAAAACGGTGTTTCAAAAATGTAGACGGCGCTTTCAAGCAATATAAGCGCCCTTGCCTTGAGTTAGTATGAAAATTTAAGTCAGAGTTTTGCTGGATACTAGAGAGAATAAAATTTAGCAAATCGCTATGCGCCCGCGTTCTTGAGCTAAATCCTTGGTATAAGCATAGCATTTAGCTCAAGAACGCGGACGCACAGCGAAATACGGTTAATAAGGAGTGTAAAGGAGCGCTGCAGCGCAATAGGTCACCAGAAGCTCAAGTCCAGAAGAACAAAGTGGATTATTCTGATCAAAATAGCGGAAACATAAGAAATTGTCTAGGTAGTGCTTTTATTTAAGACAGTTTAACTGCCACAATTGAACTTTCAGTTGAATAGAGATCTGAAAAAACTTGATCTAAAACAAGGTACTCACAGAGAAGTGGTTTCCAGGCTCTTCTCCGTCAGCATCTGCTTTAACTGTGCTCTCTTCATTGGCATCATTCTACAAAATAAATCATTTTTTGTATTCAGCTTGGAACGTTTCAAAATAGTAAACACAATGTCAGCCCACAGATTTTATAATAAAAATGTGAATTTTTCTCATACCTCATTGTTGGCAGTTTGTTGGAACAGACCTGAGGTGTCCAGTCTGTTATAAGAAGCAGGAGTATCTTCCCACCCAGCTATGATCTTTTGAATGTCCTCCAATGACCTGCCATGCTCATTCCGGGATGCACAAACACTTGCCTCTTCCATAACTTCAACGACAAAAGTCTTGAAACCTTTGTTTTGGGCATGTCGCCACATTTCTTCAAAATGACTCAGTTTGTCATTCACACAGTCCACAATTATAATGGGGAAGTATCCTTCATCCACCGTCTTCTTAAAAGCCTTTGCTAAACTGTTGCGGTAGGGCTCCTCCATTTCTGCTTCATACTCGTAATGCATTTCCTAATAAATATATGCGTTAATTTTCGTATAAAGAAACTTTTAAATATGCTACCTTTGCCTTGACCTTTCGACCTGTTTCCACGTCCTGGACGTTTGTTTCTACTTCAACCATAAAATAGTCGTCCAAACTAAGTATTCTTGGAGCGTTGCCTCCATTCTCCACTTCCTTATCTTTGATAAGCTTCGAAATTTGACTTTTGCCACTTCCAGGAGGGCCTCGCATGAAGATCGCAAACTTGGATGGCCGCTGTACACGTCCAGGTAGGCAAAGGAGCTCTTCGATTGGAGTTTTGTCCAATTCACTGAATGCATTTAAAATCTTCTTGTTCAATAACTGCGGATGCTCTTTTTTCTCTGCATTAGATTTTGTTGTAGGACTGTTGTTCTCCCTTGGGAATGATGGGCTCTCATTTGATGGCTTGATGCACCCTTGCGCTGGCCTTGATGAAGAGCTAAACAATCTAATAAGCATTTACCCATTAATCTAAAACAGTATCCTACCTCTGTGAGGTGCCATGCTGAAAGTCGTCATTTCTTGAATTAAATTCTTCGTCTCTATAATCTTTTTGTCGATCAGGGTAGCTCCTTCGCCGATCCCGTTCATGATAGTCGTTTCTATCTTGAAAATCTCCACCCCTGTCTCGAGGCCTTTGGATGTCTTTGTTGTAATAATCACCCCTATCAGGCCTCTCTCGGTCATCATAATTGTCATAACTGTCCCTCTCGTAATTCCTTGGTCGTTTAGGTCTCCTTCTGTCATCCTGCGCCCACACATCTCTATCTGCTAGACAAATAATTCAATTAAAAATCTTGAGCCTTAATTTTCCTTTATTTATAAATTACCTCGATCTCTTTCTGACCTCCGCCAATCCTCCTTCTCCCACTTCATATACTTTGTACGATCGTAATCAAAAGGATCCGCTGTGTATAAAAACAATGGTTATAATAAAAATTTCAAGAAATATTTTACTCTCAAATAAATTTTCATTTATATCCTTTAAAAAAAATGGGATATTGACATTAACACTTACGAGTATAAACAGTTGGTTCCGCCTCAGAAGTATGGCTGTAGTCCAATATTTTTGCTGGCTCTTTAAACACAGTTCTCTTCTTGTCACAAGCACTCTGGACTACAGGAGTAATGCCTGGAGTGACCACGTTAAGTTGCTTGTGGTCATATTCAATTACTGTTTTGGCTTTGTACTCCTCGACTTCCCACTCTGGATGGAAATTCCTTTTATCTTGATCACGGTCCTCTGGGCCTGGGCCTCGACTAAAATTATTTCTTGATAATGAACTGTCCAAATTAAATAAAACATTAACTACCTTTGATGAAACTCGTTTGGCATTCTATTAAACGTCTCCATTCTTGAGAAAGGATTATTATCAGGCCCTCGATTCCTAGATATACATAATATTATTATGGACTTAAGATGGATTAATTGGTAATTTCTTACCCAGGATCAAATTCTGTTGGAGGTTGTTGTCGCGGAGGTGGTGCAGGACTCCATGACCTCTTCTCCATTGGATTTTTATTACCTCCAAAGCCAGATCGGAAGTTGGACCCAGGAGCATTTTCAAAATTATTGCGTGCACCTTGATTTGATGCAAATGATTGATTATCCATTCTGCCATGTGAATCTTCCCAACGGCCACTATCAGAATCCTTAATCATTTCTTGGCGTTGAAATTTAGGAGGATCAAATATTCCTGGTGGAAGTTCATCATCACTGCCAAGATCAACCCAAGGATTGAAATCAGCAGGTAGAGTTCCGAACAACTCTTGCGGAGTAAGTGGTATCCTTTGTGGGGTACTTCGACTTTCAAATCTAAAATATTATTTGTTAAAACGATTAAGATTTAATAATTTTCATTAATTATATAACCTATTGTTCCCTGAATATTGGTTTTGCGTCTCATTCATGTTTTTAGGCTTGCTTGGAAATTCAGCTTTAAAGGGGCTTTTGTAGTTATTTGAATCGTCCAGCTGATTAGGGAATTCTTGGCCTTGCTTAAGAGGTGGTCTAGGGAAACCTTTATCCATAGGAGGCTTCGGAAGATCTTCAAATGCTAAATTTTGTCCAAGAGGCCCTACAAGATAAAAAAAAATTAATTAAAACTAAATTATTTGGACAGGCACTTACCTGAAGGTGATAAAAACGCCTCTTTACGTGCAGGCGCGTCAAAATGTGGGTCATTTTGCTCAAATTCAAGCCCAGGAATTGGGGGTGGCGTATCAAATGGGTTTTCCTCTTCCATATCATCATCTAATGTGACGCAAAGAGGACCAATTTTCTTTGCCGGAGACACACTAGGGTAATTTGCCATTTCTCGTAACGTATCTTGTATCGACCTTGGTTTTTGTTTATTGACGTCTGGTGCTGGCAACTTGGTATCAACAAACCCTTTAGGCGTCATACTTTTTGGTGCCTCTTCAACCTATTTAAATACATATTGCATTAATTCATGAAAATTTTCCCTCAGCAGAATCCAATTAAATATGGCATTAGTTTACCAACCTTAAGTTGCTGAGCAATAATTGGGCTTGGTAGGGCAATTGGTTTTTCCAGATTGGCCTTTGCTTCTAATTCTCGTTTTTTCTTCATAACTTCCCTTCGAGCAAGAAGCTGCTCTCTGAACAGCTCCATTTTTGACTCATATTCTTCATATTGTTGCTACGGAATTGATTAATATATTTTGCGTATCCATAATCAACAACACTTACCCTATCAGGGTGATCTACGTTTTCTTTTTTCCAGTTTTCAAACTGATCCTCCCAGTTTTTAAACTGTAAATCAAATTCAGTTTCAGCCTGGGATAACTCCTCTGCAGCAGGTTTAGCAGGACTCGTTTTCTGAGATTCCTGAGGCAACTTTGGCTGCTCTTGAGGTGGTGGTGGAGGAGGAGGTTGCTTCATCAACTCTAGTGGCAGGGGGTTCAGCTGCTGCTGGTTGGGAGTTGATTTAAATGAGTTAGGAGGTTGTATTTGCATAAGAGGGTTTAAAGGTTGGTTTTGCTGATGAGAGCTCGGAGATTGCTGGCTTGGCTGATGCGAGTTTGGAGGCTGATGTTGCTGATGAAAGTTGAGGGGTTGGTTTTGCTGGTGAGAGTTGTCACCAAAACTATTGGGGCCGCCACCGCCACCACGGCCCCTGCCCATTCCTCTGCCTCTTCCTCCGGAATTCTGCTGCTGGCCACGACCACCCCGTTGCTGGAACTGGTTGCCGCTCCACTGTTGCTGCTGATTGTTCTTGTTTTCCCAATTTCCTTGCTGTGACCATCCTCCTGAAAATAGCATTGTAGGACTCTGTAGCAGTTCATTAATTAAATCCTCACCTTGCTGGTGGTCTCCCCGATTAGACTGCTGACCTCGACCCCAGCTAGGCTGCTGGTTTTGGCCCCGATTATTTCCTCTTCCTCTTTGATTATTTGCTCCTCCAGCCCAGGAGGGTTGGTTGCCTTGGCCTCTTCCTCGACCGCCTCGTCCTCCGCCTCTTGAAAATTGAGAAACAGGATCTTCGGCACCAAATCCGAACCCCGTACCGCCACTTCCTTGACGCATCTGGGATTGCATTGCTTCATACTGCAATTTTTGCAATAAAATTAATAAATTTTCTTCTCAAACAAAAAAAAAATTACAAAAGAAGGTTCCTTCAATTTTAATGTAATCTCTAATTTTATTTATTTAAAACAATTGCAATAGCGAAATGAATTTAACGTAAGCAAATTAAGTTCCGTCAAATTTTTAAGAAAAGCTGCTTACTCAGGTGGGAAATTTTATTTGAAATTTTCAAAAGATTTTTCACTATTGTAGGAAATGTATATTTTTTCCAAGTGCATTCAACTATAAATCATAATTCTATGTTCCCAGTGTGTTTCCGATTGCAAATTTGCTATCAAAGCAAAGCATTACCTGCTCCCCATATTGTTCCTGCCACTGCGAATACTCCTGCTGCCACACCTGCCATTCATTGGCACTTCTTAAACTGTCCTTAAAAGACATCATACTCTATTAAATACTTGTTTATCACAGATATTGAAATTAAAAAATGGACTTGTTTACGGGCTTCGTGAAGACAAAAAATCAAATATTCCGTAAGGACTTAAACTCGAAATGATGTAGCAAGGTTTATTATGCACTTAATCGAGTGTTGCAATTCATAAAGAATTTAAGAAATAAACAATGCGAATTTGTGACTGTAAAATGTAAAAAAAGATTTTGATGTTCAAGGCCGATTAACTATTGAATACACATTTCCACTTATACAATCCTCTATATCCAGTTTTCAGTCTCACTCTCCTTAAAATTAAATTTTTGGGGTATATTCAATAATATGCTAAAATTTGTCATAATTTTGACGAGCTGGTACTTACTTCTTGTAAACTATTCTGCTGCAAGTTTGGGAATCCCATAGCTTGCTGCTGAGCAGCATAATTGGCAGCTGCTGATTCCCAATTCTGCATAGCGGACCTGTGAAGTGAAAATTACTCGCTAAATTTCTAGCCTCAAATTGTCAACAATGAAACAAATCGAGATCGGTCTTGGCGCTTTTCAAAACAAACACGCAATAATATGCATCCCTCTTCAGCGGTTTTTACAAAGACAGTGAGAGATGAAAATTCGTTATAATATGTCAAAATTAAAAACACTTACTGCTTTAAGATTTGGCAGGTGAATAAGAAATTATTCCCTGTCGGCTTTGCGTTCCATTCCAGCACAAAAACAAATCACAACATACGCTCAGGCTTCGGCAGTCACCATCTTTATTGACGACACGGGGTGGGGAACTGGGGCATCTGGTAGGTTCTTTTTGTAGCTGGTTAGTCGGTGACCCAGGATTGTATTGGTGCCGATGCAGCACGGCATTTTAGAAAAGCAATCACAATTGTCGCGCACTTACAGTTGTGGCCATGTGTTTCTCGCAGTCGCAGTCGCGTATTGTAGATTTCAATAAATTTCCGATTTGAATGACAATTTTAAACTTTTTGAAGATCGAAAACTAAAATTTACTGTTTTTTTTTATTTTAAATTATTTCGTTGATTATAAAAAAGCCATTATATAAAATTAAAGCAATTTAAATTGCAGTTTTTATTTGCAAAAAAAAAAACAATTAAAATTAAATTAAAGTTAAATTTTTCTAACATGCAAAATGAAACATAAATATACACATGTATTAATTTTAACCGTTTCTTTCTATTATGTTGTTTGCTGTTGATTTAGAAAAAAAAATAAAAAAAATGAGAGGGATGTTAAAAAGTAATAAAACGAACAAATTTTACATTCTCAGTAAAATTGGTGTGAATTATATTTTTGTGACCAATTATTTTAAGACATGTTTCATGGTCGGTAGAAGATGCTTTAAATTTTAATTGTGATATGCTCGCTCTATGAACTTTTTGTTAGTGAGATTTTGGTCGAGGCCACTTTTGTAACATCATTAGCACTTAAAATTCAGAATCACAATGATAGAGGGTTTTCATCAATATAACGTTAATTGTGTTGAAATTAATCAATGGTAAACATATATCTTACTAATTTATAGGAAAAAATTTGTACCGAAAGCTAAATAGTATAATAGTAGTTGATCCTGTAACATGCTTTGATTTTCCTTTGCTGAAATCGTTGCTAAGAGAGTATCATGAAAAAACTCTCATGACTCCCAGCAAAATAATATACATGCATACTTTTTGTGTATTTTATCATCAACTAGAATAGATACTATAACAAATACAGTTATAAAATTAAGTTGACAAAGTTGGCACTCAAGGATAGTTTCTCTGCAAATTTTTGCTCATTTAAAATTTAAATTTGCTCAGCACATTAAAGTATAAAAGGCACACATTCGATTAGAATAAAATTTCTCTTCGCTTTTACAAAATCATTTTGATTCAGCTTATGGCCGATTTAAAAAATCTCCTATTTAAAAAGTTTAAAAAAGTATCAAATCTGCGTAAAAAATTAATTTTCTTTTTTACAAAAAATTATTGTCGCGCAGCTAATTTACTTTTAAATTAAAGGAAGGCACATTGAAGTTCACTGCTCTTAAATAAGCAGGTGACTATGGCTTGAAACTACACAGCCAAGCATTTGCAGACACTTTCCAAGATGTCACATTCATACACACTCTTGTTAAGTTTGCTGCTTCCGACAAGATCTTATTGTAGTGCGTGTTGCGAATTTTGTGCTATACAAAAATATAGCCACACAACACAAATGTAATTATTATTTGTTCTCAGCATTGACAGGAATTACAATTCATCAAGAAATTAATATAATTTTTATTTTCCATTTCTTTTTGTCTTCCGTGTTTATTTTACATTTGTAGAGAAGTGTAAAAATACGTCCGTATTTAAATAAATAGCGAGTGTCTAGCTTAAAATTCTCTCAGTAAATGGAATATTGGAGTGTTTTAAGAGGGTCCCACTTTTTCAGATAGTTTTCATGCTTTCAGCATGTTTTCGTACTGTACAAAAAATATTTTTGTTTGCTCTCTTGCGTTTTAGACAAGACAACCTCTGTCTAGGCCCTGGTGATGGGGGTAAACTTCCACATGCACATAGGGATTCTGAGGGGATTCTTGCGGTGAGTTGCATGACCCATGACCCGAGTAATAGTTCGAGTAATGATGCTGGTTGTGAGGGGCCATCTGGGGGTCCTTAACTCCTATCAGGCTCACTGGGTTGCTGGTGATGTTATTGATGCACGCCGGCTGATGCACCGTCAACATATCCACGAGGCGCCGCTGCTCAGCTTCCAAATTTTTTATTTGCGCCTTCAAGTCATGGTTTTGCGCGTCCAGCACTTCCGATTCCTAGGTTTTAATTAAAATTAAATAAAAATACATTTTAGATAACTTCCGTGCTTTACAAAAAGCGCATGCTTTTAAGCTTTGACACTCACTTGAAATTTTTAAATGAAATACAATTGTAAGCAAAAAGCATTAAAAATATCATGCAAAAGGGAAGCAAAAAAGGCACAATTTGTTTCATGACGTACTGGCTAGCAAACTTAAAAAATTTCATCAGTATAAAATAATAATAAATTATTTTAACGCGAGGAACTTTAATTATTTTATTGAAATTATAGACTCGTATTATATGCAAAAATATAGCAAGAGAACAAGTTTGTAACTTTGAAACGATCCAATTCTTAATCTCTTTAAGAGACACTCAAAACGCTGCACACAAGCAACTTCAAAACAAAACTCACATCAATTGGAGTTTGGAGTTGATTAAAAATTTAATATGCTATAGCGCATAATATGTAATGTCACAGCGGAAAACAGCTTGAAATCAAATGTTCTTTTTAAAGCATTTTCCTACCAAAAATTATTTTTTTGATCGTTTTTGCCAGAAATGACCATTTGCAATCTTCAACAAATCTTTAGTTTGCTAAAAACTCTTTACTTTTCCCTCTTTATTATTTCTCAAGGATTGTTTTTGATAACATTTTACTTTCGCTGGCAAAGAGATTATTTTAGGCGGCGAAACTTGTGATCTTAGCAAAGTGTTAGAAAGGCGCGAGAAAAATAATAATGGTTGCGCGGCTCTCTTTGTTGCAAAGCAAATAAATATCTCTTGTATACATCGCAAGCGCACGTACACTGACTTGAAACGGAGATGCGCCAACAAGGTGGCTTAATGTATTTAAACCCCTAAGCGTGCGCTGCCGCCGTGATACAGGTCTTGTTGAAAAGGCACCTCACGTTTTTCCATTTAATTAACTTTCAGCCCGAGGTAATAAAAAGTGCAGCGTTGTTAAAAGTAAAGCAAATAAGCAGAAAGCAAACACACTCGCGCACGTGCACACACACACACCTGTACAAGGTTGACTGTCTTCTCACGTTTCTTCAGTCTGCATTTCGTGGCTGCAATTTTGTTCCTTTCGCGCCGTCGTCTTCTTCTCTCTGCATCCTCGGCAGTCAACTGAAAGCCAAAGAACTACACTCATAAACGTATGATCAAAAATGGATATAAGAATTAAGGATATTTGTTTAAAATTAACATGCGGTAAAAAATTTTCATTTGCTTTAAAAAATCAAACCCTCCCAGATTAAATAATGAAATTCAAATACTAAGTGTTTTTAAAATAAAAAATAAACACAATTATAAGCAAAATTTGCAAAGAGATCTGCAAATTTGCGGTTATATAAATAAATTTTATTAAGCCTTACTTCAAATTTAACATTTCTAAACAACTTTCTTTTTCAACAATTCCCAACAATTAAAGAATTTCTTCCAGCTTATACTGAAATTCATAAAGTTAACCCTCTAATTTTTATTAAAGTTAGTAACGAACCTCATCATCGCCTGACGAACTGATATTGCTAGAAAAATACTGCATTTTAGGCACCATGGAATTAACGTCTTCGGCGGGCGAAGTGTCGTTATTAGGGAAAACGGGTTCGGGGCCGCCACTGGTTTTTCTTTTTGACTGGATCGTCAGTTTTAATCCTTCTTTAATCAGCTGAGAGCAAGTGTGTTGCACACTTGGGGGTGGCATGATTTCTTGCGAGGGGTGCATTAAGTTGGAAGACTGCGCCATCGCCTGCTGGCCTCCAGCGAGCGGCGAAACTTGGTGCGCCAGCGAGTGCTGCTGTTGATGGGGTCCGCTGCCACTGGGATAAGTGAAAGGCCCACTGCTCATTGCAATCACCGAGTTGAGCACCTCAGGGGTCTTTGGTGTGTTGCATGGGCCATCGATCCCCGCCATGTTGATGTTCAGGTTATACATGTGCGATTTATAAAACTAAACGCACGCCTAAATTCAACACACAGAACGTGATGCATATCGTTAGAAAAATTTTGGCTCTTTGTCTTTTGAATTGAGTTAAAATAGAGAAGAGAAAAAGATAGAAGTTAAAGATAGAGCATTCTGTTTTTGCCAAGAAAGCGCGATGGAGCAGTAGATAGAGCTTTGATCAAAAAGCGACGGTCTCACATTTAATGTGAGATAGCAAAAGCGTCATATTATGAGACGAATAGAAAAAACCGTTCTAGAAAAGAAACGTGAATTCAATGCATTTTCTTGCAAAGTAAGCAATGATTTAATTCAAATCATGCTTCTAAATTTGAAAGGAGACGCTCCAGTATAAATAATTGGTGTCTGTCAGTTGTGTAAAGATGCGGGCGCTACGAAAAAGCCAGCACATAATTCGTCGTACGTTTCATTAGTAAATGAATTAAATTCAATTCACGTGTAGAGTAATTTCAACGTGGAAAGGCGCAGATGTCACTTTTAAATGCAATTTATTAATTAGAGACACATTATTTGAATTTTGTCTTTTTATACACACGCCATATGTTTCAAATTGAAATGGTTAATATTTTGGCATTTTTAGGTTATTTCCCCTTTTTTTCAAATTTTTATTTGCGGAAATTATTCATCTGAATGTTGGGAATTGTATTACCACACAATTAATAAAGCGCTCCTTCCTTCCTCACATCCTCTCCAGTCCTAGCCAATTTCCTTTTGTCTTCCGGTGCATATAATATGATAAGTTTTCATTGGCATTTCCAATTTTATCTTTTCGTCAATTTAGTCACTCAACTTATCTTGAACAAATTAAAAAAGAGGCAATAATTTTAAATAGGCAATTAAATCGAAAGATTTAAGTTGTATTTTTAACTTGATTTGACTTCAATAAGTTTAAAGAAAAAGTAAAATTAATTCAGTTTTGAGGCTAAACTCATTATCCTCATCGATCTGCTGTTTTTTTATATTATGATCTATTTTTTCAATTAATAAGTTTATTAAGAATATCAAGGATAAAGCTGTTTTTATTTTTATTCATGGATCCATTAACGTATCCATAATTAAATGCTCACATTCATTGCTTGAATGAAAAAAGGACCTGCCTTAAATTTGGTTGAATTTTAATAAAATGCAAGAAACAAATCTTCTTTGCCATAAAACCCTACTTATGTAAAATGAATAGGGATAGGCTTTTAAGCTATAATATGAGAACATCTTGTTGCTCAAATATAAATATTCCTTTAAGTAGCTTAAAGCTGCAGAGGGCGCCAGAGACGCGGATCCGTGACCCGGCGAGCCGAGATTTTGATCGAGGCGCACTGAAGGTTTAGCTTGTTCTCTTTATTTGCTTGTGCATTTCCATGGTTAACAATAAGGAGCACAAGGAGATTAATGTATGCGTTGAATGTATCGGACGTTATGGCGTCACTTTTCAGATTGCGCTATTATTAAAAATAAAAAGCAATTGTTTTAATGAATTCAAAATAATTAATTGTTAAATTAATGTTCAGAATATAAGTTTCTCTATAAAATAATATTAAAAAAAAAATCAGAAATGCAGGAAAATAAAAATTATATTCATATACATATATTTGACCTAAAGTAACCGACATCAAATATCTTTCCGCGCCCAACCCTTTGCTATAAGTGGCCTCGCCGCGTTTTTTCCTTGATGGCCTCTACTTATGTAAATTGTGTATTTTCATACTAAATATATTTATTAGTAAAGCCAAAATAATTTTTTACGATAAACATTTTGTGCAAGGCACTGATTAAATTTAAAAAAAAAAAAAAAAATTTAGTATAAAATTTTTGGTAAAATGCACTTTCCTTCACAAACTGCGATGTATGCTAAAGCAGCAAGTTTTTATTTACATAAAGAGCTTGGGTGTTGTCAGTGGTCGGTTGCATAGCGTACAAGAGCGACGATTGCGAAAAACGAGTCGAATTGCCAATAATTCTGCCCATAGAACATGCAAAGAAAAGCGACTTATTAATTAGAGGCCCTACCTCTGAGGCAAAGTGTGGCACGTCTGACAGAGAGCCAGTCTCTCGGTATTGATACGCGCGTGTGTGTGTATGTGTGTGTGTGATCCGCCCGCTGTATGTCACAAGGTGGGTGCGCACCACTAAACGTCGCGTCGCACTGCTCGCGCTACCACAACGTGCTCTCTCAGAGTTAAGTGGAGACAAACAAAATGATAAGTCGGCATTCAACAGGTAAATCGAACGTGCTCGAGGAGCGGTGCACTCGCGCAATCCATTGGCAATACGAATGTGCTCTTCAAGCAAGACGGGCGCGTTGTGTTTTGTATTACTAGCTCTCGCAGCATCTTGCACTCCCATTGTGTTAACCGCGCCTAGAATAGCGAATCACGTCATCGTTCCAGCTTTTCATTGGTCGCCGCTGATGTCATCGACCGACAACCATTGGCCGTGCCTTCCGCGGCAAACTCTCCTCTTGTTGCTCTCCTCTCTTAGCTTCTCTCTCTCTCTCTCTCTCCCCACAATCAATCGCCGTCTTCAAAGTTACATAGTGTTCGTCTTTTGCACATTTTACTCCTTCTTATATACAATTCTCATTACCACTTTCATTACCAAGAAAATTAATTTAAAAAATAACTTCGTCTATAAAATAATTTTATGCATCAATAAAAATACATAATATATTCTCATGCAAAACAAAACGCAGCTTCGAGTCAAGCAGTTACAATTAAATTGTTTATTCGTCACAGAGCGTCGTGTCATAATAGAGGGACAAAAAGTTGTTTCCATACAGTAACAACATAATTTTATAATATTATTCAAATTCCTGATTCCGAAGAAATGTTTCATCGATGCAGTAAAAATACTGAGAATGTAAAAATGGCAACACTTAAAAACATAGGTGCAGGTTTTGAAATTTCATTGGATAGTAAACCTGCGTAATTTTTGTGTTGAACATAAACAGCCATTGTGATCAAGACAATCATGAATTTAATTACCAGTACTCATCTATTCACCTTAAGAGGGGGGAGCTTTTCTTATATGGCATTGACAGACAACAAGTCTTGTGATAATATTATTATATTTAATCAAGCTGGAAATAAAAAATCTCTTTGGGGAAACATGATATATAGTCAAGTTTAATAAGATGACAGACTGATTTTTTCCACTAGCGCATAGTCGCATACGGGCGCATAATATTTTATTCTCAATATGGGAGGCGCTGCTCAGTGAATTAGGTCAATTTGGCTGGAGATATATGGGAGGCTTCTGCTCAAGGCAGGCGCGGAGGAAAGGGAGTGTGCTTAACATTGGATAATTAAATAACAAAATATCTTGTGGCATTTTGAGAGCCTTTTTTGCTCGTCAGATGCTTTCCCGGAAGCTTTGAGCAGAGAACTGAAGTAGTTCTAAAATGGTCAAGGTTTTAATTAATCAACTCAAAATACAATTATTTTAAAGAGTGCTCAACCACGAAACTTCTCAACTTATTAACTTTAGATATTATTTGGCTTGTAAACATTCGCTCTTTTCAATTATGGCTCTCATGGCGCATCCTTGTTTGCATTTGCGGATGTTGAGAATGAATCTTGCAGAAATAATATAATACCTAAGTTGCTGCATTATATAAAATAAAAAACATTTAAAAAGTTCACATAACTATTAACACAAACGTATCGAGGGTTCAAGACCACAGCTTCATTTTTTCGTTTCAGAAGCTTACCAGATGCATTAATCGAAAACAATCTGAGACCCATACTCGAGATAGCTATGACTAGATACTAGATCCAAAAATCCCAGACGGGTTAAGTATCAGCTCAGTATAATAATAGTAGCAAATTCATAATTTCAATCCGTAAACATCACACAAAAGCCAAAAACAGGTACCCGAAATCAATGAATAAAATTAAAATCACAACTATATGCTAAGTTAACAGTGAGCTCCTGTTTTGTCTTAAATTTAAAGCTGAATAGCCTATCGTCTGTTGCTTGCAAATCAGGGCTATGGCCGAATATCAAGAGAAGGTCGGCCGGATTAAAGCAAATTTTTTTCTGCTACCAACGCCTGCGTGAGATACAAATCTCTTCATCAAGGGGAGGCCTGCTCTAAATATTATCTTTTGGGAAAAAAAATGATTGGCTTCAAAATTAAAAAAAAAAAAAAAATTGCCCTTTGTCTTTCTATGACTCTTGGAAATGATCACTACAAGAATAAAAACTTGCCGAAACAGTCTTTTACATTCTGCGATGCTTGGCGTTCATTCCGGCGCGCAGCACCTCAGCATAACTCTTTTCCAGATTCTTGAGACGCGCTACATCAGCAGAAGCCATACTCGTAAAACCTACAGGGGGAGGCTTACTGGCAGGTTCTGCAGAGCTGCTGGGAGATCCAATTAAAGATGGGCGAGCTGCATTTTCTGTCGGAAAATGGTAGTACTGCTGCTGATGTTGTGGATAATGCTGTTGCACATTCGAATGTTGTGGATAATGCTGCTGGGCCTGTTGATGCTGCGGATAGTGTTGTTGGCTTTGGGAATGCTGCGGATAGTGGTGTTGGTTTTGCGGATGTTGGGGGAAGTGCTGCTGATTCTGCATATGCTGTTGTTGTTGCTGCTGCTGCGGGGAATGCACCTGTTTTTGCTGTTGTGGCTGCTGTTGGCTCTTCTGATAGCGGGTCCAAGGCATCAAGTTTGTCGGATTCATTGGCCGGTTCCGCCTCACCCAGTGACGTCCTCGACGGCTGCTGTCGGAGCGTTCAGATGAGGCAGGAGACGGATCCCTCTTCATGTGCGGCGGCAGAGGTTGAGGAAGTCCAGCCTCGGCGGCCGCAGCACCTGCCTTTTCATGACTGAGCTGCTCAGGGGTGAGAGCCAAAACCTTTCGGCGCAGCTGCTCTGCCTTCCGTTCAGCCTTGGAGCGATTCTTGGCACGCCGAGTCTTGCGCTTGCTGCCACTTGCCAAAGAAAGGATGCTGCTTGGGCTAGGCGCATCGTCTCGATTTATCACCTCAATTTTTCCAGCCTCATCATCTTTGTTTTCAGCCATGCCGCTGATCTGAGGGTCGGGGCTACGTTGGCGTTTTTCTGCAGGGGCAGCTGTAAGAAGGAAATATAATTTTATTGAGAGTAAAATGCTATCTTGTAAGAAATCAGGATTATTTTCAAAGTTTTTTTTATTCCCACTCCAATATTAAATTGATTAACTTTGGCCTACCTTTGGAATCACTTGCAGCCGCTGATTTACCAACAGATTTCTTAAGAACAGAGAAAATCTCACTGAAGAGTTCCTTGTATTCAGGTGCCTGCTGAAAGCGGCTCTCCATAGGGTCGGCGCTTTCATCATAAACATGCACAATACAGTCCGAGGGCCCTCCACCAGGAGCGGAGATTGACCATAACAGTTTACCTCCACCTGAAATTATTATTTAATTTTCGTACTCCCAACCAAATCTAATAAATTTTGTTTGTAACTTTCATTAAAAAATATATATATTTTATCAGTATGATAATATATAATGTAGTATTTTAAGTGCTGATAATTATTGTATCTGGTATTATGGTGACCAAACATAATATTTTTTAATTATTAAAAGCTTTAAGAAGTTTGCTATTAAGTAACCACAAAGCAAAGGCATGCAAAAGCGTTTCAAAGTAGAGAGAATTTAGGACATGTTATAGTGTCAAATTATGGAAATTTATGGCAAATTTCTGCTTTAAGTATGTTAGCCAGAAATAAATTTAGACGATACATACCCGACATGAGGTCAGTCTGGATGGCTTTGTCTTGAAGTTGGTTGAGATGCCCATTATCAAAAGCACTGGTAGTGGACGTAGCCTCTGTATCTGATTTGGAGAAGTAAACATGATCAGTGGCATTGCTAGGTTCGCCTTCCTCAACTTTGCCTGCAATAAAATGATTTCAGCTCTATAAATATTCGTTTCATTTACAGTTGGAAAATCATATCCAAAAAAGAGGAGACATAAATAACGTACTAAATTCTTCAAGTCCAAGAGATGCAGGACCATTGGCACCAATCTCCTCCGATAACTGCAATTCTTCCTGAAGTGAAAGGCATCCTCCTGTGTCTTGAGGTGGAATAGGCGAGTTGCGCATTTTGCTGCCAAGCACGGTGGTGATTGTTGATGGTGTATCTGAATGCCGAGATGGCCTTCTTTGAATGCTCAAAAGAGCTTCGTACTTTTCAACCAAAACTCTGTAGGGGCTATCCGACTAAAATATAAAAATTAATTTATGTTCAATTGGAAAAACGGCCTTTTTTTGTAAATTTTTAACAGGAAGTTTTTGAAATATCCTTTGCCAAACTTCATTAAGTTTTAATGCTGGCAAAACGTTGCTTATTGATGAGCCCCAAGTGTATAAAGGATATTTGTTTGGAACTTATTGAAGAGGCGACTTTATTATGTATTTAAATTATAAAACTTACAAGTATAGTGTTATGCGTTTCAGAGGCTATCGATTGGACGTCGGTATCCGCATCTGTGTCATCAAAATTGCTCTCTTCCTCGACAATGGAGCTGGAAATATCATCGTCGATGACTGAAGATGCAGCAGTGCTCACACCTGCTACACCTTTGCGGCTACAGCGCATGCAGATTTGATTGAATTGTCTGAAATTATAAAATTTTTCAATTACCCTAATAATTTTAAAATTATAAACATACAACGATGCAACCTCCTCTTCAAATGACCTAAGCTGTTCTTCCCTCATTTTGAAATTTGCAATATGCTCTTCCAAAGTAGCATTTTCTTGAATTAGGTTCATCAGCTGCTCTTCAAGTTCGTCGGCTCTTTTCTGTTCTTTTGTCTTCTGCGCTTTGAGCATAGCCAACTGCATTGCCAAATCTTGTTCCTCGGCATTATCGTTCTCACAGGTTTCTTGGTTGGTGGTTGACGTAACTCCCGGTACTGGAGCATTCCCATTAGATTTAGGTTTGGAACCCTCAGACGTTTGCTTTTCTTCTAATTGTCGTGTTAGCTCCTCGCAACGAGCTTCCAAAGAGTCAATACTGTGGCACAAGCTGGGAAAATACAAATAAGTAGGAATAAAAAATTTGAAAGTTCAAAATTATAAAACTGCATGGGGCATAAATCTTTGGAAAACTAGCAGTTTACCAGTCGGGAAAACTCACCTTTTGATTTTCTTTTTGTCCGTCGAACTTTCAAATGACAGCCGTTGATTGTTCTTTTCAAGCTCCTGAATGCTAACCTCTAGCTGCTCATAAATCCTCAGTCTGGAGTTGTTCACCTCACGCAGTGCCGCCGTTTGTTTAGTCAAATACTATAACAAGGCGTAGGGATATAATGAAATAAATTTGAATGGCTTCCCTCCTATAAGAGGAGACCAATACAAGTCCCATTACTTTCATTGGAACCACCAAATTGGACTTTATTAAAGTAAATTAAATAAACGAATAGACTAATAACATTGTTAGAAAGCAAACCAATCAACATAATAATGGGTAAAGCTCGAGTGGTTTCTGAGTTACTTTATCAATCATTTTAATTAAAGTTTATATTATCTAGGGTAAAATGACCATCAACTGTGTCCGTTAAAAACTAATGTAATGATTGCGTAAAGATAAAAACTTGTGGTCATTAATGACTTTCATAAGAGGTGTAAATTTTAATTTGATAGATTTAAAATTTTAAAGATTATTTCGATTATTTCTTAAAACCCTCTGATTGCAGATAAAAAAATCCAACTGGTATTGTTATTACTGAGCGGATAACGGTGGCACACAGTTGAGAAATGTGCTTCCTTTTGTTTCGGAGATTTTGTCACCTCATGCTGTAAAAGCTGCGCATAAAAGTGGACCATGCAGTCCGTTCGACTTTCCAGCTTTAATTCAGGCTGACCGAGCTGCACCTTTTACAATTCAAAAGGTACGTCAACCTTTTATTTTAAAAGAAAATTCTCAGCGGCGCGCCCATCGCTTTGTTTCCGCACCGCGCCGGGCTCACCGCGGAATTCACGCACGGATAGCTCAAAAGGTGACCAGGAAATTTAATATTAAATAACATACCTCTATTTCTTGAGCTTGGTCATCTACGAGAATTTGTTTTTTTCTCAGGGTGCTCTCCAACTCTTTGTTGCGCTCCAGCAAAGTCTTGCCAAGCTCAGCAGCCAATTGTAAGTCTGGAAAATAATTAATGACAAAAATAACTCTGTGCTGTTGTAAAAACACCTTCACAATAATGCAAATTTAAAAATAGCGGGAAATTGCCAAGGTAAAAATAGGCATCTATTTTTAGAATAATATATGTTGCAATTTTGGCTCACGGTCCACAAGGTCACAGCCAGTGAGTGGAAATAGTTTTGCAAAAGTAGGCTAGATCTCTTGAGTACCATAAACAGAAAAAAATTCATGCTTTGCCGAATTAAAAGTCCTGCGTAAATTTTTATTGCACCAAAATGGATTTATTTTTAATCATATGAAGGCAAGGAAGCGTGTCGATTGGGTAGACAACGGAACAAACTTGATAAGGAAACCTTTGCAAACTTTGTTCATTAATGGTGTGGCTTGAGATTATACCCTAGCTGAATACAAATGACGATTGAGTTCGCACACTTCCTATATATTAAAAAATTGCATCACTTAACCAATTGAATTATTCAGATTTATGCTTATAGTGCACATCACATTTTATGTGTTGCTTTGATTATATTCGTCATCAAAATTTTTTTCTAACAATGAATAAAAAATTTGCATTGACGTTATAATGATTTTCGGTAGGAGCTGCAATTATAAAATTGTGAAAAATAATGCACAGCTCATAAAAAAGCAAAAACATGAATTTAATTTTTTTGAAAACCTTTTTGACACAAAAAAAAACGCAAAATAGAATTTACAGTTTTTTTAATAATTGAATGTTTTCTTTAAAATTAAAATTAAATTTTGTATAAAAAATTTGGTATTAACATAAAATAATTTTAAAAATTCTGTTAATAAAGTTGTGATGCTCAATCATCTCTCTTTCTGTCTTTTTCCATTTTTTTTTTTTCATTATTGTTGACAGAAGATTATTAAAACGAAAATTCACTATTAAGTTATATTAAATTTTATTACTTAAATTTTAAGATTTGAATTTGAGTGTCCTGGATAAGTTTTGTTCTAACATAACAATATTAAATTTTGAAGTTAACTCTCTGGACATAAAAATGAGAGTACTTTCTAATTAAAACTTTTCACCTTGATATTATTTTTAGTGTTGATTTGAAAAATGCAGAGGTTTTGATCAAATTTTAAATCAAGAATTTAATACATAATATAGATCGATCTGTTCTCTCTTCTGTTCGCGCTGCGAGGTGCGATTTTAACAGAAGGGTGGTTATGAAAAGTGTGCCCCTGCTCCTAAATTAAGCCCTACTTCTGCGAGCAACCCAGACAAAAATACCTTGCATCATGAAATTTTTGTAATCCTCGGGGCTGATGCTGTCATCGATGACACCCTTGTCCTTGTCCGCAAACATGTTGGAGCACGACATTTGGGGGTCGCTTGCTCAAGGGTGCGGTGATGTGGCGCAGGCTGCAGGTCATGAATGGAACGGAGAGTGCGTAAATAAGAAAGAAACCGACCCAAATCCTAGTCCGTACCTTCAATATTCTTCCTGAAACCGAGCGAAAAGTGCTGCCATAATGAATCTGCTACAGCCGAAACGTCATGCAGCGGACTGCAGACGACATGAAAATACTAGACAGACGACAGACATGCGCGCTAGCGCTGACCAATCGATCAATTGGAATGAGCTGAAGTTAGCCGCAGAGGTTTAACTTTCAAATAAGCACACAGTCGGGGAAAACCAGAAGCAGCAAAATTTTGTCATTTTGTGATAAGAATGGGGAATAAATTTCAAGTGGCTGTAGTAAGTGGCAAAGATAAGGATTAATAATATTAGTTCAAATTAAATTCTCATATACTATTAGGCCATTTAGCTCTAGAGGAAAATATTTTTTTTTTCAAGTAATTTTACCAATAAACTATATTGATTACATATACATGCATTGATAAATTAAATATTATAATTGATTTGATTTGAGGTGGTCAATACTAAAAATTTCAACAAAAATATTATACGAAGCACAAATTTTTATTTCAAAAATAAAACATGTGGTTTGATTTAAAAGAGATCAGCATAGATACTAAATTGTTAATTAATTAATATAAAATATGGGTAATGTTGTTTTAGTTTAAAATTGTGACATTAATTTAGTCCTCTTTGTCAAAAAGTCCAGGAGACAAAAATAATTTATGGTTAAAGCCGATTTGTTCAATGCACATGGTTTGCGAAAGCGAGTCGCCAGTGATACACCTGGACAACGCATTGTCCACCTGCAAAACATCATTTTTATCATTAAAACTATCAGCATTAAATAAGCAACATACTTCCTGGAGCATGGAATAGACATGAGTGTTGTGGGCTTTGTTCATAAAAACTTCCACCACTTTCTGTATAAACCAACTTCCTCGGTTCACATCTCGTAATGCAACAAATCCTGAAAACAAGACGATTAGATTTAGTAAATTAAATTGTCATCTGTTCAAAAAAAGATTAATTACCTCTGGGGGTTGCATGAGCTATCAATATATCCGAGAGACGTCGGACAGGAGGTGGCAAGCAACCTTGGCCATCAGCCTCTGTTGTGTCATTCAGCACAAGTCGATGAGACGCTAGTTTCACAATTGCACTTTTTGTTTCACCTCTGGAATATTGAAAATTAAATTCAAGAACTTTTAGGTTTTACAAATTTAAACCTGCACGCTTGGAAGAAAAATACTTTTGGTTTGTTCACAAGTCCGGGGCTGTTTTTAGCATCAAACTGATCTACTACCCATGTGTAGGGAATCTAGGAAAATAGAAACTAAAATTAGAGGATGCATAAGCTATTTATCAGTTAAGCTTACAGTCTTTCCATCACTTGCAATAAAAACAGACGTCACATTATCTTCAGCCTCAGGTTGCAGCATCCGGCCATGAGACATGATTGACACCATGCAAGTGTGAACTTGAAAGTGTTTAGGATTAGACACAAAAGTCTTGATTACATCCATAAACTCCTGAAAAATGATTTACTTTTATTAATCAAGAAAAATAAGTGATGAAATTAATGTTATGCAATGGATCCCAAGTCTTAATTGGGAAAAGAATTTATAAATTTATTATTTATAGAGAACCTCTTTCATAATTTATGCTTTTAAATTTGTTAGTTTAAGGGCTTTTAAAAACCATTTTATTCTTGCAAACCTTTTTTTCGAGATCAATGTGAACCTCGGTGTCGTAACCAAGCTGTTTGAAAAGCTCTTCCATGTTTCTGTCATCGTGCTCAGCACCACGACGACGCGAATGATTTTTGTCCTCGTAGTCACGAATGTTAATAATCAATGCAAGGCCTTTCGGACTTGAGCCACATCGGTATCGCTGAAAATTTTTAATTAATATGCATAATTTGCTAGTGACTGAAATTTTAACAGTACTTACTGGAGATTTGGAAATTTTCAAGTCATGCCTTTGCTCAGCCTTTCGGACTGAAACTTCAATTGCTTCTGTGCTAAGGTTAATGCTGGCGCCTTGGAACTGGTCAATGGTGTCAAGTAACGAGTGAGGAATTGATTCTTTCATGTATTCCGGGAAATGTGACGGTCGAGCCCTAACACGCAATAATGCACTTATTACTGATTCATGGGATTTTTGTGAAATGCATTTCAGAACATGCGAAGCAAAACATGATCTAAAAACCTACATTAGTAAATTTATGTAAAACGTACCCTGTGTAAGCTGCATAAGATGGATGAATGTGCAATTCACAAGGCTGCAGGATATTTAGTAGTTCGGTGTAACCACAGGCACTCATGGCATGTTTAAGCTTTTCAAACGCTAACGGCCCCTGTCTTTGAATGTCCAAATAAAATTCCATCTTTCGGGTTTTTAAATTCTGACTCTCCTGCATGGAAAGTTGAGAATATTTTAGCGTGAATATAAATTTATGGCAAAGGACGTTTTTGATAAACAAAAATACTTTAAAATAGCATACACCAGGCATACACAATGTTTTATTAATATAATGTAATAAATAATAAAGTAATAAATTTATTGGAGTCAAGTAAGAATAATTTTTTAGAGCCAAATAACAAAATACTATTAGCAATTCTAATGTAATGATTTTTTGACGATTTTCTTGGGCATGTTGCAAGAACTTCATTTTTTTTTTATAAGTAAGATTTTATTTTGTTTTTGATGTTATGCTAACTGAATATGTACAAAACCTTTATTTAGTAAAAATTAAGCTTCAATAAGATGTATGTATGCTATTATTATTTTGAGGGAATGTGTTGTAAAACGAAGTAGGCGAGTCGCAATCTGCGGCGCAAAAAAATTTCAAGGAAAGTTATTTTCAATTTAATTTCAGACATGGCTAGCAGGTTATTTTATAAGCATTATTTTAAAACACAAAGAAAAAAAATTGCATTTTGTAAATTTCATTTTAAAATTTAGATCAAATAATATGACATAAATACACACCGTCGAGTACTTTTTGACTGCCTCTTCCGGGAAAATTCCATACTGTACGAGAGTGTCGACAATCCTTTCAAGATTAACTGGACTTGTTGAGGCCACCAGTTTATCGAAGTTTGTGTTTATAATCTCCTTGTCTTCCTCCAGCATGCCATTGTTTTGATCCATCGTAATTTTACTCTTGGTGTTACTTATCCCCGCGAGTGCCGAGTTCTTTATCCAGCAAAGATAAGACTTGTCTTCTCCATTTGTTTACTCCCGTCAGTTATTTCAGAACATATGCAACCACCAACACAAGGAGCACCAACATCAACAAAACGATTGAAGCGCCATCATTTGCTGCGTATTTGGACAATGCGGAAAAATAAGGAAATTCTAACAATTTCTGTTTGCTTGTTTTTGACGCTAGCTTCATCATGGTACAAAGGGGGCGTGGTTTGTGATTGTCACGAGCTATCTGGTCTCTGGGTCATAATTATAATAGTTCAGAGATGAATCAACCTTTTTAAATTTGATTGAGAAAAGGTAGTATGTTTATTCTTATCACAAATATCAATTGATTATTTTATTTTCGTCCAAAAGCATAAAAATCAAAATGCATGACGCCTACATGATTGACTGGCTGCTCAAGTCGCCAACCCAAGTGCAGTTCGAGTGTGTTACAACGTTTGGTAAAGACTGGCAAATTTTATTTTAATAATTTTATTATTAAATTAAATTTTAGGTGACAACCTGCTGGTTGGTTCAAAGCAGGGTCATTTGCTGATGTATAGCGTGACATCAAAACCAGCCGATCAAAAAAAACTTGACGTTCAATTGCTAAAGCTGATTAAAACATTTTCTAAGAAAGCAATCAACCAATTGGCTGTTGTTCCTGAATTCGAAATCATCATTAGTTTGTCAGGTAAAATTTTTTAAATCTTTTAGCTACAGGCATGAATAGAATGATAAATATTTTTTGCTTTCTTTTTTTCAAGAATTTTAAAATATTTTGAAACTTAATATTTACTTTATTATGTTTCTATTCAATAAAAAATTTTATCGAGCAATTTAGTGCTGTGCAAATTCCATGACAAAATTAAATAATCCCAAGGAAAATTGTTTTCAGATGGCATTGTAAATGTTCACAATATGAGAGTGTACAATTTCCCAGTTGTGTCCTCTCTAGAGAAAACTAAAGGTGCCAGTCTCTTCAGTTTAGATGTGAAGGTAAACGTAACTACTGTTGAAAATTTTATGTTAAAATTTAAAAACGAAATTAATTTTCTCCATTTCCATTATTTCTCCTTAATAACAATAATTATGACTCTCAGAAAGTAACGTCTCTTACTGGCATAACATCAGTCATGGTGCGGATGTGCGTTGTTGTGAAAAGGAAACTGCAGCTGTTCTATTGGAAAAGAGACAAATTTTTGGATTTCCGAGACGACATCAGTGTGCCCGACATTCCTAAAGCGGTTGAATGGTGTGACGATAAAATTGTTGTTGGCTTTAAAGGAGAATACAAGTTGATTGATGTAAGGAAACTTATCAACTGTAAAATAAATTTAATAGCGGATCCATAGATTTCAGGGAAGCAAGAAGAATTATTTCCCATAAAACCACAAGAGCCAAGCGTGACAAAATTGTCAGACAGGACGTTTGCTCTAGGAAAAGACTGCAAGACCATCTTGATGAATACGGTTGGAGAAGCCCTACAAAATGTTCCTGTCAAGTGGAAAGAACCACCAGAGGCAATAGGTACCTTAAATTTTAATGCTTTTTTTAGAAATCTCATTACTTTTATCCAAATTTGCAGCTTTTGATGACCCATATTTTATTGCCGTGGGAAACGCTAACATCGAAGTGAAGACGACAGATGACTTGCTTGTGCAGCAAATTTCCCTGCCCAAAAGCTCTGCCCGCTTGATTTGCAGAAACCGGCAAGGCTTTCTGTTTGTTGCCTCTGCTGCGGAAGTTTGGTGCTTGCATGGTGTGCCTTTGGTTCAGCAGATCCGACGAGTCCTCGAAGATAAACAATTTGAACTTGCTCTCAAACTGACTAACATATCTGACGAGACCGAGTATGAGAAACGTAAAAACGCGCATGAGATTCAAACACTGTATGCGCACGATCTTTTTGAAAAGAAGCAGTTTGCCAAATCCATGAGCGAGTTCATCAAACTGGGTACCAACCCGTACAATGTCATTCAATTGTACCCTGAGTTGTTGCTGAAACCGGGCTCCGATTCAAAGGCGAGTGCAAAAATGAATGACAGAGACTCGGAAAAGGCTTTACTAGCTCTGATTGAATATTTGACTGAAGTGAGACAAACCATCATGGGAAAGACGGAATGGGTGTCCGAGGAAGTGGACTCTAAAAAGCACAATCTCATTCAGATCATCGACACCACTCTATTAAAATGCTATCTTCTAACCAACGACGCACTTGTTGCGCCTCTCCTTAGGCTGAATAGGTAATTGGTCATTTTTTAAGAATAAAAATAAATTTGATTAAAATATTATCTGCAGGTGCCACTTGAGAGAGACTGAGACAATGCTGAAAAAATTTCAAAAATACCGAGAGCTCATTATTTTGTACCAAACAAATAATATGCACAAGTGTGCCCTTGATCTGCTCAAAGAACAGTCCCAAATCCAAGAGTCTCCTCTTCAAGGAGCAGACCACACCATCTTATACCTGCAACAGCTTGGTAACAACCACATTGATCTGATCCTGGAGCATGCTGCCTGGGTTCTTGCTATGAGTCCAGAAGAGGGGTTCAGAATATTTACTGAAGACTTACAGGAGGTCGAACAACTTCCTCGACCAAAGGTTATTGAAATTTAATTAGTCGTCGCCTGAAATTAAACATAACTTTTTTTATGCCAGGTGCTTGACTTTCTGCTGCGAGAACAACCAAATTTGGTAATTCCTTACCTTGAGCATGTGATCAACGTTTGGGACGAGAAATCAGATATTGTCCACAATGCCCTTGTCTATCAGTACCGAGCCAAAATTCAGCAGTTGCTGGCATCAAACAATAATGACGATGCAAGCGCATTTAGAGAGAAATTGATTACATTCCTCAAGACTTCTCACCATTACAACCCACAAGTGGTCATAGTTCAGTTTCCTGTCGACAGTAGGTCTTGTGAAAATGTTCAAAATTACGATCTAACATGCAGTGTCAAGGTCTATTCGACGAGAGGGCAATTGTTTTGGGTCGGATGGGCATGCACGAAAATGCTATTTCCATATTTTTAAGAACTCTGAACAATACCAGTAAAGCCATGGAGTATTGTGAAAATGTATATCGATGGAAACAGGAGGGATATGAAACGGTATGCAACATTTAATTATTAAGATTACTAAGGAAAGCATTTTACTCCTAGGTCTATGTTCAACTGCTGAGAATGATTATTGATCCACCAAGTGATCCCTTTCAAGAGATGCTGGGAATCTCAAATTCGACTGCAAAGCCTGATGTGGAGAAGGCATTGTCGATTTTACAAATGCACTCTAATGAAATGCCAGTCTTGGGGGTAAGCATTACATAATGTAACATTTGGTTAAAAAAATTTATTTTATTTTGATTTAATTCATTTTTACTGGAAAATTTTGGAGATTTTCCTCTAATATACCTCCAATAACATATATGCAAAAATCTCTTCATTGCCAATTCCATCTAATCCTTTCCCTGATTTCAGCCTCACGTAAACTTACTTACATAGATTGATATAATTTAATTTGGTTCATGAAATTTTGACACTCATTAAAAATTAATTTTCCCTCTTTAATTTAGTTTTCTAATTGAAAAATGAAAATGATTAATTTGGGTGACTTATATTTACTAAAAAATCATGGAAGAAAAATCTCCAATTTTTTTTTCAATTTCCATTACTATATTACTATTACTATTATCATTATTTACTCTATATTGTCTTATTGGAAGCAAATACCAAATTTTGGTATTATGTTTACTATTAAATTGTGCCCATAAAAAACAAATACATTTTTAAATAATATAAATTTCACATCAGTAAAATAATTTTACCTGTGTTTTGTTTCAGGCACTGAATGTACTTCCGGATAACGTACCTCTGGTCAGGATGCAGAAGTTTTTGCACTCTAGTTTTCAACACAAGCTAATGGAGCGAAGGAGAGTGCAAATTCTCAAAGGTCTCTTACAAGCAGAGCATTTCCAAGTAAATATAAATGAGGGGAAAACATCAGCTGATACTTATATATTAATTTCTTTAGGTATTGAAAAAGAAAATTGAAAGTCAGTCTGAGGTAATGCATCTCACTGAATTGAAGCTGTGTCCTGTGTGCAAAAAGAGATTCAGCAACCAAAGTGCTTTTGCACGGTACCCCAATGGAGAAATTGTTCACTATTCGTGTCAAGAGGCAAAGAAGTGAGAAGATACAATTTCACGCGTTTTGTGATATGTATGGCTAATTTTTATAACGAGTTTGAACTTGTAAAACAAGATAAAGGGCAATTACGATTTAAGATTTTTAAAATTTATCAATTTTCACCCATTTTCATAATTCAGCATTGTTATATTATTTAATGAGAAGCAATTTCAATATTTTTAAATAAGTATAATTTCAATTTACTTCATTTGATAATTTATTTTTCCATTTATAAAAAATAATTTTATCGAATTTTATTCCACAATTTATAATGTGCATAATAAAAGAAAAATTATGTAATTTAGTGGGGATGAAACAAGAAGCATACAAGCAGCACTCTATTCATTAATTTTATTTTATAAAAATGACCGAGCAAAGTAATTTATATGGTGTGTGAAAAAGGAGAATAGCATCACAGAACCGACCAGAATCTTACCTATGCGCTATGCGTTCAAACTGTTTCAAACCATTCTAAGAACTGCGTCAAGTTGCTATAATGAATAAATCGGAAAAATATTACGGAATGCGTGGTTGCTGAGCACCATAAATTATTCGCCGATTTGTTTTGTTTGTCTGCCTCATTCCTTTAATTTGCTGCTGAACTGGCTTGCCTGGCTTCATTAGATCATCCATTATTATTATTATACATCTGTGTATGTATACATGTTCGTGCAAGTTTGTCAAACATCCCACTAAATGACTACAATTTTTCGTTCTTCCTACCCTCCCAAAAGTCGGAACCCCCACCACTTCTGCTGCTACTCTGTGCCACTCTTTGCGAGTCTTTGCTGTTTGAATCACACTCACACTTTACAACCAGTGAAACAGTCGGTATCGCTCATTCTTCTGATATTAGCTGTCGCGCCGATCACTACATTCTTATGTAAAATTTTAATTTTTTGTACATAATCGCGTATTATGTAACCCTGATCTCGTCGTTTTCAATGTTTAAAACATCTTCAGTCTACGTGTACAATTAATGCCGGATTGTACAATCCTATTATCTCTGCGATATGCTTCGATTGAGGACAGTGAGGGTGAACTAACGTCTTAAATTACACAGTAAATTCCGAAAAATTAAAGCATAGCTGCAGCTCTTATTGAATAGCAGATACAAGCAATCTATTTAAATTTAAGTATGGATCTCGGATCATCATCAGAGTCTAATCCATCTGTGTTATTGGCTCGTCAAGGCAGTCGGCAGGTTTGCATAATTGTGTTCGTTCATTCTTTGAAATCGGGCCTAAATTTGCATTCGACCTTATTATCTTCCTTACAAGACGAACGTTTTACAGCTTTTGGAGCAAAATTGAAACATGATTTTTAGCTTACAGAATTAAATTGATTGAAGAACATTTTTCTGAAGTTGCCGGATCATATTAGTAAATAAAATTGTTAATTTTTTTAATTTTATAAATAAAAAAAAATACAAATATAATTAAAATCAAATAATGTAATTTTATGTGTCTGCATTTTCAGCCTCAAAATCTTAGAAACACGATGGAAAATCAAAAAACGACTTACTTGGATTACTCGACAGCACGAACGTTGTCTGAAGAGGTATGTATTTGTGAATGAAGTTTTTCCTGACAAAAAGTAGTAAAAAACAATCTAAATATTTCAAAGGAACTTTTTCATAAAAACCAATAATAAAATTATTTTATTTAATGCCTGCAAAATAACATGTAGGCAACTCGCAAGACTCAGTTGAATAGCGGAACAGCATGCGATATGTGATATAATAGTTATGAAAAACATTTTATTTTTTAGAGTGAAGATGATGATGTGTCTGGGAATGAAGAAGTGCCTCTCAAAATTGTTATGGAGGAAAACTTGACCTACCAGCGAGGCTTTGATGACAGCAGCTACATCATATCACTGCCCGACTACTTCACTAAAGAGGAGGTCCCTACCTATGTACCACGTCCTTCAGTAATAGAACTAAATCTCCCATCAGCCACATTTGAATCTTTGGCTGCCACTGCTACTCATTCTACTTGCACAGAGGGCCAAAGGCAAGGAAGATTTAACGCTGATAAGAGCGCCAGTGACTTCCCTTACCCATGCAATATTTGCCAAGCTGTGGGAATTGTGAGCTGCTTCCGTAGTCTGACATTGTATTCTAAGCATGTGCTGAAAAAGCATGGCGTCTCTCTTGAACGACAAGCTTCACATACTTGTATGATGTGCTACAAATCATACAAGTCCAAAAGCAGCTACCTTAAGCATATTGCCAATTCACATCCAGATGTGGAAGACCTCCTGAAGAAAGATTCAAATGAACGTCTTTGGCTGCAGTTCCAGAAGCTAGTGGATGAAAAATTAGAGGAGCTTTTGTCAAATTCCAGAAGAGTCTGTACGTCAACTGACGACACATGGGAAAATATAAATCAACACCATATTCAAGATTCTGGAGTACTAATACCCCCTGCTGATGCTCTTCCATCGTCAGAGTACACCGGAATTGATTTTGATCAAATTTCCCACCAGGTCTTCGAGCAGTTAACTTCAGGTAAATAAAATATCATTATAGCCGTATCATATGATTCAATCTAAAATTTGTTTTTTCTCTCCAGATGAGAATCCGTATGTGCAGAGCTTTAATTCCCCTGGAAGAACTGCTGATCAAATCATTGAGGATCTGTGCCAATTGACTATAGAGATGGATTCTGACAGAAACGCAAGCGTCTACTACAACACAGATAATTTTAATAGTATGGATGGGGTTGCTATTATTAGTGACACATCGAGTAATGCACTGCATACAACTTTTCCAAATGAGACAAATGAATCTGCTCAATATCGTGAAGAGGTTTATTTGAACTATTCAGGATCAGCAAGGGTTGCATATGATAGAGGAGAAAAGGTATATGAAAAAGGTACAAGCACAATTTTTATTTGTAAAAATGAAAATAATTAACAAAACTTTGTAATTTTTACAGACTTTTTGCTAAACAACAAGACAAAAATGATGACCAGGGGTCAGTTAAAAGCACTCGTTAAGAGGTGCCGCCAACCAGAAGAAGAACTTTGTGAATCATTTGATCCAAGAATGTGCAAATACTGTAAAGGTATGTTTGCCAAAATGCATGTGCACCTTAAGGAGAGGATGTGCAAGCAGTGCAAGTTGGTTACTAAGTGTGCTACACAGCACCTGAATCATTTGCCTCTGCACAAACTCTAAAGTTTTCTTATGCAAAAAAATTAAATGAGCGTAGTTTTTGAAAGACCTCTTGCATCTTTGTCCACTATTTACTCTCTTTGTTCTTATTGGCAATAATAAAATTTACTTTCTTTTTAATTTCCACCTTAATTAGCAGAGAGTCATCAATTATTTTTTTCTTTAGGCATGGATATGTAAAGAAACATGAAAAAGCATCTCCATTTGCTACAATGAAACTGTTTTTTTATAATATATGTAAAAAAAAATATTCTTTTAACTTGCATATTATGTTGCACATCCTCTCTGTTATGTCTCATAAGAAGTTTTTTTTTATTATAAAAATCAATCAATTTTGGAATTGTAAATTAAAATTGGTTGAACACAATAATAATTATTGTGAATTTTAAATTTTATGCTGCTAGCTGAAGATAAGCTAAGGTTGTACGAAATAAATCAATTTTTTCTTTAAAATAAAAGGGCTAAAATGATACAGCTAAAATTACTCAGGCTTTTCACAGTAATAATTTATTTTTGATACAAAACTGTGCTCTCACTCTAAAACATTTGGTATAAAACCTACAAAGTTTCTTCACTCGAAAGTCTACTTTCATGTATACACTCTTAAGTTATGAATCACACCGAATAATTTCCACTTTTATCTTGGAACTGAAAGGCACTCGGCAGCAATTTAAGTTCAGCCTCTTATTGTGAAACGGAATTTCCTTGATGCAATCTGTATTGCCTCGAAATAATTTTATTTATATACTGCTTCACGTAAGTGTCTGACATGTCACCAGTCAGGTCTCGCCTACGCCGTCTGCGGCCAAGGAACATTGGTACCAAAGCAGCCATGGTGGCCGGAAGCATTCCAGCGCCAATAGCCGCGATCAGGGCCTTCCTCCTGTTCACATAGTCGTTGGGATTTGTTGCACTAAACACTTGAACTCCGCTAACACCTCCGCCGCCACCGCCTCCACCTCCGCCGCCCGCTTGCTGCTGAGCTGACTGTCCTGGGCGTCGGTGGCCTTTGCGTTTCTTCTTCCCACCCTTGCGCTTTTTCTTGTTGCCTCCCTTTTTGTTACCCTTTTTCTTGTGACCTCCCTTCGGACTTGTAGGTGCTACGGCTCCTGCCGGTGCAGCCACCACCACTACGCTATCTGCACTAATTATTGGCTTGATGGGAGCCACCTGCGTCTGCTGAGAAAGCAGTTGCTGCTGCTGCTGCTGTAACTTGATGGCGGAATTATCTACCGTTTCAAAAGTCTTGTCCACCTCTAGTAGTCCTCCGTGGGAAACTGTGCTGGTCCCATTAGCTGCTGGCAGGACAGTCAGTCGGATGCCTCGGTTTGTGGACATGGACACGGTGGGGTTGAATTTGAAAGCTCGTCTTGACCCTTGACCTCTACCACCCGGAGGAATGGTCTGACCTCGCGTGCTCGACAAAAGCACCCACCGCCCGCCTTCAGCGGATTCTTCGGCCTGGGGTGGCTTGTTATTTTTCAATTCATCCTCTCCTTTGTAAAATCCAGAAAATCCACTCTGCACATTCACACTTTGAGTAGGCCGATTCCACGTGGGCTTGTGGGCTGAAATCATATTATATATATAATATATTATGTAGAGAAAATAATTATTCAACCATTTCACCAATGCTATTTAAATCTGGCCAAACCAATGGTTATTATAATTCTAGAATTAGAATTATGCTGTACTAAATTTATATATATCTTCTTTTTTTAGTTGGTAAATTTAATTTTTAACTTTTTTTTCGTTTTTTTTTTCATGCCTCCAAGTTTTTGTATTTTTTTTTACATTGCGCCTTATTATAAAATGAGGAAATTAAATTTTTTGTTAATGATAAAAATTTGCAACAATTGCTAGAAAAATCATAAAATTTTAGTTCAGAATCTTTTTTGCTCTGAAGGATTCCCATTGTAAGTGACGTCTTAATAGACCAAGAAACGCTACTCTCTCTTGAATTATATGTTTTGGTTTATTTTTATTTCGCGGCGACAATTTTTTCTGCACTCATTCGTGCCGCTGCGCATGTGACACTTTACGAGAGAGATAATCGCGCGGCACGTTTTTGGGAGAAAACCATGATTTCACGGCCGCTTGCTCCTTATTTATCTGCGGGCGCACTGTACTTGCATCTTTGTTTTCGTCCCACCGCATAGTGAAAGCGTAACGTCAAAAGCAAAGCAAAACATGCGCTCCCATTCCCATAATACACGCGCTACTTATTAATCTATCTCACCTGCAGGTTTTGTGAAAGACGAGGAGGCCGGCGTGTCAATAGGCCACTCGGGCAGCTTGCCGTCTGTAATGATGCCCAAATGGTGGCTGAGAAGGTCATGTCCGGAAGGAGGCGGCTTCGATGGCCGAGTTCCACTAAACGATGATGGCCGGTTGGTGTTGGCGAAGGACGGCTTGCTGCTCAAATCTGTCCAAGAAGAAGAGGAGCCACTTAGTGATGGCTTGTTGGACACGGTTTGCGCCCACGTTGGCTTATTTGGCGCGCTTTCCGACGACGACGAGCTACTGCTGCTCCATGAAGGCTTCACATTTGCCTCGGTCCAAGAAGGCTTATTGTTGTCCCAACTCGGACGGTTCAAAGTGTCCGACCAGTTCGGTTTTCCTGGGAGGTCATCCCAGTTCAAAGGGCGATTGTCCGAGCTGCTGGGCCTTAAGTCCCAGTTCGACACAGAGGAGGACGTTTGTTGACTCGGACGGTGTTGGTGTTCCTGTTGCTGCTGCTGCTGGTTGGTCGACCAAAATGGCTTTTGGCTCATTTGCGTATTCCAAACGGCAGTTGGCGAGGAAGATGTCGCTTTATTGGGTGTCCACTTTGAAATTTTGCTGGACGACCACGGAATCGGTTCAAGACTAACCCAGCCGTCTTTCGGTGGCCGACCTGATACTTCTGTATTTGAAGTACCAGGGCGGTGAAGTTTTAAGTTGGCCATGGCTGAGGATGGGTTAAGTACTTTGGTGCTCTCCTCGATGTCCAGCGCCCAATGTCCGGTCTGGGTGGGGGTTGGTTTCGGACGAATATTAATGCTGGACACGTACCTGCCCTGATCGGCGCTTGCGCCGCCGTGCTCTGTCGTATTGGACTTTTTCTGCTTCTTCTGCTCCTCGAGGTGATTGTGGTAATCAGCGAACAACTTTTCCAAAATTTGCTGTTGAGTGAATGTTTTTTCGTTCGTCGCCGCGGGTTGGGCGGCCGGTTTGGCGGACGCCGCGTGGTCCCATCGCTTCCAGCTTCCCACACTGGAGCTGCCGCCAAGGAATGATTCGATTTCTTTATCGCCATCGTGATGTGTTAAAGGCTTAGTGTGGCGGTTTACGACCAAAGGAGGGTCCTCGAAGTAGGTGATGGGTTTTTGCGTTGGCGAAGTTACAAACTTTAAGGGCAGACCTGCTGAGAGCGTCTCCTTTGCGAAAACCACCAGGACGAGAATAACAGTCAATTCACTCCACTTCCCGGTTCGGGCCATTTTAGCGGGCGGATATGCAAAAGGACGTCTTCAAAATGTTTGACATACCTGACGTCAAATTATTTGTGTTGCGACCCTGACAGTGAAGCTGAGAGAAATGGTTTGCGGGCGCTACAATCATACATTTATAAGCAAGGTGAAAGGAGGGGACCGCGCAGTGTGCTTAAAATTTTAAAATGAGTTTAGAGGAGACAAAGCATCCTCCGAGAGAGAAGAGAGAGATGAGTAACAAGCTAGTTCTCTCTTTCTTTTTAGTAGGTCTCGCGTTTTGCTTGGCTGCGTACAAAATTTAACATGTTTTTTTTTCGCGCACAATTTTGTTAAGCTCGTTGAGTTTTTATAATAAATTTGCTGAATTTAAAAAAGTCCATTGTTAGGCCCGGGCCCATTTTTATTTTGCTTATCTTTGAATGCTTTCTATTCAAGTTTCTAACATTTCAATGAAGAAAATTCAGAACAAACTTCCCATTCGATTTAAATTTTCAATATACCTCTTCCAGTGCTGCGCCCGTTACCAATAGAATTATTTTCTTTAAACGCTTTTATCAATAAAATTGTTCCAACCCACTTTAAAAGAAACAAAAGTAAATACAATAACTTTTGTGCGGGTTCCGCCAGCCGCTTTTTACCGCCGACTTCGAAACAGATCTCCTTCGTTGTGGAGACCTTCACCGTGCGATTCATGGTCTAGGTCTCTTTTCTATTTTAACGTGTGTTATGTAAAATTAAACGTCACCCGCAAGAAACGCGTCTCCAGCAGCTTCATCACCACGCAAGAGAGAAGCGTATTCTCACCGTTGTCACTACTTTTTTTTAATTAGTTTTCACTTTGTTCTTGAAATACTGTTTTTTCTTTTCTTTTTTTATTAACTATCTTGTTATTTTTCAACCGCAGCTTTTGATACTTAAATGGTTCGATCTCTAAAACAATGGAAAAATTACAAAAGGAAAATTTCAGTTTCAACACTAAAGAGTAGTTTAAAAAAAATAATGTGCCAAAGGAAATTTAAATCAGTATTTATCTACCCCTTTTTTTCTCGAAACCTTGACAACTCAAGGTTGAAAAAATCTGCCCTCTGCCCTGTCAAGCCGAAGAAATTTATGACTTCCTACAATTATTTCTTCATTACCTTATCACAAAGCAGGGGCGGCATCACACATTTTAAAAGGCTCAAAATTATATATAAAAGCAAGCAGGTGCCCAGCGGGAAGGTGTCATCATTTTTTGAATGCGTGATTAGAGTCGGATTATTCTGTGGAGAAAGCCTATATTTTATCATTCATATCGCGAAAAATTGAAAAAGAAAATGTTAAAACTTTTCATTACTTTATCGGTTCTGCAAATAATTAATGGTAATTTCACTAACAGAATATTTTCATAAATATTTGTGTGTTACTCAAACATTCCAAAAGGACTTCCTGAAAATTTGAACACCATGAAGTCACACGGTGTGCGGATTATAAATGGATCGGATGCACCTGAAGGAAAATATCCATCACTGGTTCGTTGTTTGTTATTTCAAATTGAAACCCCAATTGTATTCATTTTAAATTCCACTATAGGTTTCTCTGCAGCAAAGAGGTTACCATATATGTGGGGCATTCATCTTGACAAAACATTTTGTAGCCACAGCCGCGCATTGTGTCGAAAGGTGTTTAACTTTAACAAATTTTAAACCAATTTTTGCAGTGTGCAAAACCTCTAAAAAAAATAAAGTAATACTTGACCTTCGTAATTTAGCTCATCGGTAATATTGAGAGAACTACAAATTGTATCTTCGATTACCAATCTGTATGACAAGGCGAGAAGCCGCAAATATCAAGTGACCGAAATAATCAGCCACGAAAAATATAATGCATCTGACCTACTAGTAAACGACATCGCACTTCTAATGGCAAGTGGCACATTTACTTTTCATCAAAATAAGCCGCATACTTGAAATTTTTAAATAAAAAGTCAACTTAGATAAATCCTTCATTTTCACTGGATACCGGAGAAGCACTTGCCATGCTACCCAAAAAAATGGAAACGCAGCCTACTGGAGCTATGGCGTCCGCAGTTGGATGGGGCAGAAAAGTTGTAAGAGTTTTGCGTGCAAGGGAAAGTCATGCATAATTTATTTATGCATATAATTAATGCATATATAAAATAAAATTTTTACTATATTTTTGATATTTCATGCACAAAATTTTATAATGGCGGGTCTATTGAATTGGTCTTATTTCCAAATGCATACTTTCACTTGAGAGTAAAAAAGCAGTCAACAACCGTTCATAAATTTAGAGAAAATGTAATAAATTTTTCTCTTTGTCGTTGATATTTGAACCGAAAGATTGTTTCTTAATATTTAGTGAAATTTTTCCAAATCTGCACTAATATATTTATATTAAATTTCAACCGCTTTCTTTAAAATTAAATCTTTCAGCATGGCGGAATTGCCTCTTATTTGTTGCAAGAGGTTGAAATGCGAATTCTGAACTATTGGGACTGCAGCCAAATAATTGGACAAATCCACTCGACACAGTTTTGTGTAGAGAGTAAGAATAGTGGCATTTGCGAGGTCAATATCATAAGTTTACAATTAAAATTTATCAAATTCATTCAAATTCCTAGGGGGATTCAGGGGGCCCATTGTATGTGAATGAACAAGTCGTTGGAATTGCGTCTTGGAGAGATGGCAACAAACCTTGTGGACGTGCAATGGGAGTGTACACACAATTGTCGCTGTACACTGACTGGGTTAATATGCATGTCACACAACGAAGTTTACAACCAACAAATTAAATTGAAAAAATAAATCATGTGGAACCACACAATGAATATGCTTAAAAATACTTCTTTTTAAAGTCAAGAGTAAATTGATTCTAATATTTAACCTTTTACTGCTGCCTCTTATTTTCATCAACCATACAAAAATAATATTATTTCATTATTTGATTAATAATTATTTTCTTCCTTCAATTTTACTGGTAATGGTGGAATACTAGACTCTACCAAAAGCACTTTTATGTAGTGAATTGAAAGCATAATAAGCTTTATTAAACTCAATTTTTTTTCTTCGAGACACTTATAATTTCAAGATATCATTCAAGGTCAAAACCCAGCTTTATAAATGCATATCTCGGATGATCATAATTCGAAGAAAACTGTTTAAAAAAATAGCATTTTGTTATCTTCATCATTTCTGACCTCAGCACATTGGAGTGTTTTTTTTTTATTTAGTTTGCTTTACAAATTCATAAGTCCTGATCAGTAGCCAAACAGTTAATGCATAGCCTTACAGGTTCAAGATAAATTTATCGACCTGATAGTGAATATGTATTTCAACAAAAATTACATGAACTTAACAGCTCAAAACTATTAATTACAATATGCTAAAATTCAATTCTCGACGTACATTTAGAATACCTGGTAAGAGTCTGGAATACAAGAACCAATGATTTTTTGTCTGTTAGGGAAGTTGGAATAAATTCAGTGCACAAGATTTGCATCTTTGCCTTTTGATCATTGAGCACTTTCGAAGGGATTTTCTTCAGCACTAAAAAAAATTATCAATAATACTTTACTTGCTTACTTGGCTGAAAATAAAAAGATTTAAAATTTATGATTCCCAAGCTGGTTTCAATCGACCAACATGAATTAAGCAGAATTGCTTTAGCATGTTAATCCCTGTAATTAATTAATTGACTTTTTTAAAGAAAATAATTACCTCCTCAAATACAGGAAGCTACATTAATTTCTACGATGGATAAATAAATATACAATAGTAAGTAGATGGTGTCTCCAATGATTTTACCTGTTATACATATAAAGAGGAGAACTATCAGCAAATAATGTGTGATATATGATTAAATTAATAAATAAAAAGTCAATCAGAACAAAACCGTCTTCCTCTAACCCTCTCCTAGATTCCCATTAAATCAGCAAAGTACTTTTAACAAATTGTTCAATAAAGAACAAACCAACTTTGCTTGCATAAATCAAATAAGGACGTCACTAAACTGTCTTTTAATTGACTCTTACGCCTATAGGGGTTGCTTCGCATAACAAGAAGCCTAACTCTGTAATATAATATTGCATACTATTTATATTCTTAAGGAAGGGGTGATAAGTTGAAAAGCGCGGCGAAATATAAATCAGCTTGGGATTAGTTGATTATCAGCAGACTCTTAGCCAAGGCTTGGAGGTGTGCAGTGGTAACCAGATGAGAGAGCTATTTGCTAATGATCAGGCGCAGCACGCAGCTCTTGGATTTGTCGGATGAGGTAGGCCTTCTCGTCGTTGAACTGCTCATCCTCGGAACGATCTGTGTGAAATCTCGTCAAAAACTCGACCAGTTTGTCTTGGTTGCGCAAAAGAATGTCCAGGATTGGCTTCGGTTTGTTTGGGTTTGCAACAAAAACCTAAAATATAAATAATTTTAGATAATGAAATGAAGATAAAATTTTTCTATAAATAATTACTTACCTTAAAAACATGGAAGGCTTCAAACTGAATGTTTCTAGATTTTTCTCTCAGCATATTCATCATTAGCTTGAGGTTGTCGGGATTTGATATATAACGGGTCATTACCTGAAATTATTTTTAAATAAATTTTGTGTTTTGAAAAAAGACAAGTTTCTTACAGAAAAATTATGCCTGTCTAACAGAAGTTCTCCTAAAAGTTTTAATGACTGACGTCTAGTGACGTAGTTCTCTGAGTTGAGCAGCCTCTGGTAATGGCCAAAAACTTTGTCATAGTTTGCCTCAAGAAACTCGGCACCCAACATTTTATGCCGGGTGAGCAGCTCCTGCAATAAAATTAAGAACAAAATATTAAATAATTTACCAAGATTTAGTTTTCTTTTTATTTTAAATAAAGTATGTAAGTTTCAAAAGAAACTCATTAATATTGAATTCACTTCCCTGTGAATTTAACATTATCATTTCAGAAAGATTAGATAAGAAACATTCCGACATCAAAAATAAAAAATTACTTTCCTTCATTTGTGAAATCGAGTTTAGAAAAAGCTAGTGCCAGATTTTTTTGATTGAATTTTTACTTTACTGTTTGCATTGAATTTATTTAATCATATAGTGCAATTGAATAAAATCTCCAACTCACTTTGAAGGTGGAAAAGGCATCCGAGGCGATATCGAAAGTGGAAACTTCTACATAGTTGAAAAAGTTATAGAAATCCTCTGAGTAAAGCATGATTTTTGCTAGGGCCTCGTATCTGGCGCACTCTCTCAACATGGTACCACAGTTGAGGGCAATGTCCTGGTGCTCATAGCCACGCATCAGTGTGAAAAGAATCTCTGGCTTCGTGCAGATGTACTCAACTGTCGGTGATCGAGTTCCGATCTGTCGCCGCAGAATGTTGTTGAAAACCTGCGCCACATCTTTCTTGCCCTGATGTTGCATCAAAATTTATTTCAATTATTTTATTCAACAAAACAGATAGTCACCTCAAAATCAATCCGAGCTAAATTTTGGATTAATAAAAGGAGCAGGGCGCTATTGTAGAGTTCCTGTGCGAGTTGTGCTACCACTATGTCCGTCTGTGGCTCAGTGTCTGACGTTCCATAAAGCATGTTTTTAATAAGCACCAGGTTTTTGCTCACATCTTCTTGTGCCTGAAATTCAATGATCCAGAATAAATCAAACAATCCATTTAGCTGTTATATCGGGGAACAAATCTTGATTATGCAACATGAAGCAAAATTAATTGGCCTGTTTGACCTCAGCGGAATTGTCAAATTCAAAAGTTCCCAAAATACCTTTTCAGCCTTCTTGTCTCCTCTCTCTAAAGCACTCAACGCGTCTTTCAATGATTTCACAACCTCGGCGGGGCTTTTCTGTGATTTTCCGAACAGTGGCATTTTGCCCTTTGTTGAATTTCCGTCTCGCACAAACTGAAGTCTTCAGCTGCAACAAAATTGAATGAAAATAATTATGACACAATATTTAAATTTGTTAAAATAAAAGAACAAAACTATTGAGCGCTATTGAGGTTACTGGGGATTGGTTATGGTACTCAACAATAAAAAAATGGCTCCTTAAAATCGCGATTAATTATTCGTGCCGTGCCGTGCATGACATCCTTGTGGAGAGGCCGAGTTGTACTACTGCTCGGTTTAGTAAAGTGTTACTCATTTCTTTGTGCATACATATAGAATAGATGCGATAACAGATATACAACACAATGCTTGCTAATCACAGGTGACCCACATAGCAAAACTCGCGCTGCACAGCTTTTTGACCAGGATTCGAATTAAGTCAATGATTTTGGCTCTTCGGTGGAAAATCGCTGTTGAATACAAACTTGTCCGACGGCAAAAATCTAAATTAAAAGACAAAAAAGCTCAAAAATTGCGACTTTAAAAAAGGAAAACAGTGCAGTCTTGCGATGAAGGGCACGCCCACTTTTAAAGGCACACGAATTCATAAACGGGACGAGAGAAAAATCTGCCGAATTCGGCCAGATTGGAAGAGCGACAACGACTTCCAATCTCTTGCCGAACGTCCTTGGCAATAGGCACTGGTGTGCATGACGCTCTTTCGTCGGCCGACTCACCTATCAGGAAGATACAGTGGCCTGGAAGTTCGCCCGATTACTTTCGGTGCAGCAAGCTTAGGGCAAAAAGGGAGTCGGAGGGTCTGCGGTGATTCAAGTCACTCGGCTCGAGTGAACATCTCCCGCACGCAGAGCCTCGGCGAACACCCGATTTTGGCACTCACGGTCACGATTGATCACTGGTGGATCCGGGGATAGGTGGATTGATGGTCGACACGGAAGTCGGAATTCAACAGCAGCGCAAAAGTGCACCAAGACGGCGATTGCGGAGTCGGAATTAGTCAGTCAACTGCTGATTGCTGATTTGCTCCCGAGAAGCACCTGCGAGTGGCGGGAAACGGAACAATTCAAATTACGCGGCGCGCTCTCGGTCAATTCGTACATTCATCAAGAGCGATTCTCTCTCCTCGCCCATATATATTGCGCCGTTGTCTATTTATGGATTGCACCATGACCATTTACTCATTACGTATGTATATTCTTCGTATTGAGCGTGAAATACATAAATGCACGGCCACGACACGAGCAACTCTCTCTCATCACAAAGCACCAGGGCTACTGCTTAGTATTCTGTCAACTTGCTCTCTACAATATTATTTTATTAATTTTGACGTAACTTGCGTTCTTGAGTGACCTTTTTGATTAAAAATTTTTAAATTCAAAAAATCAATTTGTTGCTAAAAACATCTCATTGTCTAAGTAAATAAATTTCATATTTTATTTAAAACTTGACTGTAAACTTGACAGTGGGAAAATGAAAAAAAAATATCAATTGATGCGTATTAAAATCTGTCTCTTTATAAAGGGTTAAAAGGAAATAAATTTTAACTTGTTAGATTTTGTGTTCCATAAACTAGAATTGGAAGAATTTTCCATTTTCACATGCACGCGGCAGAATTTTAATAAAATTATTTTATTTGCGCGGAGAATAAATAACACTCAATTAAAATGATATAGCACATTTTTATTTGAGTTGACTATATTATTTACAAAGTAACATAACATTGTAACTTACTTATTAATCACTGTTTTTTTCAACAAACACTGATTTTCATAAAATTAACGTTTCAATCATTAAATTCAACCAAACTTGTAAACCAGAGATTACTCCAGATATCTCGCATCACATTCATACATTTATTTTGATAGCAACCTCATTACTTAACAATGGCAAGTGACCAATATAAATATTAGGAACAATAAGAATGGATAAAATTAATAATTTCTTACAAATCTCTTATGATTCAACAGAATATTGCTCCTTCCACGGAAACACAACTGATCTCCTGACAATCAAATACAATTGTAACTGAAAAAATAATAATATTAAAATGAATTTATATAGAGTGATTTGTAAGAGATCAGTCATTTTTTCCTCAGAAGGAGTAATTTGCTGAAGGAGCATTAATTTTATCACACCTCATTGGCGCAATTTATTATTTAATGATTTATGATATTTTTCTTAATTTAAACCCATATAAGCTAAAAATCTAGAAAAATATTTTGCAGCTTAGTATTTTAGTTGGCACGGGAGAAAAGTTTAAGTGAAAGGTGTGCATTGATTGCATTGCTTTTCTTTATCTGAAAATTTTCTTGGGCTGTTATTTGTATAAAGCAACAATCATTGTATGAAATATTTTCAGAGCTGCAATTTTGATTCATATTATATTTTTTGTTCTTGTAAATTGGTTCTTTTTGTCTTAGGCACTATGATGCAGAGTCAATTTGTGTGCTAGCAAGTAAGAAACAAGCTATAAAAATTGAGAAGCACTGACAAACTGTGCATAATGTTTAAAGAGAGCTTGACTGTGAATTGCGCATAGCATAAACAGCTAGAGCATAGTCGCAGAAAACGTTATAAAAATGGAAGTCGAGGAATAGAAAAATTGTTTTCAAAATTACATACAAGCAGAAGCAAATTTATAATATAAATTCAAGATTAAAAACAGCAGAAATAATAGAAAATCATGTAGTCCTTCCACTTCTTAAAGTTAAAAAAAAAGCTAATATTTTCGAGTTCAGTTCCTGCCAGGTCTTTGTGAAGCAAGCTGAGACCTTTGAAGCATAGGAATGGCAAACAGCATGACCCCACTGGCAGCAATCGCAACACCTGATACCAAAAAGCCTGGGTTGTATGAGTGGAGAGCGTCAAACAACCAACCTTAAATTAAAAAAAATTAAGATGCGAGTTACATATTAATTGCAAAAATATTACCTGCAATGGGAGGTCCAAGGAGCGAAGCAATACCCTGGAAAAGGAGAAGCACTCCAAAGGCATTTGTCAGCATTTCGAGGCCTAGCAAATCTACCAATATCACTGAAGTCAGCCCAACATAAGCTCCAATAGTAAAACCCCACACAGATGTGTAGATCACAAGGCTTATATAGTCATAGCACAGAACGCTGGCCATAGTTGCTACAAATTTTAAATTTTATAAGAAACAAGTAAAAATTTTAACAATTATTGTAACTCACATAGGCCACAAATTGTGAGGCACGTGTTATAGACCAAAAGCCTATTGACCCACGGCTTATCCGAAATATAGCCGAGGACAATCCTGCCAACAGTATTGGCAATTCCAATAACTGCCAAAAGCATTGAGGCTTTGGTGTCTTCTATACCTAAACTATTGGCTTGTGGCTACAATATCATGCAATGAGTAATTAGCATTTAAAAAAATATTTTTTTAATACCTTAATATAAACATAGGGTATGTTGAAGCCAACACTTGTGCAGAAATTTGAAACGGTGAATAGGATGAAAACAGGATTTTTGAGCACGGAGAAATCAAGCATTTCCTTCATTGTGCTAGACAAGCCCCAGCAACCCTCCGATTCTTCAGTAACGACCACATCCTTTAGAATTTCTCTAACGGGTGTTGGAGGTTCTGTTACGATAATAGGTAAATTTTTAACTACATCCTGGTTAGAGCCAGGTAAATTCAGCTTTGGTGTAGATCTGCAAAAGTTTCCTTTGTCAAAATTTTCATTTTAATTAATTATCTACAAACTTGGTCATTGGAATGTTTGCGAGACTTCCTCGATAAAACACATCAGGCCTGTCCATAACACCTCTGTGTCTAGGGGTAGGTGTACGGGGGTGAGGGTGCAGCAAGGCAGGGTGGCTCATAGTCATTCGTGCCGTCTCAGATTGAAGAAATCGGCCCACATGTCCGCCGTTCACGGGTCTCAAGTCTGAAATAACACATTAAACCTTGGTTAAAATTATTTCTGGGAAGTCGGAATATTTTTGATAAAAAATGTTACTTTGATCTTGGCAAGAAGACTGTAATGGAGAGAGCAAGTAACAAGACATTAATTTTGGCAACTCGAGTGGCTGGATCCAGCCAAATATTAAAAAACGAATATATAATAGTAATGAAAAACATTATATTGAGGATAAATGTACCACTGGGATGCTGTCGGCCAATGTCATGAGCGGAGCAGCTGTTTGCTTTGGTTGGAGGCGCCAAAAGACCATTTGTATTTCCCCATTCTCCCTCCTTGGGGGTGTCACCATTGCAGACACTGTGCCTCCAGGTGCTAGGGTCATCTGATTTCTGTAATGTGTAACAAAAAATTTTTGCTTAATTTTTTTGGGACTAATTTAATCCTCACCTGAATATTTTGGATATTCAATGGCTTAAGTTCCGCAGCAATTCCATCTTCAGCTGTTTGGCGAGATGTGATCTTTTCCAGAGGCCTAAATAGCGCCCCAAAGAAGACGCAACTCAGTACTGATACTGCAACAATGAGAAGTGCTATCCTCCACTCAAGGGTGGCTATCATGTAACGGATGAGGGGTGCATAGATGAAAGTGCCCAGACCAGAGCCACAGACCGCAATACCAGTGGCGAGTGAGCGCAACCGTTCAAAGTAGGTTGTCACAGAGACAATTGCTGGCAAGTAAATCAATCCAAAACCAAAGCCTGAAATAATAAAAAAGTTTAGGACAACGTACAAACTGAGCCGTTTAAATTTAATCTATAAACTATCTTATATCAAACTTTACCTGTCCCAAGGCCGATTGTCAAATAAAGAACTTTGACACTAGGCGCATATATGCTTATGGCCAAACAGAATGAAGAAAGAATTGCCCCTGCAATGGTCACCGGACGGCACCCATACTTGTTTACTAGAGAGCTGGTGATAGGACCTGATATATTTGAATTAAAAATTGTGCAAATGGCTTAAAAATATAAGGTCTTATTCTCACCAGAGCATAGTGTAACTCCCACAAGAATAGAAACAATCCACGCCGTCTCTCCACTGCCAGTACCAAAGTACTTGATGAACTCATCAATAAATAATCCAAATGAGTAGGTGACACCATCGGCTAAAATACATTATTAAGCCAATATGAAACATTAAAATAAAGATCATTAATTGATAAAATTCCAATTAATAGACAGTTTGTGATTGTTTGAACTTAATAGCTTAAAAGATTTATATCATTGCAAATTATCTGATTAAAATTAAAGTGTTTATTTTCATAGCAATAAAAAGTGATAATCAGAAAAAATGGCGTGATTTTTAATCTTACCAACAATGTGGATCATGAAGGAGCCAAACACCACGAACCAGCCCCAACCGCCATCGGGAGGTGGCGGAAGGCTGCTGTCGTCATCATCGTCTTTGTTCTCGCGCTTGGCCGGAGGGTGCGTCATCTTGCCGATTCCAAGCTCCTGGGCATCTCCCAATGCCAGCAACAAGTGATTCTTTGTGCAACAATGAAAATGGTAAAAGGGGTTTGTTGCCCAGATTTAATAGCAGCGCATGGCGAAGTACATTTGTGTTTGGAAGCACAGGCGAGCTCCTCGTGTAATCACGTGTGTGAGCGCAAGGGTGATATAAACCTAATATCACAGATTAGAGCTCCAGTTTACACAGCAGTGCCATGGGTGGGGCTTAAGTAAAAATCATTGATTGATCGCTCCAGGCTGATAATTGTGTTTGCACATATTGTTGCAAGACATGAAGAACCCTTGCCGGCGTCTCAGTTTGACGTCTTATCTGCAAAAATAATATGAAAGTCAAATCAGCAAGAGGCTTGAAATTTGTTTTGGTTGAAAGTGGTTAATATTAAAAATGTTGAATTTATATGTTGATAATATTTTTATGTGAAGTGTTTTCAACCTAAAAAATTATATTACTTGATTAAGTTTCAAAGATTTTATTAATCAATAGCTTATGGAATGCTCTGCAATTAATATTCTCAATTTCATCAACAATAAATTTTAATAAATATCCTGAGCCTCTCCTATCTTTTAGTTTGTTGCACAAAAATAAATTGAGCTGGATCCATCTTGTGGTAAGCGTGTTTAGTTTGGTAGATTCTCTGTCATACTGATACATAATACAACAGATGACAGAGACAAAAAATTCAAATTAATAATATTTTAATCTCTTATTATATAACAGACGTCTCTTGTTGTGATGATAAAAAATAATATAAAAAAGTTAGCTAATATCCTGTTTAAGCCGCGCCAACCACATGACTTGTAAAAGATAAATTTATAAATTGCCAAAAAACAAGTCTATTAATATATGCAGTGTTGCTTGAGCACTTTAACCTTCAGCACCCCAGCCCAGAGTTAAAGAAAACTGCTTTTGAAATGGGCTAGTGAAATGATCATTTAAAAAAAGTAGCTGTTGTGTAATATGTAGCACAATCTAAAGGGCACAGGCCATTCAAAATAATTATGCCTCGCTCTAAATAGTTCAAGATCTAATAAGTCATTTTGTCACATGTGCTATAAATTTTATGGTTTTTATAGTTGTTTTTAATGAGACAAATCAACTTTAATAGCCCACTTAATTATGCATATTTTTCAGTTTCATTTATATGCCCACTCATTCATAATCACGATAGAAACACATTTCATGACCATTGTATATATTATTACCAAAGAATTCGGTGAAAACTGGCAAAAAAACCTTTAAATTTTGCAGAATAACAAGAAAATGTGATAACGGGGAATATGAAAGCAAATATATGCATAAAAATCATCTCGAAAGCACGTCAACTGAAGTAGGATTATTTGCGCTATCAACAACCACAAGGCCACGGCCTAAAATTGGACGAATATATATTATCAGCCAATCAGGGTCAAACTGAAATTTAAAAATGATAAAGAGTAGAAATTGGGGGGAGCAAAAATGCAAATTTTTGGTCAAATTGCGCTTCAAAAGAAAAGGAAAACGCTGTTTACTTGAATCAATTCTGGCCGCCAAAAGATAGAAATGGGCCATGGGAAATGCGCCACATGTGGAGGTTTGGCTCGATAAGACGGACGGATTGTAGTAAACAAACTGCCGCATTTTCATTTTCAAACTGCGGCGACACAAGTTCCGCTGGCGCTATAGGTGAAGGTTATTGAGGTTATCGCTTTGGAGAACGATGGATCGGAGCTGACAATAGGTTACGCTCAACTTCATTTCAAAGGCAAATGAGTCTGAACGGCAAGAAAGAAAACGAAATCTACGTGGGGCAGGGTTTAGATATGTTGGTATTTCTAAATTCTTTCTTAATTTTCTAACTCAATCTCAAGATTCAAAAGTAATGATTTTGATTTGCTTGATCCACTGAATATTCAGTTCATTTATTGGTTTTGAAATTGAATTAAAAATTATAATCAGGACTGACAATGAGTGTTGTTTCACCAAGGATTCACACGCCTTGGTGTCGTTTTGCGTAAAACAGCAAAATACTATAATGCCCTTATACTGGTGAGAAAAACAAGAATTCTTGGCGCGTACCCGTCGCATCATTGGGCGACCAAGTGCAGCTATCCGCATTGCCGTACACGAGGTCAAGGTAGGGCAGATGGGCTTTAGTGCTGTGCGAGTTGCTTCATATCACAAGACAGGCGCCACAAAGTGCTCAAAACGCATTTTACACCGGTCTCATTTACTTTCCGGTTTCTTAAGAACGTTTGTGTAAAAAAATAATGGAATAAAACATTATAAAATAAGAGACGTGAGTGTGAGTGATCGCTCAGCAGGGCAGAAAAGGGGACAGCCGAGAATGGCAGCATGAGTAATTTTATCTTGAGAGCAACGGAAGAGCTTGCGTCGATAAGAAGCCAAAGAAAAATTGTGAAACCGCGTGTACAAGCACGTGCTTTAGATTTTCTTATGCGCTTATTAAAAAGTTTAATTTAAATTTAATTTTTATTAATCTGCGAAACGTTATTTCAAATGAAACCTAGGCATTAGTGATTTAGTTCATTTTTGTCATCATTAAATAATGTCTCTGTGAAAGTGGCTTCAAAATTATTTGGCCATTGTAAGTTCTATTGCATCACAAACTAAGTATAACAATGCTCTGCAGAAATTTATAGTGTTGTAGGGGAAAATTAAAATAATAAAAAATTATTTGTGGCATAAAAGTATCACAGCTGTTGATTATGGGTCCTTCAAAAATTTATAGCTATGAGATGATATCATTTAATTAAGCGACGATTTAGATTGAGATTATGCTTTAGCCAATTTAAATTTTATGGCCTTTACGACAAACAACAGAAGTTATAAAAGATGGCCAAGATCGGTAACAAATTTAGTATACTAAATTGCCACGATTATTATTCCGTGTGCCTTTTTTAAGCTCAATGATGGAGCAATATTTGAAAATTCATTTTTTAATGCGATTATGATTTGCCAATGGACAGACAAGCGATCGATATGAGAATCCAATTAAACTAAGAACTTGGAGGGATTTGATTAAGGGCGCACTATCAGTTTCTCATTATTAAATTTTACTTTCTAAAATTAAATTAATCCTTGCTCTCCATTAATTCGTTTCAAGAGAAGAGACGATTGAGAACATTAAATTGATATTTTTCCAATGTTAACATTTAAGTCATATGATTAAGGTTATCGTTCAATGGCCTTTCCCAGAGATGAAGTATTATTGAAGTGGCATTTGAGGGTAATGGATACTTTCTGATTTGTTTAAAAACTTTTAAGGATCAAACACTTGCTCAAATTTTACTTGAGACTGTAAAAACTGTTGGCTAGAGCACTTGTGGCTTTTTAAAAACAACACTTTCTTGAAACATTATTATTTTATCTTTCCATTTGCTGCAATGCAACAACCAAAGTTATTACAAAATTATTATTTGCCTCTTAAAAAAGAACACCCCTTAAGATGAAAAAAATGTGACCTGGAAAGCAGTCTGCGGGATGCATTTCTTGTGCCTCGCTGTGCCGACACTAGAAGCCAGTTGCACAAAAAGCTTCCATGTGACGAGGCTGAGTTGTTTGTTTTGAAAAAGCAGTGCGCGTCTCTACAGTTGAGGCAATTATACTTTTCCTTGTCCTACATTGCGGAATGGCAAATAGTGTATCTTTGGATCGCATTCTTTTAATCAGCTGCAATTTACTAACAGTAACAGAAAATTGTACTTTGCATTTGCTTTAACTGTTCATGCTTGCCGTTTGTTGCATTTATTTTCCTCACCTTCTATGTATAGTGACTTTTGAAGGAAATAAATAAATCATATTAAAAAATAAAGATTTTAAATGAAAATTTTAATCAAACGAGAAGAAATGGATTTACTTGGATAACATATGTAAATTTCAATTATATAAAGAGGCAAAAAAATCCCGGCTATTCAATATGAAAAAACAACTGTCACATCTTGAGATAAAACGTAAAGCAATAAAATACTAAAGAAATAATTAAGAAATTGATAATTATTAAAATTCACTTCAGAGAAAAATTCAACATTGTATGCATATGATGCAGTCTTACAATTTACTTATTTGTTATTGTAATTAGAATAATGTAGTTTTAAGAGACAAATTAAATTATGATCCTTTCATTAAATATCTTGTGTCAAATACATTTAAAAGCTTTTTAATAGGCGTGTAAATATTGCTTGTGACAATTAAACTCGCAATATAGTGTGACTTTAAACAGGGTCAACAACATTACACGTGATTCATTGCGACAACTGAGGTGGTAACAGAGCCATTCCTTTGATCTTCCATTTCGCACTCAAACGCGAATTTTTTTACTCTGTAATTTTCGCAACTGACAAACAATTTACGCCGCCTGTCTGAGACGCCAATGATTGCTTTAACAAACGCATTGCCAAAGTCAAGTCTGCGCCTGGCGGATTCAAGATAATCATCAACAGTTCCATTAATATAAAGAGTTAATTTAGTTAAGTTGGAAACCATGTAACTCAACCGCACTGATTGATTTACTTGTGCAAGCAGAGCTTCATAGTGTCAGTGACTAGGCAACTCAGTTAAGTGGAAATGCGCTTCCAATACAAGGGTGAATGAATTGGCCAAATTGGGTGGAAAATTGAATTTGCACCAGATGCTCCCCGTCGCCGCTTGAAGTCTTTATCAGCCAAAGCGTTCTCTCTTCCCACCAAAGGGGAAAACATTTTGATATCATAAAATACAGTTTTTTTGTGTGCAAATTTTTTATCAGAAAAAATATTTTCAAGCAGAGGATGTGTAAAAAACGATTGATCCTGGATCAATGTGCAAAGAAATATTTTGACACCGAAATCATTCGATTTTATACCAGATTACACTGGTCCTTCCTGGCTGATTTAAATTGGGTTATTTTTTATAGGATGGCTATCTTTATCTGTCCTCAAATTCTTGCAAACATTCTGCATGTTAACGAACAACCACTGCGCCTATCCCCTTTTGCCGAGCAAACATGCGTTTTTAATGTGTTTGTTTTGAGTGATAATTTTTAGTGCGACCTTTTTAGACCTTGGTTTTCATTCTTTAAAAGGAACTTGAACGACTCGATTAATAAATTTGATGGATATTTTTTAACCGTTTATTAGGCAACCAAAATAAAAAACAAGACCGTTTAATTGTCAGCTGACATTCAAATTTTATAACCGGTTTATTAATATTAAAAAAAAAACTCCAGACTCTCGGGTGATAATTCTCACAGGGTGGCAGATACAAGGCCGTCACGGTAATCAACATAATAATTCTTTTTCGCAAGTCCCAATGTGAGACTCGAATGAAAAGATCGGAATAAAAGTTACCCATGCCGGCCGGGTTTTGAAGGCCAACACCGGCCCGCGAGTCCGGCGCCCACCTGATTCTCGGCGGAGCGCAAAGTGCGAAATCTTTCAATCTGGGCCGCGCGCCAAAAGCAGGCTGCAGAGTTAGCAACAGCAGAGCGGCCCTCGATTTAATTGAGTTTGTTGCTTCTCAACGCCAGCCGCAGCGTGTTTACCAAAATCTGACTGAGAAACGAAAATTCAAAAGGGCAGCTAGTGCGTTAAACTTGCTTGTGACGCACGTGCAAAGCGCCCGGCTAAGCAAACGGCTGCGTTTGGGGCCGGACGACTAGGACACTGTTTAACTACGCCCGAGTTCAAACTGCATCTTTATTTAACGCCAACTTCACACGACGTGTGTCCGGCGCAGCAGCTCGGTGCCAACCGGATTGTAAAAAGAGATGATTGCTTTATTCAGACTTATCACAATAATTAAAATGGTGAATTAAAAAATATAAATACTATACAACTTTGAATTATAAATTTTTTTGCCTAATATTAATCAAATTAATACAGCATATTATTTTTGTTGAACTCTGAATTCTGAATATAAAATTTATAAATCTAGTTGGGTTCTTACAAATATTTTATATAAATAATATATAAAATTGCTGAAAAATTGTGATAAGTCATATGAGGAAAAAACTTTACATCCGCTTTCAAATGACCACATTATCAATCTGTGGTTTGGTCTTCGGTCTCTTCGACCCACAACCACTGTTCAGTAAGAACTAGAATTTAAAAAATTACATAACAAATTAAAAATTTCTCGCCAATTGCCATAAAATACTGATGATAAAAAATCCCTGGAGATTTTTCTCCACTTTGATTCAAGATTTATTTATGAAACCAAAGTGTTAAATTTTATACATAGTTCTTGTTGGAACAAGTTACTGCCCCATTCCAATTCGGCATCACATGTTGCAGTGTCAAAATAATCATTTTTACGCCCACTGCAGAATAAACATCTGCGTTTTGCGCTTCATTGGTAGCAGCAGAAAATCAACGCGCAGTGCGGTGGTATTTCAAGTTTTGTTAGTCATCCCCTTTGACTTTAGTGCGAGGTCATTAAAACTTAAATTCTCGCGACACTGCACTCGGCCTTCGCAGCTTCTTCGGTTTGTTTTTCGTTCTTTTTATAAACACATGGGCTCGTTTTTGCGCACGTGGGATCGCGTTTGACTGCGGCAAGTGGACTAATAGAGTGTATCAGATTGAATGGAAGCATTGCACACACATGGCGTTGGAAACGAACCTAGAGCAGAAATATGAAAATGTTTTTCAGCCGCGAATTGAACTAGCGTGCGTTCGTCCTTGTTTATTATTTCTCATCAAAGTGGATTGAGATTAATTAGAGCAATTTAGCAGTCTTAATTCCATCAACAAGTTTGATTCGCCAGGCTTTGAAACTAATTAATGATGACAACTAGTAGTAAAAAGATAAGAGATAATTTTGTTTTGATTTTTCGGGAAATTTTTTTCCAAATAAAACGTTTTTGTTCAAAAAACTCTAAAAAAAATTTATCCTTGAATTTTTTATTTATTATTTTTTCAAATTTCCTGCATTATGAATGTGAACTAACAAAAGATCCAATGATTCATGTAATTTTCAAGTGACATCAACTTATGGTAGAATTTCACGATCGAGGGTTGATTCATGGTGATTTCATCGAGGAAAAGCCGATTTTAAATTCAAATCACCATGACATCAAGTTAATTAATAACGAGGGTAAATTAGGCCACATAAAAAATAGTTAAGTATATTTATTTTCCTTCCCAAAATTAATAAATTCATTTAATTTTTTCATTTATTTGTTCTCTTGTAACAAGTCATTTTTTAAGTAACAATTCCCGTGGACATAACGCACCCGCAAGTTGACTTAAAACGTGCATTTACATCAAGTTAAAGGATCATTTTTGTATTGAAATTTTATTATGCTTTGTTATTCTGTGTCACAGTGGCACCTAGAATGGTACCACGGTGCACCGTTTTTGTGTAAGGGTGGAAAAATCGATAAACTTTGTTGTGTTTTATCGCGAACTTGTAATTTTCCCCTGCCACAGAAATAAAAAGCACCGCATTTTTGTAGAAAATTATAGCTCACGAAAGAATTGCGTGCGTTTTTTAAGGTGAACCATATTCGTGGAAATTATTAACCTATATAGTACCAAGGACAAATTCAATCGCAAGCTTTAATTTCCTATTAAATTGACAAAACCGCACGCTTTTCCCTAGGAAATCTATTTTCGTTGCGTGAATTTTAGCCAAACACATTAGACTTTTCTGGCGAATTTCTCGTTGATCTTTTATTGCGACGATGCAAAATAAACACGGATGTGTAATAAAAAATTTATGTTGTTATTGTGTGCGAGCAGGTTGCTGGACTGTTCCAGCTCGAAAGCGTCGAGGGATGAGTTTACTCACCTAGACAAGGGAATGCGGACGGACTCGAGCTTGAGACACTCGGACATTTGGACAGTGGAGGAATGATCGGATTCAAGAGTGGACCTGTCTTCTTCCTTGCTGGTTAACCCTTCTCCACATCGCCGAGCTCGTTTATCCAACATCCAAAGCGACCAGTGAGTTATCTTACGTTTTCGTTATCGCACGGTTGTTGCCACTTGCCAGTGCAGGGGTGCAAGAGAGGGAGAGGGTAGGGGACATCGTTGGTGGGGGTAACACGCCTCGCTTACATACCAGCGCTATCTATACGGCGCCTTCTCGCATTCACATGCTCGAGGCGCCAAAGGCGGCACCTGACCCGACACACTTGCCACCCCCATGCATGCACCTGCCAGGCCTTGCGTGTATTTGGTTTTTTTGGTTTTTTTCATAAAAATCTTTTTTTTTTCAATGTGGATGTGGAGCCCCATGCGACATCCGTGAAGATTTTCTTATTTATTAATTCATATTAATTTCTTCAGATTTCTATCTATAAAAATCGGGCTCTATTTTTTTTTTTTTTAAACATCAGCAGGTGCAAACCTTTTTCAGTTTCTACTATAATTTTGCGTATTCCTGAAGTAACGTGATGAGAGAAATCCTGAAATTTGTCTCAATCCATATAATTATATTATAATCTATTGATTGTGTTTAAGTAAATTTCATAATTAATTTTAATTTATAAAATTGTCTGCTAAAAATTTATCATTTCAATGGATTTTTAGGATTATCAAATTTTCCTATATCAAAAAATATTTTTGAATATATATGGCACTTCTGTATAAAAAGAGGTTAGTTGAATTTTTTAACGTACATAATTATATGAAAATGATTTTCTTCTGCAATAGCAAATTTTAACAGTTCTTTATTTTTTGTACAGTATATTTTAAGCCATCACACTTACTACCACTTAATGTTTAGAGTTCAACAATTATTTTCTGCTAGAATTTACAACTAAAGTCTTCCACAGGTTATAAAGCCACTATTATAATGAAAAAGAGGTGATTGCATAGGGCAAAGAGAAGGAAACGCGTCGAATGAAATTTGGAATTTTTTTTGCAACTTTTATTTTCATGGAAATAGGAATTTCACTATAATTAAGGGACATCGACACGTTTTCTCTCTATTTGGATCTGGCTGTAAATTTTACATGAAACACTTTTGCTGTTATGACGTATGAATTCTCCCCTAAAAATTCATTATACTTTCTCAAAATACATTTAAACTGGCATTACTTTTATTAGACCTTTTTATATACACAAACAAAACCACAGTTGATGCGGTTTACGCCTTTCTGTTGGCTGAGATCAGTTTTTAAATAATAAAATTCAAAATAGCTCTGCAATCGTGGTCAGCACTGTCAGCAGAGTGAAGAGAGAAGTTTCTCGCACTTTTGACAGAAGAAGCAAGACATAGAGCAAAAAAGAAAAACGAATAACATTTTAAAGTTATCCTATTTTGCAATGAAATTATTTTATTGACATTTCGTATGTATTGTGAGAAAACTCTAATATTTTGATTTTCAATTCACCGCTGGCACGATTTATCTTTTGTGAACATCGCCATTCAGACAAGGTAGATAAGGTTATTTGCTCTAAAACAATCTGTTTGAAAACTCACAAATAATTTAATCGCTCAAATTAATTAAAAAGATTAAATTGCAGATTTCAGATTTGTGGATCTTGCTTAACTTTTACATCCATTTCTGCGTTTGATTTAAATTACAAATCTGCTAATATTTTCTTGAATTTTCTTTGGCAAAACATTGTGCCTTTTAATTAAGACGGTACATAAGCCTCAATGGGCCCCAGCCGTAAATATGAATTTAAATCTTATGCAGCAGCCACTATAATTTTATCAAATTTTTATTATTACAAATTTGATTAAGTTTTGGGCCCAGATTGTTCAGTGTCAGTTCTGATAATTTAAAAAATACCACTTTTACTTGTAAGTTTACAAACGTTCAGGTCTCTAGGGTTAAACATGATATGAATCTAGGGCATTTTAAATGCTACTTTTCTGACCAGCTAATACGTAGAATGCCTGATTCTACCCATTAACACATTGAACACAATATTATCAACAAAGACAGCTATTATTATCCTATTTAGCATTAAATTGTATTTTTGTGACTGCATTAATTATTAATATAAATATCACATGACTAAAATTAGATGAAATTTAGTGTTTACACATTGATTATTGTAAACATTTGTGACAAGACATATCACTGACTAAAAAATTAAAAATCGCATCTAAGCAAGAAAACTTTTGTGCAAGTGTGGGGTCAAGTATTGTGCTTAAAGTTAGTTTTCTCATTATCATGTCCAAAAATGTAGAGCAATAGGGACGAACATTTGGCTTTTCTCGCATGTATATTGAAATGAACAGTTTTTACTAAAAATAATGTAGCAAAATAAAACATAAATTATAAAATGCAGTTTTTGAACAATGAATTAAGTCGAGACGTGTTACTTTCTTGCGCTCAATTTTCAGTCTCAGCGTTGACTTTTTACTCCTCGTTGGGAGTGGGTAGTAAGTGGGTGGCACTGTTTGCAGAAATAGCGCACTTGAGATTGCTGCCGTCACTCAAGTCACCGACTGACGAGGGGTCGATTGAAATTTGGTCTGTGCTCAGAACCTCACCGGGAGGCTCCTGGCCGCCACCACTGCTCGGTGGCTCCCCTTTGCCAGTCAGGTAGTAGGTCATTAGCTGCCCTTTGCCCTTCACAGACACCAGGCCACGTTGCTCAAATTGGTATCCAAATTGCTTGAGAATTTCACATGTCTCCTCTGTGACCTGGAAAAACGTATTTTTATTTTTTTAAATTTTTTTCTTGAAAATGATTTAATTAATGTTCATTCTATTTTTATTCAATTTATTTCAATTTAATTCAATTCAAGACTTTTTCTCACTAATTTATATTTTTAATAATGTTAATTTATATTATATTAGTTTTGATATCTTTTATTGAGTTTTTTTTATATAATTTTTTATTTTAATGTATTATTTTAAATTAATATTCAAGATTTTATTTAAATTTAAAGGAAATATTTATATAATTTTCTGTACCTGAATGCAACCAGCTTTTCCTGTGCTTTCCATTCTCGAAGCCACATTCACAGAATTGCCCCAAATGTCGTAGTGAGGCTTTCTAGCTCCTATCACACCTGCTGTGATAGGTCCGTGATTGATTCCTAACAAGCAGATCAATATTAAAAAATCTAAACTTTTTAAGTTATCAACAGCTTTACCCATTTTAAGGACAAAGTGGTTGAAGCTTTGCTCGTTTATGGACGTGAGGGCTTTTTTAAGCTCAAAAGCAAAATCAACCAAAAGAGCAAGGTGGTTCCAAATCGAGGAGCTCTTTTCCGACTCAGCTTGGTTTTCCTGATTTGTGTTCAAACCACTTGCAGCCATGTATGTAGATCCGATTGTTTTGATTTTAATGATCATTTCTTTAAACTGCGGTCTTTCTAAAATCTACAAAATTTATCACTTAGAAAAATCGATTAAATAAAAAATATTTCATTAAAAACGTACTGCGTCAAAGTCTGAAATCACTTCGTTGAGAAATCTTAAGCATTCGAGGCCCTGGTTGTTAACAGACTCCTCTGTGTAGAAGTCTGAGAAGTTAGGCATTGAGGCAAAAAGCACCCCAACTTCTGCGTAGCTTTGGCTATAGAGCTCGTCATGACGCCGAGGTGCGCCTGGCCTTAAAAAGTGAGCAGCAACGTGAGGCGGCAGAATGTTGTACACGAGGCTCTCGTTGCGCAGCCTCATATCAGCAGCTTTTTCTCGCTGCTCCTCAACCGTGAGGCGCCAAATAAAAAGAACCCTGCTGGTCTTTTCGCTCTATAAAATTGGCATAATTTTATGAAAAAATAAATAAATAAATTTCATGCTTACGAAAAAATTGACTGTAAATAACACAATCAGTGTTATTCCCATCAAGTATAATAGTCCGATTTTGTCACTGAAGGGCCTAAAATATAATTTAATGTAAAAGATAAAACTCATCTAATTAAAACAACTCACTGTAAGTCATTGTCGTGATAATAAGCAATTTTCCTTTCCGCATCGAGTAGTCTGCCAAGGTCGCCCAGTGCATAAAGCAAACTCTGAATAATGAAAAGTACGAGCATCACGGCAATCTTTGCCCAGGTTGGCAAAAAGGCGCTCAGAGTGATGGCAAAGTTGACGAGCACAACAAAGTAAGCCAGGTAGGAAGGAAAATAGCAGTGACAGTCCGGAGACCATTGTGTCATGTTGCCTTCAGATGAGATTGCAAGCGCATCAGAGGTTGCATTAAAATTAACAGATCCAATGCTTTCGCACACGAGCTGAAATGTAAAACATGAGAATAAAAAAACAATTTTGGTTGCTGCACTTACATCCATAAATAAAACAACTCCAGAGAGCAGAAGTGCGCTTAGAAACGCTGACAGAAACCTGCGCCTGTAGTCACAGCTGAATTTTGAGCTTAATTTTACCAAGACAGGTGGAAGCTCCTATAAAATTGTTTGATTAAATAAATTTACTTTCCGAATTTTTTAATCATTACCGAAGGAAATGCTTCAACCATATAAATAAATGACAGGATTAGAAGTACGTTGAGCATAACTAATGAGTAGATTGTGCTAGCAATAGTCCTGAAAAATATAAAGTAATATTAATTATATTATTTATTCTTGGATCGCAATGCGCACCATGGCAAAATCAAAAAGTGAGTTGTTGCTATCACAAATCCAGCAACAGGAAAAGCCATCGTGGATGCACTTGGGAAGGACGCTTTGTGTGCACGGTAGGCTTTTTCTTTGGCATCATCGTAAAATTGAAGAGTGCAGGGTGTAATTTGCTTTTCAACAGCTCTATCTCTCTCCCTAGAAAATATTTAATATTTCTTAGCTTGATCGCGGACTTTATATTATCAGCCAATTAACCTGTTCAGAAGATCTTGTCGAAGACGTCTTCTGAAGTCTTGAGAATTTTCTCGGATCCTCTCACAATTACTTACTCTGATGCCCTGGAAAGTTTAAATCGGCTAATTCATATGGGTGAATTTTTTTTTAATGATCCAGAATTAATAAAAATCATATAAACTAAAAGAGTTTACGGTATTCTGGAAATTTTAACTTTTTTTAATATTCGTTTTATATCTTGGCGCAATGAGAGCAAATGTAACTCTCAACTGGTTATTTTTAGAACGGCTAAACATTTTCAAACGCGGTCTCTGAATCCCAGCACTATTTTAAATATTTGAATTCAGGTATTTCTTCTCATTTGAATCGGTTCAAATAATTTAAATGTAAACCAAGAAGTGTTGCAACGTTTTTTTTAAGTAACACGCAATCAGGAAAAAATTAAATCAGTTGAAGATAATTAAAAACGTACCACTGGTTCAAGACTGGCGCCGTGGTTATCTTCAACATTTGTTTCTTCGTTGGAAGTTCCATTTCTCATATCTTGCTCCTCTTCAAATGGCTTTAGGGCCTTCACAATAAAAAATGTTTTGAGACCAGCCATTCTTAAAGTCTCTTCGCGCTTCTCACCATGAGCTGGTTCCACTTCAAAGTGATCATCCAAATAAGACAGCGTTTTTTCAGATATATGAACGCGCCTAAAATATTTAAGAGTCTTTTATTAAAAATAACTCTCAAATCTATCAGTGTAAAATTAGTGATTTTTATATTTAAAATAAACCATTACAAGTAAAACTCAACTAAAACTACTTAAATTTTTTATGTGCTAATGAAATTATAAATTATGTAAAAAACAAAAATACATTACTAACCCTGCTTTTCCAGAGCTTTCCATCTTGTTAGCTAATTCAACGTCTTTTGAATAAACGTCGAACTGCCATTGTCGTTGTCCTAATACTCCGGCAAGAACGGCCCCCGTGTGGATACCAACTCTCATATCCACTGGGGAGTTTGTTGTGTTCTGGACATATCTAAAAAATATTACCCAAATAATAAATACACACAAATTCTTCTTTAAAGTCAGATTTGAACTGGTCCGACTGAGCTTAAAAAATTGCCAACTGCATGATGGATGAAGAACAGAGCCAGTCAAAATGTTTTAAAAATAAATGTCGCAAAGTTTTTGGCGATCGACCAAATTGAACTTTGCTGTAAGTCCATAAATTTTTTTATTGCTTGTTGAATTGATAGATTGTCAAATTTAATAGCCTCTTGTATTTTTGTCACACAACTAAAAAGCCGGTCTAAAGTGGATTTATCTATCTAAAGAACTTATTAATAAAATAAATTGACATGCAAAAGTTCATTTTTAAAGGCGATCTGATATGGCTACTGAGAGCTCATTGGGGAAATTTTTCATTATCAAAATTCATTTAAAAAACAGAAAATTAAACTTTTGTTAAAATATTTTTTTTTTTTACTTTCTTACTTAATAATTAAATATTCATTTATAATATATGATGTGTTACTTACTTGATTGCTTCAACCATTGAAAGTCCCATATGAACACACAATATTGCATGGTCTGGCCTTTCCTGTGGCGCTCCACTGATGCAGTAATAGCAGTCACCAAGGATTTTGATTCTCAGCTGGTGATATTTCTGCAAATAAATGACAATCATAAAAAAATTAGTGTTCGTAAAGGACTTATTTATAATATCATGTACATATCTATCTCTTGTATACTCAGTACTCAGTTAAAAATTTGTTCTTTTTTGTAAACTCACGTCGGCAAGATTATCGAAGCGTGCGAATAGTTCATTGAGGATCTTGACAAGCTCTGAAGCGGAGTAAGTAGAGGAAATCGCTGTGAATCCCACGATATCCGCATACAAAATGCTGCGATTATTCATAAATTACTCAAACTGTCACAAATATCTTTGCTTTCAAACATAAAATTTATTAAACATGCGATTGGTGTATACCTGACGTTTTCGTGCCGAGACATGTAGATCTTTTTGAATTGCGAGTCGATTGCAGTGCCCATGTCCTGCCGCATTTGTACTGCAACGTGCTCTGGCAGTACTGAAAGAAGGAGTCGCTCCTGTTACGGAGAAACGGTTTTTTTAAGCAAGGAAGCAAATATATAGTGTATAATACGCACAAGTGGAAATATTAAAGAAAATTTGAAAAAATCAATTTTTATACAAAAACGAGTTTTTAATTGAAGCAAAGCAATTAAAAAATATAAATAGCAGAAAGCTCGTAAAGCTTTTTAAGTACGTTGTGTGAAGCAAAATAATGACTTTTATAAATGATTCATGGTGAAATATTTATTAGTATCTAAATATTTAATATAATTTTTTTACCTGTTCTGCAGACTGCTCCTCTATAAGCAATTTTACTTCAAGTGACTGCCTTGTTTCAAGGAAAGCCCTTCGCTGCTGTTTGTCAGACAGAAAATAAGATGTCAGTCCGATGAAACTTGTCGCTATCAGTAATAAGCTGTTTGAAAAAATCTGTAACAAAAAAATTGTATTATTTTTCACAAAAATGACATATACGAAAATAGCATTGGAAACAGATTTCTTTATAAGTAAGATCACACAAATTTTTAAGTGATTATATAAAAGTGCTAAATTCCAAGAACATTTGTTTGCACCAAAAATCATGTACCCCAAAATTCTTATAAATGCAAAATGCAGAGCGCATTTTAGCGCGTGGCATTATAACACGGCTGTTATTCGCGCGTGTGTGTCGCCCTGCTCGCATGTTTAATTAAAACAAGCCACTTGCACTTTAAAGCTTTGTAATTGGTCAGGCCGCGCGTGCCTAAGTGGGGTGCGAGGTGCTTTGAAAGAAAAGGTTCTGGTGCGAACAAAAACCAAGCTTGCCTGTTTACAGGTTTTTGGGGTGAAAATTATTTTTCGTGATGAAAAAATGCAAATAAAAAACGTTTTTTTAAATACATAAGTTTTTTGTTGGAAAAATATAATTGTTTTACATTTAAATGTCAAAATTAATGAAAATCATAAGAGTACCTGTTGGGAAAGCTGGTGGTCCTTTCTGCCAAGGATAGATGCTGTGGCGAGGTAACAGATGCACATGGTGAGGCTTAGCAGGAGGCAATACCTCAATCGCAGTGGCAAACTTGTGTAGATGAGAAAATTGATAACCATTGCAAAGCCAAGGTACTCCCTGCAAATTTTTGTTGTTGTTAGCAAAAATTTTACATTCCAAAGATTTTTTATGCGTAGATCACAGAATAAATTTTTTGTTTTTTATTTAGGATTATTTGTTTTTTCTTTTCAAATTTAAAATAAAGCTTTAAGGACTGAACCTTCATGAATACACACTCTGCAATAAATAATTTTCAATCAATAAGGACTGAACGTTTTTAGACTATCACATTTTCAGAGAGTATAATTATAAATTTTTTATGTTATTTTGAGTACAAATAAATAAATGACTAATGTATTGATTTAGACTTACAAACATAGACCCAGAAAACTGCCTGTAAATATAGTGAACCGAGTGGATTATCGTTATCAAAAGCTGGATCAAGTCAATAACGCGCCAAAAGCCCTATCAAAGCTCACAAAGCTATTATGCCATTAACCTATGGTTTTGCTTCATCAGATTGTGTCAGATGTGGAGCACCGTTATAGCGTGATTATAAGTTTTTTTAAATTTTTTTGCAAACTAGAGATTTTGAATTAAATTCTAGAAAGATGTTTCATGTAATATGTTCCTCATGAAGCACATAAATTATGCATCGCACCTGGCTAAAAATTAGCTCCTACATAAGAACTAAATTTTTTCTTTTCTTTTATTATTCCATATTATGTGCGCACCTGTCGAATGATGCATAATGTTAACTACATAATATGCTTATGTTGCCCAATAAATTGAATTGAAACGCACTATCATCATTGTCACGGCAAAAATTCCTCTCCAAATTGCACAAGTGAAGTCGGCGGCAGAATTGATTGAGGATTCAGACAAGAGTCTCACCTTGGAGTGACGTGGGTATGCCGTGCCAGCAGCAATGAAATCAGCAGAAGTCCCGTGGCCAGCACCCAGCCCAAGTACGGAAGGGCCATCCACACCTGCTCCAGAAAATCGATTTGCACGTTCTTTCTCTGCAAAATAATATTAAAAGACCATTAATTGAAATAGTGAATAACTGACAAAGTGTTGAAAATAAATTTCATATTGAGTGGAGCATTTACATGGTTATAAATCATTTTAAATTAGATGGTTGCATGGATTAAACAATTAATTTTAAAATTGAAGCTCGGACAACTTTGTAACAAGTCCTTGTCACTATTTGAGCAATAAAATTTTCTCTAACCTCTAACTCACGTTAATATTATTATTTTACCAATATATATTGTTCAAAAAACACGGTTGATTAGAGTTCAAAAGTTGAGAGTAAAGAATTACTTAATATTTCTGAAAAATTTATTTTCTTTGAATTGCATAATTTAATTTTTTAAATTTAATTTAAGATGGTTGAGATAAAATGCTGTAAAATTTTTATTGACTGAAGAGGAAGAAAAGTTTGAGACTCTTTATTGCATTCTTGCCAATTGGCTATTAATAGCATAAATTCTAACCGTCTCCGTCTCTCAATAACTGGTAACTTTATAGTGTCAAGTCGTATTTATCGGATATTCGATCATCGGTGCGTGCAAACGGACGCCGGACTTACTTTAGGGGATTAAATTGACAGACAGCCCAATTAATTTATAAATAAACAGACGAGCAACATAGCAATATGAGGTCGATTGCCAATAATTTTCTGAATGCAGAAGAAAAAATCGAGATAAAATTTTTATTTCCTTCTTGCTTTTCGGGATACGTGAAGCGTGTAGAAATCCGCGAAATTGAGTAGCAAATAAGCCTCTCCCCCCACCTCTCCAGCCGATGCTGTACCATCCCCTATTTAGCTGGTGGGCTTGTTTTGTTTTTCTCACAATGCAGTCATCAGTCAGACTTCTTGGTGTTATTGTGATGATGTTGTGACATTAGAGTGTTCTCTACGGACAAATAGCGAAGGGTGTGACTTGGGGGTTGAAGGGAGCGAGTAATTGGGTACTTTGAACTGATTATACACCCGTGACCGTCATATAATTAGCACGTGTTTGGAGCTGGTTTGGAGCGACCGAAGTTGACGAGAGAAGAGAAAGAGTTCAAATTCAAGAGAAGAGGTGAGTGTTCAATGGTTTCCTGCTGTTCATTAAGCGCTTTGATTTCTCATTTTCATCTGTTTTTCAGTGTACATCGTCTTCGTGGTCAACAAAAAATAATAGTGTTTAGTGATTTGTGAAAAGTTGAATAGTGTGTTCCACTAAACAAGGATTACGGGAAGAAACGACAGGAGGACGAATATTTGAGATGAAAAACTCTTCGGCATCGCAAGGTCAGTGCTACAATTCCTTGATTTTTTGTTTTTGTATTTTTCTCTCATAATATTAAGCTATTTTTAAAGTTTTATCGCATTCGTTGATATTTTTATCCAGCCTTGTTTTTAAATCAAGGACCTGCTAGTATAAAGTTTTGCTTTAATGCTAGTAGAAATTTCAGCACTTTTTAATTGCGATGTTCATACTACTTAACTATATCATCATTAGTAGTTTTTACTGCTTTTATTGCACATAAAATGTTTAAAAGCTACTTCCAGTCTTTTATGCCACCGCTAATGCGAGGCAGCAAAATTAAACCCACATGAGGCACGATTGCCTTTTACAACTTTTCCCTACATAAATAAGTTCTAAATTTGAACCCTTCTTCAGATCATCCTAATTTATACTAAAAGAGCCGCACAACAATAGAAGCATAATTGTGATTTTATATTCCGCCAAGAGAAATATCCAACATCTTTTTTATTTTTAATTTTTCACCGGCCAATTTTTTTTCTATAATATTTTTATCCGCTGTAAAGTTTCAAAACATAACTGGGTTGAAGATGCTGTGGATATATTTGTCTTGTGTGTGTTTGTTTACACCTCCCTAAAGAGGGTCCTACGCTCGTAAATCCTCGCTTAAAGTTATTAATAGGTGTGTTTGGGTTCGGAGATGGATGTTGGTGCTTTTTTTAATGATAAACGGTGAGGACCTTTCACGTGTTAAATAGCCAATGGTTTACTCCTGCCCTGCTAAGTGACCATAAATTTTGTGGGGGGAAAAATTACCTGCACAAGTATGAAAATGACGGCGATGGTCGCGACGAGCAGAAATCCGACCAGGGTGATGGACACGGAAGTCCACAGAAGGCCCAAGTGCCACGTGCTCTCGTCGCCGTAGACGGCGGTGCTGGTGACGAACACGTTGAAGAGCAAAAAGGCCAGGTAGAAAGAGAGAATGTCCAGTTTTTTCTGCTTGCCGCGATACGACTGGTACAGATGCTCGAGGGACGCGTCCGGGAAAGCGCGCTGCAGAATTCCGGGCACCACTTTCGCGATGAATCGCGACGCCTGCGACGGCGGCTCCTCCACCGAGTCCATCCGACTCATTTCCGGCTCCATCTCCACGCGCTGCTCCGACCCTGCGAAAGGGCGAAATTGTTCGCGTTCCTATTATTGGGAGGAAGTTCTCAATTTGTGTACAGCTAGAGAGACAAAAGCGGAATTGTTTTCCGTGCAAAAAGCAAGCAAATACAGAATGGATTTTTTTTTTAATGAGCATAAATTTGCAATCTATTTGTTGGAAAATGTTATTTATTGGTCAATTATTATTATTTACTCGTTAATAAAAAAATGCATATTATTTAATTTGTAGAACTTTTTATAAATGTTAATACTTCAGAAATTAAGTCATAATACAAAATTTTCAAAATGTGCAGTTTCCGCCTTTCGGCCAATAAGTTGCTAAAACCAAAGCGTTTACCTCGTTTTTAAAAAGTGATTTTTTTACTGTCTTTTGAAATATTAACCGGAATCAAAATTAAATAAATACCGAGCATAAATTGCTAATTATTAATTACAAAACTATGTGTATGAAATATTTTATGCATTTTGTAGGAATAATTTATCAGAAGGTAGCATTGAGAGTTGCTGATGATAAAATTCGCTGGCCCAAAATCTAGATTTTACTCTATAAGTCTGTATCGACTGGTGTAAATAAATATTGTTGTTGTATTCTGGTGTTAAAATACGAAAATAGCTTATAAACTCTAAGGATCTAATCTAAAGCCGGCCAGAATACAAATAACTTGCGGGAAATTTCGTAACAAAATAAAATGTGGAATTACAAAATATTGATCTTTAATTTATTTAAAAATCAACGGCTAGAACAAAAAACATAAAAACGAAGTTACAAATATGTATAATTAATCAACAGCATTTGCATGCACTTGAAGTAACAAGTAGCAAAGCACGCAAGGAACAAAGCTTTATTGAAATGAATTATTGAACGGGCATAGTATGGTCTCGTATCTCGAAATCTGAAACTTAATAAATTCTCTTCCAGCAGCTAGAATTTGCAATTTGTTAGAATGAGAGAAGATTGAGCCCTGTTTTGAAAAGCTAAAAACGTCTCATTTCTCCACGCTTTTATAAACACACACACCGGCGGGCGTCGAAAAGCAAAATACAAACAGTTTTAAAAAAGAAGAGTTTTGAAAATTAAAAGGCAAACACTCGCAGGCACATTCCTCAAAATAAAAGCGTCCAAAATGGTCCGAGAGAGTGAAAATAAACAAGCGCAGCAGCTGAGCAAGCAAGCACTTTTGGGCCCGGCGAGTGGGCGCCCGCCGAGCGAGAGTGGCGGTCCCGGCGAGCAGAACAATTAAAAGACTGACCTTTCAAGCGAGCAGGTCCCGGAACCTGCAGGGCGAAGGGGCGAGGCGCGGCGTCCGCATCAGAAGCAGCAGGTCGTGCGGAAACGCGGCGGCCGCGGTCAATGCTCGGCTCCCACTGATCGAGCACCGCGCTCGTGAGCACCGTTCGCTCGTTCGTCCTCTTGGTGCTCGCTCGCACTGGAGGAGGGGCGCCGGGGGCAGCTGGCAAGGGATGGATCAATACGTCATCCCCGTGCGTGCGTTGCTTGCTCGCTTGTCGCTGCCTCGCGCGCTACCCCATTCACCAATATATCCGCCGCTTTTTATCACGCAGAGTGCATTATGTTGCTTACGATTGTCTCTTACATTTTTTATTATCTCGTTTTCCACCGCAGACAAATGGGTTAATCCGTCGTGTTCCTTTTTTCTGTCGGCTAGGTCGATATTTGCCCATCACACAAATTAAATAGTAATAGATGCTCAACACGAATTCACACCAAATATTTTCACGCAAATCAAAGGATCTTTTCTTAATCTAAATAAACACACAAAAAATGATTAAAAAAAAAAAAAATAAGAAAAGGAGTTGTCAAAACATTTCTTAATTTATTTTATATTTTACAAATATCAAAATAAAAATTTTCATCAATTTCCAAAGCCATATTTTAAAATTTTTATTTTAATAACAAAAAATGAGTTTAATTTAACAATTCTCATTTTGTGTTTCTCTCTAATCAATTCATTTAAAAAAAATTACACAGTTTAAATACATTGTATCTCATTTTATTTCCTGAATTCATAAAAATATTTTTGTTTTTTTGAGTCCTGTGGGATTATGACAGCGGTTGAGTTGTAATAAACATTGGAGAGGTGCGGCACATCTACAGCGAGTAATGATTACCGAGGCGAGCTCTCGCACCCGGGCATGTCAGAGGCTGCAATTACACACCGGTCTTATAATCCAAACGCCTCTCTCGCTCACAAAAGAATTCCCCTCTGAATTATTTAACACTCCTTATAAGTTGGCACTGCACAAGAACTTGATTAAGACGCTTTCCATGTGCCTCTCTCATTTCATATTCTCTTGTTATATATGGACGAGGCTTCAAAATTTTATATTCACTTGGTGAGCAAAATCGAAACCCTCAAGACGTTTGTTCTACCATAAGCTATGCGACGGCGATACAAATATACACGTGTGTTCATCCAGGCGTATAAGACGTATAAGAAGACAAGTGACGAAACCACCGCCCGAAACCAGACTTATGCCGATTCCCTGCTGCTGGGCCCCACGGGTGGTGTTTCGCGTCGCAGGCTTGGCGCTTGTTCCTAATCTGATCCTAACTCTGAAAATTAGATTTTCATAAGTTGTGATAAAACTTTTAATTAATTGGTGGATTTGCTTCAATAACTGTAGCTCAAATCATTTTTAATGTATTGGTTTATTTTCCCCTTTGAAGAATATTTAAAAGTTTATAAAACAATATGATTAATTAAATTAATGAGTACATAATATATTGGCAACTTGAGCAATTTGACAAAAGTGAGCTCTTTAATATTTGATTTTCAGTGCTTAAAGATGTATGTCTATAAAAATAATTAAAAATACAGGAACTGCAATGATATTTTCATTGGCTCTAAATTTGATTGTCTTAATTTTTCTCTCTCACAAGTCCTCACAACTTGAGCAGGCTTTTGTGTATTAATTTATAATGAAGTCATTTAATTATAAACCATTATCCTTAATTAAAAATTTTGCACGTTTCTTTTGTCCATATTAAAAAACTAAAAATAATAGTGCATGACGTTTCCTATGCTTTGTGTGCGCTGAATAATATATTCCTGGTAGCAAATTGAGTGGATCAAGGTTATTTGATTTTAAGCTATCAGATCATCCCTTTGTCACGGTCATTGTCTTCTTTGTGCCCAGTCGGCGATGGCACGGTGTTGCACAAAAAAGCTTGAGCCTCTTCCAATATCTAATCAAGCCGAGTGCCCTCCTCCAGCTGATACCCGAGCTGCTGCAGGGCTGCAACCAAATTGAGGTTTAGCCCTCATCCAAGATTAGAAAAGTGAACTAACCTTTCATAACTTTGGGATTTCTCTCCAAGTTGTCGATCCAAAGGCGATAATTGAAATTTTCGTGAATGCCGCCGTACTTTTTGGGCAACCTTTTTGGGCTGATGTGCTCATGGAGCGAGGCCATGTCTGATCCGTGGAAAAATATCTAAAATTTTTCGTTCTCAATTAATTAATATTTATATTAATTATTTAATATTTCCAATGAATATTAAATTTTTTATTTTACAGAAGAGAATTATATTAAAAAAAATTAAACAATCTTACTCTATCTTGCATTCTTTTGTCAAGCATTGGCTTGAAGATTGCAAACATCATTTGGCAGACCATAGGCTGGAACACAATATGTATGGCATGGATGCGCATAGGGAAGCATTTCTGTGAAAAAATTTAAGTAAAAAAAAAACGATTACAATATACTCTAGTTTTTAAAATCAATATATTTAGATTTGTTTGCTTAGATTTGGCAAAAATTGCCTATTTAACGTTTTATGAACTATGAAATTCTAAAAGCGAAGCTGTTTCTCACCACGAGCATGTCGATTATGGTCTCGGCAACCGCAGGGGTGATGTTCCAGACATGGCTCAGACCCACCCCGCCTAAGTCAAATATGCAAACACCGCCAAGCACAGTGGTGGCCTTTTCCATTATTCCCAATTCCATTACCACCACACTAGCCTTAAAAAGCTCAACGATCTTGTACTTTGATGTGCTCCAGTTTCCTTTAAAAGCAAAATAAGTAAAATTATTCAAATTTTGTAAAGATAATTATTTCATATGCAAAAATTTAGCTCACCAACTTTGTAAATGATCATCCTGCGGCCATGTTGGTCTTTGTAGGGAGGAACTGATATCACATCTTCATCGCCCAGAAATTTGAGCCTCTGGGGCCAAACATTTTCGTGGATATCTGGTCTACTTGCTTTAAAGTTGACGTAGTTTTCCAGCTGTTAATTAAAGCCGTAAATTGAAGGTAGAAAATAATAAATAACTATAGTTAGGCAACCGGCGCAACCTTCGCGGCCAGTTAGTTGCATATCTTTCACAAAGCCAGTTACCAATTCACACAAAAATGCTTCAATTAATAAAAAAAATCTTTGTTGTAAAACAAGTTAATTCTTTAATAACTTTTAAATCATTGAGTCGTAAATAAATAAAATTACCAATTTGTAAGACCTCTCAGTGTGGAACCGCCTGGCTCTGAGAAATCTCAAAAGAAAATCATCATCCAGTTGGCAAGCGATGTCCGCCTTATCTGGAAAGTAGGACCACATTCAGTTAGCTTCAGCAGCGAAGCAAAGAGCGAAAAGTTTTTATGAAGGGTAAAAACCTCGAATCATGTCTCTGAGCTTCACCAAACTGTCGGCTCTTATCTCCGGCGTTTCTCCCAGTTCCTCTTTGGCCTTTTGGTACAATTCGTCGGTCAAGTCAGTCAAATCCAGCTCCATCGAGAAGTCGGTGACATCTGCAATGCTGTTGCACTCATTGTAGGGTGGCATCGCTTCCCTATGAATTGAAAAAATTGATCAGTTGTGTTTACAATTATTTTGCCATTTTATTGATTATGCAAGAATAATTCGTTTTATTTGCGTTTGGTTTTAATCCTCAAGGAAATCTCTGATATTTGCAGTAACCATCAATAAAATTATGAAAAGACGTAAACTCTCTGATTGAGACTGCACAAGATTGAAAAATGCTAATACATAATATAATTATGCAGTAAAATTTTAATATTTAAATATTTGAATTGGAACGTTTATTGTTTGAGCATTCTTGAATTTATTCTAAGAGGCAAAAGTGCATTCTGCGCTTCAATAACTCTCTGATAATGACAGATTATTGCTTATATTTTATCTGCAGAGTTAGCACCCGTTTTATTTTTCGCAGCGATCAGTTTAATCTGTGTTATTCTATTTATCGATCCGCAATAAGTGCATTTTAAAAGTAAAATTGCGTCATGAGGAAATCGACGCGGCAATTTATCATGCGCCTCGTGCCCTTTTGCAACCTTGATTTTTTACGCTAATCTGGATGAAATATCGATTAATCTCTTGATTTTTTTAAAAAAGACACGACGCCTCGGGAAAATTTGTTCTGACGTGGAAAGGAGCACTTTAAGAGTCTCAACTTTTTGATGAGAATGATAGATGAAAACCCTTGGACACAGGCGGGGCGTAATTTATCCTTTGGCTCGGAGCCACCCGACGTGCTTGTGCGCGAGGTTGTTGAAACGCGCAGAGATTGCGATTACAATTTTATTGCGCCAGAGGGGTCATGCTTAACTCCAGCCAAAAACATTTACAAAGCACGTAGAAGAATTTCTGCTACAAGAACCGGCCAAACTAGTACAATTTTAGATCACTATACTTAATTTTTAAATATTTCACATTATATTTAATTAAATTAATATTCTTGAGAATACGCCTTTGGGAATTCACCGAAGGTTAAATACTTTTATTACACTCATCAGCCAGATGCTGGACTTTTCCATTATGGAGGCCTTTTATTTTCTGATGCACATAAGCAAATATCAGCTCTAACGCAAACCTGTTTGTTGGTCGCGCACAAACCACGTGACCTGCACTGGGGTTAGATGCACTTGACAGTGGCAATTATGTTCATTTCCACGCACTCGCTTATATAACTGACCTTCGCACCGCGAGAGGAATAATATAGTGTTCAAGATCGATTTGTTCCAATTCAGAGAGTCTTCTACACATATACTTTCATCTTTAATGCAAATTATATAACCAATTACAATTATTTTAGTTTTAATCGGGCAGGTTGCTTGGTGAATTCAGAACGTGAGACTTGAATTATTTTTCTTGCTAATAACCAAATGTGCATGAAATTTACAAAGATATCTTTTAATCTCAATTTTAAAAACAAGAGAGCAAAATACGTAGGCTGGAACAAGGCAATGTCAAAACTTGAAGCAAGCAACATTACAAAACAATGACAGCTGCGCAATTATTACTCATCATTTCCGTCGCAATGGCAACTGAAAGTCAACTGATTGAAAAGAAAAATAATAAGAAAATGACATTACTTTCCTTCTGCTTGAGACGCCATTTGACAAAAGAAAGGGAAATCAACTATGGACTGATAATGTACCTGATAATATTGAGCGCTTTATCACAATAAATTATCAAATTAGCGCGCTGTTTATAAACTCGTCTCCGTGATTTTTTTGTAACAAATAAAATTCCCTTCGAATATTAAATTTTTATAATGAATTTCTTGCATGCGATTGTTTTAAAAATGGCTAATGGCAGGTCAAATAATGCAAGTTTGCGTCTTACCGTCAGCTGAGAGAGCGCAGGATGCAAAGAGCGAGTGCAAGCGGCGGACAGAAACGCAAAGAGAGGATGCGATTGCACCGCGGCGTGACCAGAGTCAAGTTCTTTTTCTGAAGCTATACTGACTTTAAACTCGTTCAGAGGCAGCCGAGTCTATTCCAAGGCTGCTATAATATCAAATACATTATCTGAACGCGGTTCCCCTCCCCTGAGAATTTATTATGCATAACATACACGCCGTTCCCTTATCAAAATTTGCGGCGAGTCTGACATCCATAATCGCCGTCAACGCAGGCGGAATCGTGCCATATGCATTGAAAAATGAAAGGCATGTTGTTTTAAATGACAATGTGTTCCACATAACTCTCAGAGTAGCAGCCAAATAAGAAGCCTCTACATAAAGTCTTGACTTGGTATGCGCCTAGAAAATTAATTATGTACCATCAAAATGAAAGTTAAAACAAGAAAGTTTTTTTTAAGTTCTGCCAAATTTCATAATGCTTTTTTATCATATCTAATTCAAAAATATAAAAAACGTACAGATAAAATATTAGTTTGTTATAAGTTGTGTTAATGTAAAAAAATGATATAGCTACTTAATATCTCTTTATATGAAAATAAATTTTATTAAAGTTTGTTTCCGTGGCAGCAATAATTTTTTTAAGTGTTTTGTTTGAACAGCATTTTTAAAGATATTATAAATATATATTAAATTTAATTATCTTACATAGCTCTTAAAGCTTCCACATTAATAAACTCACTTAAGATTAATTATTTTTCAAGAATTTTCTGGAGCAAATTTAAAATAGCAACGCATTTTTAACACAAGCTTTGCAATACGCGAAAGTCTGTTATCTATTAAAAAAAATTTCTAATCAAAATGATTCACAAAAATGAGCACTTATTAGGCTCTGAAGTGTAAACATAGGGTAGAAGCACTTAACCCCATACAATTCCACACTTACCTGCACTTAACATTTTTGTACCGAAAATTGCAAAATATTATGTAGTGAAAACTCACTAGTAAAGAACAAAGGCACAAGTTGGTTGCGGACGTCACTATGTATATCGCTGCGCCTCATTTGGGAACAAAAGAAATGCGTAGATGGTTATTTTCAGCAGATTTAGGAATCTTGAAAATCCTTAAAAATTTGCTGAATTGGGAGAAAACGCAACAAACTGTAAAAATCCTTGCATTCCTTAACAAATTTTCTTCTGGTATTCTATGTAATGCGTCCAGAATCTTCAACTTTGATATTTACTTGCTGCTGATAATTTTAAATATTTTGTTTATATTTTATTTATTTATGTACTACACACAAATTAAAAAAAAAATTGCTTAAGCCATTTAAATAAAGAGAACGGGTTTCCTTAAAACAATTCTTATTCCATATTCCATGTGCAGCAATATTTATTATCTAATCAACAGTCTTTAGCGTTTAGAAAATGATAATTTTTTATTAATTATTTAATAAACAGTCATTTTGATTATGCAGGCATGTTTCTCTAAATTACCCGAAAATTTTGATTTATTATTATTTTAATATTGTTTTTTTTTATATTCAATAGAAAGAATCATCTGCAAAATCCAGCTCAGCCAAATGACAAACTTGAATCTCTCTCGCCAAATTGGTTATTAAAATCAACGCAGCATGATTTTGTCTTTTGCATACATTTTTATTAGAAAATACGGACTAGGGATGATGAGCATCAGATGGTAGAATATTAACAATGTGCAGATCTTTTTCTGATCACAGCTATCGGGACTCTAGGTAACGTTGTTAAAATTTGAGGAGAAGCACGTGATGCATTTCCCAGCAGTTCTGCGGTTAGCTTTGTTGTTCAAATGCGTACTGCCTTATTCCTGCAAAAATAAAATTAAAATTATAAAATGATGAGCAATAGTCATACGTAAGGAATAAAAATCAGGTGCCAAATATTTTATAATAATAAAAATTCCTCTGTGAAAAGAGAGAAAATTTGTATCAAACAAATTACCTTTGTAAATGTGCTCGTTGTCATGCAACAGGTCAATGAGCCCCTCTTGATCGAAGTGAGTTAGCTGACCCTTGTATTCCTTCGTCAAACAAGCAGGCGATACGTGGTTTTGCAAGGATTTCATATCATTACCGTGGAAATGAATCTGGAGTCGAATTACGGAAATAAGGATTGAAAACAAAATAGATTTAAAAGAAACTCACTCTCGACTTCAGTTTGGAGCTCAGGAATGGTTTGAAAATGGCGAAAACAAGGTCAAATAACCGGGGTTGGTTTATGATGTGGAAAGCTTTGAAACGCATTGGAAAGTTTCCCTAGAAATTGGAAAATATTTTTAGTTTTACTTAAATTTAACTTAATTTTTAAATCATAATTTTTTTATTTTAATATTATTGCTGAAATTTTGTTGAAAGAAAAATGAAGATTTATTTGAAAATTAAAAAAATACCTGAAGGAGATCCACTGTCTTTTTAGCATAGGATGGACTAAGATTTGCAACGTGCCTCAAGGATGTGCCTTTCATATCGAGAACCGCCACTCCGCCCATCATTTGCGTGGCGGGTTCACTGGCTCCAAGTTCAGCGCATTGCACTGTTGCCCCGTATAAATCGTCCATGGTTCCCATTTTGCTGCTCCACGCACCTAGTTTTAATCACCTCATTATTTTCCAGAGTTTCAAAAAGTAAATTATTTATGAATTTAATTAGGATGAATTTAAAAAAAAAAAGAGAATTTCATTCAAATTACCAAATTTCATGATGGTCACTCTGCGCCCAAACTGATCCCTTACGGGTGAAACAGACACCAAGTCGTTATCAAATATTTTGGCTTGCTGTGATGGTCCAATTTTTGAATAAACGTCAGCGTGCTTTGTGATGTGCCCAAAGTAGTCCTTGATCTATTTTTAATACAAAAAATTAAAATTTAGCTTTTTAGTCAATTTACATGAATTAAAATTTTAAATAAAATATAAAAATTGGCCTTACCATTTTAAGAGCGCTTTCGGGGTAGAATTTTGTCGGCCTAAGAAACCTAATTAGGTACTCATCATCCGTCCTGCAATCCAGGGAACCGTCTTGTTCGATAAGGGCCCTCAGTTCGGCCAAAGCGGCCTCCCTGACCTGGTCCGACTCCCTGATTTCAAGCGCGGCTCGCAACTGGAGCTCTGGCGCCGCTGGTCCCAGCTCAAGAGTGTGCTTCGGGTCCATGGCGTTGCCTCCAGTTTCTGGATTGCAAATGATCTCGGCGGAAAGACGCACACGTCTATTTGTAATGTGTGCGATCCGGAAGGAGCGAGGAAGAGGAGCTCAGCAGGCGGATAGAGCAGGCGAGATCCACTCTAGGTGCAATGTCGACCACTTGTCAGTGCAATCACTTCCTGCTCTACTCGTCGCCGGCCGTTTAAGTCTGTGCGCCTGGTGCATGATGCTGAAAACAGCATAATTTTATCAAGCGTGGATAAATGTTTAAAATTTGATTAAAGGTCGCGCCTTTCTACTTTGAAAACTCTTCCTGCGCAATGAAAATTAACTTTTGGAGGTGCTAAAATTATTTTTGAAATTACTGCTAGAAAGCAATTTTGTTTAATTTTGTAAAGAAATGATTATATTTTTACCAACTTTCAATGCACGTTCTGAAAGCTGACGCGCTTGGAGGCAACGGCGGTGTATTAATTATAATTACAAAACTCTAGGAAATTTGTTGATCTTTGAAACAATACCGTCCTGCAGCTTAGTCCACTTTTTTGCATCCATGTAACTTCCTTTTTATCCTGCTTTTTAAATGTTATATATAAAGTAAAATTGTCTCACTCACGATCAGATCGACTTCTTTTCGTAAGACATAATAATATATGTATTTGGATTGTCCTTGATACTTAACTTAGGATTAAATTACGCTTTATTAATACTGAAACTATTTATAATAAATATAAGTATTTTTTTAAATCAGGTCTTCAATTTTTATCAAATATCTAATTTAGGTTATATTCTATCAATCCTATGTAAGCTGCCATTAAAATGAAACTGTGGCCAAAGATGGCACGTGCGAAATTAAGTGGATTAATATTAATTTTATCAACTAGATAGTTACTTCTCAAGGATTTTTTTTATCAAATTTAATTTTAAATTGGGGCAGTCATCTATATATACCCAATTAAATATGCTTGGGCCATTTGTCTTAAATATTTCATATTTAAATATTATGAAATTTGCAGCATGCTAACTCACATAATAACCGATCATTTTTTATAGGATTTACAATCTTTTCAAGATTATGTGATACGACCTTCCAACTATATCGTACATTTGTGGCCTTTTAACTCCATAAAGTAGCAAATTTGTTGAAGTGTGTCTACCGGCCGATCATTTTATGACAGAGTGGCAGATTAGTGAGATATAAGAGGTGTTAACCCAATGCAACACACAATTGGTCGGTGCGTTTGTTGATATTGATACACGTGAAAAGTGGAAGACAAATAATGATTTTTGTGCGAAAGTCATGCCTTCGATTCGTGTCAAATGGCCTACGTGGGTGTAAAATATAACTCTATACCTCTTGCAATTAATTTAGATAAGATAAATTGCAGACAGCACGTGAAGTTTGAATGGGGAAATGCATGACCAGAATGACTGACGCAATCGCATTGTAGTGCTACTTATCACTTCGATAAAATAACATTGTTTTATACTATTACTTTTTATATCTTTTTGCCTGCCCTTTGCTCTACAGATGCTAATCCAGAGTTTTTGCAAAAGTATATTATATACCATTCTTAATACATATTACTCTGATCTTGATCTAATTAATGGAAGTTGCAATCACATCAGCAATAGAAAGAAAGTTTTAAGTTATTAAAAATATTATAGAATAAATTAATAAGAATTTTTAACGCTATATATGGCACTAAAAAATTTCGATCATATTATTTTTCCCGGTATTACAATTAAATGTGGTTAATAATTTAATGAAATTTTTACTGAAAAAGATACTGCATAATTGATAAATAATTGGAATTTATCCTTATAGTGAATAGCATGAAAAATTAAAAAGAGAAATTTGTTAATCTGTAATCAACAATAATTTCCTAATGTGAAAAAATGATTTATAAATAAGGATTCTCAATATTTCCAATTTTTTTAAATACAAATTTTTGAATACCAGCATAAAAATATAATTGTTTTTTCAGTTTCTCAGCCTAATCTTTTGATTGGAAATGAGTTAAAAATTAAATAAGTCTTAAAAATTAATAAAATTTTGTTGTTATTTAATATTAATTGAGAGTAAAAAAATAATCAACGATCACCTTCATGCGGTCAATTTGGCTTTCGGATTATTTCATTTAGAATAAATTTTCATTATTTTCAGTTTTTTAGGTGATAAAGTTTTCAGTTCGTATTCAAATTTTGGTGCATTGATTCTGCGATGGTCCCAACAACTCCATTAAGAGGCTCCATTGACCCTTCCCAGAGTAAACTTCCCCCATTTGATAAAAACTGACTATAGGTGCTTGAGGGTTCAACGTGAGTGAAGTTTTTAGTTAAAGGAATTTTGTGGCAATTAAGGCAGCCCAATCAAAAACGGGGCACGCGTGCACCTACCTTTGCTATAAGGTTTTGCACTCGACACACAAGCGATATTTGGTTGGTCATGATAAGTGGGTGTGATCGGACTTGGACACACGCAGAGAGCACGAGGTAATCGCACGAGACCGGCGCCTTCCTCCAATACAGCGAGGAGCAATTAATTTTATTGCTCGCGCCTCGCGCATTACAAAAGAAACGCTGCCGCCGTCTGAGAGATTAAATTATGAAATATAAATTTTCCTGTCACTGCAAAACGCACGCTTAATGCGACACACCTTTGTTGTTGGGATGATAATATTTTGATGTTAACATTATTGTTTATTTGTCGATTGTTATAAAAATTTTCATATTTAATTTTTGCTTTTGAATGCTTTCGAAATTGCTCATTTAATAGTAAACTATGAAATCCGGTACTTTACGAAGAAACATTAGATTAATTGAAATCAATTTACGTCACCAATCGATGCACAAACAAGTTTATGGCAAGGTTAAAGTAAACATTTGCATGTGAAATAAATGATGAAATTAAAGATTCCTTCATAGCCACGGGTTTTTTGATTTTCCAAATGTGTTGCGTAATTTAAGTTCTGCGGCCTTGATACGGCCGCCGCACATTGTTTAGAGAACAATCTGTGATAGTTTTCATTATCTGCTCGCATAAAGGGATGGGGCGCTCCGTAAATATAAATAGTGGGAGCCAGATTACGCACATTGCTCTTCTGCCATCCGGCTTGTCCGCGCAATCAGCCACCATGACCACTACGGAGACGAATATAAACCTGTCAGATGTAAGAATTTATTTTAATTTTTGCAATAATATTTTATCTCACAAGACGTCATAGAAAACGGTGTTTCTTTTTTAAGGCGACCTAAGCCACTTATTTAAATGTTGCTCCTTTTGATTGGTTGAAATTCCCTTGAGGTGTGCTCTGCAAGCAAATGAGTTGGCAAATAAAAGAGAAAGCTTTTTATACAATCCCCCATACTGTGTATTCGTGCGGCCCGCGTGCTGTGTGCGCAAGTATTTGACTAGTTTTACCTGGTTATTTTAAGGAGATGCTGCCTGAAAAGATGGCTCTCGACGTGTTAGGCGAAAATGAAGCGAAATCAAAAAAGGAACAGGTGAAGCTAGCGCTTGAAGTTGAACCTTCTAAACCATGGAGAGGTGATTGTTATTTTGTGCAAAAGGTTATAAATTTAAATGTATATATTTATTCAATATTGTAGAGTTGACCGGAGAAGAAAAGGCGTGGAGGGTTTTTTGGATTTGCGCTAAAACATTTGCGTTGTTAGCCCTTTTGTACATTTTTGTCTGCTCTCTTGACCTTTTGTCCACGGCGCTACAACTTCTGGGCGGGCGAGCTACTGGTGAGTTATGATTTTTCAATGACATGTGACATTAAATTTATCGCGGAAATTAAAATATTTTAGGCGACATCTTTAGTAACCCGTTGTTGGAGAATCCCATGGTGGGTTTAATGATTGGCATTCTGGTAACGGTGGCCGTCCAGAGTTCGTCCACTTCCACGTCGATCGTGGTTAGCTTGGTTGCGGCTGGATGTAATACCATTTGAAATTCCCAAAACTCTACAGGAACTAATTTCGACCATTTTCCAGATTTCGAAGACGTAAGAACCGTTATTCCTATAATCATGGGAGCAAACATTGGTACTTCAATCACCAACACACTAGTTGCTGTGACAAGAATTAACAACAGGGCTGAGTTTAGCCTTGCGTTTGCTGGAGCCACTGTGCACGATATGTTTAACTGGCTCACCGTCATTGTCCTGCTCACCGTTGAAGTCACAACTGGTATGAAAATGTCGAGGAGAAACACAACATAACTTTTGCTAATTAAACATTTCATTGTTAGGCTATTTGTTCTATCTGACCGAAGCTCTCGTGCAAAATTTGGAGTTCCCTGAAGGGGCAGAGGACATCAAACTGCTCAAAGTCATTACGGAGCCATTAACTAAAGCCATCATGGAAATCGACAAGGAAGTCCTCAATGGTTGGGCGGCAAATGACCCAGATTACGATAATCGAACACTTCTTAAAGTTTGGTGCGAGCCAACTGTAAAATGTAAATAAGAAAAAAAAATTTGGTGCAGTATTTTATCTATTTATTCATTTTAGGCCCATCTCTCTTTGCTCTTCTGGACATTGGTGATTTGGCGACAGGCGCAATCATGACCGTGGTTTCCTTGCTACTGCTCTGCGGATGCTTGATCCTCTTGGTCAAACTACTCCAAAACGTGCTTCAAGGTGAAAACACTTTGTATTTCCCACTCAAGTTTCTTTATCTTTGAAATCTTAAATTGAAAAAATCAAACGCTCATATGTTAATGAGGCAATTAATGGTGACATCAATTTAATCTAAGATATCAAATCGCCCAATACGGCTTACGTATTCGCTTGTCGCACGCGCTCAAAAGAGATGAAATACTGTGAAACACTTTTGAACCCTTTTTAATCACCGAAGTTATTCTTTTAGTATGATTTACAAAAAATTTCAATATATCATCTTGCACTATATTAATAAGAAGGCAATTTTTTTTTAAATCTGCTGGCTTTAATCATATCTCAGTCCATAATCCGCTTTTTACAACCCTTTTAAATGTTGGCCCCAAATTTTAAAATTCCATTTCCTCGCAGGTCCCATGGTCGTTGTGCTTCAGAAGACGATCAACGCCAACATTCCGTATGTGCCTTGGCTCACGGGCTACCTGGCCATTCTTGTCGGCGCGTGCATCACCTTCGTTCTACAGTCGAGTTCGGTCTTCACGTCTGCGCTTACTCCCCTCGTCGGCTTGGGAGTGATCTCAGTCAACAGAATGTACCCCTTGTGCCTGGGTTCAAACATAGGAACGACAACAACAGCTGTCATAGCGGCTTTGACTGCCAGCGGTGAAAAACTAAGGATCACCATGCAGGTTGCAATGGTCCACCTGTTCTTCAACTTGACTGGAATCCTCATCTTCTACCCGATTCCATTCATGAGATGGCCACTGCCCCTTTGCAAGAAACTGGGCAAAACCACCGGCCAGTACCGTTGGTTCGCGTTTGCCTATTTGCTGCTCTCCTTCTTGATCATCCCAGCCATCGTACTGCTCCTCTCTCTTGCTGACCCCAACGGCTACGTGCTCCTAGGCGTCGCCGTCCCGGTTCTGGTTCTCCTAGCTGCCATCATCGTGATCAACATTCTGCAGAACAAATTTCCGAATTCATTGCCCAAGGTTTTGCAAACGTGGAACTGGCTGCCTCTTTGGATGAGAGACTTAGCGCCCATAGACCGAGTTCTCTCTAAAATTTGCTCATGCTGTATGAAGGAAACGACGCAAGAAGAGTTAGAAGAAATTGCCAGAGCTGTCGACAGTCAAGGCGATAATTTTGGATCCGAAGATCCAAGTGATTTAGGCATTGATAATAAAGCTGCTGATCTGATTTAGTTATATTGTGATATAAGAAGAGCGGACAGTTACTTGTGAAAGTTGCTCAAAAGCGTTATAATGTGAAAAATGTGTGAAAGTGACGTAAATATTTATGTTCAATTTTTATAAAAACATTTAAAAATCAAAAGTTATTGCAAAAACTTCATGAAGTATATATATTTTTAAATAAAATATAGAATTGTCTTAAAAGCATATGCACTTCAGATTAAATTGAATGAATGGAATTAGTTTTTTAACAATATGCTGTTAACGTTTAGTTCTGCAACCCGCATGAACGGGACGATCAGCGCTTTGCCTAATTTCCCTGAGCCTCATGACTCCACATTATGTAGTGCTTTTAGTTTGTATGGAAGCAATAACATGTTTGTTGAGATTATAATTTTACATTTACTTTAAATTTTTTTCATGTATTAAAAACATTTTTCATATAAATATAAATGAGAGTGACTTTTAAACTTGTATTCTGAAAAAAATTAATTTTAAGGATTGTCAGTTCTTCATACAAATGCCGAAGGGCAACTGTAGAATATTATTATTAGTTTGCATTTAAGTTCCTTACTCACTTCAATAATGCCTATTTTATTTAGCACAACGCTCTATTGGGGCAGAACTGGTTGAAGGTGAGCAAGATACATCATTCTCTGTGCGTATCATTTAAGTGCGGCTATTAACCCTTTGCATTGCCAGCTCAGCTTAAAGCTTTAAGAGAGCTTGAAAATTTTAATTGAACATTAATAAACAATTTTCAAAACTCGTGAGCTACAGCGCACGTGTTCTCTAACTTCCACGCTATCAGGTGCCCTTAATTTATTTTCCTATAAAAGAGCTGGCATACTTTTTTTTTTATCGTGCAGCTTTTTATATGCTTCTTGTAGGTAATGTGTTTACAGGGTAAAAAAATTCAATGAATTATTGATCAATGATAAAACCTCCTGTGATAGTAGGTATTTTAAGTACGGCGTGCATCAACGTTTATGCCGTATTTAAGTTGCATTAGTATTTTACTCAAAATGTATATTTTTAATTTATGTTATTTAATGAATTTTTCTCTAAAATAATAATTTAAAAAAATTTGATTTTTAGATATAACTTTCATTGTGCAAAGCGGTGCAAAGGTTGTTAAATGGAATTAATATTTTTTTTAAATTTTATTTGAAAATAATTATTTATCATGTTGCGCACCATGTTCACTAGGCGATCAATTACAGCCTTGCAACAGATCCTTGTGGGATTTTTTAACCTCGATACGCTTGATCTCAAGACTGCACTCAAGACGAGTTTTTTCACTTTATATTGTGTATGCACGCGATTGACGCGATTCATACTTTCCCTGAAGAGCGCTCAATCAAAGTGCATTGCGCTCTTACCTTGGTATTGTAATGACTTGTACTTTTATTTAAGTGCGCAACTGTCAAGTTTAAAATGTATGTGATATTATATTATTATTAAATGCGATTTGAAAATTATTAGAGTTTTGTTGTAAAAACTTTCAACCAGTTAATTAATGCAAGTTAGCTAATTAAAATGATTTGATAATAACGTATTTTAATTTTTATTTCTGATTTCGCAATCTCCTAAAACTTTTTTTATAACTTCTGGAAATTTAAATTAATATGAATTTTTTATTGCTTCCGAGCTAATATTTTGCATGAGCAACATCTTATTAAAATATGGATAGTTGGATTTCCCACCAATTACGTCAATTTTTTTACTTCATCGTTATCAAATTTACAATCTTTTAATCCAACAAATTTCAATTTGAAATAGAGCACTCAAAACAGCTTGTAAGCTAAACTGAAGCAAACGTTTGACACTCATTTTAAGTCTATTTAATTAGTTCCGTGATTTTTGTTTTATTTAATTTGGAAATCACTTCTAACTGTTATTTAATGGTCCAATAAAATTTTTCATTCTATTCTATTGAAAGCAACCTTAAGAAGGTTAATTGGAGATATAAATCTAATCATAACACTTCAAACTTCTTCTTTTAAAATCGATCAGGAGTAAGTCAATTTAGAAGGCAATATTTGTTTATCAATGATATAAATAAAATAATATTGTAATTAAATAGTGACGGGTAAAATATAATCGTGTGATATAAATTTCAATTTGTAAAAAGGTACTTGATTATAGGATAGGATATTTTTATGTTTCTTCTTCGATATGATTGCAAAACGTTTAAAAACTGGATTCGTCATAATTTGATAGAGTAATGGAATTAAATATTATTATTTGATCCAATTTGATCTAAAATCTTGTAATGGAAAAAATATTTCAAACGGTTAAAAATAGGTTAAAATTAAAGTTATTTACCAAAACTCGGCATAAAATAAATAAATAATGTATAACAGTTAAAGTTCTCTTATCTGTTTAATGAGGTCAAATAAATGGAAGCCTAGTTAATTTGGTTAATTTTGTTCCTTCGGCATAGAGCACTGTCGCTTTCGCATTTTATGTTAAGGTAACACTCTATAAAAGTAGACAGAGAATCGCAAAGGAGGGGGCAGGTGGCAGGTGGAACCTGAATCAGCATTTCCATCGTTGAAGAGATACCCACAATCATATAATGCTAGTTTGTAACTAGAGGTGCATTAGTTGGTTGCACTTGACGGCGCCGCTCCGTGTCAGCTTCTTGCAATGACGCTCCCGTTGTGTCAGGGGACGATCCCTGTCATCGACTTGGGACACTCGACTCTCACGATTGATCAGGAAGATCTCACCCCCGAGTTGAGGGAAGTGGCTAGAACGGAACTTAGGGAGAACCCTGATGTTGTTGATAAGGCTGTCGAAGAATTGAGAAGTTTGTTGAGAGGTAAGATTAGTAAGAACAGAAAAATGAAAGGAAGTAGGAACTATTGTTCAGTTTCACCAAAATCTATTTCTATTCATAATTACTTTATATTTGGGATCAAAATTTCCATTGGTTAAAAAGCTGAATAATCTGTCAAAAAATGATTTATTTTTAAAGATTATTAAATATTTGTAAATTTAAAAAAAGTGACAATTTCTTCATTTACCACAAAAATGTAACACACAAATTAATGTCGACAGCAAGCCTTGTTCTAAATTAATATTTGTATTAATTTCTAACGCAGTTCTAAATTTAACGTGGGAATTTTGTTGCGTGCCCAAAATAAATACCACGTTAAATTAAATAAAAGCTAAATATTAAAAAGTTTGACCTTACGACGGTGATCAGCATAAATTTCAGTCTGGGTGCCTCATCATGTGAGGACAATAGCAGAGCTGAATTATGATTGGCTAAATTTTGCCGTCTCCTCGCGATTAACGTCAATAGAAAAAAAAATATCAAATACACATGGCATTTTCCTGCGCCAAATCCTGCCTCTAATGACTGAATGACGTTTGCACTTGGCGAGATGCAATTGTTTTCCATGACACGTCGCATTTTCTTTCAGCAGATTTTCATGGTCAGAGCGTTATTCTTCTCTCCCGGCGTCAAATGGAATTGACCCGTTTCCTTTTATATGCACTGTCGGCACAATTAAATGTCTGTGCCTGCATTCGGCCCGCCGGCCGCCAGCAACTTCTTACGTTAGCACACATTTGTTAATTTAATTTTCTTAATACTGCTTCTCCGTTTCTGTTCATCATTTCAAAGAAAAAATTTATTTGGCCTGACCAAAAAATATGTTTAAAATACTGTAAAATACCAGGCTTGTTTTTTTTTTAATTTTTATTATTAATTGAATGATCATGAACTAGTTTTCAAAGCACTTATTTATTATTTATATTAAATCAAGAAATCAATATTTCAATAAATTATTTATTTATTTCTTCAGATGACAAAGAACTGTACGTGCCACTAGACAATGATGCCTACTTGATCCGATTCCTCCGTCCCTGTAAATTCTACCCTGAGAGCGCCTACCAACTGGTAAATCAAAGAAACATGATTTTTTTTTTGTTCATTTCCGAGAAACCCTTTTGCAGATAAAGCGGTACTATCAGTTCAAAATAAAGCACAGCAAAGTCTACAATGGTCTGGTGCCTTCGAAGGAGCAAAACATTTTTGCTCAGGACATTTTAACCGTCTTGCCGAGCAGGGACAACAAAGGACGCCGCATTTTGGTCATGGAACTTGGCAGTACGCAATATTTTATTATGACATTAGCTCTCTCTACATAATGTTATTCTCACAATATTGCAAAATAATTTGGCCTCTTATAATGTGCTCCGCGTGTTTAGAGAAATGGAAACACAACGAATGCAATTTGGACGATGTTTTCAAGGGCTGCGTCCTTTTCGTCGAGGCTGCTCTACTGGAACCGAAAACTCAAGTAGGTTATACTCCTGTGGTGTAATTCGAGTGCCTTGCGTCTCAGTTTTACTCTCATGGCATTAAATTTCACCTTTTATTTTATATAACATAAATTTAGATCCATTTCTTTTATTAAAAAAAATGTTTTCTTTTTTAGTTAGAATTATTTAAATTTAGAAAATATTTTTGCTTTAATGAAACAAGGTGCACAAAAATGGTGCATTTTTCTTTTGTGTGATAGCGGCACTGAAAACTGTGATTGTTGATTTTATCTAACAATAAGATGGATCGTTTCCGTTGAAATTTCTCATGCTACTGCTCATTCGTTACAGGTGGCAGGATCTTTAGTGATATTTGACATGGATGGCCTGTCGCTGCAACAAGTGTGCCAATTCACGCCTCCTTTTGCCAAACGAATTGTTGATTGGCTTCAGGTATAGATTGAATAATTATGCAATAAAAATTTTTCTGCAGAAATCATCAAAAAAATTTAATTGACGAGCTTTTTGTCGTAATATTTTACATTTAAATTTAACTTTCGTGTTTTCTTTTGTTATTATTAAACACCTTGTTTTATGAATAACAAAACAATTTAATAAAAATACAATTTTAAAATTTAAGCTAAAAATTGTAAATATTCCAATTTTTTGCTATTTTGCAGGACAGTATACCATCCAGGGTCAAGGGCATTCACATTGTGAACCAGCCGTACATTTTCAACATGGTGTTTGCCCTATTTAAACCATTCTTGCGAGAGAAGCTGAAAAATAGGGTAAATTCTTAAATTATTCGTCTATGTCATTATTAATGACTCATTATATATTTACCGGACTTCATAATTTCCGCGCCTAAAAGTTTTAATTTTCCTCAAGCAATGAGCACCTTATTTTTCTTGGTATAATAAAAAGGACCAAAACATATTTTTCCAGATTTTCTTTCATGGCAAAGATCGCGCATCTCTTCACAAGCACATTAACAAGGAGGCCCTTCCCCCTTGCTACAAAGGAGAGCTGACTGCGCCTCGACTCTCGGGAATGGACTGGTTCAAGCTTTTGTCGCAGCTTGACAAAGAATATGAAAGTAAGACAATGCTCGAAAAGATTTACAAATTATAATCAATACTTTTAATCCTTGCAGCAATCAACAAGTACGGGTTTAAAAACAACCCTGAGATTGACGAATAATGACAAGCAAATTGTGATAAATAAAACCCTGGTGAATGGGGGGCATCGTTTTAATTATTTCCAATAATTGTCATTTTTTACTAATTTTACATAAAATAAAAAATCTTACACCAAATTTAATATTGTATAATTTTTTAAGTTTTTAGGTCTTTGTGAAATAAATTTAAAAAGAAAACGTCTCGTATAATTTAAAATTGTGACTTAAATAATAAATGTTATACACTAAAAATTTACATACACAAGGAATTTTAAGTAATTAATAAGTTACAATTTTTGTGTACATTATCACAAAATATTTTTGAGGCAACTTTTAAATCCAGCACATGACCCTACGAAGTGTATCCAAAAGAGTTGACCTCTGCAAATCAGTTAAGCAATTAATTTTAATTGTTTAATTTTATTGAAATGACTCACTCTCGTAATCACTATTTCGTGGTGCCATCAAGGTGTACCACTGATCACCAGTGACATCTGGGAGATCCAGGGTTCCACCATATCGCTTTGGTAGGACCTCAGGGTCGATGTGCTTTAATAGGGATGGCCGATTCGTGCCATGGAAGTGTATCTGAAAATTTGACCAAAAATTGGTATTGTTGAGTTATTTGAATTTTCTGCAGCAAAATACCCTCTTTCGTAGCTTCTCTTGGAGGAATGGCTTGAAAATGGCGAAAATCATGTTGAAAATGTAAGGCTGGTTCACAATGTGAACCCCCTTCAACCTAATTGGCAAGCATTCCTGCGGATAATCAAAGAAAATTATAAATTCGCTTTAGATTTTATGCACGCTTTTATTGATTGTAAGAAGAAGTGGCAAAAAGTTTGTTTTCCAAATTTATATATTGGGTAGACTTCTGTGATGTCAAATTATTCAAAAGAATGTTGCCAGATATTTGGAAAATTAAATCTTTTGTTAATAATCAATATAATCTTAAAATTTACACACTTGAACCCACGTAACAACAGCTCGGGCAAATCCTGGAGTAAATTGCATCACGTGACTTAGACTCAGGCCAGCTTGGTCTAAGATTACTACAACTCCAGAAACCTAAAATTTTAATTTATAATTAAAAATAATCAATAAATTTAAAATTACTTTCTAAAATTGTATATTATTCATTTTTTTTTTTAACTGGTGACAATAAAGAAAAACAGTGAATTGAGAACATACTTGTGTTTTGGGCTCTGCCATGGCAGCCTCCAAGAACAAGGCACATCCTCGGAATATCTCGTCCACTGAGCAAAGGCTCGTGTTCCACTTGCCGCCTGACTCAATGAGCATAACTCGCCGGCCAAATTGATCCCGTTTTGGCAGAACTGTGATGATATCTTGATCAAATAGATTTTTCTCATTTGTTGGCTTCAACTCGCGATAGACTTTAGGATTTTTCAGTCGAAATGTGTAGTACCGTTTCATCTGTAATTAAAAATTAGTAAAGTTGAAGCAATTTTTCTTCCTGTAGATAACATAAAAAACCACTCACTAGGGCATAGGCACTCTGCGCGTAAAATTTGCAAGGCCGCAGAAAAATAAGTAGCCGTAATTCATCATCAACCGGGAAGTTTAAGTTCTTATCATCTGAAAAGTTAAAACATATTCACTCATGTTATCATAAATATTTATAGAATAATTGCAAAAAAACCAACTAGGAAATCACGCGTTTGTTAAATTGCATTTTATTTTTCGTTCACAAGCTAACTGCTTTTTTATGCCTTCCTTGGCATGCCGTGACTAATTTATTTTCAGAGTAAACGTTTTCACACAAGTGCGCACAAGTGTGAGTTGGTGTGAGTCTTTGGCGGTGTTTTTTGATAAAAAAAAATGCATTCCATTAATTAATACTGGGGGCTAAATTTTCTTGCGGGGAAAGCGGTCGTCATTAAAATAATTAAATAATGTATCCGAAATTTTACTTTTATCCTACTTTCAATTTGAAAAAAAATGAACACTGCACCTTGCATGAAGTGCGATTTTAATGAGCAATTTATTTAAATTATTTTAATATCCTAGAAGAAACGCGTCCATTGTGCAGCACACAGTAAGTTTCCTTCCTATGCTAATGACCTGGTGACGTAAAAACCCTTAGTCATTTGCCAGCTCAGTAACCTTGCACTAAATAAAATAATATTACGCTCTCGCAACTCGCAAAACAGCAGCAGGGAAGATAAAAAAGTATTAATTGCAATTTGCAGCATGTGCGCACCACCAATTTTGTCTAACGAAATTTGCCGGCCGACTCGCTGTTGTGCGTTTTGCCGTGCCTAGCTTTCTCCTCTCACCTGCAGCCCACAACAGTGCTGCACGCTTATGGACCGATCCGAGTGTTCCAGTCAGTAGTTCACCGAACGTAAAAACCTATCCACAAACGACCATATTTTTCAAACGCTATAAATTTCTAAACAAGACATTCGAAAGCGCCATTGTGGGCTGTCTTGACAAATGCCCCGCTTCAGCGTCCCTGCAATTTCGATAGGTTTTAATCTGCGATTTCACTTAACGTGGAAAAAGAAAAATCGTACATTTAAAATTAATTTCGTGTTGAAATTGACGGCCACCTTTTTGCGCTAGAAGTTGCAGCCATCTCTTATTTCTTATTCACATTTCTTCTTCTTTAATCTCATTTTTTATATCAACGCAAATTATTTTATTTATTTTGATATTGTGAGAACGCTTCATTCTCTGCACGGTTCATCATGATGATGATCATAATACCCGACAGTAAAATGCAACGACGAGGCTTATAAAAAAATTTACCACAAATATGACCTCAACCCTTGTCTTTTATTCTGCGCTTAGATCATAATGTGAAAAAGTTGCATTTTTGCCTCGTGATTAACCGCACGGAGACAATAATTGAACCTTGAGCAATCGCGCTGCATAATGCAGCCTGCCAATGAAAAGCTGCTGAGAATTTTTATCTGCCTTTGCAGAGAAAGATTAATGTGGGCGTGCAAAGAGCAAAGTGTGAAAAAACCTCTCTTTGAATTTCATTGCTCTTTTTTTTAATATGCACTTGAGATTTACAAACCGTTAAAGATTTAAATGGCTGACCCAAAAAATATTTTTTTTTTAAATCCCATAATTGGTGTCTATAAAACCCTTTTTTCTTTCTTTGGTCAAAGTGGTGCTTGCATTCTCCTCACGCATTGTTGAATAATAAATATGTTCAATAGAGGAGGAGCTGCGTCATGATGACCTTGTGCCGGTCACTGCTTTCTTACCTGTGACTAGTTTACGGAGCTCTTCGATTGCTTCCGACTTGTTCTCCGGCGTTTCTCTCAATTCTTTACGTGCCCTCTCAGCAAATTCGCCTTCGATCTCCTCGACTTCAAAGCGCAACTCAAAGTTGTCGCCGATTATTAGCACGGCAGGCGCTAATGAAGTCGTCATCCTGCAATATAATATTCATAAATTTGGGTAAAATATTGATAAAAATCGTTCCGAAAATTGATTTAATTCAATGTTTTTTGTTAATGGTTTACAAAAGTGAAATTTTATATTTTGAATCTTTCATTCTTAACTTAATTACATATAAACCCTGCTTAAACCCTTAATTAATCATGAAATGAATTGATTTATAGTAATTTATTTTAATTTAAAATAATAAAAATTTAAAATTACAAGTAGTGCCAAATAATTTATCATGCAAGTCTTTGACAGAATTATATATATTTTTTTATAAATAAATACAATATATGAGAGAGAAAAACTAGTGATAAATTAAAAAAAAATCATCCAAACTCCATTACGCTAACCAATTAGGCAATTATCGCGCTTTTTATTGCGCCACACTGAATAATATTTATGCTAATACGCTACAAAACCGAGTTCTGGACCATTGCGCAAAAATATTGAGAAACCACGGCCACACAACTTTTACTGCACCTTTGCAAAAACCAGTCAAGCCGCAGCACTGATTCAATTGAAGTGGCAAAAGCTTTACAAAAATCAAACCCACTTACTTACAAACCAAATCGCTTGAACCAAAAATAAAAAGATAATTCCTCTGCGAAGCCACATCTCAAGCTTATCGGACGAGATAATAAACAAAGCAGGTGCAATATTGGCAGATTAACACACACAAGAGACGAACTCACCTGTTGACGGTGGAATGAAGACTGTTTCGGCGGCACCACTGGTACAGCAGGCGAGTGTTGTCGGTGCTCGAGCGAGGCCTCGAAGGAAGCAACCGGCGGTGGCACGACCGACTCAAACTCTCTCACACTCACTTTCTCCCTGCCCTGCCGATAAACAAAGAGACCGTTGAGTTTCATCCGTTGCTCGGATAACACCGATTACATTATACGCCTGTCCTACATTTTGGTGATTTCACTATCAACTCACGCCGCTCTTCCGGAGAAGCAACGAAAAAGATCCAAATCGACAATTAAAATATTTTTGGTCTTTAATATTTATGAAAATACATAAATACTCCAGGCTTTCTTTTAAGTTGTCTAACCTCAATATGGATTCTCTGATGCAGGTTGACTGATAATGATAACTTTTTTATTTTAAAAGAGGGTCTGCAGTCTTACTTTGTTTTAAATTAAATAATTTAAAATAACTAAATTAGTAACCATCTCTCTAAATTACTATTATCATATTCATAGTGCTTTTAATACACACAATAATTATTTATTTCTTTACTAGGCTACACCTGGGCTACAAAGAATAAAAGAAAAATTTAATTTTAAAATCTTTCAATAATATTAGGAATTAGGCAGAATTAGGAAAAATTAACAGTTATATTAGTCAAAATATTTAAGGGAATAAGTAATAGCAAATAACATTTACAACATGAAATTAGTGAAATAAAAATGTACCAAAAAAATTACTCCTTGGTTTGTTGTGCTGTTGAGGATATTAAGACAGAGAGCAACAGATTGTTTCGCAGTTTCGGCCAGACTTTTCCAATCTCAATTAAACTCCACTTTAGCTGATGGTACTTCTTGTTCTCCTCAACTCTGCTTGCAATCAACTGCACGCCTCTATAATTGCAAGTGAGCGTGTTTCTGTCCGATATTCCTTTTGGTTGAAGACTGAACGAGACTTTATAAAAATAAAACGCAGTCGCGTCGTCCTCTGGTTGGTGTTTTAGCCGCAGTGTGCGTGTGGAGTTGGTAATGAGAGGTTGCAGCCGCCGCCGGCAACGAGGAAAGGCCAAAGAACTCGAGCAGACGTTCATTTTAAATTGCATTTTTATAGATAGATTAACATATTATATATATATATATAGCATGTGCGTAACTCAATACATGAGAGAGAACTGATATTATACCGCGCACCATTGTCACATAATCGCGTATATGCGACTGGCCGACTGACTTGCGTTCTAATTTCAGAACTGATGGCTTGTGACTCACTACAAAGCAGGCGTTCAGTCAGTGAACTGGGTTAAACACATACATTATAAAAAACACACAACACTCGACTCCTTGCATAATTAAGCCTAAATTGAACACATTGGAATAAGATAAGGTTATTTTTTATGAAATGGATTAAGAAATTTTAATTCATTGTTGTTTGCACAAAACATAATTGTTGTATAAAAATATAGTAACATTTTTTTTAAATTGAGCAGCGCGTTTATGTACAATAATGTCATTAATTATATCACTGGTTGATGGAATATCACTCTTTTGTTGCATTTTGAGTAGAAAAACGGTAACAGATTTTGTAATAGTAGGAACCACAAATGACTGCTAGAGTCGATTAACTAGAATGATGATTGACTAAACATTTTGATAATTACACATGCTGGAATATTTCATTGTTGATAATGGCTGCACTAGGCTTTATTTCTTCAGGTCCTTCTCGTAACCCATTTTCTGCCAGGCTGCAAAAAATAAATAATAAAGGCGTTTTAAATGGGGTTTGTTTTTTTTTTGCCACTGTTCTTACCCTTGACACCGTTCTCGGCGGTCAAGAGCGGACCGTACCACTCCTTTCCGCCATAATTGATCTTTGGCAAAGTGCCGCCGTAATCCTCGGGCAGGCAAGAGGGGCTGATATGTTCGTGCAGCTTCTTCATCTTGTCACCGTGGAAGAACATCTGGAAAATGATTTGTTTTTTATTAAAATTTGATTTCTTTAATTTGTTATTATATTCCTTTTTTGTTTCAGATTTTATAAAATTAATGAGCTAAAACGTTGGCCTATACTTCTTAGCCAGTAATTGACTCGAGCATAAAATAAACAATAATAAAAAAAAGTGGGTATTCTTCTTCTTTATGTTTCTTTTATTAATGTGACCAAAATAATTGATTTGATTATTTTTTACGCTTGAAATAGGAAGTAAATTTCTTTTAAATAATTTTAAACAGATATTTGATTAATTTAAGAGTCTTAAAATATAAAGAGTGATAAAAAAAAAGGAAGATAACTTTTTCCTTTCAATTATGTGACATAAAAATAATCAGCGAACGCTCATCCTCTCCCTTTTTTCTTATTTGCAAACTTTTTTTATGATTTATAATTAAGTGAAATCGTTTTACAGACCACTCGATCTTGTTTGAAAAATTCAAATGCACAACTGCTGTGCAAATAAAAGATAATTATCTTCAAAGAAAAATATCAAATAATCACTTTTCACTAATACGATTGATTTTCCTATGCAAATTTTATTAATAATAAAAATTTTGACAGAAGAAGCACTCACTCTGGACTTCAGCTTTTCCTGGATGAATGGCTTGAAAAGCTGGAAAACCATGTTGAACACAAACGGCTCTTTGACGATGTGCACAGCCTTGAGACGTATTGGCATAGCATGCTGCAATCATATTATGCGTTGAAGAAATAATATAAAATCGTGGGAATTGTGTGGTATCAAACCTGAATAAAGGTCAGAAGTCGCATCGAGAAGTTAGGGGTGAAAGCTTTGACCTGCTTCATACCCATCCCCTTAAAGTCCATAATAACAACCACTCCGTTGACCTGTGAAAATGAATTTTTAAATTAATCACACCTGGAATTCATTTTTAAAATATTTCCTTCAAAGCTAAAATTATAGTTAATTCTGAAGTATTTTATTCCGTTTATATTTCAAATCGTGTTTTTTTTTTAATTTACCTGAGTAGATGGTTCTTCTAGGGCAACCAAGTGAACCAAATACAGCAGTCTAAATAAATGATCCGTGTTCACCTCGCTAGGATCCCAGCTAGCTGCAAATTTGACAAAAAAAAATTAATTTAATAAAAAGTAACTTTTTTAAGTTTAAATTTAATAGAATTTATTTCTTGATTCTAATTTAGCACCAGCATTATCTTTTATAATTATTTTTCACCTCCACAGTTGACAATAAGCATTCGGCGACCCTCTTGGTCTCTCTCGGGAATGACGTTCACCACATTGTGAACGATGCGCTGCTCCTCGGTTTTAGGCTCCAAATCTCCAATCAGAGTCCAATTTTTAGCACGGAAATCGGCTACCCTCTTGATCTGAAAGTTTGAAACAAAAAATATAAGACACTATAGCTGATTATTCTGATGTGCGGTGAACTCATTTATTCAAAGAATGACTTTGCTCAACAAACACCACGTGCGCTTGTTGTTTTGCACTCCAGTGCGTTGCGGAATCAAGTGAATTGTGCGTGACTGCCGCCAGTTATTAGTAATTAATAATAATTACAATCATCTGCTTGTCTAATGTTCAGTTGCTTTGTTTTATTTTTGTGATGTTTTATTATTGAAATTTGTAAGTTTATACACAAGTTCAAAATTAATTAACATTAATTGCAAGAATATTCCAAATAGAACTTTTGCAAGAATATTCTAAATAGAACTGAGAGTTAAATTGTTGGGTTGGGCAGTTTTCTATTAAAGAAATTTTTAATTTCATTATTTTAAAATCCTCCATGGAAAATTTGTAAACTAATAAAGAAATCCGTTTTTTTAAGAGAGTGGGCAAAATGGTTTGTGTCATAGATAATTATTTCAAATACTTACAAGCTCTAATGCACTTTCCGCATACCAGTGCGATGGTCTCAAAAATGCAGTCAAGAACTCATCCGTATCTACCCAAACAAGTCCTTCCTCAGCTAGGGACAAAAAAAGATTTTAGAACTCTAATCTGTGACCTTTGATGTGTACCTTTGATAAGCTTCCTCAATTTCTCGATCTCCTGCGCCCGGATTTCTGGCGTTTCGCGAAGCTCATTTTTGGCCTTTTCCTGATCCTTTGCACTCAAAGGCTGTCTCTGGATTGCAAATCGATCCGCCATTTACTGAAATCCAGTTCATTTTGTCAGTTAGTGGTTTTTACAATGATTAAGTGTCTGACGTAGTACATAAAATGTACAATTATTGACGCTTGATGTCATTGCGCGCTGATAACAAAATTTCTCTGTTTAGAACACGTTTCTCTGTGGAGAGTTCATAGTACTTCCATACTTAAAGGGCATTCGGAGATGGTGGTGCAACATAGAAATATGTACTGTGCGTCGCTACACAGAGATAAGATTATTTATAAGCAATGCCAAAAAACACCGCACTTTGCACTTTGATAATAAATTTTGGAGGCTGTGTCTTAAATTCGGCAGTATTGAATTATAGTTTAAAAAAAACTAATTATAATTTTTATCAGCAAATGTCTTGATTTGTCAATTTAGATTTTTTTTTCATTAATACGGGGGAGAAATAAGAAGGAATAATAATTGCTACACACGAAAAGACCTTCAAGGTTCCATTTCATCACGGTTTGAGCAACAAGTGTCTGCACGTCAGCAAATATCTTCTCTCAATAATCAAAGTAAGGTGTGACGTATTCAATGATAATTTTAATGAATTTTTACCGAAAAGTGTGTCCTATGGAACGATTTTATTGCTTTAAGCTGAAGAGTAATCAAATCAGGGAAATTACAATAAAAAGTAAAAGATATGTAAAAAGTCGTACAAAGAGTAACTTGCTGAAATTTCAGACAAGGAAAAGTTGAGCAAGTGTGGGGCTTCTTTGTTCACACATGGCAAAAGCTCTGTCAAATGTGAGTCACTAAATAATAAGCTAAAAAGTGAAATTTAAAAATAGTGCGTCGTCATAAAGCGATTTCATTGTCATAAAATATAATTTAAAAATTTTTCCTGACTTTAAATATTTATTTCCTGCTCCTCAGCTGAAAATTATTTCTGTAAAAAAAGGAATAACACAGAGACCGAGCACAAGAGAAAAAGCGTTGGGCGAGAGCAAGGTTGAATTATCGCGAACTTGAATGTAGCCCGCATGGTATAATGTGTACTTACAAGCGTGTGTGGTGCAATTTGCAGAGAGCGGAGGCGTCGGAGTGAATGCGGCGTGGCTGGTGCAAGGCGATGCAGTCGCGATTTCTGTCAACAGCCGCGTCTGATCATCTTCTCTCCACTTCTCCGCTAATCTCTTTTGTTTTAAATAAGTCGGACTTTAGCATTTAATGATAACCTCTGAGGATCCACTTGTGACCGAGTGGACGCTGCTCGCCCCCTCCAATAAATCAACCGCAGCCAGCAACGCGATGTTGTTTGCCGCCCCGCGATGCGATGACGATCCGCGATGAAATTAATTTAATTAAACCGACGACTCGATTGTTTGTTTGCGCGGCAAGTTGATTTGAATGTTTTACGACGACACGTCAGCTCTTCGATATTGCTTTTTTATTTGTGCTGCGCTGGTTTCACTTTCATAAATACTGCTCTACATTTTCAGTACCCTTTTAACCTCGTTAAAAATTTAAAAACAATTTAAAATATAACAAAAAATGTAATTAGAATTTTATTCATTAAACATGGTCGGATAACAATGTCAAAAGCATTACCAGAGAGCAGAGATCGTTTCTTTTTTACTTCTTTTTCGTAACTTAAATCAATATTTATGACAGTAAAAATCGTTACATTGTTTCTTTATCAAATTCTGTCATTTAATCTCAACATAGTTTTGGGGCTGATAAGAAGCAGTATAAAGTCCTTGTACCAAGATTATGCAAAATAATATCTCTGCACTTCTGTGCGTTGTTACTACTTGACCTTGCTCAGGTGGTTTCTCGTCATATAATGAAAAATTAATTTTATCTTTTTCGTTCCTCTTAAGGAAACGTGCTTTTTGCTCTTGTTCGCTCACGCATACCACCCATACTTCTTGCTCTTCTGCTTCAGTGCATTATATTATTGTTACTCAACCGTGTTTGCATTCGCACAGGTTTTGAGATGCAGCGCGTAATTTGTTTATTATACACTCGGGTTGCTCTATTTGCGCCTAATAAAAATATCCCGAGCGACACCAATACAACAACATTGTTGTCGTAAACGCAAATGAACAGCACAGGTTTTGATTTCTACGCTCTTGGCTTTGATTAATTAGATTCTGCTAAAATCATCCAGAGTGCGCAAAATTCGTGCAAACCGTGGCGTATTATAAGAAGAGTGTCAGTCAATCGCTTTAGCTTTGTGCTGAGCTGAAGTCGCGCATTAAGATTCCACGGCGCTCTTTGTTTGCCAAGGTTAAGTTTGATGCAGCGCCAATTAACCATCACTGCGTTTGTTCAGTGCATGAATGTGTGTCTCACTGAGCCACCATCAGCGCAAATATAATTACAATGATAGTGGAATCAATATAAAATAATTGAATTGGATCAAGTAAAACAATGTAGTTATAAATTTTGAACTTGAACCACTTTGAACTTGGACCTTTGAAACATCTTGAACGTCTGGCATTTACATTTTTTCTTTAAGAATGTATAGTGATTGTTTTGTCTGTTTGTCGTAATGAAAGTTTGAACTACATTTAACTACCAGGAAATTGATATTTTCTCTGCAGGGCATTATTGCAAAGGTTCTCTGTGAAAACTTAGTTTCCGCGGAAAAGAAAGGAAATATTTAATATTGCAGTTGTATGCTTTAAATTTGATCTGATTTTTAGTGCGGTAAATTTCTAAACAAATTATGATTATTGTAAAAGCAAACAAAAAATTTAAAATTTCTAGTCTTTTTTAAAAATGTACGAAGTGAGTTTTTTTAAACTGGATTTTTTATTTCTATTCAGCATTTTATTATTATTTACGTATTATTACTAAATAAATCCCAATTAATCCTATCAATTTTTTTAGACTAGAATGTTCTTTCTGAGACACCAATGTTTTTATTATACTTTGCCTGTCTATTTTTAGGGCGGTAGGCGCACAATCCACACATGAAACGCACGCATTTTCTATGTATTTATTAATTGTAATTCTCTCTGTTGGCGCAATTTTGTTCGTGATCATTTAAGATCATCACCAGCCAAGATCACACGTGTCTCGCAAGTGTATCGAACAGCTGCATATTTCAAGAGTCCAACTGTTTAGTCATAGATAGCACCAAAGTGATTGAAGTGATGATAAAAACAACTTGCAACCAAAGTAACACCAGGGAGTCTAGTTTAGAATTGTGGATGAATATTGTATTTATATTTAAAAATTATTTTTTATTCTTGATTTATGGTAACATTACAAAATATAAGTATAATAATAAGATAAAATTGAAAGGCGCCTTCTGTGCCAATAAAAAAAAACGGCACAGGCCGACAAGACTTTGTCTTGGCCTGACCCTAAAAAAACAATTTATATTGCAAAAAAGTACATACAAAAAAAGCGGAAGCATGCATCGACATATGAAAAAGTATGAAAAAAATCCAGAAAATTGAGGAGTCGATAATTTGTGTAGAATGCTGTAAATATGTATGAGAAATGCATTATAACAAAAATGATGAAATTTTATTTAAATGATTTGTGATCAAAGTTCAAGCATTAACTGGGATCATGTGTATTTACAAGAGATAGAGATAGAATGAAAATAATTTCTCCTAGCATTTGGAGTGGAATTTATAGTACATATTATGTTGCAATTTATTTTGTGTATAAAAATAAAAACTAATTTTTCCTTCTCTGAAATTTTTGTGGTATTTAAAAAAAAAACATAAAAAGACAACTCCCTTTTATAGTTTATTATTGGAAAATTTGAAATAGCTTAGCCATACCAAAAGACTCTGGTTATCATTTTAATATTTATTTCTACAATTAATCAGTTTAAAGTTAAGACCTCAATCAGCACAGCCATGTGATAAGCCAAACATTTCAAAACGGTTCAGAGTTCAGCAATTAAGTTCATTTTATATCAGATTTATAAAATCAGATGCCTTAACTACTGATTTTTTTAATGGAAATAGGAGACTTTTTTAAATGCTAGATTTTATTGTATTTAGACATCTCAATTTTGAACTCTCAATTTATTAATTAACATTAAATTTCAAATTTTTCCAAGCAGCCACAAGAAAAAGAATTATTTTTTATGGTTAAAAAACGATAAAATACTTTATTATGTAAATGTATTATTTTGGCGTCTAGCTTGTTTTTACTCTCTTTGTTTAATTTTAGCATTCAATTTGCTTACCATGGTAATTGATCAATAATTTGAAGGTGCTAATTTAAATTTGTTAAACAGGTGTATATTGCTCCCTTGCCCTGGGTTCGACGTTCGATCGCGCGGTTCGTTCCGGTTCGTTCGCTCATGTTGGTGCTCCTGCCATCACATGATTTACAATCATGGCGGCGTTGATAAACCCTGTGCCAGGTAGCAGCGAAGACAGATTTAATTCTTCGCGAAAGCCGGTGCTAATTTCGAAATTAGAGGGTTGCAATGACGAGGTCAACGCGGCTACCATCATCCCTGGCGAGGACGGCATCATCAGCGTCTCGGACGACAGGTGATGATGCGTTTCTTGGGCGGCCCCTGACAGCTGATTGTCCGCCTTCGGCTCATACGCAACTTGTATTTTTCTAATTGGCAGACTCATCTAGACGCCCGCTTTCCCCTGATTCTTATTCCTTCCTTATTTAATAAAATATATAAATTACAAGAACTGAATTTACGAAAATTAGGCCACTATAATTCATAAAATACGGACCTCGCCCCCACATAAATTCTTACCTGTTTGCAAATCTATCATGAATTTTCTTTATTCACAGGACGCTCCGAGTTTGGCTGAAGAGAGACAGTGGACAATATTGGCCGAGCATTTGCCATTACATGCCTTCAGCAGCCAGCTCCCTTTTCTACTGCCCGGAGACTCGGCAGCTCTTTGTCGGAATGGACAGCGGAGCTATTTATGTACCAACCATAACTGGAGTATTTTTGTGCCAAAAATACTTAATATTAATTATTGCAGGAATTCACTATAACGCCAGACTACAACCATTTAGAGCCAGGAAAGCAATACGCCACAGCACACGCCGGTCGAGTCACTGCAATTCTCTTCTCTCTGAGCTGCGAGTGGCTGCTCAGCGCTGGCAGAGACAAGGCTTTCAAAATGCACTGCTCAGAGACTGGAAGACCTCTCGGGGGTCACTTGGGACCAGCTTGGTTTACCTGTTTGCAGTATCCTTTCTAATGACCTGTTAATTAAAGAAAATAATGAAACAATTCCACGGAATTATGTAACAGGCAAACAAATCAGGACAATTCTAATTTATTTTATGCTTTTTGTCCACTTTTATTTTTCAAGGTATTTACTAAAAAATGCTTGTTTTTTTTATAGATCAAAAGCGTTTCTCTTCCTTAAGGAAGTGGGTTGAAATACGGTTAATGTTATCAACTCCTGATTAGTTAATACATCACTAAAAAATGTTTCTACTAACAATAAGTTCTTTTCCAAATGAACGGAAATTATTTTTGCCTGCTTCTTTTATTCTGCTAATCTTCAGTTATTGTGTAAATTTTTGTAAGGCATTATTATTATTTTCCTTAACACACATACAGATTTGATTCGCAAGCTAAGTATGCCTTTGTCGGCGACTTTTCTGGAGAAATCGCAATGCTAAAGTTGGGTGGCGTCAGTGGAGACGGGTCTGGGACCAGTTCGGGTGGCGTTTCGCACGTCACTACCCTGAGAGGACATTCGGGCAGCATCAGGTCCCTTGCTTGGTGTGCTGAGAAGAAGTTGCTGTTCAGTGGCTCCTTCGACCAGAGTGTGATTGTTTGGGACATTGGTGGACAGCAAGGAACTGCTTATGAGCTCCAGGGCCACAAGTAAAAATAAATTTATGAAAGAAAATGAAAATGATGATTTATAATGGCGATTTTCCAATGAAGTGATTTTTAAAATATCCAAGTTAATTATTGATATGTTTTTTTTTTACAGAAATAAGGTGACTGCTCTTGCTTTTGCCGCTGCCAGTCAACAACTTTTCTCCGGTGGAGAAGATTCACAAATTGTTTGCTGGGACATGACGGTCAAGAGGAAAGAGGTGTGAAAATTTTCAAGATCAAATAAAGTAAAGATTTAAATTTATGAATTATTTCCAGACTCCTGATTGGTTCGAGTCAGACACATGCCAGCGTTGTGGCCGACCCTTCTTCTGGAATGTGCGCGCCATGATGGACCAGAAGCAGCTGGGTCTGCGCCAGCACCACTGCAGGTTGTGTGGCAGGGCTGTATGCGACAAGTGTTCGTCCTCTCGAACGACGATGCCTGAACTGGGCCACGAATTTCCAGTTAGAGTGTGCGAGCCGTGCTACAACACAGTCCGAGACATTCCGTAAATAATTAATTAACAACCTCAAGTTTTGATTTTATTAATAAAAATTTACCAGACAACACCCATTGGCCTCCTTCCACGATGCAAAACAGGCCGTCGTTTGCATGGACATTGACGAGGCCAGAGACCGGCTCCTCACTGTTGGCCAGGACAGGGTCATTAAAATCTGGGACATTTCAGCACTGCTCGCATGTCCTGTGTCAAAACACAACCCACCAGCGACCACATAGACAATGAAAAGTGAAAAATTATCAACTTGTAAGGATTTAAAAGGGCAGCTCGTGTATACATTGAATGCCTATTTTATTTTGATCATTAATATTTATGTTGAAACAGACAATAGATAGTGTTTGTTATGAGAATAACTTTCATAGTTTCAGATAATTCAGTCATCCCATGTATATTTTCGATACTCTAATTGGAACCTTTGCTGATATTCTACCTTTCAGTTTTATTGTTAGTAGAATTCCAGTTTTTACACAAAGCACATTTCCTCCTCGGCTGTTAATCCCAGACGGCTAAATTGTAATTACAAAAATTTATCTTTTTCCATATCAAAATTTAAAAGAACTATAATTATTATGCAAATTATATTATAGTCCGCAATGTAAAGTGTGAAAAAGTCCAGAAATATTGCTGATTTTTTATTGAGACTGCGCTTGTATAAATGGCGATTATTTGTTATATTTAAGATGAATTTGAATGAGTAATTTCACAACAACATACATTGATTGATCTTCCTTTATTATTGCTGTATATTATATTGATAAATAAATATTCCATCAAGTTAATTATTCAGGTAAAAATAGCATGTTGTAAATTTTTTGAATTTTTTTTTGCACAAATACCCAGCATAGATTTGAGTTTGAGCTTGAGACGGTGGGAACGGAGAAAGAGGCGTAGCCTGCATAGACAGAACAACAACAAAGACAAAAGACATCATAGTTATGAATCACTGATTCCCTGTGCGCATTATTTTTAAAGTATAAGAAGACGTAATATTTTCTAGCAATTCGATTGTTGTTGAATTGAAAAGAAAAAAAAATATATTCAAGAGGCCAGCAGGTGCTGTTCTCTGTTCTTTATTTTTTCATCGTGTAAAATGTGTTCAGAGACGGAAGGGTAAGTTTTAATTTAGTTTTATTTTCTCCAAGGACATAATTATAATGAAATCATACTGACCAAAGGTCGTGTAGTTGGATGATTTGGCCCCTCTCCTAATCTCAGCACTTCTCCACAACTCGTTGAACTCGTAGTTTCATCGCAGCTAATCGGACTGTACTTTATCTCAGGATTGTCTGACGAGAGTGAAAGATGGAGACAATCAGCCGCAAAATCCAGGGTCTCACGCAGCGCACTTTGGACTCGACTGTCGGCGGCGCCAAAGAAGCAATTATCCGGGGTGGCGCCGTCCTCCTCTTAGGTTCTGTCATCCTCTGGATCTCCGTCTTCATTTATGTTGCCTTCTACTATTCGTACATGCCTTCGATCTCACACTCGAGACCTGTTCATCTTCAATTTCAGTAATTTTCAATATAATACTTGATGGTTTATTTAATTGAGCTTTATTTTTTCAATTTTTAAAGGCCGTGTGAGCCTCAGCATGGTGTGTGCAGTTTCCCCTCGGCTCATGTTCAGCTCACCAAAAGACACCAGTTGCTCACATTTGGCCAGAAATACCGAGTGTACCTGAATCTGGACATGCCGGAGTCTCCAAGAAACAAAGAGTTAGGCATGTATTTCTATTTAATAAGCTTTTCTACTTGTGGTTTTACTTAAAAAAAATATTTAAATTGATAGTCCAAATAAATAAGTTAAAAATTCGGCAGGCATGTTCATGGTTTGTTTGTCGATGCGAGACAAAGATGGCACTTTGATGAGCCACTCTTGCAGATCGGCAATGCTGCATTACCGAAGTGAGCTCCTCTTAACCATGAAGACGCTCCTGTTCTCTCCATTCTTAATCTTTGGACCAAATGAGGAGAAACAGGGAGTGATCGTTGAGCTTTTTGCTGATTATGAAGAAGATGCGGTAAGTTTTACTTATGAAGCGCCTGTTCAATAATTTATTTTATTACAAAATAGATGAAGCCAGCCACAGATGCATACATTGAGATACAAAGCAGAAGTGTGCAAATATATTCTGCCTCTTTGCACATCCACGCTCATTTTACTGGTCTCCGTCATTTGATGTTCCATTGGCCCATTTTGTCGGCATCAATTGGAATCAGCTCAAACTTGTTCTTCCTGGGTGTTATTTGTGCTCTCTCATATTTCCATTTGACACGGAGCACGGAGGAAGAAGGAAACGAAGAAATGACAGATTTTGATTTGTTCCAAGGAGATCTTGATGGTACAAATTCCTGTTAAAATTAAAATTGCATTGACATGTTCGAATTTTATTAATTTAGAGCTCTATGAAGATGAAAGCAAAAACGAGGAGGAACAACGAGCCAAAGAAAAGGCTAAAGAAATTGAAGAGGAAGAGACTAAATCTGCTGCTGTGAGTAACGACGATGTGCCAGTTAAAGGAAATGATTTTGAGGAATAACCTATAGAGACTGTTGAATTAAATTGCCATCCTTTCATAGACTACCACTAGCTAGTCAACATTCCAAACACAATGCTCATGCCTATATTTTTAAAAATAAAAATTTAAATATTTTCCCTGTGCTCTGAACATGATTTTTCGCCCATAGCTGGTGAAATAAATAATAATTCAAGCAAATTTTCATATTAAAAGCTGTTTATTTAATTTCGCTCACATTAACAAGAAGGCATAGTTGAAGTGAAGTTTCATTAAGGCCAATGTTGAGGCTTCACTTCTTGCATATTTCATAAATTTCGTATATAAGAAACATAGGGTGGGAACAATCCAAAATTTCAGTTTTTCAATATAATTATGTAACCAGTCTTTGACACAGACAACCTACCAAAATGAAACACCAGATCCAAATTGCAGAGAAGTGTTTAAAAACTAAGAGTTCACATTTTTTAAAAGAAAATAAAATCAAAGACAGTGTTTTCATTAAGATTCTCACATTCAGATCAACTAATTTCCCGCAGTAAAATTATAGATATTGTCTTCCTTACGAGAAACATTAAATTAAATGATTCAAGCAGTACATACCTGGGCATTAAGTACTGTATGCGACTGTCACGGTATTAAGTTAAATGTTATTTAAGGAATAGCAAATCAAGATTCCTTGCTTACATAGTTTCAGCGCGTCATTTAAAATTGTAAAATTGAGAAAGTGTACATCGTGATTATTTCTCAGTGGTCAAATCAATCATCACCGGACTATTATTAATATCTTTTCTTTTAACGTGCTGCAGAGGCTTCCGCACTGACGTATGTTCACTTTTTAATCACAAACATTTAACAAGGTCATGATGACATTGTTGCCAGTTTACTTGGACCAAGTGGGGAGTTCTGCATCACTTGCCTAGAAATTAAAAAAATCCATTATTATGCATTTTTACTGATTAAGAAATCAGAAATCATGCAAAATATAGCAAACAAAAAATCTAAAATTGCTAGACAAACGTTTGAAAGAAAACCGTAATTTAAGAAATTCAATATAAATTTTTATTTAATGATAACAGTTAAATCTAGGTTTTTTAGTCTACATTCTATTTTATATTAAGCTTATATTTGCAATTATCACATTTTAATTTGGGAGTGTTTCGTATAATATATTACATCAAGCATACCAATTTATTTCATCAAAATCAAAGATCAAAATCAATCTCATTATGCTAAACTTGCATGCATCCGTGCCTATTAAATTTAAATTAAAATAACTCATTACAAATGCGCAATCAAAAAAATTATAACAAATTAATGCACAGACTAAAGTCATCAACATAGATTGCACCCGTCTTACCTATTCACTGAGTACAGGCAGCAGAGACCCATATTTGAAAATAAATTTAATTAGCGCCAAAATAAATATTGTTCCCTTTTAAGTTATCTAGTTATTGTTGTAAACCTTTTTCCCAGAAAATTCAAAATGTTTCTTTTTTAATATCAGAAATTTTTTTGGCTGGAGCTCAATTTATTTGGGAATGATAAAAGAAATCAGAGGGACAGAAGGGAATCGCCAATTTAACAGATTTTTTTTTTAAATACTTACAATTCAATGCTCTGGATTGTTGAGTTAGGACATGTGGTGTCCGCCTTCACATGGCAGTGTTTGTGGCAGCGCAAAAGACAGTCCCGACATTCGTAACCCTGCTTGCCAATCCGCCTGGCTACAGACTTGGTGCACACTGTACAAACAGTTCCACTGAAAATTTTGCAAATAATCAGAGGGGCAAATTCAAAAGATCAATTAATGTTACCCTGGTAAGTGCCTGGCTACAAAGGTGTGATCATTATAAATGTGCAGCTTTACACCCTTCTTGCGCCACTTGCTGCGCTGCGCCAAGGAAAGAGGAACTAAATAGTGCTTCTTCACTCCATTCTCAATGGTTTCTAGCACCAAAGTCGAAGCGTCGTTTACGTAAGTTCTTGTGCTGGCACCGCTGATGCCGCTGGCCTCACTCAGGCTCGACCTGGTGGACCCATCAAGACCCTTGGGCACTGAGAGGTATCCTTAAAAAGACAAAATTTATGTAAAGATTTTTCAAACTGGGTCACAAAACGGTCCAAAAGAACGTAAAGTTTAAACTTACCAGATTTAATTAGTCAAAATGAACATCCACACAGATAAAGGTGCACAACAGGTGGTAATAAAACAAAACAGGCAAACAACAATTAGATTCAAAAGGAACACACTTCTAATCAACTACATATTGGTGAAAATTCAATTGAGTAAACTTGCAGTAATTTGAACAGCAAGAAGATGTTTTGCATAAAATCCTACCCGTAACACTTCTGTTTGGATCGCTAGCCGATGCGTCTCTTGCTCTGTCTGCAGAAACAGAGCGATTAAGGGACGCATCTCTTCCCAAAGACTCGTCTCTCAAACTAGGGTCCACCGACTTAGAACGGTTTTTGCTTCGGCTTAGGCGTTTTTTGATGGTGCCGAAGAAATCTCGCTTCTTTTTCTTTGTGCGGCCTCGCTCTGGTGGATAATAAAGATTGAAGAAAATAAGAGTATATTCTAAAAAGTCAATGTTTTCCTTATTACCATCAGGCAAGGTAGCGTTCACTCCGTTTGTCGCTTCACCATCATGGAGCTCTGCTTCTTCTCTGGTACCTTGCTGTAACAGGATTTATGTTAAGTAAAATTTTTACAATAATATATAATATGGCAATTTAATTTGAAAATTGAATAAATCACTTTATTATTGTAATTAAATTTGGATTATTTACACGTATTTACATTTTTGCAAAATATAATTTTGATTGTCACTTCTAAAAAAACTAAAAAAAAAAAAATGTCAAAGCTTGTTCAACAACTCATGCAAAAATGTATTAACTTTTCATTTTGGATGAGATTATTGGATAAGGGAATAACAAACAACTTGCCTCTGGTTGTACAATTTCAGGGACTTCATGCCATTGTCCACCTTCAGTTAGTTCCACCTGCATTCGAAACAAAACACAATGGAAAACCAAGCTTATTAAAGGGCTCTTGATAACTCAAATCTAAACAATTTGTTGCTTCCACTATATTCACAGGATTTTGGTAAAAGGAGATGGTGGGAAAATTAACTCACCTTCACCACCGGCCTTTGGGGTGTTTGCTGTTAGGATGAAAACACAAATCAGTTATGGGGGTACACACATAGTCCATGCTCGGCAGGCAAAATATATTACCCTTTGTACACTGTGAATTATTAAAGTGCTCTTGCTAGCTTGTGTATTAGCGCCAGTTCTAGCATTGCGCAGTTCCAATTCTCTCAAGGCTGAATCAGCTAGTCCATCTACTCCGTTGGCTACACCATCTAGAATTTTGCGAATCAGGACGCAAAATTGCAGATAAAATAATTTCTTACCTTTAGAATAAACAGTCTTTGTTGTGGTTATTACAGCACCAGTAGGAGAAACAGATTTTACAGTCTCTTTAAGCTTCAGAGGCATTTCCCCGCGCCTGCCTATTAAAGGTCCATCATTGATGTCAACAAACATGAACTGCGGGAAAGTTATCTTATTAGTCTATCGCTCACCAAAAGTGGAAATTTTTACTCACCTCAACAGTTAAGGAGCCAGACACTTGGTCTGTTTCATAAGGCCGAGGCTGCAAAAGAATCACTTGACGTTGACTTGGGCTGGCCAGGAGTTCCTCGACTCCTACGATTCCAAGACCAAGGAATCGATGGTCGCTTCGATCGTAAATTTCAAACATCAGCTCCATGGTGTTAGGACTTAGCTCACTGAAATTATTATTATTATTATTATTTTTACTATTTTCATGCGAAATAAAATATCTCTTACAATTTGAAATGCTCGTCCCAAATGGGAGAGTTGGTGTTTGACCTGAAGGTGGTGGAGAATTTCTGGGCAGGTTCATCCATTTCAACCACACAATAAGGCTCTACACAACCTAATTTTGAAAAGTTCATTATGCTACGTACAGGAGTAATTTTGCTAACATACCTTTATCAGACCCAAGATTAGCAGCTTTAACAATTTTAACAAGCAGCCTCTTTTCGGCAGCGGCACGGGTGTGATTGCTCTGAAAAATATTAAGCTGCAAATAAAGAAAAAAAAAATGGCAATAAAAGTCACCCTTACCATACTATCATAGTGAACAGGCAAGACTGGCGTAGCAGGAGCCATGTACCTATCAAAGCGAGGGCAAGCGTTATACTTGGAAAAGTTAAGGTGAATCGATGAGCTCCTGATGGCCGTGACGACAATGTCGTTGATGACCTCTTGCATTGCAGCTTCGTCACTGCCCAGTGAGTTTCGGATGCTGCCGACCTGAGCCAGTGCGACTTTGATCTGAACGAAAAAGGGGTTAAAAATTTCAAGGTTTCTGATGTGAGGAAGCACTCACGTCTGGCCAGCCATCAAACTTGGCATCGACCAGCAATTTTTCAGTTAGGACAGAGAGGTTAAGTCTAGCCCTCAGTCGGTTAACGTTTACTCTGTAATGGGACACTTCCACTTTCTCTCCTTTCTGGCGGAAAGCTTTCAGTTGCAAAGCTGGTGTAGCTTCAAAATCACAGGTGATCGTCTGAAATTTTATTTTGAATTTAGTTCATATTTATTTATTTTTATTTTTTAATAACCCATATTTTTGTATATATTTTTATAGAAATTACAAATGGAATTTAATTCAAAGGTAAGCGCAAGAGATTATTTGCTGAGGATGAACCCTGCATTCCCTGCTATAGCTTGGTGCTTAAATAGTCAGCAAGGGAAGCCAAAAACAATTAAACAGATAGGGGAAAGCCAGGGGCGTGTGAGAGACTAGAAGAGAGTATTTGTCCATTACAAATCCTCGTCGTCGAAGATAGTTGGCAAGGCACTTCACAGCCAATTATTGGCGCAATCATTGCACGGCACGAATAAAAAGAGGATGAGGTCGCGCGGGCTAAATAAAGGGACTGTTGTTTTTCGCAAAACAATTTCAATCAGATGACTCTTACATGAGTTACCATCAGCCAGGAGATTATCACTAACGAATTAGGAATCTCAAGGCTGGCACAGAAAAAGTTTGCAAAAAACATGGCACACTTTTTTAAAATTTGAATTAATTTTTAAGCCTGCAAGACTCCAATAAAAAAAAATTAAAAGACATAAAAAAGGAAAACTCATTAAATTTATTATTATTATGCCAAATTTTTTGCATTTTAAAATAGAAATTTATTTATTCCAAGCTATTGGGTGAAAACGTTTTGCTTGTTTAAAATTTAAGTCAATATAATGAATTTAATTGTAAATTGATGGCAAAACTTACCACATCTTCGTTTGGTGCGCACTCGGAGAACACGCTGCTCAAGGTGGGTGAATGGGACTCTGGCAAGACACGGACAAACTCCACGCCAACTCCATGCTAAAATGCCAGGTGTCAATTTATTATAATTGAAATATAAACAAATAAAATTTATTCGCACATACATGAGAAATGCTTCCTAATAAAGTAAAAATTAAAAAAAAATTGTCACATTTTTTGGGTAAATGTAAAGTTCAATAGATTGAAAGAAAGGTTATCGGAGGCATCAAAATGAATGAATGCTTGCATGGCTTTGGCTCTTTTGTCGCTCGTTTTGAGAGCAAAGGCTGTGTGCCCTTAACAGTTCACGAACGAGCCAGAAATATCAGCGGCAGCTGAACAATGCAATCCGTCACTGCCCGATTCCGTCTGCGAGACAATCGATATGGGAAATGTGCTGTGAAGCCATTAACCGCAGTTACTAGAGCCAAACGTTGGCGCTTAACAATAATATGGTTTTTAGAGAAAAACAGACGCGACTTATGGCTCCAACGAGACTAACTAACTTTGCACGAGACCATTAATTTGTGTCTCTGTGCGGTGTGGCTTTTGGCAATGAAACAAAGTAAAGTGCTCTCTCTGCACCAAGTCGCGCGTTTTGCTAGTCGGTTTAGTGCAGGCGGCAGAGAATGGTCCAATCGATATGAGGACGGCGAGCTGCTGGAGTGCTGCAAAGAATGGGAAAAAATATCCATTCGAGATCTGCGAAAATTTGCGCTGGAGCTCTAATCTTTACCAAGGTCCAGAATTATTTCAAGGTAAAGCAAAAAATGAAGCAACAAGCGGATGTGAGTTGAAATTCTCTGTAAATATGTATATACAAATTGAAGTATGTAATTTAAATTTATTTTACAATGAAGGGCAGAATTTAAAAAGGAATTAAAGGAACTTCAATATTAATTAGATTAGCTGATAATAGGAAAATAATTTGAAATATTTAAACAGATATGTACTGTGTTTTTATATTTAATTTAATCCCAAATATGAAACAATGCTATTAAAAATTCAAATTCGCGCAAAATAAATGGAAATCATCGATATGGAAATAGCAGTTTGCTAAAATATTTCCAATTCAGTCAGGGCCGTCAGTGGCCTTGCGCCTGCAGAAAAACCATCCAGAATCTTCTGCACTCAAGTTTGATCATTTAAGCTGCTACTTATTTTCAAAACATTAAAAACAAATAAGTTCTAAGACTCAACAATTTTTAATTTTAAATTTCAGGTGTTCATGTGATGGCTGCAATAAAATTTTCAAGTCAGCTTAAGGCCACTCACTCGTGAAACAATTTCAGCGTCAAAGAATACAGAGTGGAAAGTAAGTACAGCAAGTTGTATATATTATACAGTTACAAAAGAAAGAGAGACTTGTCAACGTAAAAGTGACTCACGTTGAGAAAATTTCGCTCCCATCCACTTAAATAAATACAAGGAACCACTTTAAATTTGTGAAAATTAGAACGCAAGAAATGTTTTAAATTTAGAGTGCCAAAAATAAATTTAGTGAAAATATAAGAAATTTTCGCTAAATTTTTGTATAATCCTAATTATTGCTTTCATTTTGGATTAAACTGCAAGGCGGATAATTTTTTGTCTTATCTGTCTGCGGTGAGATCACCTGAAGCTGCAGTTAAGTGACGTAATGCAGCTAAATTGCACCACGTAGGTTGGCGCCGCAGACTGAAAGCATGAGCTAATCCAACTGCGAGACTGTACCAGCACCTTTAGCTCTCTCTCGTCTGCCATCATTCTATGTCCGTACACTGTGTTTACTTCTGTGAGAAAAGTTATAAAATCGCATGACAAGCTTCTTTCAGTTTGCGTATCGGCATGACAGAAGTAAATAAAAGAGCAGCAAAACATTGCGTGCGCGGAGGAAGCCTTCGCTGACAATCCGCTTTTGCCCAACTAATCTCATTGTCGCAATGCGGCCCTAAGTGCGACGATGCGATGCTGGCCAAAGAAAAATTTAAGAGACGATGAGAAACCGAGCAACAAATCGACCCCCTCGACCGCATTCAACATCATCAAAAATTCAGCGTACAAATGCCGAGAAATCAGATATAATATACTGCGGACGGAAAACACCCCATAAAAAGTCGACCGCAACATAAAAAGGCGGACAAGGAGAGTGTTATCTTTTTTCACAAGAGATAAAATTGGAAAGAAAAACTCCTGCGGGCATTGTAAATAATTGGACGCAAGGTGTTTTTAAACAATTCCGAATTTTAATTTGTAAATACTTTCAACAAATTTTATTTAAATTAAAAATTCCTATAGCTGGTCTTTAAAAAAAAAACTAGAGAATTTCTCTCATTCTGATTAATCTCACGAGTTTGTTGACATAAAAAATCGTGTTCAAGCAAATTGATGTGCCAGCAGTAGGCAATTTTCGTTTGGCAAGAGACGCAGAATGAAATATGTGTAGGCGAGTCTCAATAAAATTATATTGAGCATGACGACGTAATTAATAAGAAAAATCTTTCTGGAGTTAACATTCAGCATACATTTCAACCTTAAATGCGCAATTAATTTTCACTTGTCAAAAAAGAAGAATTTAAGTGAAAGAAATATTAATAAGCTCAACTGATTAATTAAAGAGTAAAAATTGAAAGAAAACGTTGAACAAGATTTAACGCTTTGATTTGGCAAGAGTGGCCGAGCCAGACTGCAATGCGCAAAACTGCCCTTCATTTTGCGACTCAACTTTCAGTAATAAAAAAATTACCATTGCCACATTTTACAACCGCCAGAACTTCTTTTTACACAAATATATACAATTTATTTCCCAAATTTAAATTTTCGGTCCAAATCAGTTTTTCTTCTATCAGAAAAAATAACTTTGAATTTTTGTGTGTGAAAAAGTTTTAGTCTCAAAAAGGCAATTCCACGGCCTGACCCAAATATTATTTTCGCATCGACATAAAAATTATGACCCAATCGATATCGTATCTGACGTGCTGGGCATCATAAACGAAATTGGGTCTGATAAGTTTACAGGCTCACGCACGCATTAAGTCGATTTTGAACAAAAAATTGAGCCGTTTGTTAAGAATTTCATTTTAATTTCAAAAACAATCGCAGCTAATATAATTTATAGAGTTGAATCACTTTTAACTCTTCCTCTTCAACCTTCTAACGCGACGCCCTTGGAACTTGAACATTGACTTTGAACAGGTCACTCACCGCAGAGACGCTTATGTCGCGAATACAATTTGCATGATAATTAAAATAAAAATTACGAAAAAGCTGAGAGATCTTTTAAAATTGACATGTGCATAAACTAGGCATGTTTAATCCCAATGTATAAAAAAATATTACTACAAATTTATATTTATTCTTATGCGCATAATCAACGGGAAGATAATCTGTGTGAATGGCATGTAAGAACAGGTGACAACTTGAAACATGATAGCTCGCAGACAAAACACAACAACCTGCAAACATGCTCACTCAGCGCTTTGCTCCCTGGAGTGCCTAAACTGTCAAGGCAACTAATTATTTAATTAGCTACTAAAAAGTAATACAAATAAATTTAACTCAAATTTAATAAGTGTAAGCAATGTTCACAATAATGATAGAAGATATAAAAAGGATCTATAAGTGAACAAAGTCTCAAAGGAGTTTGGTGTAAAATCGCGATTCCATAGTGAATTTGTAGCTTCCAATGATTTACCAGATACATTGAAAAGTATAACAGAAATTAAATTCTTAAAAATGAATGTGTAAAATATTTGAAAACTATATCAATGCAATGAACAAATAGTGACGTTTTTCTGTGAAAATTTTACTGGACGGTAACATGAGTGCATAAATAGTCTGTTGACTGTAAAACCTTACAAAATCAAATCAATGAGAACTTTGACAAATATTTCAAATTCAAAATGTTCAGAAAAAATGTTGGAAAATTTCCATACGATCTGATTATATTTTGGCACACATTTGGAATCTCCTCATCAGCTGCGGTCAGCTGATTATCTAATAATATTTTGTATTTTAATTAGCTCACCTCCTCACAATATGCATTTATGTGACATTTTTTTTTTCATTTAATTTTTCTGCAATGAACTATTTCATTTCGTAAATTCTTATAAAATTGGCAGGAAAAAATAAAATTGTTGATAAAAATTAAAATGAAGGGCTCACCTCGGTGACGGACTTTTTGGTGAACTCGTTGAGGTTGAGTATCCAGGTGTTGATGACCTCCTGGACGGCAGTGAGGTCACAGTAGAGCCACTGGAAGACCCTGTTGACCCAGCGGACACTGTCTCCGTCGGGCCCAGTGGCCTGGGGCGCGTTCAGCAGCTGCAGACCCTGGCGAGCGTGGTGGTTGAGGTGCGAGTTGAGGCTGCCGGCCTTCTGGAGGCCCCCCTTGGAGGCGGTCGGGAGGGGCGCGGGCCCCGGGCTGACCTTCTTGGGGACGGGCCGGCGGCGCACCGGCGGGGTGGGCGGCACGGGCTTGACCACGACGGCGCCGTCCTCGACACTGACTGTGGGGATGGTGACCGCCGAGATGTCTTCGATGACCGGCTTGGCGTCCTCGGGCAGGCCGCCGACGAACCTTTGGTAGATGTATTTGCCGATGGCCAGCACGAACAGGCCGAACACCATCCAGCCGAATATCAACATCGCCACGGTGTCCATCGTGGTTTCGCCTCCACCCTCGAAAGTGCAGATCAGATCGTCAACTCGCTCCGCCAAATCGGCCATGTTGCTCCATCCCTGCTACAGCCGTGCCTGCTCCAAATTTGAGTCTGAATAAGTTAAAGCGTACGAGTAGGGTCTAAAAATAATCCGCACATTTTAATTCTCTCACTCGCTGACAGTGAGAGCGGGTAGGCAGGGCTCCTCTTCTGTGCAGCAGCCGATTCAGAAATAGAAGGAGGAGTGAGCAGAGCTTCTTGGCCCGCCAGCTTACAAGGTATGCTCCCGAGATGACACACCCCGATTTCAATGAAAATTGGTGCACAACTTCTACTACCCATTGGTACCCCAGAACGGTCATTAATTTTTGCCCAATTTTCCTTGTTTAATTTTTGCCATTTAAACTCCATGTAATTGGAATTACATTGGAGAAATCAGATGTAGGCAACTTATATACACAGAGGACGCTTTTGTTGCCTACATCTGATCGTTTTTAACATGCGTTTTAATGGAAACTACCCTCCCTTGTGAAATTGGGCAACTTTTGATAGCCATTCCAGAACACCCAAGGGTAGTGCAAGTTGCATACCAACTTTCATCAAAATCGGCGTGTGTCATCTCGGGAGCATACCTTGTTAGCTTTTTAGCTCGCGCGCTGCACACTCACAACATACACACGCACGCCTGCCTTCACTGCTGCCCGCAGTCCTTCGTCCTCCCCTTCCCCTCGAGCACCAAAAAGAACGAATGAGCACCGTCGCTACCTTGGCTGCTGCTCACTGGAGGCGCCTTCGTCCTGCCGCAGACGATTCAGGCACAGTTGACGAGCACCGTCGCTAGGGGTGCCACCAGCGCTCCGGCCAAAACGTAAACAAAACCACGACCACTTTTATCATACACTTTTGCAGCTGTGCCTAAAAAGAAGATTGAAATTTTTTAAACGAGAGTAAGTACATCAGTAAAAATTTTAATAATTTTACTACACAGTACACTCATGTTTTTTCGTTCAGTAATATTATAACATTATTTGTTTGATGATAATAATATTTATGTATGTATATAATGGTATATAATATATTAAGAATATATATTGTATTCTTTGCAAGTTTTCACGGTCTCAAACCAGTAGGCCTGGATTGAAAAAATATTAGTTTTCCACTAGCGAATTATTTTTACTAATTTGTTTGGTGCACCTAACAAATACTGATCAGCCACTAATTTTTTTTTTATTTATTCAAAGTTTTCTTTCATGGCGTGATTCAAGCGCATTGATTCTGAAAGAAGCCAAGTTTCTCTCGCACAGTTTCAGCAAAACCATGTAAAACCTCTTAAAAAATTGAAAAGTCAGGATTTAGTGACTTTCTTGGGAATTTCGGTTCCTGATAAAATAATTCTGATTCTCTACCCGTAAATATTTTGCAAAACTTGAAGATCACAAAGAAAACCCTGCACGATTTCTTGTTTCAAAATTATTATTCACCATCATTATGATGTTATTTGAATTTAAATTTATTTGTCAAAGTTCTAGTCTGCTTGCGATTAGTTAAGATTGTGACGCTAGTTTTGTTTCGATTAGCTAACCTGAATTTGGGTTTAGTGATAGAAATAAAACAAGTAAATGATCTCTAAATTACATAATTTTTCAGATAATTGTTAGTGTGCGTGTGTTTTTTTCTGTTAAAATTAGTGTAGAGTAGTGTTTTGTTTGTGTTGTAAAGTGTAAAGCAGTTTCAGGGGTTAATTTTTAAGAGGTTTTTACGTGGATGAAAAAACCTCTTAAAAAATACATAATTTTTATTACAATAATTAATTTTATTTTTGCTGACATTGAAAATTAGAAATAAAAAGAAAGTTTTAGATTTAAATATGAAAAACTGTGGGAAACTAGATATTAATTTAAAATTCCACATCACTTAATTCTGCAACTCACAAATAAACCTCATTTTCCACGTGTACTTACTATCGTTCCACATGAATGGCTCAGTTTTTCCTCTACTCCAGAAATGCAAAAAGTTTTCATCACCCCCCATGTTGTCCGGCTGGTCCTTGAGAAAATATGTAAAAGGACCGATTTCCTTTCCAGTACTTGCCCAGTAAAAATGACCTTCAGAGCCCAGGTCGACCCCCGAAATCCAAAAGTTTTCAATACCTGAGAAAACCAAGAAATGGTGGATATTTAATTTAAAAATCACCTTTTGTGATTTTTAGTGATTACCTATTACTTTAAGAAGGGCGTCATTTTCCTCTTTAGTCTCAATGCTGACAAGCTCCATGCCATACTCTTTGCAAGCTCTCGCGGCCTCAAACCAGTTGGCCTGAATTTAAAAAAACATTGTTTATTTCTTCAAACCATCTGATTTTAGCTTATATTTTTACTAATTTATTTGGTGGACTCAACAAGTACCAACCAGTACTGAGCGACAATAAATTTTGTTTATCAATTCGAAGTTTTCTTTCATGGTGTAATTCAAGCCCATTGATTCTGAAAAAAGAACACATTATTATTTTCAAAGTTCTACAGCGCTTAATTCCCGTTATACTTTAAGTCACAAATCTGTTTGTTGAAATTCAGTTCGTTGAAACACGATTTATTGTCACGTTCAGTCAATTCCTTTTCGCGTTCGTATAACTCCTTTAAATGCTTATTACTCTGATCGCATTCCCTCTTTTGTGAGGCTAATTTTTCCTTTTCTACGTTGCAGCTGCACAGTTTGCTCAGCACGTTGACGTGCCTAAAATTAAAAGTTGAATTAAATTTTTGAGCATGTGACGTTAAACTTTGCTTACTCTTCCCACAACGGAGGCAAATATTCCTGAAATCGTCATGCTTTTTTAGAGCTTAATTTCGTTTTATGAGAGATCGGTACCTTGAAATTGTATTCAATTTCTACGTCGCAACTAACAAAGCCTGCAATTGTGCAGAAGGCGAAGATCGTTAACAAAAGTTGGCACGATTGTTCTTTCATGGCAGCAGCTCCCAGTATTCCCACTGATATAAAAGCAAACGAGGAAAACTCGAGCATATATTATAATTCTAATGAAACTTTGAGCTGTAAAATGTGATAACCCCTAAGTCAACTCAAGCATGAAACATACTCATAATAATATAATGCGGGCAATAAGCAATAATATTTAATTTATCCATCAAAGAGATTATTAATTTAATTTTGTGTCCCTCTTATATATAACATAAATTTTTGAAATTTTTAACTGATTTTTGTGTGCTTGAAATCAATAAATTTATAATAAAAGTTTTCAAAATTGAATACATTTTTTGTTATAGATTTTAACAAATTATGATGGCAAGGAGTGGACTGCCCCTTCGAGAGGTGGTGCAACGGCTCAACAATTTGGCTCCTCTTTGGCTTGCCGAGTCATGGGACAATGTGGGACTTCTGCTGGAAACTTACCAAAGTTCGAGCACTCCAGTGAAGGAACTCTTGCTGACAAACGATTTGACAGAGGATGTTGCTCAAGAGGCGATTTCCAAAAACATTCAGCTCATCATTTCTTACCATCCTCCACTATTCAGGCCCTTTAAAACCATCACGAATGACCAATGGAAGGCGAGTTTTAATTTTTAAGAATTATTTTATGAATTTGATTAATGAGAGATATTTTTGTTCCAGTCGAGGATAATATCTACGTGCATGGCTCACAATATGTCGGTGTATTCTCCACACACTTGCTATGACTCGATCTACTTCGGAGTGAATGACTGGCTTGCTAGCGTATTTGGTAATTATTTTTACTTAGATTTGTAAGATTCTCTTGCAAATGATTTTTTATTTACATATTAACTTAAAACTAGCTCAGCAAAATTTTAAATTTTTTTCTTTTATATTTTTACAGATTTTCACTCAAATGTGTGAGAATTTTAATCAGATGGAATATTAATTAATGTTTAATTTCTTTACAGATTTTGAAACAAAAAAGCCAGTTTTGCCAGCCAAGTGTCCAGCAGGGGTCGAAACATCGCTAGATTTGGCGTCGTGTGGTGCTGGCAGGCTGATGGAACTAAAGAGTCCCATTACAATATCCACAGCTGTGGAAAAAATCAAGTCTAAACTCAAACTTGACCACGTTCACTTAGCCCTTGCTAAAGGTGCCAGCAAAGGTACTGAAAAAGGTATATTTTGATTGAATGATCATTATGATTTCTGTTTCAAAATTTCAGATTCAACAATTTCATCTGTGGCTGTGTGCGCTGGATCTGGATCTTCAGTTTTGGCAGGCGTGAATGCCGAGCTGCTTTTGACCGGAGAAATGTCCCACCACGAGGTTCTGGACGCTGTCCACAATGGCAAGTCGGTCATCCTGACTTGGCACAGCAATTCGGAAAGAGGATTTTTGGTCAACCTAGCTGATATTCTGACGTCAAAAACATTCAAAAATGAAGAGGTAGGAATTTCTGTATCTTCAGTGGACAGAGATCCTCTTTTTACGTTGTAAATTGTCTTTATTAAAATTTAAAAATATCCTAACTGGGTCGTATATTTTAACAAATTCTCAAATTATAAATTTTTCATGACACGCTATAGTTATTACCAACGTTACCAACCAGTATATTAATAATTTATGGGCTTTTGAAGTCATTATTACATATTAAGTGTTATAGTGAGCTAGTGGATTTTTACTTTTTGACAGAACTTACTTTATAAACTTTTAAATTCAATTTATTTTCAAAAATTTTAAATTATCATGCCGTGCATGTCTTTAAACATACACCACTTTTCAGTGAGCAACCATTTAGGTACAACTGCAGCCCAATCGTCATCCTTGTACCATCCTCAATACCAAATTCTATCCAGCTCTTGTTATTACAACTTTTTAACTAACTTTTGTTTGAGAATTAACAAAAGTTTATATCGCTGTGTGGAGGAGCAAGAAAATCCGATAGCTTTTAAATTCCACAGAATCGATCAAAGAAAACAATTCTTGAAGTTTTTTTTTTTGCACATTTTATTATTGTTTTAAGATTAAAAATTTTTATATAAAATCTAAAATTTGTCTTGGGTTGCATATTTTTAAAAACAAGACTCAAATTTGCACTCATTTCGTTTCAACAACTCTGATATCATTCTTTGGTAGGAAAAAGGGTCGCCACCACAAAACAATTTGTGCGAGTCGTCAAATTCCAACTCCTCAACATGAATGCTTACAAGGCTTACAAGTTTTACTTAAACAGAAATTAGTGCCCTAAATGTATTTGGGACTTTATGATTTCTTTTGACAAGTCTATTGATAAGCAATTCTGAGATTAAACATTTCGTTTGGGCAGTGCGTCTTGAAACGTAACTTTCTTTGAAGTCTGTTGGACTAGGCTCAACTTGGCGCCAAACTCTCTCATTTTGTTCAGGGTATATTTCTCCTACATATTAAAACTTTGAAGTAAATACAACTTTAATAAAATCGGTTATTTAAGTATTTAGTTTTAATTAAAAGTCAAATGGAGAGTTATAAATATTTTTGTATCAGTCTACCATGGGTGAAACAGGGCGCCTCTTTGAAGAATTGCTTCCAAATGAGGCTGATCGTGCCGCTCTTCTCATCTTGCTTGCTTCGACGGCCTCCTAAAAATTTAATCAGTCCAAAATTTTTAACAAATTAAAAAAGTGAAAATACCTCCATTGTCTCAAACCAATCTAGAAGAACGGACTCTTTGACTCCTTGAGGAGATCTTAACAAAATCGGTGGCCTCTGATTGTGAGGCGATTCAGCATTTAATTCTGATGAGCCCTTTTTATACACGGGTTGTGCTATGTCCTCTATTGGAGAAACAAGAACAGGTCCTAGGTGAAGGGTTATTGTTCCTAAGGCGTCGCTCCTCGAATTGCTCCACTCAACTTTGGTGATCTCTGCTAGTCTTATCTGTGCACAAAAAATTTGATATTTACTACTTCCTATGCTTAATTTTTTTTTACCTTGGAAATGAACGGCCCCATAGTCGAGGGTCCGTTCGAGGAGATTTTGAAGCAACTGAGGAAATCTTTGGTGAGCAAAAAATACCGCTCTTTCCACTTTTTGAAAAACAATCCTTGAACGGGGGTGACTAGCGGCCCCTTTAATAGAGTCGTCATTCCCGTTGCTGCTCCCAATTCGTCAAAAATTGGGAGCATCGAGCCCGGTAGGGGTGAATGAACCTGCGTATGAAATTTCAATTATGGACCGATTCTATATCAATGAACAAATATTTTTCATGCATTTTTTATGTTGATTTCCGCGTTTATTTTTACAATGTACCTTTTTATGATGAATGTTTATTATGAATGAAGAAAAATAATAATAATATCTGACAAGGAAAAAACATGTTATTTGTCTCCTTAACATGTCTTAAAAAGAGGTAATCATTTAGGGAATCCTACAATTAATTAGAACATTTTACCCACAGTGATTCATTTCCTTTATTTCTTAACAATTAGAATCCAACAAAAAATGTTGAATAGATTTTAGTAAAATATGGTTTTATTTTATGTTCAACCATAAAAATTACACAGAAAATATTTAATAGACATTACGAATTTTTTATTATTTTATATTGCTATTTTAAAAATAGTAATTTTTTCTGCTTCCTCCAATAGTAAGAGATAAAAAAAATGGCAACAAAGGTACCTTCTCTTCCTCTTGGTCATCATCGTCGATGGTGAAGTTGAAAAGGTGCGGCTCTTCGATTTTCAGGGTGGCCCTGTGCACCCTGGCCAAGGTTGGCGACTTCTGCACGGCCATCGGCGCCGGCGGCGGAAGGGACAACCGTTTCAAATGACTACTCTGAGGCTGCATTTTTTCGACTTGTCGTTCCAAAACGCCGATGCATGGTCTTGGTGTGTGACATAGGAAAAGTCAAGTCCGCAGGAAGTGGTGGCGCCGCGCCCAGCTGCTGCTGCTTAACATTTTGTTATATATTTTAGCCTGCTTTTGATAAGATTCGTGCCTTGACTTCATATATTATTTAATTCGCAAATGCAAGAACGGCACAATTTCCGTTTGCCTTCAACCTTCGAAACAATCTTTCAACGCGGCGCGGATAAATGTCATTGCCACCCAGTGGCAATGAGAAATGCTAATGTGCGCCGTCAGGTGTGCAAGGAAAACAAAAAATTTGGCAATTTTCTAATTTATATTTTTAAAAATGTTTCAATTATTTAGCACAAATAAATTCAAAAACGAGAGAAGATAATTACAAAACGTGAAGAAACAGTAACAAAAAAATGCCGGGTTCTCATCAAGAAAGGTCTGCGCCGAGACCTTTGCTTTGAAATAAAAATCAGGATCTAAAATAAAATCACAAAGTTCTAGTGTGGTGACAAAAAATATTTTGTTATTGTTTTCTATTATGAGCCACAAACGTACTCCTATTTTCAAAGTATTGACGATCAATTTAAATTTTTATATTATAGCTGCGATTTGTAAAAATTGCTGATAATATATTATATTGTTATTAACCCATTAATATTATTTATAATTGAACACTGTGCCCTGAATGATTATGGTTCTTGAAAAAGGGAAATAAAAAGTACTGAAAATTGCTCGCGTGCTTTTGGCTCTTCATAATTTCATGGTCCCTTGGGCTCTCCTTACGCAATTCTTATGCCTTTTCTTGCAATGACCTAATATCACAGAGACACGCCACGAGATTGCAAACGTTAAGCATTATAAAAACATGGATAATTTTAAGAAATTACATGCACCTTTTTTTAGTTCACCGCAGAAGCTGTCTTTTTTAAACTATGTCTTTGTTTAGTTCAATTATTTTATTTTGTATACATTTATGTTTCCCTTTTCTAATTTTCATTTTTTTCTTGATAAGGATAGAAAAGAAATCATCAAATTTATTTTTCATAATAGCAAATTATTTGTTTAGATTATCATTTATAAAAATTGACTTTTTATTTGGAACTTAATGCACTCTTGTGCAACATTATTGTTTTTATATCGTTTATTTAATCATAAAATAAAAAAAATAGCAGCGTTTGAAAGTTGAAAAAATACTGTAGATCTTGTAATTATGATATTTTTTATAGGTAAAAATAAATTTATTTCGCCCTACTCAAAACGTAGTTTCATGTTGCCAAGGCTAACCTTTCCTGGGCTTGACTCTCAAGGTTGCTTAATATCATTTTAACTGTTATTAATGACCATGCATTTTATATTTGATATACATGAGAGTAAAATTCCAAAGGAGAATTTTAAAATGAAAAAATCAAAGAGAATATTCATGTTAACACCGATAAAACACACATAATAATCATCAAATAAAAATTGTAGCAGTTACTATTCTTCTGAATTCTGGATTTTGCAATTTTTATTAAATTCTATCCTGCAAATACTTTTTTCAAAAGAAGTGGAAAAAATATGTAAAGAAAAACTAAATAATATCTTGAAAAATTGAAGAAAAAATATAAAATATTAAGCATATGACTTTGGAAAAATTTGGTTGACAAAGCAATAATAATTGGAGAATTTGTTAACAACTTAGGCCACTCTAATCGTAGTAAGAAGATGAAAAGAAATGACCAAAATTCGCACGAACGATTAAAAGGCGATTTGACGTTAAACGTCCGTTGAATGGCAAAAATGCGCTCGGCGCGCTCTCACTCTCTCTTTTAATGGTGACCTCATTCGCGGGCCTACTACTACTACAATATATACGACGTTCTCAGCCGCAGCAACTTTCCCTGGTCGTTCAGTGCGCGAATGAGCCAACCAAACTTAATACCTGGTTGGGCTCCTCGAAGAAGCAGCCGCGAGTGTAGTGCGCCTCGAAAGCATGGAGCCGCAGCACGGTTCCGCTTTTTTGGTGCTGGCCGTGCTCACCCTGTGCTACCTTCTGCTCAGCTGCCTCCCTGAACCGCAGTCCACCCTCCACGCCAAGGGTGCCGACAGACACAAAAGCGCCGCCGTCGCTGCCGCCAAAGGACTCTCCGAAGGTGCGATTTTTAATTTTAGTAAAATAAAAACGGCAACAAATTTTTAATTCCTTATCAAAAAATAAACTAAATAATTAAATAAAAAAGGAAACTGTACACAATTTGAATGAAAGTGCTAGCGTTTATCTAGCGTATTCAAGTTGGCCTCACAATTTGCACCATGGCCAGACCAGTGCGAAAGCTTTCTCATATATCCGTGAAGCCTTTTATTTCCTCTGAAGGGCACCGTATCAGCTCGTGAACATAGCCATAATTTTTTCTTCTAATTTCACATTTAAGTTTTTCAAAAGAGGAGTGCAAAATGAATTTAATCATTTTTACCCGTTTGTAATTCAAAATAATAATTTATTTTTTATGTTTGCAGAAATTTGAGAAATTATTATGAGTACGTTAATTGCTAAGAGTTTCAAGACTTTTTAAATATAAATATTTATTTATAAATTATTTTTCAACTTTATTTCATAGACTAAGAACAGTAACGAATGTTTTAATGGCAAATAACCTTTAAATCTTGCTGCTATCCAAGTTGATCAGGAAGCAGGAAATTGTGGTATTTTTATTTTTGAAGAATTATCCAGTGAACGCGGTAGTTTAACCACAGGCAGGATAGTTCATCTGAGAGTTCATTCTTAAAAATCGAACTTTTTAAACGTTTTTTATTTCTTTCTATTTCATTAAATTATTTTTCCATGGTATAACTCTTTGTACAAACTGTCGCGGTCAACGGATTATAATAAGACTGAGGGGAAGTGTCTTCATCGATGGTAAAAGCAAGCCATAAAAATTTAATCCGGCGAGGAGGCGATGAGAATTTAATTTGTGTTGCAACAATATTCTTTTTCTTATGTTGAAACAATGAAAATATAGAAATAATTTATAACTGACGCAGGATGTCAGGCTATTTTATTAGCAGTCTGCCGCTTTTACAAATCGTATTTAATTAGAACAGAGATAAGAATAAGGATAATAATATGCAAAGCACTACCTGATTAATCATTCGTAATATTATGTATATCTGGCATGTCTGTTATATGTGTTTATCGCGCGGATTTCTTTCTGCTATGTCCTATTAACTGCATTAAAATTTTCATTATTGTTCCACAAAAATATAAATGTTGCTGTTATATCCAAAAGCGGTATTTTTCCATGAGTATTTTTAGTCATTATATTGTTTTACGGGGAAAAATTAATATATACTTTACAAATTTAAAACTTCCTACTAAAATAAATTACTCACAAACAGAATTACCATCGAGGAAATGCCGTTAAAAAAAAAAACATGAATGAAAGTTGAATCGTGAATTATTGAATAAATCGAATAAATTATTATTATTGGGAGCAATTCGGAGAAACAAAAAATGCAAAAATTTTATATTGTTCAATTTTAGATTCTCTTGACCTGACCAATGTTGAGACAAAAAAGAGGATGCTTGAAACTTTGAAGAACTCATGCCTTCCGAAGCTGGTGTGCCAACTTCTGGCCAACAACGATCGAAAGTTGAGTCGATCTGAGATGTCACTTCTCTCCGTCATAAAGTACAGATTGGTTTATTTTGATCAATGACAGAAGTAATGAATAAATTTTTTATTTTATAGGGACACAAGTTTGGGAATGACGGCTGAAGTGACGTCGAAACTACACTTTGCTGCTCACATGGGCCAGTTGGTCGCTGGTGTGGATGGCACGGGCTGTCATAACTTCTATCCTGCGTGTCCGCTGCCAGGAAATGCCGTCTTGCCATTTTTGCAAACGGTGAAAAGATCCTACAGTGGCAAGTTCTGATTGTGTCTATTTGATTGCTACACACCTGCAGCAGATTGATTGCTCATATTGTGATATTGATATGGAATATAATTTTAAGGATTTTAATTTAAAATATTCCAATAATTTATAAGATAAGATGTAATATAAGAGTTAACATTGATATAGAATTTTTGATGGTTTAAAATGTAAATATTTTTATTTGAACAAGGAAAATTTTTGTAAGGGAAAATATTGTTAGGAAGTATAATATTGACCAGCAGAGAAATTTTAAAAGCAAAACTGTGATCAGGGAGTAACAGGGATTAATGTTATTCCATTAAGGAAAATAGGATAAAAATAGATAATTTTTAGACCTTCTTATATAAGAATGCCAACGACTTAGTTACCAAATTGTAAATATTTGAGCTCAACTATTTCCCATGCATGAACATCCTGGAAGACTGGGAAGGGAAATGTTTCGATGTTTAGCAATGAAACAAGGAAATTGTGGAACAATTACATTTAATGTGAAACAAATAATATTATTCTGTGTGACTTTACAAAGCGCTTTTCAATCAATAATACAATTTAGTCAATAATACCTGGTACATCTAACCGCTAGGCTTTTTAAATATTATTCAATTCCTGATAGACTGTTTGACAATATCCTGCAGAAAGGACAAACAATTTTCGTAACCAACGCTATTAAAACATTTTTTCGCCTTCATCTATTTAATCGTAACACATTAGACAGTAGTAATTATTATCATTTTTTTCTTTTTCAAATAAACAGATGTATTCCCTAGCATCTAATGCACACTCAAACACTACGCACTATTCAACTAGTGTTTTGCAGCCGCCAGTCCTGACTGGCGGTCCAATTTTAGTTTTTCTTTTATTTTTAATGTATTTGCGCCTCTTTTCAACTGTGTTTTATTTCGCACATGCATACACTTTTTCGCAGGGGTGATTAAGTCAACCAAGAGTGTACAAAATGAGCGGAAAGAATTGTTAGTACGTCGGAGAGTAAGACAGGAAAACGCGTTCAAAAGAGTGACCACTGCGTGGATGCGATATTGGTGTTGACAATTTGCAGTGGCAATAATACATAAGTGTCAGTTAAGTAATACTGCCAGTAAAATATTTTACAGTTACACACCATATTTCGATCTTAAGTATCAACAGGGCGAGTTGGAGAAACACATTTAACATGTTGATTACTCGGTAATTCATTCACAGCACCACAAGTTGAAGTATATTATTTCAGAATAACAATAACATGCTCAATTTCCACTTCTCCTCCGTGAAGGAATCAACACAACGTAACGAACAGATTGTGTGTGACAAATACTGATAATAATAATTAAATGCCTACAAAGCAGCAGAGATGGAGGGGGTGGTGGACTTCGTTTTTTCTTTCTCTTGAAGGAGCCTCAACACAGATTATATGCATTATTTACAAACTTTGCGCCAGAGTGTTCCATCTCAAAAGGGGCCGCTCGCGGACCCTTCAAATGGAACCGGGCCCAAATTTGCATGTTTCCTCGGTTGCTTTTTGAGTCCCACTTTCACAGTTGAGCGTTACAAAAAATAGGATTGCTCGTACGAATTGCAAATGATAATAAACATATAGTGCAGCTCACTGGTATACCAAGAGGGGAATGGCCTTTTATAATAGCAGGATTTGGTTAAAGACTAGGTGAGTGAGCCCCTCAAGGTACACCATGGACTAACAAGGCAGCGGTCGCCAAGTTGACTCGATACACTTAGTCGATCATCAGCTCAAAGTGCACTGAGCCACGGCGTTCTTGGCGATCGTGGTGGATATTCTTAGCCCAGGCTTTGCATTCAATGTTGATCAAAACTCCAGCTGAAAGTTTTCAATTTTGCAATAAATTTACCAAACTTTGAATTAAAAAAAAAATCAAATACATACTCTTAGGCCTTTCGAAGAAGACGGCGAGGATGGGGCTGAGGTAACCTTCGTAGTTCCTGAATGGGTAGTAGTAGCCGGGGAAGCCACGTCGTGGGATGTACTGGATGGGTCCAACGTGCTCAATGTCAGCGGGATTCTCGCCTTCACAGCTCACCCAAACAGTGTTGAGTTCAGCCTGATTAAATTATCGTGGTTTTATTAGTTCTGGTTTGTAATATATGAGCAAATAATACTAACCGGCTTTTTATTGTTTTCTATATGGTTCTTGAGATCCTCGGGCATGTTATTAGGCAGGGAGGAAGAGTCGTTGTAGAATTCGGGCATCCAGTCAAAGATCTGACAATCAATTAAAATTAAGCATACTTCCCAGTAAGTGCATTAATTTTCAACTTCATTTAAATTTCTCAAATTTATAATAATTGTTATTGATATGAATTAAAAATGTATTAGCTCACCTTGTTCAATTTCAAGAAAATGCAGGGGGCGGCCTTCTTGTAATTGTAACCATCCTCGGTTGTGCACGGGCGCCAGTCCTTGATGGGGACATCACACACCTTGCCATCAGCAGGAGGGTTGTTGTAGTCGCAGATGACCTTGTTCTGGCCAACGTTGGGGGCCAGACCAGGCTTTTTGTACTCTGCAAGCACAGGGGAAAATTAAAAAATATTCCAATGAGATTCCAATATTTGAACCAACCTTCGAGGAATCTGTCAATCTCTTCGGTCCAGTATTTGTGGTTGTTTTCGTCATTTCCCTTGTACCAGATCAGGGTACTCTCGACATTGCTCTCAGGTGGCATGGGACGGAAACCAAGACCTGTGACCAATTACAATAATTAATAAGAATCTTAATTTATTTCTTTACGAATTAACACTAGTTTCTCACCTGGGTTGGTACCAATTATCGACTCATCAAGGCGCCATTTGGGCGACTTGGTGTTGAGTGTCTGATAGAAGACCGCCAGCATGGCAGCAAAGAAGCCGGAGAGCGCGGCATAGAAGATGATGTAGAAGATGAAGATCTTAGCTAAAAAAGAGATAAGAAAAACAGAAGGTTAAAATTTTACGTTTTATTAATAAAGTACATCATAGGATTGGGGGTAACATTGAGGAAAAATTAGAGAAAGGTGTGGAGGCAAGGCAAAGAATGGAGATGGAATCGATTAATAAAAGTTTTACTATTTAATTCGACGCCAATATTAGGACATTTTTTTCTAATATTTTTTATAATATACTTTTTCCACCGGGCATTAGTACCAATTTATTAAAATTTAAAGTAAAGCAGGTTTACGGTGAGAATTTTTTTAGGAGTGGCTTGTCGGCTAATATAAAGCCATTTTATTGATTTACTTTTGAGGGGACTTCTTAAGGTATCGTGCGACCCTACTATGGCGGCGTTGCATGTTTTATTAAAGGCCTAGCAACTCGAATTTCAGCGCTCTAGACAAAATGTTCTGCGGGTATTCATTTTTAATTAAAACTGATATCTAAAAAATAAAAATAATAAATAAACTGATAGGGAATATTATAAAATAAATTAAAAAAATGTCCAGCATAATTATGAAATAATCTTTGGAATGTGTAGAGAAAGCCGCAATTATTTGGAATAAAATTAATAGCCGATTATATTTTCCGCAAAATATTTTGGATCGTTGCCCAAATTTTCAAGCTCTGGGGGGAGGCGCCAGGCGCTCAGGGAGAAATTTCGAAAAGGGTTTGGACGGAGAGAACGGAAGTGCGGTCGCAAGGGGTGCGAGGAAAGGGTGCAGCGGAGCTAAATTTAGTCGGAGGAAATTTTTAATGCATCGGCTGCGCACATCAGTCTTGGTGCACATTATTAGGGTAGTAGAGTCGCGCGCGCTTCGGCGGCGGCGAGTCCCGTTCTTGTGTCGACGCCGGTACCAGCTCTCGGAGGGATCAATATAACGTTCGGCTGGCACAGGATCTGGGTTAGTGACGTCACACTGCAGAACCAACATGGCCGTCGGGTGGTGAGCGCACCTCCGAGTCACCAGACACCCTTCGGGTGTCGCGTTTTTATCCTCGCGAGCCATCCGAGTATGCGTTTGTCACGTCATTGTCGTCGTCGCCGGCGATCACGCATGCACTCGCGCCGTTAATCAGACGGGTTATCGCGCAAATTAAATCTTGCGGCCGTAAAAAGGGGACGCCCAATTTAATAAGAGCAAGTGCGCTCGTTCGAATTTGCCAATTGGCGTGCCGCCGCTGAAACAACAGAAGAGATCCTGCACCGGCTCGAAGTTCGTCACAGTTGATTAAAAAAAAAAAATCAGATGAATAAGGGAAAAATAAAAAATTGTTTCAAAGAAAAAATGATATGTAAATTTAGAGATATTTTAAAAGAGTTAAGTCGCTTTGGCACAACTAGGCCCATTAGATAATTATTTCATATTTCCTATGTGAATTTCAAGTTTCTTCGAAGAAATAAAAATTATACAAATCGTTCTACTACAGAACATATTATTATTGATTCTTATGGCAAATAGTTGCCTACTTCCATTATTTCATAATTTTTAATCGATTTTGGTAAAAAGTTGTCTTTTGAAAGAAAGAACAGGATTTATAATCAAATTAATTTTTGGTCAATTTTTTTTAAATTTCGCTTGTAATTTCATTCTGGGATGGTCTGACGGCAAATGGCGAAAATTTGCGACGTCACCCTTTTATAAGAAGTCCTCTCTCTCCGCAAGTGGTAAAATTAGAACTGCTCGCATCTGTCGCGTCCAAAGGCCTGCCATCTTTTCGTATTTATAGGCTGGCAGCGTGCAACTTTACGAGACAAATAACGAATTGCGCCATACTGGACGATTCATGAGGCCAGCAGGCGCGCAGGAAACCGGCCTTCCTTGATCTCCACAATCAACAGAGATCTCAAAACAAATGAAAATGATGCAGTTGGCCAATGCATTGAGCTTTCTGAGGGTCAACTATGCTTCATTGGCCTTCTCCAACACTGGAATTAACACATTAATTTCTGCTTTTCAGTTCGTTGACTCGTTTTCAAACCGATTTCAAACAGCTTTCGCTTGTCTTTAGCAGTGACAAATTGTGGCTGCCAGGGAAATTGTCTTGAACATGCCACTTGCCGCAAAAAAGGAAATCAAACGACGCGTTTGATAAGGATTGAAATGAGAAGTTTGTCCTGGAAAACTCTTGCGGCAAGCAAAGTAAGCATGAGATAAGTGCTTGGGATTTCTGTTCACCACGACCTGAATTATCCTGTGTATAATAATTAAATTAATACCAATATTTCATTGGCAAATATCTCATCATGATACTTGTGAAATTCGCGCAAACAAAGCCAACGCCTGAGCATAGTTTATGTAAAAATGTTTGTCGAGCCGCGTCTGACGTAACAATTGGCGACCGCAAATGGAAATGTCACGTTGTCATCACGTTATGTTTGCGCGCGTTCGCATAATTGATTTGTAACCCAGAGGTGCGAGAATCGACCCAGTTTGCTAATTATGAAAAATTATACCGAAAGGAAAAAGTGTGTGTGTTTTGTATGAGCGAGACGGTGGAGGGCGCGTTCTGATAAGCCGAGTAAATAAGCCGCTGATAACGCGATCAGCAAATACCAGCAGGCAAGAGGTTTCCTAACTTTTCGATCTCGAGAGAGTTGAATCCGCGCTTTGATCATTTCTCGAAAGCGGTTTTTTAAAATAAAAAATTGTGCCACGCCATGATTTTAACTTGGTGCACAAACTGGTTTTAGATTCGAAATCTGGCATTTCTCCTGTTCATTTTGTAATGAGGCGGTTTGCGCTTCACACAGCAATCCGAGAGTGTGTGACTATCGACCCATCTGTGCCGGTCGCGTAGTCTGTATCAAAGTAAACGGGTCGAGCTCAGTCAGTCGCATACATGGCTTCTTCAACCCCTCTATTTACCTCTGGCCGAAATGAAACAAATACTATGCGCCGGGGGTAGAAACGAAGGCAAGTCCGAAGCCGACTTACGTAATTTGCGCCGAGCCGCGCGAAAAACGGTTCATGCCAAGTGTGTTGAATTATAAACAATTTCGACTTCTAACTTGCTCCCAAAGAGAATGAAGAAAAGTGCAAAGCGAGGTAAAAAATAAAAGAGGAAATTATTAAATAGTTTCGCAATGGCGATGGAAAAAACTAGCACACATTGGAACTTTGATTTTTTTCTAGTTTTAAACTTAACGTTTTAATTAACTTATGAAATTAATCAGCAAAAAAGGTGAAATTTCACATTTTTCAAAAGTTTCTTTCAAAGCTATACTCTCGCTCTTTCTTATTGAATTGCCAATTTTTGAGCAAACATTTTTCGCACAATTGAATGATATTTATGGTCAATTTGAGCTGAAAATAATTTTTACGAGAAAGTAAATTTGTAAATTGAGAACGAATAAGAAAACTTTATCTTCTCAACCAACAGGAGAAACGGTTTGGTTAAGGTTTAATGGCACTATTTGGTCAAGAATTAGTTGGCATTACGCACTGAAGGCCTTGGCAAACACTCGGCGCCAAACAAAAATTTTTATGCAAAGGCAGTCGCGTATAGTTTATTTTTTGCTGTCCCTCGTTGAGAAACACCGAATACTAATCGAAAAAGGGCGGTGCCCTGGTTCTCTTTTTTTTTGCCAAAATTAATTGAGGAAAACGCAAGCACGATTTCTAGCCTCATCGTCGAATCAGTCAATCAGTTTCGCGGAGTGATTGCCACTCCAGGTCAACCCATCTGGTGTGGGGGTGCGTGCCGAAGTAGGCGCAACCCCGGCTAAACGACGCAGGGAGTGCTGAGGAGTGCGAGGGGTGGCGGCCCCAAGGCGTGTGCATTCGATAAATTTGAAAGTTTATCTGACGCAGGTGAATTTAAATTGAGTTGCACAATTGGTGTGGCAGTGATTTGCAGCTGCCGCAGCTTAGGTGTGAAGGATTGTTGAAAGTGTCACGACTCAAGTACATTCACGCGTGACCTTATTTGAGCACCGATTGATTTTATTATATCGTGCATATTTGAAAAAGTAAAAACACACAATGCAAAATTCTCTGAAAAAACTGCTCTGGGTTTTCTTCAAACAGAAATAGCCCATAAAATGGATGGGAGCCAACGTTAAGATCTGAATAATTAATTCTTTTAAAAATAGTTTGAAAAAGAATTGTCAGAAGTCTAAATTATTATTTGATTATCATTATATAAGATTTTATACTTTTCAATTCATGATTAAATTGGGAAATATGAATAAATTTAATTAAAAAAATATGAATTATTACAATACAGACTTGAAGAGATTGTAAACCACACATCAACTGAAGGACCTAAAAGAGGCCAAAGTGGCACGTGCGGGCAGCTGTTGGTCCTTGAGCAATTTTTCATATCTCTTTTTATTTGTCAAGAGGGCTGAAAAGGGCCGCTAATTGAACAGGCAAATATTCGAGGTGAGCGCAGCAGGAGTGCTAAAATTTGGCGTGGATTGTCTGCACGCATTTACGCTGAGACGGAATAAGATTTTTTTTTTCATTTTGCTCGGAATTGAGCACGAGAAGGAAAAGGCAAAAAGGCCGGAGTCGCTAGAAGGCTGCAATTTTGTAGCGCAGGCGGAATGGCGTTCGCCGGTTCAAAGCTGCCGTCCGTCGATCGATAGCCTTGCCGAAGAATGGCGAGAAAATCGGCCAAATCGCCGCACATCGGCCCGAACGGAAGGAAAACTGTTTCAAATCGATCGAAAAGGGCCGAGAGGAAAAATAATCAATGAGGAAATCGTAATGATCGGGGTTTGCGGGGGGTGCTGGAAGGGTTAAATACTCACCCCAGCTGGCTCCTGTTCGGCCCAAAAACTGGGAGCTGTCGGAGTCCCAGACAAACTTGCTGAAGCCCTCCCATTTTCCCAGTTTGGGAGGCGGCAAGTAGTACTGCTCCTTGCTTTTTTCCGCCATAATGCTGGGCCGACCGACTGGAGGAAAGTGCGAGTTGGCTCTCTTGCTTCCTTACTCGCGGGCGGCTGACAGGCAAGAGTGGATCAGGCCCTGGGAGAAGTATATCCGTCCAGAGCTGGCGTGCGGGCCTGCGCAATATTCACCACCACTTATGATTATTATGCATTCAGGCGCGCAGCACCGAGACGCGAATCGTGATCGCGCAGCAAATTATTTTCTCAAATAATAGTAGTGTCTGCGTGCGTACGAGAATTGAAATACTAAAATATAGGCTAAGGTTTATTTCAACTCTTTGGAGAAATTGATTTTTTTTTCATAAATTGTAAGCGATAATAACAGCAAGGCAAGTTGGCAATCAAACATCAATCAATAGCAAACGGCACATTAACTTCAAGTGGATTCGCAGCGAGCGTTGATGTTTTTAAAAAACACAAGCAAGTGGGACCACTGCCAATTCGAGTGAATGAAATTCCTAAAATTCGCACTCACCAGATGCGAATTTCAAAACAAAATCATCTTCTGAAGCAATTTATTTACATCTTTTCACTAAAAATCACAAATTTTAAGTGAAGAAAATTTAAGTTTTTAAAATCTTAATATTTCTAATCAAAACTAAATTTTTGAACAGTCTGCAGAGAAAGTTAACAAGCAAACTTATCATTCTGTGGAGTCCTGCACTTAAAGTGGAGCGCAATCAAACCAAATTTAATGATAATATTAAGTGAGATTAGGTGAAGCGAAAAAAGTCAACCTTCAGCACGAGGAATTTTCAAAATGAAAAATTCCCCATGCGCGCCTGTCTGGAGTGCAAAACGTCCCAAGCAGGCATTTTGTTGTGCTTCAGCTAGGGCGTGAAATTTCGCAAATTTTCCTTTTTTACATAATAATTCGTTGAATAAGTTCCGGACGTTGAACTTTTGCATTAAATTTTTAATAAAATGGAATTTACTACAAAGGGTGGCTTTTGAGAGACAAAGGCAGCGGCTCTATTTGATTATTGATAAGAAGAGAATCCAACGATAATCAATACTTAGGGGGTGTACACTCGATGAGGTCGCAAGTGGCGCTTCGTGCCGAGGGCAGACACTATAGGCAACCCCACTTGCACGGATCAATACGGAGCGAGCACCCTTCTTCATTCAGTCGGCGGCACTGTTGGCCATACGCATTGTCCTCTCGCAATTTCCAACAGACGCTATTTCACCGCTCAAGGTACGTTTTCCTCGGCAAATTGCGCTTTTAATGTTTTAAGTACTGGAAACGACGTCTTGTCACAAAGTTCTTTCGCACTCAAACATCTTTTCTGTACACGAGTCCAACGTCCGACATTATAGGCGCTGTGGGAATTCCCAGACTCCAGGTCTGGTTTAAACGGCTCAAAATTTGTCTTTCAAAATTTTGATACTTAAAACTTCCTCTAGTTCAGAACATTGAAGACTGTAATTTATTAATGAAATGCTGTCACGCGTTGTATCCGAAAAACTAATTTTAGGATGGGATTTGATAATTTGCCTCCCTTTCGGTGCTGACGTTGTTGAGGGGTGTCGCCTTTTGTATCATGATTAATAGGATCAAAAAGAAGCTCTCATTTCCAATTTCACTTGGTGGAATTCATTTGTTTCTAAAACCCTATTATCTTGTTGTATAATGATAACATTGACTGAAATAATAATAAATATATTAAAATAAAAAAAAATTGATTAAAATTTGCAAGATTATGGTTTTATTTGTTTATTTTTCTTGCTTATTTAAAATGGTTGAAATTTTTAAATAATATGTATTCCGATCTTATACATATAATTTTCTCTACATTCTACATTAAATAAATCAATTTTGGCACATGAAAAACTTATTTCTTAATTTATTTTTGTACTAAATTCCAAATTCTAAAGTAAAAATAATTTGCATCAGGAATTTGTACTTTCAACTAAATTATTAATGATTGAAAAATGATTAAATTTAATTGTCAATGGCCAAGATAAAAAAATATTGCTTTCCAATCCAATCAACTCATGTTAATGATTTATTTATTTATTTATTAGAAAAAAATTTAAGGAAGCAGTGATTGTTATTGACATGTTAGTAAGTAAAGAGGCACATGTATCAGGCCGTGCCAAAGCTCTGAATGAATTGAATTGCAACGAGTGCACCCCATTGACCCCCAAGACATCAAGAGTTCAAATGTGTGCTCTTTTGCGCCGCTACTTGTCATTCACTTTCTCATCAGATAGATGCACATCTGCCAACGTGTAAATCCACCCACTTGCTGGTCTGGCCACGTCTTTTATATGATTGACAGTATCACGTGCAGAGCAAAATTTCATTGCCGTTATGTGAACGTCTCAATTTTTTTATCTTGCATAATTAATCACAATCAATCACGGAATTAAAACCAACCGCATGTGAATCAACTCGAAGGGGGGTTTACAGGGTCTATATTTAACTCCTAAAGCCCCGGATTATTTAATGAATGAGAACAACGAGTGGCTCTGTTTGGTTGACTCATTCTCTCGCCAGCCTGCAGAAAACAACAATTGTTTATTATTATTGTGACGAAGCAACCAAATGAGGCGCAGCACAAATTAGCCCAGTTGACAGTTCTCGCCCACTTAAGCAGTTTAACGAGAACGCAGTTATTCTAATTTATTTTTCTTTTATATCTTGAAAAAAAAAATAAAAAAAAAATAGAAAAATCTATTGGATTTGTATGTGATCACTGTGATCAGACAAAGAGCCATTCGGACAAAAGTGCTTCTGTCGAATGGGCGTGGGAGGGTGTGAGCGGCAATGCCGTAAATTAAGTCTGACGGGTCCATGCGTCAGGTATAATAATTAATCGCGGAGGCGTGCCCTTTGTACCCGACAGGTCACCTGAAGGAGGTGTGACGTCATGCGACTAGAGCAGGCGCCGCCCCGGGTCCTGCAGTCTTTCAACGGCGGCTCCACAGATCAGGGCCACCACATCGACACTCTCGACATGTAAGCAGGCGCCCCCGACCGAGAGTGAAAAAAAAGAGTTAATTAATTGCAAACCGTGTTCGCAGAGTCGACAACAACAACGTGTCCCGCCAGGACAAGCTCCGAACCACGGGCTCGGCCACAAGCAACACGGTAGCGGCCAACAAGAATGTGCTGTGGGACCTCCAACCTCCTCACTCGCCCGACGAGGAGGACGAATTTGAAGAGGATGGTAAGCGTTGAATTCAAAATTTTAATTGATAATATTTTATAAGCGTTTTAAAATAAGATTTTAAGACTTTAAATTTAACACATTTGAAGGAAAATTATTGCTAAAGAAAATTAAAAATTATAAGCTTTTCATTTATTTATTTTTATAAGTATTTTTATTTTCCTAATAATCAAGCAACTTGGAAAATTAATTGAATTTTTACCTCAAAATCCCTAAAACTGTCTTTAAAGAACATTATTTTCTCGTCAATTATTTAATTAAAGAAATTGTGTTGCAGGGCGAGGGAGTCGCGACGGAAACAGCGTCGGAATGAGCGAGAATTCTGAGGAGGAGGGTCGGAGCTCCTCTTGTTCGGAGGCATCCGAGTTGGCTCATCTGGCCAGCTCGAGCGAAGACGAACACTTTGCAGACCAGATTCCAAACAGAGCAACAGGTATGTAAAAAGTTTTGGCGTTAAACGTCACACCTCAAAAATAATTAACAACTTTCCGCCCCGACTGGCGTGACGCAATAATTAACCGGCGCAATTATTTCCACCCGCAGACATCGCAGAAGCGATTGCGCCTCTGGAGCAGAATGGCTTGGCAGAGGAAATTGCGCCGCGCACCCCCGAGCCGCAGACGGCCGCTGGGGACGAGAACGAGGATTCGGGCAAGGCCTCGGTCAATAACAACAGCATGACCGACTTAATGCTAGGTGGGTTCAAAGGTTTTTTCAACATTTTGTTTCAAAAGATCGCAAATATTCTTATTTGATTCTTTTTTAAATCCTAAATTAATGAATTGAGCAAATAATAATAGTTGATAATAATTTTTCAATAAAGTTGCTGATATGAGTATTAAGGCGAGGCGTTCGCTAAAAAAACGGACCAACTAATTTTGATGATAATTTTTTTTATCTATTTGAACATTATTTTGGAGGCTTAGGCAAAAAAATTTAAGTCTTTGGAGAGAACTGAATTTTTGAAATTTCAAATTGTTCTATGGTAATTAAAAAAAAAATACTTTCCTCAAAATTGGTCTGACTTAAATTTATAAAAATTTCGCCAAATCTCGTTAATATCACCCCAATCAATATGGAAAAAATAAAATCTAAACGTTAGTTGACAAAAATTTATTTGAAGAAATTCACAATCAAGGAGATGATCATGGCTTGTCCATAAAAAACACATTGATCTTATGCGAAAAAGGTTTGGTAAATTTAATTTCGGTATAGTTATCAAAAGTTCAGCGTTAAACGTGATTCAGACACTCCAGAATGAAAATTCTTAAGGACGGTTGTGAAAAAATGATTTTTTTATTTATTTGTTATTGGCTTTTTTGTTCACTTTTTTGTATCATAATTCTCTGGGTTTCTAAAATTTTCACAGTAATTTACATAAATAAATGTCAAAAAGTAACCCTCTTTTCAACGATTTTTTTTTTTTGGAATTATTTGGAATTGTGAAGAAAGACTGAATTAACGAATTCAAATTTTTAGGAGCTTTTGACGTTTTCACAATGGAAACCGCCCTACCCAAAATCGATTTGGCCCAGCTAGAGAGCCACTTGCTTGCAGCGGCCAAGAGGGAAGATCACAGGGTAAGTCGGAGAAAAATAACTCCAGCGAAAAGCAATTCAATATTTCGGAAAAAACAGAACAGAAAATATGGAAAATCCCCAATCCGAAGATAAAATTGTTTGGAAAGTAAAATTTGGAAATTTCAACTGTGGTATAGTTTTGGAGCTCAAAATTTAAATTTTTTACTGCAATTTTTAATTTCAAAACCGTGAGCAAAATAAGATTTGCAAACAAAATAGTGGAAATTGTCAAAAAACCTTAAAATGGTTTGGAGTATTTTTGCGAAAAGAGTTAAAACTGGAGCGTGCAGATGGCGGCTGCTGAAAAGCAGTTTGTACTGATGATGCGCCGGGCCGGCCATCAAGGTGATTGCAGAACGGAAACCATTGTCATGGTTGTGTTCGTTGTCACACTTTCTAAGCACGCTGCGCCAGCCACGAGCGCTCGGCGCCTCCGAGTTGACTCGCTGCAGTCGGATTAATGGCAGAGCCAGGCAAGGGCGGACTGCAGTTCCAGCTCGGGGCCAGGGTGTCTTCGCGCAGGGAGTACAAAAAGGACTCCATCTACGTCAACGACCTTTACACCCTCACCTACGACGAGGGCGAAACGCTCGAGGGCGCCGAAACCTCCCTCACAGAAGAAGTAAGGCCTATAAATTTTTCCCTCCCGATTTCATTTTATAATTTTTTATTTTCAAGCGAGGATTTTTTTAAATTTTTATCGGACGTATTGATCCTGCAGGTATGGCGTGCGCGAATATTCAGGTCAGCCAAATTGGTGCCCGCCTCGTTGCGTATGATCTTTTTTGCGAAACGTTTTCAACGATTATTCCGTTGCAATGGCGAGTTTAGCAATAATTTTTGGTGAGGGTCTGCTTCGCAGGCAGCAATGGATAAGCAATAGTATGGAAAGTGGCGCTCTGGCCGGCACTCGCCGTGCAGGAGACATGGCATCGCTGCTGGCGGTACGATCGCGAGGTGGGGGCTCCCAGAGCCGTCTCCAACGCGAATGCGGCCTTACGCGAAAACAAATAATTTCTTATCAACACTAAAACCGAGACAATGTCATGAAAAAATTTATATAAATCATCGCGACATGAACGCATAAAGATAAAAAATGCAAATAGTTGATAAATATTTATTCATAGAAAAGCAAAGACGGCAAAATAAGAAATTGAATGGATATTTGGAACCGATCCACGAATATAATTATATTTAAATATCATTGAATAGAGTTTGCACTAAAACCTTTGAATATTCATGCACACCTATGGTAGATATACAAGCTGTGCTAATCTCGTTTACGTCAATAGGTGGAAACTAATTAAACGGCAATCATAATTATAGCAAGAGTAAGTTTGCACGGCACTTGCAAAATAGTAATAAATTATTTTAATGTGGTGAACGATCTGTTTGTATATAATGAATTGAATTTTCCTTTCGTTCTAATGAAGTGTAATCAGCCCTGTTAATCTCAGTTATGTCAATAGGTGGAAACATGCATACCAGAAATTAAATACAAAAAAAGTGCATGTTCAGGCTGCCTCGAAATAGTTAAAAAAAATATTTTTAATTAGTTCCCTTCGAGTTTACACAAAATATATTGGATTTTCCTTCTATTTTATTCGAGTTTAATCAACCCTGCCAAACTCAATCTTGTCAATAGGTGGAAATCTACAAAACTGAAATTAAATATAAAATTATGATATGTTCGGGCTGCCTCAAAATAGTTTATATTTTTTTTAAATTTATTTCCTTTGAGTTTGCACAAAATAATTTGAATTTTCCTTCTATTTTATTCGAGTTTAATCAACCCTGCCAAACTCAATCTTGTCAATAGGTGGAAATCTACAAAACTGAAATTAAATATAAAATTATTATATGTTTGGGCTGCCTCAAAATAGTTTATATTTTTTTTTAAATTAGTTTCCTTTGAGTTTGCACAAAATAATTTAAATTTTCCTTCTATTTTATTCGAGTTTAATCAACCCTGCCAAACTCAATCTTGTCAATAGGTGGAAATCTACAAAACTGAAATTAAATATAAAATTATTATATGTTTGGGCTGCCTCAAAATAGTTTATATTTTTTTTTAAATTAGTTTCCTTTGAGTTTGCACAAAATAATTTAAATTTTCCTTCTATTTTATTCGAGTTTAATCAACCCTGCCAAACTCAATCTTGTCAATAGGTGGAAATCTACAAAACTGAAATTAAATATAAAATTATTATATGTTTGGGCTGCCTCAAAATAGTTTATATTTTTTTTTAAATTAGTTTCCTTTGAGTTTGCACAAAATAATTTGAATTTTCCTTCTATTTTATTCGAGTTTAATCAACCCTGCCAAACTCAATCTTGTCAATAGGTGGAAATCTACAAAACTGAAATTAAATATAAAATTATTATATGTTTGGGCTGCCTCAAAATAGTTTATATTTTTTTTTAAATTAGTTTCCTTTGAGTTTGCACAAAATAATTTAAATTTTCCTTCTATTTTATTCGAGTTTAATCAACCCTGCCAAACTCAATCTTGTCAATAGGTGGAAATCTACAAAACAGAAATTAAATATAAAATTATGATATGTTCGGGCTGCCTCAAAATAGTTTATATTTTTTTTTTAATTAGTTTCCTTTGAGTTTGCACAAAATAATTTGAATTTTCCTTCTATATTATTCGAGTTTAATCTACCCTGCCAAACTCTATCTTGTCAATAGGTGGAAATCTACAAAACAGAAATTAAATATAAAATTATGATATGTTCGGGCTGCCTCAAAATAGTTTATATTTTTTTTTTTAATTTATTTCCTTTGAGTTTGCACAAAATAATTTGAATTTTCCTTCTATTTTATTCGAGTTTAATCAACCCTGCCAAACTCAATCTTGTCAAGAGGTGGAAATCTACAAAACAGAAATTAAATATAAAATTATGATATGTTCGGGCTGCCTCAAAATAGTTTATATTTTTTTTTTAAATTTATTTCCTTTGAGTTTGCACAAAATAATTTGAATTTTCCTTCTATTTTATTCGAGTTTAATCAACCCTGCCAAACTCAATCTTGTCAATAGGTGGAAATCTACAAAACTGAAATTAAATATAAAATTATGATATGTTCAGGCTGCCTCAAAATAGTTTATATTTTTTTTTTTAATTTATTTCCTTTGAGTTTGCACAAAATAATTTGAATTTTCCTTCTATTTTATTCGAGTTTAATCTACCCTGCCAAACTCAATCTTGTCAATAGGTGGAAATCTACAAAACAGAAATTAAATATAAAATTATGATATGTTCGGGCTGCCTCAAAATAGTTTATATTTTTTTTTTAAATTTATTTCCTTTGAGTTTGCACAAAATAATTTGAATTTTCCTTCTATATTATTCGAGTTTAATCTACCCTGCCAAACTCTATCTTGTCAATAGGTGGAAATCTACAAAACTGAAATTAAATATAAAATTATGATATGTTCGGGCTGCCTCAAAATAGTTTATATTTTTTTTTTAAATTTATTTCCTTTGAGTTTGCACAAAATAATTTGAATTTTCCTCTATTTTATTCGAGTTTAATCAACCCTGCCAAACTCAATCTTGTCAATAGGTGGAAATCTACAAAACTGAAATTAAATATAAAATTATGATATGTTCAGGCTGCCTCAAAATAGTTTATATTTTTTTTTTAATTAGTTTCCTTTGAGTTTGCACAAAATAATTTCAATTTTCCTTCAGTTCTAAACAAGTTCAATCATTACTGTTAATGTCAGCTATGTATTTAGGTGGAAACATGCAGAACTGAAATGAAAAATAAAAATAAGACCTGTTCGGGCTGCCTCAAACTATTTAATATTATTTTTTATTAGTTCCGTTTGAGTTTGCACAAAATAATTTGAATTTTCCATCACTTTTAATCAAGTTTAAACAGCACCAAGGTTCGCGCATCAGAACAATCGAAAATTTTTTCGATTGTTGTTAGAGCTCTCTGATTGGGTGCAAGTATAATTGCACCCAATCAGAGCGCTCGGCAACAATTGAAATTTTCTAATGCGCGAACCTTTGTTTGCACAGAATATATTGGATTTTCCTTCTAATTTATTCGCGTTTAATCAACCCTGCCAAACTCAATCTTGTCAATAGGTGGAAATCTACAAAGCTGATATTAAATATAAAAATATGACATGTTCGGGCTGCCTAAAAATAGTTTATATTAGTTTCGAATTTAATAGAAGGAAAATTCAAATTATTTTTTGCAAAATCTAAGGAAACTAATTTTAAAAAAAATATATAAACTATTTTGAGGCAGCCCGAACATATCATATTTTTATATTTAATATCAGTTTTGTGGATTTCCACCACCTATTGACAAGATTGAGTTTGGCAGGGTTGATTAAACTCGAATAAATTAGAAGGAAAATCCAATAAATTTTGTGCAAACTTTAAAGTAACTCATTAAAATAAATTATTAACTATTTAGGATGCAGCCCGAACATATCAATTTTTATTTTTAATTACCGTATTGCATGTTTCCACCTATTGGCATGATTGAGTTTGAAAGAGCTGTTTAAACTTGATTAAAAGTGATGGAAAATTCAAATTATTTTGTGCAAACCCAAAGGGGACTAATTAAAAAAAATTAACTATTTTGAGCATAAAATTTCTGTTCAACTTGTAGCGAGAGAACAAATGAATTGAATAGGAAGACGAACATATTTATATTTAATTTATGCTTTGTAGGTTTCCACCTATTGACATGATTGAGTTTGACAGGGATGATAGAACTTGTTTAGAACTGTAGGAAAATTTAATTTATTTTGTGCAAACTCAAACGGAACTAGTAAAAAAAAAAATTAAATATTTTGAGGCAGCCCGAACAAGTCTTATTTTTATTTTTCATATAAGTTCTGCTTGTTTCCACCTAATGACATAGCTGACATTAACAGTAATGATTGAACTTGTTTAGAACTGAAGGAAAATTCAAATTATTTTGTGCAAACTCTAAGAAAACTAATTTTAAAAAAAATATAAACTATTTTGAGGCAGCCGGAACATATCATAATTTTATATTTAATTTCTGTTTTGTAGATTTCCACCTATTGACAAGATTGAGTTTGGCAGGGTAGATTAAACTCGAATAAAATAGAAGGAAAATTCAAATTATTTAGTGCAAACTCAAAGGAAACTAATTTAAAAAAAATATAAACTATTTTGAGGCAGCCCGAACATATCATAATTTTATATTTAATTTCAGTTTTGTAGATTTCCACCTATTGACAAGATTGAGTTTGGCAGGGTTGATTAAACTCGAATAAAATAGAAGGAAAATTCAAATTATTTTGTGCAAACTCAAAGGAAATAAATTTTAAAAAAAAATATAAACTATTTTGAGGCAGCCCGAACATATCATAATTTTATATTTAATTTCTGTTTTGTAGATTTCCACCTATTGACAAGATTGAGTTTGGCAGGGTAGATTAAACTCGAATAAAATAGAAGGAAAATTCAAATTATTTTGTGCAAACTCAAAGGAAACTAATTAAAAAAAAAATATAAACTATTTTGAGGCAGCCCGAACATATCATAATTTTATATTTAATTTCTGTTTTGTAGATTTCCACCTATTGACAAGATTGAGTTTGGCAGGGTTGATTAAACTCGAATAAAATAGAAGGAAAATTCAAATTATTTTGTGCAAACTCAAAGGAAATAAATTTAAAAAAAATATAAACTATTATGAGGCAGCCCGAACATATCATAATTTTATATTTAATTTCAGTTTTGTAGATTTCCACCTATTGACAAGATTGAGTTTGGCAGGGTTGATTAAACTCGAATAAAATAGAAGGAAAATCCAATATATTTTGTGTAAACTCGAAGGGAACTAATTAAAAATATTTTTTTTAACTATTTCGAGGCAGCCTGAACATGCACTTTTTTTGTATTTAATTTCTGGTATGCATGTTTCCACCTATTGACATAACTGAGATTAACAGGGCTGATTACACTTCATTAGAACGAAAGGAAAATTCAATTCATTATATACAAACAGATCGTTCACCACATTAAAATAATTTATTACTATTTTGCAAGTGCCGTGCAAACTTACTCTTGCTATAATTATGATTGCCGTTTAATTAGTTTCCACCTATTGACGTAAACGAGATTAGCACAGCTTGTATATCTACCATAGGTGTGCATGAATATTCAAAGGTTTTAGTGCAAACTCTATTCAATGATATTTAAATATAATTATATTCGTGGATCGGTTCCAAATATCCATTCAATTTCTTATTTTGCCGTCTTTGCTTTTCTATGAATAAATATTTATCAACTATTTGCATTTTTTATCTTTATGCGTTCATGTCGCGATGATTTATATAAATTTTTTCATGACATTGTCTCGGTTTTAGTGTTGATAAGAAATTATTTGTTTTCGCGTAAGGCCGCATTCGCGTTGGAGACGGCTCTGGGAGCCCCCACCTCGCGATCGTACCGCCAGCAGCGATGCCATGTCTCCTGCACGGCGAGTGCCGGCCAGAGCGCCACTTTCCATACTATTGCTTATCCATTGCTGCCTGCGAAGCAGACCCTCACCTAATTTTTTCCTGCGTGTTACTTTTGTATGCAAATATTTCAGAATAATGCTGGTGGGGCCTCCATATAAGCCATGCACATAAATTTACTAAACCAACTTATGCAGTCCTATCGAAGCAGAATCGTGAAAATCAAATTTATTCGTCTGATATTTTGTGCATGAGGATATGATTTTTTTGTTGCTGCTGAATGATGTTTGAAATATCAACTTGAATTTTGATAAGAATCTGTTTAAATTTGAAACTTCTTTCTTAAGTTCCTAATTAAAGACTTCTTAATTGGCATGATCACATTAGGTGGTAAAACAATGGTGATTGAAATTTTAAATATCCTTCACAAAATTTTGTTCTTTTTCTAAAGAAAGTTAAATTCAGTTGATTTACACTTAAAATTAAAACTTACCTAACTGTGAACAGGGTCTTGTTCCGTAGTTTAACACTGACTTCAAATTCTTTGTGTCGGATGGATAGAAAGTCCTGCAAAACCAGATTGCAGTGCTTCATTATTTTAACAATAGCAATTGTATGACAAATTCGTAAACAAAACACATAAAAATATGTTTTCACAATATACATAATACACGTCTATGTATGTATAAGAACAAGAATAAACAACCAAGACGATTATAAGAGGAACAAGTCGTACAAAACAAATCTCAGGGTCCAGCGTCCATGCCATTGATTATGACACATTAAATTTTTTATTTCTATTGATAAAGCTAAAATTCTGGCCTTTGTATTTTTTACCACTTTCAAACGTAGAAAATAATATTTTAAAGACGAGGCACCGATATCGTAAATTTATTTTCCTTCTTTGCCATGTACACATGAGTGCAGAAATTTATGCGAGATCATCAAAATTCGCAAAAACTGTACCAATATGCGAGTGAGATTATGCAAGTTCTTAAGTTGTGAAGAAATGAATGTTGATTACTCTCATTAGTATACATACCTGGCTCCTGGCTTAGATAGAGAGGTTAAAATCAGAAATCAGAGAGCCTGAAATCAAAACTTGTATTTCTGGTGCTGATGTGCGCAAACATGTGTTCTGTGTTCACGTCAGCGTCGTCAACCTCTCTTTTCTTGTATTTAAACAAAACCACCAAAGAGAATAAAAATGGGAAAATTTGCAAACATTCTTTTCCCCACAGAAAAAGTAAAATTCTTAAGGCTCCCGCACTCTCCTTTTGAGAGCCTCCTTGTCCTTGTCGCGGTTTAGGCAAAAATAAACAAAGTCACGCCCCTATGCTGCCTGAACGTAAATTCCAAGTACGCTATACAACTCGAAATTTTAATCAATTTATTTGTTTAATCAATGAAATTGTGTTAATTTTGCAGCGCCGAAATGACAGGGAGGAAATTCGCAGGCGCCTGGCCATGGGCGAGGAGGCGCAGGAGCGGCCAGGCGGCCGAAAGCCCAGTCTGCAGCGCCGACTCCAAAGTGGTCAGTTTTAAATTTTTTGTTAAATTTCGTTTAATTTTGACCAACTTTGGAATCGTCCAGGTATGGACCTTCAGCTGTGTTTCATGAATGAATCGGCCAATGACCTGGAAGCCGACCAAGAAGTCGCCGCGGCCAACGCGTCGACCAGCAAGCCCGTGGCCGTGCCGGCCATCAAGTTGAGCAAAAGCGCCACCCTGGACCCCCAATTGATGCAACGCGAGGCCCAAATGGCACTAGCGCAGGCCTCCAAACTGGCCCGCATGGAGATGGCCCTGGAAAGGCAAAACATGAGACTGTCCCTCACACCCAGCCCAACTTCGCAGCTCCTAAAGAAATCTCTCAAGAAGGTTTTGATTGCAAATTAAAAGCCTTTTATGCAAAATTTAAAAAACAATTCTACCTCAGGTCGGGGTCAACTTTCCTCCGGAAAGGCGAAGGGTCAGTCGCCAACTGCTGACGGACCTGAATGTGACGCAGCTCCAGGTTTTGGTTAACGACCTTCATACGCTCATTGAAGGTAAAAAAAATTATAATTTATTATTAAATATTATGACTTCGTATTTATCTTTTTAAATTATCCATTTATAATAATAATTTTTTACATTTCAAAAATACAAATTTTTTTATTTTTTATAATGGAATACTTAAATTTTATGCGTCAATTTTGGAATTTCTATAAAACTTGTATTTTTTTCACCAGGTTTGAATGAGGATTTGGTGCAGATGTTGATGGAAAGAGACGATCTCCACATGGAACAAGACTCTCGTCTTGTAGACATTGAAGATTTAAACAGATATCTGTGAGTTTTGGTCAAAGAAGTGAGGACGTGATTAAAAATAATTAAACCTCGTTTTCAGAGGAGCGAAAACCATGCCTGTTCCGCCTGGACTTCAGCGTTGATGCTTAAAATAATCAATTTTCGAGCCCTCCATTTCTCAAAATAATTCCTGCGTGACTGAGTTAGATCTGATTCCTGCATTACAAAGTAAAATCAAACTTAATAATTTGCTAAGTTTAGGGCACCACTTACGCAGTACGATGACAAGGTGAATTTTAAAAGAATATTTAGGTTAAAATATTAATATATTAAGCAAGAATGTTATTTATATTTCAAAAAAAGAGCATTTATAATAAATTATAGGTTGGCTTATTGCATTTTTATTAACCCAGCCACATTAATGTGTTTGCTGAAAAAAATAAGTCATGGAAGAAAGAATTTGAGGCTGTCTGTTGATGCTTGATAAGGTTAGTTTGGAAATGCAATAAATTAAATGCATAAATAGGAAATTATTAAAAAAGCAAACATAAATATATATATTTATATTTGGTACCAATATAGGTTTTTCAGAAATTTCATTTTTGTTACCACTTTCTTTGCGAAGTATAATGTGTGTTTAATTTTTCTCAAAATTGGAGCTGCAAACTACCATATTACGACAAGAATGTGCCATTGTATTAAATCTGGGTGTCGAATTGTTCAATCCAATGAGTCATATCAATTTAAATAAAAGTTTCATCGTTAAATCATGACTTGATTTTTAATCACTTACGAAAAAAATCCACAGAGAAATGAAGAATATTTTTTTAAAATTCTGATAATTTCGTATTTGCAATCGCTCAAGTAGGCAACCTGTGAAGCATGCATGTTGCGCAAGTTGCATTGCCTTAATATCAGCAGGCGTTCAGTAACGTTTTTAACTGAAAAGATTTCATTTTTAATATGTACTTTTATGGCTAGAAATTTTTTTTATTAAAATTAAAATACTTGTCTTTTATTAAAATTTGCTTCTCTCTCTACATAATAATTGGAATTGTGCGAGCAGAAAAGACCACAACTATTTAACTAATTTAAGAAATATTATTTTAAGATAATATTAAATGATAATTACAAGTTTATTCCATTACTCGTAATTATAGTCTTGAGTGTGATCAGGGAAGCCCTGGCCGAAATTTTAGGTAACAAAACACAGGTCTGAACCTTATTTTCTTTGGAAATGCCAGCAGCAGCAATTATGGGGAATATATCTTTTGTAATAGACAAAAACAAGCTGCGCGGTAATGGCCAGTATAAAGTGAACATCCCTTGCGTTGTTTCTCCAGTGTAGTTCTGGACGAGTGTTGGCTCATTTCAAACTAAAACATTTTCTTATATACAAAAGAAAACCACTCAAGAAAAGGCACTATGCAATTCCAGGTACTTCTCATCGCTGCTCTGGTAGCATGTTCTGCTGGAGCTGCTATCAAAGGTATTTTTAATTATTATATATATAATTAATATATTTCAATTTTAAATATAAATAATTATAAATGTAAGAGCGAAAAATGATTTTTTTTAAATATAAATATTTAAAAAATTAATCAAGATTTGTTTAGAATATTATGCTTTTAATGCTACCTAAATGATTTCAATCGGTTTAAAGTACTTCATAAAAATTTTATTTAACTAACTTTAACTTTTTTGTGAGGAATACATTAAAATAATTATTCAAAAAATAAAATCCATTCCAGAATTAATTCCAAAGCTGCACTTGGCCCGCAGCTTATACTTTCCCGGCGGTTCGTCCTCCATTTCAAAGGCATCTGCAAGCGCTGAAGCAAGCGCCGGATCCTTTGCCAAAGCCCCTTGTTGCGGGGGCGGGGGCTTCGGTGGGGCAGGAGCCCAAGCCGGAGCGAATGCCGGTGCCTACAGTGGCGGTGGCGGATTCGGCGGAGGACACGGTGGTGCATACAGTGGGGCCAACGCAGGTGCTGGCGCTGGAAGTTACTCTGGCGCCCCAGCCTTTGGGGGTGGCGGCGCCTACAGCGGAGCCGAGGCAGGTGCCGGAGCCGGAAGTTATTCTGGCGCCCCAGCTTACGGAGGTGGCGGCGCCTACAGCGGTGCTAACGCTCAAGCTGGCGCGGGGTCCTTTTCTCACGGTGCCCCCTACGGAGGTGGCGGCTACAGTGGCGCAAACGCAGGGGCGTCAGCTGGCGCTTTCTCCGGAGCAGGTGGCTACGGTCGCTAAAATCTACACCCTACTAGCCACGGCGTACAACAGGTTCATCTTCCTGCTCTGGCTCTCCTACATTTTCACCCTGATCAAGCAGTTCTTGGCGCAGAGGTTTTTGGATCACTTGTATGCCAGCCAGCAGACTGTTATTGTCCAAAATTATTTATTTAAATGAAAAGTTTTATTTTAAAAATAAAATGTAATTTTCATAGATGTAATTTTGCATTAATTTTTTTAAATAAAAGTCAGCCATTTAAATATTTGAATTAATTTTTATTGAAACAAGTCACACCATGATGATGAACGCACGGCTGCGTATTATACCAATTTTTGATAAAATTGAAACAAGACAAAGATATTTTTCTCGGCACAAGAAATAAAAAATGAAAATTCGTTGCGAGCGTATATAAATAGCTGTCAAAATGACCGAGGTCTCTTTCGCAATTTCGGAAGGAGGGACATGAAAAACAGAAAAATCCGCCCCTTGGCAAAAGAGCCAAAGTGACTTATTTGGCAATTAAACGAGAAAAAGGCGGTCGTTTCAACAGCTACGCATTATTATAATATAGAATTGGCAGAGGCAATTAACACACAGGAGGTAACAACAAGTGGTCATTTAGAGTAAAATTAATCCCATCTCTCAAGCGGTCAACACAATAATATAAAAACGTACACTCTGCAATCAGAATATAGAAGAAAGAAAAAAAGTGTGTGAGGGGTCGTTTACACCAACGACGAGATGCTTTCTTTGTCTGGAACCCAACGGCTGTTCATCATCAAAGACCATTTCTACAGATTTTGACCTGAGCTTTACAACAACGTTCAATATCGCTTCTTAATCGACCAAAACACGCAACCCTAATCAAGCAGCGATCCGTTTTATTATGCTTCATTTTTTTTGCTCATCCGGTAGAATACAGCGGTACATTTAAAATTCAAGTAATATTTAATATATAATATTCGAGCCTTCATTTACACATTTATATCTGTTCCTTAATACACATCTCTTTGGCCAACGCCTGTTTTTACTCGTCATAATAAATAATAATCCATATTTCCATTTGTCGGGTCGGTCAGACCCGGTGCTAATTACATTATTGCTCGTCTGCGTGACTTCCAATTGGCAGACAGAGACTATATAATTACACTCAATTCCTCAAGCAGCATACCAATTAGCTATTAATTTTGAGGTTAATTTTTTTACAAAGTCAATCCGGACCTCTTGCGAATAACTTTCCTTCAACCAGCAGACGTTTCCTCAGCTCATTTTTTAAACGCGTTTCACTTCCTCTCGATTTCAGCTGATCAGTGTTGATGGCAGTTTATTTATGGGTAGCTAATATAATTTAAGAATGATAAATAACAGCACGTGGTTTTTTTGAGGATAGAGAAAAGTATGGTCTGGTTTTGGTTCAAATACAAACTCTTGCGAATCAGAGTGTTTCTTGTAACAGGAAAGAAAGGCACTGGTCTATTTTTTTTTACTCAGTTTGCATCTGTGAATGACTGTTTGTAAAAAGAGGTGGTGAAAAACACTGCCCGATTACTATTTTATGTACAGATAATATTATAAGATTTTGGATGAAAAGGCATCTCTAGATTATTTCTCTCCAAGCATGACTATTTCCATTTTTTCATTGTTGAGGTTTCAAAATGTTAAGTTTGATGATAAGTTTTGCTCGGAAAGTTGCCCTGACTCGTCTCGGCCCCATCAAAGCCAACAAGAGAAGATATCATTTTCTTACAAAAGACCTTGGGAAATTTCGATGGAGGTTCAACTGAGCCCGTGTGACAAACTTTCCTTCTATCTAAAGACAAGTACATTATTTTTTACATTATATTGAGACGTTTTCATTTGAATTGATCGTGAAAATAGGCAGTATCAAATCCACGGAGCATTGTTTGTTTGTTACTATCACATGGTGGTGGGATTTGTTTGTTTGTATCATTGTTTTGTGAATATTCTCCTGACTTAAACCACTGGCAGTGAGGTGCTGTGAGCTCGAAAGCAAGCATGATACAAAATTCACAATATGCGAATGCCAAAGTACATCTAGATTCAGCTTTATGAGTTATGTTTGTTAACATTGGTTGCGTTTAAATTGTTGTCGAGTGGGTCAATCAAAGGCAATGTCAGCTAGCTTGTGTGTAAGTGTTGCCGAGAGAAGCTGATAACTCGCTGACCGAAACATTGCTTCGGTCTGTTACATTACGGAGATCAATAGTAAATTTTAGTTGTTGATTGTTTCTTCAAGTCATCCGCTAAAATTACGCATTGCTAACTTCTAGCATCTTAATTCCTAGAATTTTTTTTTACACATTTAAGACACAAAACAAATGAGTCCCAAGCTTCATTTTTGTAAAACCAAAACTCGCTCTACGCTGAGAGCGTTTGGGGTGTGTTCGAAAGGGGTAATTGGCAGTGCTAATTGCTCGTCGCTTTCCAGTTGTGGTCTCCACTTCACCTCCGTCTTCTTTCAATGCGTTTCAGTCTTTTATCACAAGATATTACATCTCATCACTGTGTAACAAACATAAAAAACATGAGAGAGTCGATCAGTCAATAAATAATTGGGGTCCTCGATTAATCATATCTGAACAACACAACTTCTGTACATGGTGGTAATTTCTTCATTCACTTTGAGGGTCTCTCGAACTGCGAGTCTTTAGCATCACGAAGTCACCGCTGATACCACAGAGTTGGCCACCTGCTGTGATGGCGGCGCCAGTGCTGGAGGTGGTGGAGCAATCAATTGTTGGTGATGTTGCGAGTGGTTTGGACTTTGCTGTAACGCAAAAGCATTTGGTTAAAAGAAATTAAAAAATAAAACATTTCTTTCATAGATAGGACAAATCACATAAAAAAAAGAAAATTAATTTGATTTCTCCAAGAAAATGACAAAATTTGATTTGTTAAAAAAATTTAGTTCCTAATCCCTGGATTGCTATCCATTAAATATTTTATTTTTTTGATTTGCTCGGAGGAATTTAAAGAACACAATATAAAAAGGAAAAAAAATTAAAATAAAAACAAAAATACAACACTCACTTTACTAACCATAACGACAGGCTGCGGGTGTAGGACAAAATTGTCGTACACCTCCATCAGCTCTTCAATTTTGTACTCTTCCAGGCAGACAAATCCGTCCAGATTGGGTGACTGCTTCCTAGCACAATCAAGACAATGGACGACGTGGCGTTTCTCTTGCTCTCTGATGAACAAGATGTTGAACACCTCAAGCTATGGAGAATTTTTATTAGAAAATGCATAAGCTCATAAATTTTGAAGCAAATTACCTCGCACTGCCCACAATAATGAGAGGCTTCATTTTTGCCCCTGCCGTGGAAACGAATCTCAATGTCCCTCGACCTTACAAACTCGATCATGATGATGCATTTGCGGATGGTTTTGTGAAGAACACCCCTGAAAACAAAAATTAAAAATTTATAAATATTTCAACAACTATAATAAAAGGAAAAATGGTTTCAAAAATTCAAATAAAATGAAACATACCTGACAAGCTCGTAAAGCTTTGAGTCTGAGACTTTGATGTTCCGTGCCAAATTCCAAGAAAGGTGCACCATGGGAACGATTGACTTGAAGTGCTGCAACTTGTTCCACTCATACCGGTCGATGGCCAGTTGGTATTGCCTTGCTGTCAGGGGCCCCACATTCCAGGCAATGTTGTTGCACCAGCCAATGGCGTGCACCCAGTGGACACAGCCAGAATTGACCCAAACAAGGTCACCTGGCCGCTGAACGAATCGATAAACAGGCACGTTGGCCTCGTAGAGATCTTCCAAACTCGGCCACCACGAGCCGTGCAGGTAGTTGATGTTGTTCTTCTCGCACAGCTGCTGGATTGCGCCCCAGTACGAGTCCGGCGTGGCGAACCACTCGCAGTCTCCAGGGCCGATATTGATGTTGATCGAGCAGAAGTTGTTGTTCTCCTGGTGGCCAGGCGTTCGGCTGCCTGGCACCTTCATGTACAGTTGCACAGTGTTCATGCCGAGAATGACGTGGCCAACGTGCGAAAGCATGTTGCCTGCTGAGACCACCCTGGCAAAGGCGGGCAACTTCATCAGCTCCTGAAGCTGCGGCCGCCACTTGCGTTCGTCCGAGAGGTCAACGTTGGTGCCAAATCGGAGCATCTTGTGGCTGTTTTTCTTGTGCTTCTTGCGCGGGTTGCCTGTCGAATCTTTCGAGTCCGAATCAGACATGGTGCTGCTGTGCACGCCTGAAGCCTTTTCACGCTCCTCCTGTAGAAATAGCAAAGGAAAATTGTATTAAAATATAAATTAAATGTTAAAAAATTCTATTAAAAAAATTTGGATCCACGATTTTAAATTTTATTACTTCTCTTAAAATATTAATTATGTCGAGAATCAAATCATATCTAAATTGAATGATTGAAAGAGAAGGAATTTTAAAATCAGTTGAAGTTTTTGCTCACCCTGAGAGATTCTTGGAAACTAGAAGCTTGGTACTGCGCATACTTGGCAATGGTGGTGTGAGACCTGTGGCTGGCGCAACCCCAGCCTTTGCAGTTCAGCTGTTGGTCCCAGTTTTCGTCCGATGTCTGCTGAATCTGAGTTCGAACTTCTATCGTGTGATCTGGATTTGCCTCAACAAGAGACTTTGTCGAATACAAGCCCAGATCCATTTTTAGGGCAGTGGCGATTCCTCGGACAACGGCAATTGGATTCTTGAGGCAGAATTCCTGCAACTGTGGACTGAAAGCATCCTTTTTGTGTTCCAGGTACACGGACGGGGTTGGCGGCAGGAGTTGATCTCGGGTGAGACGGTGCTGAGGTGGTTCAGGAGGTGAGGGAGGTGCTACTTTATCATTCAACAAGGTAGAGAATCCTCCCATTCGCAGAGCTGTGGCCCTGCAGGCTTCGACAATGTCTGATGAGGACATGTTAATGTCGACCGAGGTTTCTTCATTGAAGATACTGTCTGCACTTATAAAAGTGTCCGGACTATGCACCTGAGAACATTAAGTAAGATTATTGTAAAAGTGATTTTCAGTTTTTTAAGAATAAAAAAATAAAATAATGAATAGGAGACCAATTTAATTTGCAGCATTCAACAATTAAATTTTTTTTTAGTGAAAAACAAGAATGTTAATAACTTACCCTGATTTCAGGTGTCTTGGACCGCGACGGCGGAGTTTGAACATGTGGTGAGGCAGATGAGGAGCTGGCCTGCGGAACCATGACAGGTTGTTGCTGAGTGTCCGATTCCTGCTTGAGGGCAGCAGCCAACTGGGCCTCAGAAGGCTTAACGTCCTGCTGGTTGGGCGGTGGCGTTCCGGTGGCTGGTTTTGAGTCAATGAAACTCGAAAGATCTTCACCAGGACTCAACTGCTTCAGCAAGTCTTCGGCCAGAGAGGCCGTGAGGTCCTTCTGGGACAAAATGGCCTGCAGGTCCTGCTCGCTGACGTGCGGTTGCTCGTCACGGCCCATGGTCGGCAGAGTGGCCGACTGTTGAGGCTGAGCAGGCGAGAACTGCTGGTTTTGCACCTGTTGGGGCTGCTGCTGGAATGAAGTGTCGCTCCGAGAGGCCGTCGAGGCGTAGTTCGGGAACTGTTGTCCCTGCGACTGTTGCTGGAAGCCCGAGTTCCGGAATTGAGCCACAGCAGCTGCCGGCCCTTCAAAGCCTGGCCTCTGCTGCTGTGGTTGGCCGGGGAACTGCTGCCTCTGGGCCAACTGCTGCTGACGAATCTGCTGTTGGTGCAAATGGTAACGGTGCTTGAGTTGCTGCATCAGACTGTGCTGGCTCTGGTTCAGATTGGGCAGGTTTTGCTGCAACTGCTGCAGCATTTGCAGCTCCTGCGGCGTTATGTACGTGGTTGGCCTCTGCTGAGGAGTGCCGTCCTCAGCCTTGAGCCGCTTGTTCTGCGGGTAAGGCGGCGGCGCTCCATTCTGCGGGAAGCTCTGACCGTACTTCTGGAACGACTGTCCAGGCCGTTGCTGCACCATGGGCTGCTGCAGGCCCATCTGGCCGCCAAGAAGGCCACCACCTTGCATGCCGCCCTGTTGCTGCTGCTGCTGACGAGAGTTCATTTCGGCTGAAATTGGCAAGTTCCAGGCCTCCTCGATGGACGGCAGTGGTCGGCGCTTGTTGCTGACACTGGGCATAGGAGCGTTAGACAGGTGGTTCTGCAGGAACTTGATGCGCTGCGTGAGGTGCGGGTTCATGGGCTTGCTTGAACCTCTGGTTGCATTCACGTAGCAGGCGCACGCGTCTCTTGGCTGGCTGCAGCTCTCGTACAGGATTCCGAGGTTTGTCCAGGCGGCGGTGTGGCTCTTATCTAGCTGCACTGCACATATGTACGCTTGCAGCGCGTCCATAGGCTGGTTCTGCTGCTGGTACAGCACACTGGAATTCAATATCACTTGATTAGTACTTGCTTATCAAAGACGTACAAGAAGCAGACACACAATATTTTTGATAAAAATTAAGCTCCTAATTAATAAATTAATTCAGAGCAGCCGTTCTTTTCTGGCAAGGAAATTTTAATAAATAAAAAAGCAACAAAACCCCGAAATTGTGAAATTTTCACTCTAAGCAATCGTTCAACTAAAAAAATTAAAAAATAAAAATAAGCAAATATAGATTTTATTATTTTTGTTATTAAATTTAAAATTGAATTTAAAATTTCAAGTTTCAATGGTTTAAATATGCCAAGGTAATTTGTTTTCCAATGATATGGCCTTTTAAAATAACATGTCTACGTTTCACTGTTATCAACTCACCCAATTGAGCACCACGTGTCTGCATTGCCTTCTGATTTCTCGACAGACTTGCGATAAGCGATAAACGCGTCGTGGACTTTCCCAACGCTAGCGAAGCATCTACCAAGAAGGTAGAGTGATTGGCCAGATTTCGGGTCGGCCTCGATGGACTTCTGCAGGCAGTGGATCGCAACAGTCTCTCTCGGATGCTTCTCCCCGAAGGACTCAACACTGTGGTACATCCATCCTGCGCCAGCAAAATCGAGTTTCTCGTTAGAACATCACGGCTGGTGGTGGTGGTGAGAAAAATATGTGTTACCTAATTGCCGACAGACGTCTGCTTTCAGATGGGTGGGCAGTTCTTTGTCGCGCAGCAGAAGCTCGTAATGGTCCTTGGCTGTTTTGTACTTGCCCTGGACTTCGTACAGGTGAGCGATATGAAAGCGGACTGGAACAAAGGAGCGTGGCTTATTAGAACTGGAGAAAGTGCGCATGCCAGGCATCAAAATAGCTCTCCTGTTTCATAAAACAACTTGACATTTCGAAAGTTATGTAAACTAGTTTCATAATTGACCTGCTGCCGCACTGTATCGAGTGTTACCAAATCAAAATTATTTTCAAATCCACCCACGCATTTGACCTTTCCGCCGTGCAAAACACACAATGCGGAAATTTTCTGCGGTATTTCCCGAGTTCGGCAAAATCGAAAATGAATCAGTATTGAATTGCTTTGGGGAAAAACAAGGCTAAATCGGGACGAGGAAAGATATGGGAAGGAAGTGCACTGCTACGGAAAAGAAATCGGACGCCATGCGTCGCTTGTTGCGCCCGCTCGAATCAAGAGTTCAAGTATAAATGAGCGTTCTCGGAATTCGCCCGTGGTGAAACAGTAATAATGCTTTTGTGGCCACCGTCGTTCTCACACAGACGGGGTTCGAGACCGCGGCTGGCGAAAGTACGGGTATACGTGCATGATAGTATAGCGGTACTCGAAGGTAATAAGTAATCAGGATGGCCATGCAGTCGGCAGAAGCGCCGGGGAGCCACTTGCAAAGAGAGAGACCCACTTGCAGAAGCGCACGCACGCACCAACACCATACTTTTTTTAGTAATTTAATATCAATAGAACTAAAAAATCGTGGCTCAACTTGAGATTTTTAACCATTTTAACGCGTTGAATTTACTCTAAAAAAAAACCTATGAAAATAAAACAACAAAATTTTATAATTTGCTTCATGGCTTTATAAATTTATGAATAATTGATTTATGACCTAAAATTGGTAATTAAATTTGAAATAATTTTTTAAATAAAATAAAAAGTTAAATTATTACAAACGAATCACTCAAATTAACTAATGAAAGAAAATTTGAATAAAGTTGTACTTACTTTCTAACTTGGAAAATGTACTAGGGCTGGAGTCGATGAGCGCAAGTTGCAGGTGCTTCAACGACGCGACGAGGTCAGAATTGATTTTGAAGATGAGTCCCAGTCGAAGGTGGACTTCGTTGGCCCTCGAGAAGCTGGGGTCTACGTAGAGCACTTGTTGGAACGCTTTCACGGCCCTGCGGATCACGAAAACAAACAGGTAAGACCAGAGTTTTATCTCCGACAAACAACTATTAATTCACAATAATATATGTGTAATGCCGTCTAGACGGAGTCGCGGAAAACTACCGACTGACTGGCCGCGGAAGAAAGAAAGATGAATAGCTCACGGGCGAGCTCCCTCCCGCCCACCTAACGGTGAACGCGCGCCGAGGAAATCGCGAGTGATTCGCCGACGACTGACATCACCGGTCCATGTGCTCACCACAAAGGTGTGTGTCAGTCAGTTCGACTCCGATTTCCCGGACATTTTTGGATTTCCGCGAACGGAAAAAGCGGTGGCGACGAGAGCGTCGCGGCCTAAATTTCATTCGGCGAAACGCGGTTTGTAAAATTAAAAATGATAAGTACACCATCGCGTGCCACCAATTGCACGAACTTCATGCCCGTCGGTGGCGTTTTCACCAACATCAAATGCACGATTGCTGAAATTCCAGCTGAACTTTGGAAGTTCGTTTGGTCGGATCGATCGGTCCGATTTGAAATCATTACCGAAAGCGTCGGTCAGTTCGTGGGAATGCGAGCTGGTATATCATTAATGTTGAAGAGAGATGCACGCTCCCAATGATCGGCACCGGCGCATTCTTGGAAGCAGGAGAAGAAAAGGAGAGGAAATTTGGTGCCCACGCTGGTGCGTCTCTCTCTCTCTCTCTTTTTATTTCGGAGGAGACCAACCCTGTCTGATTATATAATAATAATCATTCCTATATGCATGAGTCAGAGCTCAACATTGGGCAGGGCGTTTCAAAGGTCACTCGCCCTGTGGTAGAAGAAGGAAAATTCGAGCGGAAAAGATGGCCTGTATCATTATAAAATTTTCATGCAGGTCGAATCGACCGCACAATTTTTTTTCTCATTGTTTCCAACTGCCTGCGAACAAATATAAGAAAAATGCTCGTCGGAGAACCGCACCGAGAAATGGAAACGCCTGGTGTGTGTTGCTCCGCTCTCGGCGCGGCTGCTGGGGCGAACGAAAGAAAACCTTGAGAACGTGAATTTCAGCAGAATAAAAAATCTGAGCAAGAGAGCGCTCGTTAAGACGATCAAACGATAGGTTTGCATTTGGCATGCAAAACGCAAGGACTTCACAAGAAAATTTTTTATTCAAATAAATCGACTCGTATAAATTTCAAATCATGCAAATTTAGACTCATTTGTTTTTTGCTTGGAAATTCCAGCAGATTTTGTTTTATGCAAACAATCCTTGAGTGTTTCCGCCTGGGTAAAAATTGTCTACAATATTGAACGCCCTTATCTCTGTCGACACCGAACACGGCTCGGTTATCTCGTTTAAAGAGCAGGCATTTAAAAAGAAACGGAGAACGCTGCGGCTGTGTCTCGGTTTGGCAACAGGGCGGTCCCGACGGCCGGCCGGTCCATAGCCGGCCTTGAACTGCATCTGTCTAGGTGCTGTTTCTTTTGGTTCTCTGTACTGCTTCTCCTTTTCTTTTGGTCCTCTGGAAGAAAACGAACCAACCGGTCCTCGCGGCCGCACCTCGGCGGCGAAACGAGCCGGGCTAAAAATGGCTCCTCGCGCGCGCCGCGACAAAATAATATATATATATATAATGATTGTGATGAACGAACTCGTCTGGCGGCGGATAAATAGTAATGGTCGCGTATAGTATGTACGTACTTAACAACATGCAGCGCCGCGAGTATACGCGGTCGTTAGCCTAGGTCGTGTCGGCAAGACGCGGCGCGCAATTGCTCTTGCGCCCTTCACCCGCTAGTTCGCCACCCACCGATCCACCCACGCGCGACAGTCCGTGCGGAAAAAAGAGGTCGCCTTTTCCAATCGGTGCGAATTAGATAGGCATCGCGACAACGGTGTCTGAATGAATCGTTAAGCAGCTGCCGAGCATTGTTTTTGTTAATGAGAGAGAAAGATCAAATCTGCAGATTAACCGGAAATTCTCGGTTCATTAACAAGCAGAAACGCTTGGATTGAGAAAACTTTCATTTCATTTGGTAATTTAAAAAAAAAATATTTTTATTTATTGCAAAACTTGAAATTCAAATTTTAAATTTAATGAATGGCGAGACCTTGCGGTAAAAAGAAATCTGTCCTCTCATGTCCGCGATTTGACAAGCAAATTTGCTGTGCGCATATAAACGTAACTCGACACCTTCCCGTAACAGGATTCCTTGTACAAAAATGCAGCCCTTGGCTACATAATTCGATGCATGAGATTACGATCGCGCGTCACGCGAAGCCGCATTCAGCACATAAATGCCAGGGAGGAGAGGGTGCGCTTCATGTGATTTTCACCGGCAATTATAAGGCTTCTCACTCTTTTAGGCCTACCTCAACCTGAGCACGTACTTTGCGTAATGAATGTGTAAACGACACCCTTATTGGACAGAGAGAATTTTTCTGCATGTTTGCCGAGCGGGAGAAAAAAAATACGAGGCATCTGGTTCTTCCGGCCTGGATGCTTCGAGACTCGTGCTTGGTTTGCATCTGCTGTGCGTGCATGTGACACATGCAGATTCCGCTAAATTGGGGAGATTTTTATTTCTCGATCTTTCCAGGGCCAATTACCGTCGCAACAGCAGTCAGTTTTAATAAAATCCAAAACCGCTCTCGGTGGACGAGGCAGGTGCGAGGAAGTAGGTAGTTAACGTATATAAAAAGATCATGTGGATGGAAAACGCATCCGTTGTTCCTTTTTCCATCTGCATCACCTTTCAGATCGCACGTGTCTGTTTGCCCCAAGGAGCCGAAGCTCAAGAAAAGTCAAGGTGCGGAGGTTTTGAAACCCACACATTCGGATCGAGTTCGTTTTCAGCGGTGCAGGTGAAATTTTGTGGTTTTGGCCGTTACTTTTGTATAATTCAATTTTTCTCAAACTTTTTTATTATCTCTTGTGAGAAATCCGCCAAATTAAATAATATTGGCAAAAATACGTACCGGCACGCACCTCATTTATATGCAGGGAAAATGTAAATAAACTTACTTCCTGCTCTTCATTTACAATCACGCGGGTTATTTTTTTCATTTGGTAATTCTATATAACCACGCTTGAAATGGCTGAAGCTTATCTTATCTTTTTCTGTTTCTCAAGCTGATAAAAGCGGGACTGCGCGAGCCCCCATACCATATTTGCAGAGGATTTAAGTGGGTTAAATTGTGGGGCAATCGAGACAATGTTTATTTTATGAGCGCGTTATTTGATATCAAAGTTAATAACTGCATGTGGAACAAGCGGGCAAAGGCGGCGATAAATGAAAATGTTCAACGAATTATTTAAAACGAACATCTCTATCTTTATAGCCAGAACAAACAAAAAACTAGCAACAGTATAATTTTTAAATTAAATGTCTGCATATTGATTACAATTTTCAAGAATGAAATTTTTGTTTTATTTCCTTGCAGGAAAAACTAATTAAAAATGATTTGCTCATTATGCGGGTCACTCAAATAAGTCGTCCACTTTGCATGATTAAACCAAATGAAAGTTGAAGAGTTTAATTGCTCTCGGCTCGACCACTTCTGCGCACTCCTGTCAAAAAGCATGGTAACTAGCATAACTATTTTCCTTTTTTTTCCCTTCAATCAAGCGCAAGTTTAATTTAACACTTGAGTTTTCAGTTTCACGATATCATGCAATTACGTCTCGCGTGCAAAATGAGCAAAAACCTGCTCAGTCGCGGAATCGGGGCAAAAATGCAAATAAAAACCTCAAATAACGAGAGAGAATCGAGTTGCTCTGATGAAAATTGCAAAACACCAGCATTTATATTTATCGCCGTCAGCAGCAGGCGATGTTTATCTGTCACCTGAGACGCGTGTTCTAACGCGTTAGCGCCCAAGACAGTTGCCTGCGCATGCTACGGAGATCGTCTCGTCACCTGCACGCTTATTTTTCACATACACACTTTTTTCCACGTTGGTCGAGCGCGCAGTCAGCTGGTGTGAGAAAGAGTGTCAGTTTCATTTCGTGCGGCCGAGAATCGAACGTGGACTCTCGCGGTGGAGTAATAACAGGTGGTTTGACTTCTTTTCGAGCCTCTCGGAGAAAAAACTCGCTCGCCTCCGCAGATGGTGCGTGAGGCTGCGTCTTTTTTCGTGGCGCGAGGGAAGTAAAATTGTAATTAGCCCACCTTGCGGGGGTGCAGGGAGCTGCGAGAAAAATGAAAAGGAGAGGCGATAGAAAAAATTAATGGACGTTTGCTGGCAGCTTTCTTACCAAACTGAAGTTTCAAAAGGAAACATTTTGATGGATGGTAAATTATAAGGTTTATTTTTTTGAGAAAAAGCAAGTTTGGCTGCTGGATAAGAGTAATCAGATGGCGATTGTGGCATATTTTTTTAATTTTTATATATATTGATCTATTATGTGGAATCTTTTTAAAACTCTGACATATTTCACAATTAATATTCTTATATTTATCAAAAAATTTCTAAAGAAAAAATCATTAGAATTGTACTATATATAAAATTCACAAATAAAATTGTATTTTTTTTAAGCAAATCATTCAAGCTATAAATTTAATATATTTAGGACGTTTTAAAATATTGCACAACCTAAATAACCAATATAATCTTTATTTCCGGCTTTGTTTTCCTCATACTTTATCAGCCAGTTCATTTCACCCCAAGTCACTCAGACCGAGAGGATTGGCGCTAATAAGTGTGATAAAGCCGCACATATCCTGGCGAGAAGTTTTTCTGCGACTAATTAAGCCGGCATACAAAACTTTCCCCTGCGACGCGGGCGGAAGTAAGAATGTACTCGAAACTCTGCGCACATAACAAAGGCCGTGCTCGGATTAGCACGGCGTGCATGTTAATTGAAATATCGATTTTGATTTCCGTCCGCGAACCCACTTTATGCTTCTCTCGACAACATGGCCGGCGCGCCCTTTCGCCCGGCAGCAACAGTGTAACAAAACATGAGCCAGTGCATATATAGAGTTTGCTTTTGGTGACAGACGCGGGACAATGAGGGGT